TGTATGGAGGTCTTCACAGGGTCCTGGGCCCTTAGATGTTTGGGTGCTGGTATAATATTATGTACAACAAAGAATGCAGAACAAAGTATCTTGACAGCTTCCATTCCAGGCTTGCTACAACCGTCTGCTGTACTATGTATCTAGGGGTGCGTGAGCCAGCAATACCAGCGGCACCTTGGTGATGGTTTTCAAGACCTGATGGGGGGTTTTCAAGGCTCTTGAAATGAGTTTGCAAGAATGCATAAGGGGGTTTTCAGTTCTTGAAACAAGTTTTCAATATTGCTTAAGGGGGTTTTCAAGGCCTTGAGTAATTTTATCAAAGTGCTTAATGGTTGAATACTGGCACATCTTGAAAGGGTTTTAAGGCTTGATTAGGGTTTTCAAACCCACCCAATCCCAGATTGATAAGCCTGCATTTTGGTGTTGTAGAAAGTGTCTCTATGTTACAAAGTAATTGGGCATTCCCTGATTCGTGATTGGGGTGGAGAAGAACGAGGGTGCTTGTGTGTCTAGGTCTTGGTTGGAGATAGGTATTGGGTTGAGTCAGAGTTGGTTGTGTCTTAGAGATGAATTGCTTTGTAAGTGGGGTAATAGCAATGTCCCTAGATATGTGTAGCTCCTAATACAATATGATGGTTGTGATGTACCAGTATAAACAAGAGGGGTGTCTCAAATGAGGAAGTAATGACAATTGTTGAGTGATGACTGTTGCGACACATCCAGCTCAATGAGTATTTACATGATAGAGCGTGTGATGATGAGGAAGCTGGAGTGCGGTTGTGACAGCTGCAAGTGCACTACATTTTGGACAATGCTGGATCATGCAGTCTTCCACTAATCCATCCTGAGTAAGCAATCATTATCCATCCTGTCTTAGCAGCAGAGTCTTGCTAGGACTGGTCATAACATCAGGTGAGTCTCTCCACACCTAAGGCAATTGTAACTAACATATCAAGGTATATATTTCTCATGGTGCTGTTTCAGCTCACACAACAATGCCACTCAACTCCCGCTACGCCTGAGACTTGAACAACACTGTGCTCATCAAGTCTCTTACCACCATTGTTCATGCCTACCTCCCTACACTTGCCCATCCCCTACACTCTTCCATCACCCACACTCTTCCATCCCCTACAGTCTTCCATCCCCTACAGTCTTCCATCCCCTACAGTCTTCCATCCCCTACAGTCTTCCATCCCCTACAGCTTTCCATCCCCTCTCATTCCTCCATCTCCTCAAATCCTTCAACATCTAACATATACTTCTTTGTCCTTCCTTGTGATATAGGCAATGTGGAAAACTATCCAAGCGTCTCTCCCGGCACCTCCAAAGTCCACCACCACATCGACATCCTCTCTGGAGTCAAGCCAGTTGCTTGTCCTGGTTTCTGTGTCCCTCTTGCATAGAAGGAAGCATTCTTTGCCGAGACTGAAAAACGTTGTTGTGCGGGTTGTCTTTGCCCTTCGAGTTCACCTTGGGCAGCCTCTGCTTTCCTCATCAGGAAGACAAATGGGAAACTCCGGTTTATCTGTGATTATCGCAGGTTGAACTTTGTCACAACTCCCAATCAAACCTCACCACCTTTTATTGAGGACATCCTTCAGCGAGCTGTCTTGGGCAAGGTGTTTGCTAAGATGGACATGATGGATGCGTTCTTCCAAACCTTGATGGAGGAAAAGGATATCGAAACGATGGCTATTACTACGCCATGGGGCTTATACAAATGGGTCGTTATGCCCCAAGGAGCTTGTAATTCCCCTGCCACCCAACAACATTGAGTGAATGAGGCGCTGCGCGGTTTGATTGGAGAAACATGTAAAGCATATGTGGGTGACATGATTGTGTTGTAAGAGGCTTGTCTCATACCCTTCTTAACATACGACCCATCGACCCCTTTTGGCTGCGACTCTCTGCCTTGACTGTTGGACTGCATGTGAGTAAGCATTAGCGAAAGGCAGCCTGTTGCGTTTGAGTGCTTGGACTCAGCAAATGAGAAGCGCTCCTGCTATGCATGCATGCAGGAGGCGGCCTGATAAAGCTGTGGGACAAAGAGCAGAAAGAACTTAGACAAATTAGAAGCGCTTCCGTTGGTGTTTACATAATGTGTAATGCCGCGTCAGCGTTGGAGTTTTGCGGAGCTTGCCGCACACGCAGGCAGGACTTGGTGGAATGTCAACGTGGCTTCTCTTTCTTGCCCGTTGTCGTTCCCCTGTCCGTTGCCCTTTGCTATACAGCTCAGGTGCCTGTGTGTGCGTGTGAGTTCCTTTCTTCCCTGTACATTAGAGTGCATAGCTAAAACCTGGGCAGTTCGTTAGAGTTAGGACTGATCTCTGCCCAGGTACGTATATACCTGTCGTCGTTCCCCTGTCCATTGCCCTTTGCTATACAGCTCAGGTGCCTGTGTGTGCGTTTTGTTAGAGTTAGGACTGATCTCTGCCCAGAGTCACAACGCGGTGCACGTGGAAATTCTCCAAACATTAGTCATTTTTGACACGTGGCCCGCCCTTTTTGATCGGAAGCGACCCATTGTCTTGGGGCATGAATATTTACCGCCTCAGAGCAGTTTCCGTGCACCTGAAAATTGGTCTGAACTCCCAAGATACTCCTCAATGACTCCTGGGCCGGAAAAGGGTGGGCAATGTTTCTGGGGGGAGTTGTCAGCTCATACACCGCTACACCGAGTCGGAAATCAAGTGGTATGCTGTATCTATAATAGCGCTACAAAATCTGCTCAGAAATGCTAATTTTTCTCAGACACTGTTGGGGCACCCGCAATGCATACAATATACAACAAAATAAGGACTATGCGGGCAGTCCTTCACTAAGTTGATGTTGTACTTGTCTTGAGAAGTGTGCAAGACCCCTTGTGCATGTAACTGGACAATGTCCGTCAATATGTACGAGAAGCACACCAAAGAGAAGAAGAGGACAAGGGACAGGGAATAAGGGCAATGGGAAAAGAGATGGATAAAGAACAACAAGAGATAAGGCTCACCTGGACAATGTCCGTCAATATATGTACGAGAAGCACACCAAAGAGAAGAAGAGGACACTGGCCAGAATCAGTCAAGGAAGACATCGGGAACGAGAATGGATACGCACAGGGACAGGGAATAAGGGCGATGGGAAAAGAGATGGATAAAGACCCAAGATTCCACACGCCTGCGGTCCCTGTCCCAGTGCAAGAGCAGTTGCGAACAAAGCACACAAGTCAAACAACGTAAAGCCGAAGGTGGCAGAGAGACGGAATGGGAATGGAAATGGAAGCGGAAACAGCGGGGATTGCACAAGTGGCAGGGAACAGAACCAATGCACAAATACCGACAATGGCGATAGCCAAGACGCAAGCAGAAATGGTTAAGTCACGAGAGGCGGCGATCGCCGAAACGCGGCTGGAAATGGCTAAGTTGTGGCTATGCAGCCCGCTGCTTACACCCTCCCCCTCCTGGTACAAGACCTGCCTATAGCAGGAAGACCAGGAACAGACCAAGAAAGAAACCCAGAGCAAAGATAGGAAGAGCAAAAGAAAATACAAACCCGGACGATTTTTTTTTTTCGGACTTAGAGAAAAAAAATCCAAAATGAAAAGGAAAGAGCGAAAAAGGAAAACCACGGCATAAGCGCTATCCTACTGGGATCTCTATGGAAAGCGGTAGGCGGGCAAAAGCTTGGTTCATTTGTGACGGTGAAGCCTTTTACCCCGCTGGTGTGAACAGCAATGACCGAGATAATTTGTACAGGCCTATGTTGAGACAGAACAAGTAGCAGGGAAAACCCAGTGGGAAAACCTTATGCCGTTGCTGAAACGCTTGATAGGTTGGTTGTGTTGGAAGAAGGGATTATCCTAGGATGTGATCAGTTAATTGTATTTGGGGAAAAAATCGAAATTGAGAGGTGTGGATAGGGGGACAATACAGCTCACTCAACGACGCCATCCAATAACTCAAACCAATCGGCTGTTTCCACCATCAGCTTATCCAAATATAACTCATCCTTGCCCATAAACTCTTCCCAAGCCTCCCTCCAACCCATATATGTCTCGGCCTTGTCCAGACTAATCCATTTTGACTTCACTCCATCTCCTGCAAGCCGAACCTTCACCTGTTGAACCAGGGGATGAGGTGGGCGGGGCCATTTGGTCTTCTCGTCGAGTACTTGGATAATGCGAGGTGGCTCGGGGGCTGGGGGGCGGTCGAGAATGCGAGGAGCGGCATTTTGATGATATAAGTCGGATTCTTGATACGGCTTGAGTTTTGATGCATGTCGTCGAACTGTAGCTTGGGGGGTTGTCAGCGGTATATTCAATTCATAGAGAGATTGCTTGGGGAAGGCCTTCACTACCGTAAAAGGTCCTTCCCATTGAGGCATCAACTTAGCGGATCGACTTGTCGAGGTTTTGTACTCATGGCGAAAGTTGGCGGTGTCGATGGAGACCTTGTCCCCAACAGCATATATAGGCTCAGGACGTCGATGTGTAAGCAGCATGTGGGCTGCTTCACTGACGACAAGGGAGCGGCGAGACGAACGGCGGTGATCTCAGCTATGAGGAGCTGGACTGGAGAACGGCGAGAGAGCGGCGAGGAACGGCGGAGGGCGGATGGGGCGGTGCAACCTGTAAACAGGACCCCAATGCATATACTTGTCACACAGACAGACAAAAAGGCGGTGACTCTGGGCAGAGATCAGTCCTAACTCTAACGAAACGCACACACAGGCACCTGAGCTGTATAGCAAAGGGCAACGGACAGGGGAACGACAACGGGCAAAAAAGAGAAGCCACGTTGACGTTCCACCATACGCGGCTGGAAATGGCTAAGTCGTGTGAAGCAGCCCGCTGCTTACACCTTACCCCTTTTTTTGTGCTCTACCACCCCTACCACGGTCACCCAGAACCCCCCAAACCCTCAGAACCCCCTGAACCCCCTGAACCCCCAGAATCCCCAGAACCCCCAACACACGGTCACCCAGAACCCCAAGAACACAGTCACCCAGAACCCACCATGTCCCAGCCCGAGACCCCCAAAGACAAGCCCATCGACCCAGCCCCTCCCATTGGAGGTGTGGCCCCACAGACAAAGGAAGAGTTGCAGGCAGGAGATGATATGCCAGGAGCAGAGCATGGACAAAAGACAAAAGACGCGGTGCAGCAGGGACATGTTGTGCCAGAAGGAGAGTACAGAGAGAAGGTCGACGGGCTGGTGGACAACAATCCGACCGATTTGGAAAAGTCCGTCTCCGTAAACAGCACCACGCGTCCCCACAAACGACAAGACACCCCATGGCCCGAGCCCGAGCCACCCCACCCCAAGGTGCTGGCTCTGATCACCCAATTGACGAGCATCCAACAACAGTTGGCCGACAAAGTCAACGAGCTGAGCATCCCTGCTCCTGCTTCCACTCCCCCACCGGCCCCTGCCCCAGAGCGTCCTTCCATTTTCAAACGCCCCAACAAACTTGTCTGCCCAACTCTGTCTAGGTTCACCACTGACCCCTTCGTCATTACGCGCCACCTCTATGCCTTGGAGGCCTACCTCCAAAGCGCCCGTCCTATGATGGAGGCCGTATTCTATGGCCCATAGGCAATTGAGCAATGCAACTTCTCGATCTCTCAGGTTGGCCAGTGGTTCACGTGGAGTCATGAGGTGGGCAGGCACGCTGTTACCTTCCCTGGTTGGAGCAAGCGGTTCAAAGAGAAGGTCCTCGCCCCTGACTGGGTCCGCCAGGCGAAGAACGCCCTCAAGTTCATGCGCATGGAGGGCACGACCTCCCAGCATTTCAACAAGTTTGTCTCTTCTATTTGAGATTACCAACACCTCCTCACCAGCTCTACCGACCCCCTTGCCGATAGTGATGTCAAGTGTCTCCTCATGGAGGGCTTGTGCTCTCACATGCTTGTCCTTGACGTCGTGGAGGCCTTGGAGCAGAAAGACTTGTCCTCCCGCACCATCCCTGCCACCAACCTCATTGACCTCATGTCCAAGCGAGTGACTGTTTGCTCTGCCCGTCTTGCGGCTGTTCATGCGTCTCGACCGCCCCCCCACCTGGCACCTGCCCAAGCCCCCCGCCCAGCCCAAGCTCGGTCGGCCCCGACGCCGATCAAGGCGATCTCTACGGTTTCAGCCCCCGCCCCTGCCACCGCGGCAGAAGCTCAAAGTTGGCTTGACAACACTATCCGCCTTCCGTCTGGTCCGGACGCGCAACGAGCGCGTGAATTCCTCAGACAGCGAGGTCTCTGTTTCCGCTGCCGTCAACATGGACACATGTCCCAGAGCTACCCCACCTTTCAGCCCCAAGTCTGTAAGCAGTGGCCTGCTTTCCACGACTTGGTCGTTTCAAGTCGCGGTTCGGCGATCGCCGCCTCTCGCGACTTAACCATTTTCAGCCGCGTTTCGGAACCAAATCTTCCGGAACCAATTCTGCTCGCGTCTTGGCTATCGCCGACGCTCACGACGCCACTTGTGTTATTGCCGTTTCCCCGCTTGTCTCTGTTACGTGTTGTTTGCCACTTTCGGCTCTTCGGCCGAAGGTATCTTGTGTGGTTCGTTCGGTGAGATTGTGTGTTTCGTTTGCGACTGTCCTTGCGCAGGGACAGAGTACTTGGGGGCATGGAATTGTATCTCTTTCTCCATCGCCCTTTCATCTCTGTCCCATTCCCATTTCCCTTATCTTCTGCGTTCCTCAGTTCATATATTGATCGTTCTCGTCCAGTTTACATGCACAAGGGGTTTTGTTTGCTTCTCTCGACGACAAGTAGACCACCGACGCCGACCCAGTGAAGAGTTAGACGCCTAACTCTTACAAAGTCGCGGCCCTGTCTCCCGTGACCCCTCAAGCCCCAGCCCAGTCGCTCGCTAGTGCCCCCACTGGCTCTTTGTCCGAGTCAGTACCCCTCCTCCATGTCCAAGCTTGTCTCAGTGCTGATGGTCCATCATACCAGCTACTAGTTGACTCGGGTGCGGCCGTCAATGTTGTTGACAAGGGGCTAGTAAAGGCGCTGGGTTTGGAGACGGAAGGGATGTTGCCATAGCGACTAGAATGGCGGATGAATCCCTTGGCCCTAAGATTACTAGTAAAACTTTCATGGATATACATGTTGGCAGTATCGGCTATCGAAATTCGCCCTTCGTGGTTATGCCACTTGGGCCGTCCAACCGCATGATTCTTGGTCTCCCCTACCATCTACAACATGGGCTGTTAAGCGGCGCGACTGGGTTGGACGCGTTGTTGCAAGAAGGCGTGGCGACGAAGAGAGGAGAGGAAGATGGAGAGGTAGTGACGGGATCACGCTCTACAAGAATCAGCGAGGTGTCGATGGAGTTGGCCTCAGAGCTAGTGACTACGCATCAAGAGCTCACTGCCAAGCTGCTCTCCAACTTTGCTGACACCCTCCCTCCCCAGTTGACCGATGTGGCACACTACCCCATGCCCTCCCCCGCGGTTTCTCAAGTTCGGCACCATATCAATGTCCTCCCCGATACCAAGCCAGTTGCTTGCCCCTATTACCGTCTTCCTCTTGCGTTCCGCAGTGCGTTCAAGGCTGAAATCGATAAGCCTGTGGAAGCGAGTTGGTTGCGTACCTCCAGCTCGCCTTGGGCCGCCCCGGTGTTTTTGATCCAAAAGGAGAATGGGAAGTTCCGGTTTTTGTGTGATTACCGGGGACTGAACGCAGTCACGGTGAAGGACAGCACGCCGGTGCCGTCGGTGGAAGACATCCTGCAGAGGGCGGCTCAAGGAAAGGTGTTTGCAAAACTGGACTTGACCGACACGTTTTTCCAGACGCTCATGCACGAGCCCAACATCGAGAAAACGGCGATCGCCACTCCGTGGGGCCTCTATGAATGGGTTGTTATGCCGCAAGGTGCATGCAATTTGCCGGCTACGCAGCAGAGGAGGCTGAACGAGGCCTTGCGAGGTTTACTCAGCAAGTGCTGTGAAGCATACGTGGATGATATCATCATTTGGGCAGACAATGATGTGTCATTGGATACGCGTGTCCGCCAAGTCTTTTCCCCCTTGCAGGGCGCTGGGTTTGTCTGTTCTCCTTCCAAGTCGAAATTCTTCCTTGATGAAGCCCCCTTCCTTGGTCACACAATCTCTGAGAACCACATCAGCCCCGATCCCAAGAAAATCGAAACCCTCATGCAGTGGCCTGCCCCCACCACCGTCAAGCAGCTTCGCTCCTTCATTGGCCTTCTTAACTATGTCCAAAAGTTCATTCCACATCTCGCCGCCCCCCTCTCTGTCCTCACCGCCTTGAAACCCCCCAACAAGACAGCTGAGAAGGCATACACTGCCTACATGAAGAAGAAGGAGAAGGGGGAGGCGGTCACAAAGGACGGTTTAGTTTGGAGCTGGGATTGGTTGGTGAAGGCGGATCGGGCGTTCAAGGAGTGCAAGAGTTTTCTCGCCCAGATCACAGGGCTCGTCCCCCTAGACTACGATGCTGTGAAGCGCGGTGAGTTGCAGGTCTACCTACACACGGACGCTAGCAACACGGGCATAGGTGCTTGGCTTGGTGCTGGAAATCTTCCCGATGCCCTTGCCCCAATCGCCTATTTCTCTCGCTTCCTTATCCCAGCAGAGACACGCTATCCGGTGCATGACAAGGAAATGCTCGCCATCATCGAAGCACTCCAGGAATGGTGCCCGCTTCTCTTGGGCATTCCCGTCAAGGTTATGACCAATCATGCCACCCTTCGCCATTTCTTCACACAGCCCTCTCTCTCCAATCAACAGAAGCGGTGGTCAGAAGTGCTCAATGACTACAGTTTAGAGATTTTCTACATCCCAGGGGAGGCCAACAACGTAGCCGACGCCTTGTCCCGCATCCCCCACCCACCCCTCCAATTGATCTCCCTCTCCGCCATCCAATCAATCCTGACTATCAGCCCCAACGAGGCGTTCTTGGACGAGGTCAGCGAAGGCTATGCAGCGGATCCCCTCGTGGGGACGTGGTCAGAAGAAGGCACTCGCCCACCAGGTGTTGAGCGCGTGGAAGTACAGGGTCAATGCAAGAGGCTTGCCTCATACCCTTCTTGACATACGACCCGTCGACCCCTTTTGGCTGCAACTCTCTGCCTTGACTGTTGGACTGCATGTGAGTATGCATTAGCGGAAGGCAGCCTGTTGCGTTTGAGTGCTTGGACCCAGCAAATGAGAAGCGCTCCTGCTATGCATGCATGCAGGAGGCGGCCTGATAAAGCTGTGGGACAAAGAGCAGAAAGAACTTAGACAAATGAGAAGCGCTTCCGTTGGTATTTACGTAACGTATCTTGCCGCGGCATTCCAGAGTTTTGCGGAGCTTGCCACACGCGCAGACAAGGACTTGATGGAATGTTGACGTGGCCTCTCTTTCTTGCCCGTCGTCGTTCCCGGCTCTTTGCCCTTTGCTATACAGCTCAGGTGCCTGTGTGTGCATGTGAGTTCCCTTCTTCTTTGTCTATTAGAGTGCATAGCTAAATCCTGGGCAGTTCGTTAGAGTTAGAACTGATCTCTGCCCAGGTACGTATATACCTGTCGTCGTTCCCGGTTCTTTGCCCTTTGCTATACAGCTCAGGTGCCTGTGTGTGCGTTTCGTTAGAGTTAGGACTGATCTCTGCCCAGAGTCACTGCCTTTTCCTGTCTGTGTGACATATATGTATTGGGGTCCTGTTTCACTTCAGGTTGCATTGCCCTGCTCAACCCTTCACCGTTCTCCGCCGTTCTCTGCCGTTCTTCGCTGTTCTTCCGTCCAGTTAGCCCATAGCTGTGACCTTTGCCGTTTGCCTTCCTCGCCGCCGCTGTCAGTGAAGAGGAACCACACCTCTTACAAAGGCCCTCTTACGGTAGTGAAGGCCTTCCCTGAGCAATCTCTCTACAAATTAAATATTCTGCTGACAACTCCTCAGTCTACTGCTCAACAACATGCCTCAAAACTGAAACCGTATCACGAATCCAACACTTATCACCAAGACGCAATTCCTCAAATCCTTGACCGCCCCCCAGCATCCAAACCACCTCATATCATTCAAGTCCTCAATGAGAAGACACATCGCCCTCGTCCCCCTCACCCACCGGTCCGGCGAGTGAAAATTTGGCTTGCAGGAGAAGGAGTGAAGTCGAGATGGGTCAGCTTGGACGACACCAAGACATATACAGGTTGGAGGGAAGCTTGGGAGGAATTTATGGGAGAGGATGAGTTGTATTTGGATAAGCTAATTGTGGAAAATGCAGATTGTATTGAACTATTGGGCGATGTCGTTGAGTGAGCTGTGTTATTTCTCTGTCCCCATCTTTGACCTTTTTTTCCTTTCTTCCCCCCAAGTATAATTGACTGATCACACCTGTAGGATAACCCCATTTGTACCACCAACCCGTCAAGCATTCAGCAATGGCATGAGGTTTTCCCATTGGGTTTTCCCTGCTACTTGTTCTATCTCAACATAGGCCTGTACAAATTATCTCGGTCCTTTACATTCACACCAGTGGGGTGAACGGCTTCACCGTCACAAATGAACAAAGCTTTTGCCCACCTACCGCTTTCCATAGAGACCCCAGTAGGATAGCGCTTTTGCTGTGGTTTCATTTTTCGCTTTTCGTTTTCTTTTTTTCTTGAAGTTCGAATTCTTGGTTTGTATTCCTTTTGCTTTCTCTTTCTTTCTTCTGGTTTCCTTGCCCAGTCTGTTCATGGTCCTCCCTGCTATTGGCAGGCCTTGTACCAGGAGGGGGAGGGTGTAAGCAGTGGGCTGGGTGTAAGCAGTGGGCTGCTTTCCACGACTTCACCATTCCAAGTTGCATTTCGGCAATCGCCGCCGCTTGCAAATTAACCTGACATTCACGGTCAAAACTGTGGAAATGTCCCCGCGACATTGGAGATTTTTGTTCTGGGATGTCATTCTGACATTTTTCGAAAACATCTCAAAGACATTCCACGACCAGAATATCCCACGGACGTCTGCAGGAGCCCAAATGTCCTTGTGATATTTCTCCAAAAAGGATGAAATGTCCCTGTGATATTCTTCAGAGATGGAATGTCCCTGTGATATTCTGCGGAGGTTACCTTTACATACTGTACAAAACCACCATATGGATAATGCTATGTACAGGTGGTAGTCGCAAATTTTCTGCAAATATCAGTTTGCCCCCCAAGTTATCAAATGCGTATATGACCTCATATACACTTCAACCAGCTATATATCCTTTCACAACATAGCTATGCATGCACTTTTTTTTTACCAGTCAACTCTACCGCCATGACTCTACACGCCTCACCATCTAAACGACGCCAATATGCTGCGGATGGCGACAAATATGGCAATACACAAGCCGGTCGCATTCACGGAGTTGCCAAGAGTACCATACGCAACGCCCACAAAGATGTGAAGGAGCGGGGCACTACAAGGGCCCGTGAGCACACCGGTTGAAAGAAGAGTATCGACCCTCGTACTTCCCGCCGGCTCAGCCGCCTGATTCGTTTGCACAGGTGGACTCCGGTCACAAAACTTCCCACCCTTACGGCCGCCAGTGGAATTGAAATCTCCCTGACTACCTTAAAGAAGTTCATGGCTGTCAATGGGTTTTCTCAAAGGAAAGCGGTGTACAAACCTTTCCTAAAGAAGCAGCACAGGCGTGCCCGCTACTCATACGCCCTTGACCACCAAAACTTCAACTTCCAAAAGGGTATATAAGTCAATGAGGCAATTGTCAGAGCCGATGGGAACCATGTGACTTGGGTCACCAGGAAAGAGGGAGAGGCAATGTGGTTGGAGAATCTGAGGCCTGCATTTGGGCAGTCTGTGGTCTCCATTATGGTTTGGGGAGCCATCTACCACGGCGGGAGGTCAGAGCTAGTTGTTTTCAACACCAGCAAAAGCACGGGCAAGTGGGGTGGTGTCACTGCTCAGCTCTACCAAGAGCAGATTGTGAATAAACACCTCAAAAACCTCTGGTAGTCCGCAAAATTGCGTGTCGGTGGTGAGCAGGGCCCCTTCATCCTAGAGGATAATGCTCGGGTCCATATGGCCAAGGTGGCGCGAGGAGCAGGCCATGCAAACGGCTTCTCCTATATTCCCCACCCTGCTTGCTCTCCCAATCTCAATCCGATTGAAAATTGCTGGAAGCTCCTCAAAGAGAGAATCAGGAGTTGTGGGAGAAGGGCAACTACCACTTAAGAACTTACCAGGGTGTACCAGGAAGCCTGGCAGGAGATATCGCAGGAGAGCATCGAGGCATGCATCAAGAGCATGCCGACCAGAATGGAGGAGGTGATAAAGAGCCAAGGTGGGCATACCAAGTATTAATTAAACAGCTTCTAGCTATGCATATCTAATGCAGGAGATGCTCATAGTTGTCCTCATCAAATCTGATATGCATAGGTGCGATACAGCGTTATATGTAGTGGTTTGAAATATACACCCCAAGCTGCATCAATGCGGCGGAGACCAAGATTTGCAGAAATTTGTGACTACCACTTTATATATATATGGTAACTTATGGCGCTGCTTTCTAAACGGGTTTCCCATGCATGTGGTGGGTGTATGTGATGTACAACACAAGACTATGAGAGGAATTCCAATCCTCCAAACCTAGCCGGTAGGCTTGTCAACAGCTTCCCCTTCTCCTGTTCCTCTGGCGAGTTCCCCTTCTGCCTCATCTGCAACTTCTGCAAAAATCCCACAATCAATCGTCCATCTTCTGCCACTCTCCTCCCAAGTTGTCGGTCTTCAAGCTTCGTTGGAGGTGGCGAATGTTCTGCTGGAGGGAGAATTTGAGGAGGAGGAGGGCGTGCTGTTAGGGGAGATCAACAAGGTTGTTGAGTTTGTCAAACCCTTTGCTCATCTTACCCTGTAGAAAGTTCAGCCTCGCGTCTTTGGTACGCACCATGGTTCCCATCATCTTCATCCCTTCCCCTCTGATCTCCTTGAACGCCCTCATCAAACACTTGCTTGGGTTGAGCTTGATAACGTTTTCCTTGTTGGAAAGGAAGCGAGTGGTCTTGTCGAGATAGGCCATGGGGACTGTGTCGGGGCCAAGGGACTGAGGGAGGAGCGGGCAAGCAGGCAGGGGCGGGCAGGGAGGGCGCACAGAGAGGGCAAGCAGGGAAGGTAGTGAATGAATAAACCCCTAGATGTTTGATGTATCTTGTCTGAGTGTCATTTTGATATTTGTAACAGCTGCATGCAATGTCCATCAGACATTCTAACATACCCTTGAGAACATTGATATGATGTTTTTGGTACGCCGGGAAAATATCAAGGCAACGTTGGCAACAGCTGTATACAACCAGACATTCTGACACACCCTTGAAAATATCCATATGATGTTTTTGGGAACTGCATAAAATATCCGCGCAACATTTTGAAGGCCACGCATCGAAATGTCTGTGTGACATTTGGACGCCAAAATGTCTGCATGACATCGGAATCAATCTCTTAGATCACATCATACGGACATCCGCACGCGGTGATATCCGCAGGACATTTGAGTTGACTGGCGGTGTATTAGATCATACTTTTCAGTTGTATCTTTGTGGCATGCATTGGACTGAACACTGATGAACTACGGACTGACAAATCAAATATGACCATAGTGGCTATAGCCAGGCTGTGGGTTGGGTTTGGGGCAGAGACATATGCACCCAGATATATAAGAAAGATTTGTCCTATGGTTGCTGACAACCTGGGCATATTGAAGAAACAAAACAAGTGCTCACTCTCCATATTTTGGCTTGCAGGTTGAGCTTGCATTTGGGGCTTATTGGCTTGATAAGTTGACATAAAGCTAGTATGGGTTTGAACCCCCAATCCCTGCATCTTGTTTCCCAGCTCTGATTCAAAGTTTGTACCTGGGTGTCCTGTAGCGTGCTAGGCGCCTGCACACCCCATGACTCTTTTAGCTTTGTTACCATTACTTGTTCTTGCTCTCTTCCTCTCTTCTAGTAAGGCTGTCCAATATACATCGACATGCCCATATTTGCTACCCTTGCCTTCTTCCACCTGTCTCCCCTTTCTTATTGTCTTTAGCCTTTTCATACACTTTATTGGCTGACTTGTACCTTTATTTGCTTTGTGCCATAGTTGTGTCATGTAGTCGCTCCCTCTTTTGTCTTGTAACTCATTCATGTATATAAGAAAGTCTGGGTGATTTTGACTCTCTTCTCTCCCCTTCTCTTCTTTTTGATCCTCTGCTGCTCCTTCCAAGACCTCATCCAAGCACAACTGCATACTCCTCTTCACATATTTGGACTCAGCCTTCAACCTTCAATTACACTTGATGATAATTTCAGCTGTCACCCCAGAGCAGGCCTGATTACCACATGTCCAGCCAGAAGCAGAACTCATAACCCAAGTATATAAGAACTAGTCTTTCATTGAGAGTCATATAGCAGTATCAGTGGGGCTAATGATAGGTTGGAAGGAGAGATGCAACTGTTGTTGCACATAAATACACTGTTTAGGATCAGTCACAGTGTGGACAGATCATGCCCTGCAGATAGAAGTAAATGTCCCATTTTGGGGCAGAGAGTTGATGTGTTTTATGACAGCATGTATACAGTGTCTAGCAAACACGCTTAGTCACCTTGGAGCTCGCACATCTCATGGACTCTTCCAATACGCTCTGTAAATCTGTTTTTTTCTCACTTTCCTTCTTTTCTCTTCTTCTAAAATGCATTTGCCTACAAGATCGACCTACACCTCCAATGTGTTGTCAGGGTGCATGGAGGAAATCAAAATGCTGGGAAATATGGCTACAAATGTCCATGAACTGTCTGGCCAATGTACCTGTAGGTAGCCTGCCATTGTTTTAAGGGAAAAAAAATCCACAGGATCACAACAAGTTTCACCAGATTCATCCACTATACACATTGATAAAACATTGTTACTGCTGGTTCAGTATGCTTGTCAAAAGTTGACAATCAAAGCCTCCACTCAAAATGCAGTCACAGCAGGAAAGTCAGACCAAGTAGGGGAAGAGGTAGAAAGTGATACAATGATTGCTTTGTCTTTGTGTAGTCTAGCAATGTCTGATAGTTTATGATGTGTGTGGTGTTGACTCATCCAGCTTCACAAACCAGTTCATTGACAGCTTCCTTGAGTTTGGTTGGATTTGCTCCTATGAGGATTGGGTTCTCTGAGTGATCCAAGGACAGAGTGATGATGTAGGCTTAGCAGGGCATTGAGTGTTATAATCAAATTTTGCAAGTAACTGACACATGATCCATGGACAATGAAATGGCATCAGACAGGAGGTAACAAACAACCATTTGGGCAATTACAGTTGTGTAGTTGCAATTCAACAATATTTGCTACAATCATGTAAAGGCAATGCTCAGCAATGTCACATCTGCACTCCAGCTTTCAACAGTGAAGTCCTAAGATTGTATGAACAAGTAATGCTGAACATGTCAAGACACACTTGTCATCACTTAAACTCTTAGATGTTCTGCTATATGTTCTGCATCATTCAAGCCCCTTCTATCCTTGTTGCCCCTTGGGCACCCTTGGAGCAAACTTTGGTACTCTATCTTTAGGGATCTCGCCTTCTTCACAAGTATACGGCTCATTGGCCAAGAGAGGACGTGTTTCAAGGTAATTTAGATTCACTTGAATCATAATTGGGGTGAAGAAGAATGAGGGTGTTTGGGTGTCTAGGTATTGGTTGGAGATAGGTATTGGGTTGAGTCAATATGATGGCTGTGATCTAACAGATTAAGCAAAAGAGGTGCCTCAAACAAGGAAGCAATGGCAAGTGTTGAGTGAAAGAGTGTTGTGATGTGTCCAGCTCAATGATTAACAGAATAAAATGTGTGATGACGTGGAAGTTGGGACCCAACTGCACCCTGTTGACAGAGTCAAGACAAGCGCTGGACCCCAAAACCTGTAAATATACAAGGGAGACATTTTATTCCATTTTCATACTTTTTTCCCTCAATGAACCAATAGGGGAATTCAATTTGGCGTTCTTAAACGTGCGCTCTTGAACTGGCGGCCTCAGGGCCACAGGGATAAGCACGTGGCTGGCCCTGCAGAGGTCTGGACCCAATTAGATCCCGTCTGTCTCAAACATGTCCGCCATGTCCAACAGTGATGATGAATGTATTTCTTTTGCTCTTGCCCTCTATCCTCTCCATCCACTTCCCCTCTTGTCTCCAATTATTGACATGCACCTACACCCTATTGAATTCCCCTAGTATTACAAGCTCAGGGCGCCTTCCTATTTGACGCGTTGGGATTAGGAGAGCCATTACAAATTGTATTTCAGTCACTGATCTATGCATCCACCAAGTATTTGGACATGGTCAGTCAACTTAGCAGCGTGGGTTGGCATGTTGAGAGTGGATAAATGTGGTTGGTGTTTGCTGAAAGGGGAGTGGAAGGGGTGATTTTGTGAGGGATGAAGAAGTGAAATAAATTGTCAACGCCGCTGTCGCGTTTTTCTGTCACGTTCTCAATTTTGAGGCAGTATGTTTAAGAGTGGCTCTGACCCACTCTTAAACTTGGCGCTCTTAAACTGGCAAAATTGCCTCATCGGGAAGGTCCAATTCAGAGCTGTCAAGATGCAAAAATGGACCCTGCTCAGGATAGGATCTGTATGTCCCTGAGTCCTGACCACCTTAAGCGAGCAAAACGGTTTAAGAGCGGTCTTAAACACCAAATTGAATTCCCCTAGTATTGTTGTCTTTTTACACATACAAATACTTCAATGATAGTCACACCACCCAATATTGACTTGGCAGCTTACTTTATCTATAGGGCATCAGGTCATCTCTATACCTTGCTGTATTGTAAACATATAATAGACAAACTTTTGTGTTTGCTTCCGTTCCCTTCCAGCGCCTGCCCCAGCCCTTGCCGCCCTTCACCTCTTGCCTAGACCCACCTTCAAAAAACCTAGCCTTCCTGCCCATACCGTTTTTGACCCATGCATGCATAGTGAACTCATGTCAAACTGGAAAAAACCTTAAAATAAGGTTCAAGGGTCCAGTGTTTGCTCCTGTTGCCTTCCAGCACTTGCCCAATCCTTGCCTCCCTTCACCTTTCACCCCAATGCACTCCAGCAAAAATTGGTCTTCCTCTCCATACTGTTCTTTCCCCATGCATGCATAGTACACTCATGTCAAACTCAACGAAGACTTGAAATTAAGGTTCAGGTCCACCCGTTGCTCATTGCCGCCACACGTCATGCCTCTTCTTTTTCCGTTTCTTGCTTTCATCCTTGCTCTTTCCGCGCTCTCACACTCTCACATTCTCCAAATCACAAGACCCGGCGCCTGGAGGACGCCCCTCAGCTGCAAGCCATAGCGTGTGCAAAACAGCGGCCGTGCCATCAACCAATCAACCAATCAACCATCTTCCAGCCCTACGGCCCTCATCACAACGTTCTCCAGTACTGCCTTGGTCCCCCAACTGTCATTCCTCTTCTTTGGGCGTTTCTCGCTTTCATTGTTAGCTCTTTTCGCGCTTTCCCACTCTCACCTTCTCAGAACGTTTCCTTGCTCACCGTTGTCTACATGCACAATATCCAGCTGCAAAGCTCATCATCCGCCACGCGTCCTTCCTCTTCTTTTTGACGTTTCTCGCTTCCATCATTGCTCTTTTTGCGCTCTCTTTGCAAGTCATCTATATGCACAGTATGTAGCTGCGGAGTCCATCATTCCATTACTCCCCCCGCCACATCCACCGGCTCATGGCCGCCGTGCATTGTTCCCTTTCCTTTGGAGCCGCTCCCTTTTATTGTCGCTCTTTTCGCGCTCTCTTTGCAACAGATCATCACCTGCATGCACAGTATCCAGCTGAAGAGCTCATCAAGCAATTATCCCTTTCACTCCCCCCACCACGTCCACCCGCAGCCAACAACTTCCAACTTCCGACCCTTTCTGAAAACCACTCAATGCCACTGGGGTCACCACCCACCTTTCCCTCCCCTCTCCCCCTCAATTGCCTTTCAATTTCCTCTAAACTTCCTCCCATCACTACTATCATCTTACTGTATCTCTTGCTCGCTCCTGGACTTTCCCTCAAACATTCCAAAATCTGCCCTATCAAAACCCCTTTTGACAACCATGCCCTACGGCGCACCACAAACGAAGGTCAACAAAGGTGGATGTCCTCCAGAAACACCTCCCACAAACACTCCTCTAGCCCTTTGGTCTCATCCGGAGGGCAATGTCCCCCAGTACTCTATTGGTCTTTGCAACTATGTCCCTAACACCTGGTCCCATGGTCAAGGTACAGCATTGAAACAAGCCATCAATGACTCGGACCGCCCCGGGGTCAAGCTCTTCCAGTCTTTAGTTGACACTATCAATGGCAAGGACCCTCTCACTATCCTCTCTTGGGTCGCTCATGACTCTGACCACAATCCTGGAGACCTTTTCTACTTCTCTGGCGACATCGCCCACAACGGCAACACCTCATCTGCCCTGCTCATGCACTCTGCCTCGGAGGCATATATCAATACTCTCCCTCCCACTGGTACATATCTCTACAACCAGAAGCCCGTAGCTTTCCGAACCTATTGAATATCACAAGCATGAGACCCTCCTTCCAGGAATTGTCTGCTATATTCAGTGCATGGGCATTATGCATCCTTCCTGCCTGTTGCCTTTACTGTTGGTGTTTCCACCAGACTCACTTCATGTACTTTCCTGCTGCTATCAGGCGGGGTGTACGTATGAGTACAGTACGTAGATGTACAAGTAATTTGCATTTAGTAACCAGTCTAAAAACTTGCCCGCGAGTTGTCAAGCGGGTCTGATACTTGTTGTTTTAGAACAGGTGACCTGTTGTTTACCAAAGCCCATTGACACTTTGACATATAGGAGAATACTTGTAGAATGTTCCAATAAATCTGTCTATATAAGTCCATAGTACCTGCCTCTGAGAAGAGCTTAGTGAACAGATGTATATCCAAACACACTTTCTTTAAGAGGAGCAATCAAACAGTTGGCCAATTCTTAGCTTACAGGTGATAGTCACAAAATTTCTGCCAATTCTGGTCTCCGTTGCATTGATGTATGCAGCTCAGGGTTCATATTTCAAACCACTACATATAACACTGTATTGCACCTATGCATATCAGATTTGATGAGGACAACAATGAGCAGCTCCTGCATCAAAAATACATAGCTAGAAGCTGTTCATCAATACTTTGTATGCTTGCCTCACCTCTTTATCACCTCCTTCATTCTGGTCAGCATGCTCTTGATGCATGCCTCGATGCTCTCCTGTGATATCCCTGCCAGGCTCCCTTCGCCACCCTGGTAAGTTCTTTGGTGGTAGTCACCTTTCTCCCACGACCCCTGATTCTCTCTTTGAGAAGCTTCCAGCAATTTTCAATTGGATTGAGATTGGGAGAGCAAGCAGGGTGAGGAATATAGAAGAAGCCATTTGCATGGCCTGCCCTTTGCGCCACCTTAGCCATATGGACCTGAGCATTATTCTTCAGGATGAAGGGCCCTGATCACCATCCACACGCGAGATTGCAGAGTTCCAGAGGTCTTTGAGGTGTACATGCACAATTTGCTCTTGGTAGAGCTGAGCAGTGACACCACCCCGCTGTAAGGAGTTGCATAGGTGAGCCGTAACCTAGGGGCTGTTACATGGAGGATCCAACTAGGAGCACCGGATGTTGACCTTGAATAGGCTGGAGGGAGGAAGGATGGATATAGGTGAGGAGGAATATACAAGAATACATCAATGGGGAAAAGGATATGGAGATGCGGCACAATGTATATATGGGAACCTCATCTTGCAATCCCGCCTACACATCCCTGAGACCATAGCGGCAACCCTAGTACTGAACCCTGCTTTACATAGTACATGTCACCACATCTCCTCCTACTAGCCAGTCTGTACTGATCCCTTACACCTGCTTGCCAATGCTGTTGCTGGTGTCAAAAATGACCAGCTCTGACCTCCCGCCGTGGTAGATGGCTCCCCAAGCCATAGTGGAGACCACAGACTGCCCAAATGCAGGTCTCAGACTCTTCAACCATGATGCCTCTCCCTCATTCCTTGTGACCCAAGTTACATGGTTCCCATTGGCTCTGACAATTGCCTTGTCAACATAGATCCCCTTTTGAAAGTAGATGTTCTGGTGGGCAAGAGCGTACAAGTAGTGGGCACGCCAGGAAAGGTTTGTACACCACTTTTCTTTGAGCAAACCCATTGGCGTCCATGAACTTCTTCAAGGTAGTCAGGGAGATTTTGATTCCACCGGCAGCTGCAAGGGTGGGAAGTTTTGTGGCTGGAGTTCACCTGTGCATATGAATCAGGTGGTTGAGTTGGCGGGAAGTATGAGGGTTGATGCTCTTTTTTTGACCAGTGTGCTTGTGGGCCCTTGTAATGCCCCGCTCCTTTACACCTTTGTGGGTGTTGTGTATGGTACTCTCAGCAAACCTGTGGATGCAACCGGCTTTTGTATTGCCATATCTGTTGCCATCCGCAGTATATTGGCGTTGTTTAGATGGTGAAGCGTGTACAGTCATGACAGTAGAGTCAAGTCAACTGGTAGAAGAAAGTACATGCATAGCTATGTTGTGAAAGGATATATAGCCGATTGAAGTGTATATGAGGTCATAGACGCATTTGATAGAGTTGTGGAGCAAACCTAAATCTGCAGAAATTTTGCAACTATCACCTTGGTATTGAACTCTGTAGCATGCTAGGCGCCTGCATGCCCCATGGACTCTTTTACTCTTGCTCGTCTCTGCCTCTGTCTTTGCTTCGTTACTTGTTCCTCTTCTTGTTCTCCTCTTCTAGCAGGGCTGTCTAACATACATCGAATGCCAAAGTTGCTGCCCTTACCTTCTTTTGCCCGTCTCTCCTTTCTTATTGTCTTTAACCTTTTTGTACGCTTTGCTGGTCAACTTATACCCTTATTTGCTTTGTGCGGTAGACGTATTGCATAGTCGCTCCATACATCGTCTTGTCACTCATTCATGTATATAAGAAAGGCTGGGTGTAGGGAAAGAGACCTCAAACACACTACTCTTGACTCTCTTCTCTCCTCTCCTCTTCTTCCTTTAAGCTTTATTACCTCACTCAAGACCACATCCAAGCACATCCGTGTCTTGCTCTTTCGGTACTTGGACTCAACCCGCAAATGCACTTGGTGATACTTTCAGCTGTTCCCCCAGAGCAGGCCTGATCACCACACCTGGGGGCCTAACTGGGTTTTTGTCTTTCTACCCAAAGTAGGCCACACCCTTGTCTCTTGGTTCAAGGTCTAGTACCTCCAACACCCTACTACACCACCACCCTACCCTACCACCCCACTTCACCACTCCCCATCCTCTACACCTACCCTTAGGTGTATTCATCTTGACTATCTACCGGGGCACCGAGTCCACACTCTGTCTCCTCTCCTTTCCTTTTCTTGACCGCTTCTATGACTAGCGAGAAAAACTAGAAAAACCCCTGAGGCCGTGCACACCTCAGGCGCCAAAAAACAACCAAACAGATTCAAATCTACCTATGAAACCAAAAAAAACACTGCAGTTTCTCTCCTTGCCTCAGCTCTCTCCGCTCTTTTCCTTGGTAACTCCGCTCTCTTCGAGAACTCTGCCCTCTTGCTCGGCGCCCTCCGCCTTTTGACCGTTACGTAACAGCGGTCTCACCTCAGCACAAGCCTTTATCGTTGCTGCCTGGTGTGGTGATCAGGCCTGCTCTGGGGGAACAGCTGAAAGTATCACCAAGTGCATTTGCGGGTTGAGTCCAAGTACCGAAAGAGGAAGACACGGATGTGCTTGGATGCGGTCTTGAGCGAGGTAGTAGAGCTTAAAGGAAGAAGAGGAGGGGAGAGAAGAGAGTCAAGAGTAGTGTGTTTGAGGTCTCTTTCCCTACACCCAGCCTTTCTTATATACATGAATGAGTGACAAGACGATGTATGGAGCAACTACGCAATACGTCTACGGCATGAAGCGAATAAGGGTACAAGTCGACCAGCAAAGTGTACGAAAAGGTTAAAGACAATAAGAAAGGAGAGACGGGCGAAAGAAGGTAAGGGTAGCAACTTTGGCGTGTTGACATATGTTGGACAGCTCTGCTAGAAGAGGAGAACAAGAAGAGGAACAAGTAACAAAGCAAAGACAGAGGCAAAGACAGAGGCAAAGACGGAGGCAAAGACAGAGGCAAAGACGGAGACAAGCAAGGGTAAAAGAGTCCATGGGGCATGCAGGCGCCTAGCACGCTACAAACTCCTCATCCATAGTGACAATCTCACCTCAAGACATGTCCGTGTCATGGGGCTGGTCACTGATTGTTGGGTATGGCTAATGATTTGTCCAGACAAAAGGGCAGTGCATAGCATAAAGTTGTAGATTGTTGAGTGTTGTAAGGAGATGGGAAATTATGAGAGAGCTTCAAAGGGGTCCTGGGGGCATACACCGATTCTGAGTGTAGGAACTATGGTGCAAGTTCTAGGCTACCTGGGTACAGATCATGTGGCAACTGATGACATGGCAGCATAGGGTGTCATGGTTTAGGGTGTTATGGTCATGTAGTGCCAAACCTCAACAATTACAAGTTGTAGTGTGCTAGCTGCCTACATGCCCCATGGACTGTCCTTAGTGCTCTTGCTTCTATCATTATTCCCTTGCACAGCTGTGCAACCTACTTGCTCATGCCAGGACTCCTCTCCTTATAGCCCGTAATCCTTATTTCCAATACTCCCAATGTGCCAACCCATTTCTGTCACATCAACCAATATTCAACCTTACTCCTTCTGTACCACAGTCTTTTAGAGTACACATCACATCTATCATCCTGTCATACTTTCATGTATATAAGAAAGGTTGGGTGCAGGGAATAGAGACCCCAAACCACTCTCTTGACCCCTTCTTCTCTTCCCCTCCTCTTTTTCTCTGGCCTTCACAACTCCTGTTGACCTGAGACACCTCATATCTGTGTCATCCTACACAAGCACTTGGGCTGAACCCCTATTACACTTGATGTTTACTACAGCTGTTTCCCCAGAGCAGGCCTGATTACCACATGAATTGCCAAAAGGGATTCATTAACCGTCATGTTCCAAAGTGTCAGGTCCTACCCACAGTGTCCCTATAGCTGTCCAGCAGTATAAAGTATCTCTTGGATAAATGAAGAAAAGGGGCTATCTATGTATATGTAAATGTCAATTCCAATCAACAATATACTCGTATGTGTCGGGACCTGATCAGCAAGGCTATCTTGGACTTGATAGGGGCTCGCACTAACCTAAGGCTGATGACTTCCTGTCGGCTTAGCTAGTATAGTTTGAATAGGCCTGTTCGCTTGCGATTCCTAGTTCATAGGCAAGTCAGACGTATTCGAGGTTGCTGGGATCCTCGAATCTATGTAAAACTATCGACTTATATAGACATCCAGAGTCCTACTGGCTTACTCAGCTTTCCCATATTCGCCACCCAACTGACTAAGCCGTTCCCTTGGCTTGCTACGCTTTCTCATGAGTTGCTATGGAAATAAGTCCTGAAATATCTAAGACGCACGATATCTTGGAAGCAGACTCTATGTAAAGAAAAGTGTCACTATGTATAGAAAGTGTCTCTAGGTCACAAAGTAATTGCGCATCTCCTGAGTCGTTATTGGGGTGAAGAAGAATGAGGGTGCTCAGGTGTCTAGGTCTTGGTTGGAGATAGGTATCGGGTTGAGTCGGGGTTGGTTGTATCTTTGAGATGGATTGCTGTGTAAGTGGGGTGATAGCAATGTCCCTTGATACGAGCAGCTCCTGGTACGATATGATGGTTGTGATGTACCAGAATAAACAAGAGGGGTGTCTCAAACGAGGAAGTAATGACAAGTGTTGAGTGATGAGTGTTGCGACACGTCCAGCTCAATTTGTATTTACGTAATAGAGTGTGGGATGACGTGGAAGCTGGAGCGCGGTCGTGACACAAAGGGCAACCTTGGCATTGACTAGATACAGTGACAAAGGGATGCTACTGAAATGATGATGATCCTTCCTGCAACAAGACAAAGGGCCAAGTTGGGTGCTCTGCCTGCGCTCATGTGTGATGGGACAAGAGCCTCCTATGCTGCCCGGCTGTCCTTTTGGATCTGATCTGACAACTGTGTGTGTGGTATATGTACATGTGCCTACACAGTCTATAGGGGGACACCCATCTTTTTAGCCTCATCCCTGAACATTTCAAGGCGTTCAACAGCATAAGACTAAGTAGGTTAACAATCATCCTTTGTATATGGGCTGAAGACTCACCAGATAGTCAAATTCTAATTTATAATCCTTGTTGTCATCTGCAAGTGCATCCACATGCTCTTGTGCCTGTACGATCCCCCACAGACTCCAGAACACACTACATCCTGGACTCCAAAGCCTCACCTCCCTCTCCAAAGCCTGCACCCTCTCCTCTGGCACATCCTGTCTCTTGCCCACGACTTCTTTTCCGTTGGATCCGTCGACGGTGATGGAGAGGTAGGCACGATAAAAGTCAGAGCGCTGGGAGATGGAGGGATAGGGGAAGTGGGGGTGGAGGGAGTGGGAGAGGGTGGGATGATGGTAGTTTGCGCGCCATTCATGAAAATGGTTGGCAATGTCAAACCCACGAGGGTTTGGGGAGGCATACTCAAAGTCGATCACAACGTACTGTGGGAATGGTCAGAGGGCACTCTTTACGTGGGATGAAACTCACACGACGATGATCTGGGGTGTTGGGAGGGAGGTCGCCGTCTAACCGCAAAAGATTGCCATATTGAGTGTCATTGTCTGCCGAATATCAGCATTGTTGGCACGAGTGTATGTAGTACTCACGAGCAAACACGGCTTCCTTTCCTGTTCCAGCGTTTGCTTCCACATATTGCCGGTAGATCCTGACTTCATCTCTGATCTTGTGCAAGCTAAATCTCTGCACCCAGTTCTCCCATTTACTCCCCAGACCCTCGAGTTGCGTCAAGACTTCTTCGGCGGCTTCTGACCATTCCCTCAAACATGTCCATACAGCAGGTTCCGTGTCCTTGCCTTGCTCGTAGCCTAGAAGACGGAGGTCGACGGAATGGAGCTCGCGCAAGCGGCGTGCGATGCCCCGCGAGATGGCTGGTACCCGCAATTCTTCGGCGGTCAAAGCGCGCGAAGGGAAAAACTGCTCCACCCGCCCGTTTGTAAAAGTGCCGTACACCTTTGGGCCGATGCCGTACTGCGAGCTGAGGACATGGAGTATGCGAAGCTCCTCTGAGCGAGAGATGAGGGCGTCAGAGCTGGGGCCGTAGACACGGAAGAGCAGCGTCTGGGGGTACTGCTCGGGGGTGAGTGGTGGGGGATGGGTCGGGTCGGAAGGGGGGATGGTGGGTGTGAGGAGGGGCGATTCGGAGGGGGACGTGGGGTTCGGGGCCGGGTTGAAGGAGACGAAGAAGACGGCGTTGGTCAGGGCACCGGATACTTTTTGGAGGTGGACGTTGGTCGGTGTCAGAACGGGCGAGGACCAACGGGGGATTCGCTGCAGGGGGTCAGCGGGCGATGGCTATGACGGGCAATCGACGTACGAGGCGTCGCAGAATGGCAAGGACTTTTTGTTTGAAAACGGGATGCCGCCATTCGCTGAGACAGGGATGTTTAGCATTGCGGTTGCAGATGACGGGATGGGCTCACCTAGCATCGACGCTGAGGGCGGTATGCCTGACGCCGCTGACGCCGTTCTCGTCTTCGGGCTCTGGGGATGCAACGATGCGGTCCTTGTCGTCGAGGAGAGGGATGTCGAGGCTGAACTCGGAGAGCTTGGAGAAGCTGCTGGCGGATGTCCTGCTGTGCTTTGGGACGGGGCGGTTGAAGTAGGAGTCGGCGGTGCCCGGGTGGGAGGGGAGGAGGAGGGGGGAAAGGGAGGCGGAGGGCTGGGGCTGGGGCTGGGGCTGCTGTTGGTCGAGGGAGCCGTGGGGCGTGACGACCATTGTGGGAGTGTGCGGGAGTAGCTGTGTGCTGTATGCTGTATGCTGTATGCTGTATGCTGTATGCTGTATGCTGTATGCTGTGCCGTATGTGCTGTATTACCCTGCCTGCCTCTCTTATTCCACTCTCTTATTTCGAATTCCAACGCGATGATAAGCCCACTCTCTTACACACTTATTACGTAACACCATCTGCTCCCGTTGCCATCTTGGAGCAACGGCTGCCGGATTGTTGGGTTCCCGCCCGGCGCCCGGAATGTTCTGGCGCGTTCTGCCTCCATTCTCCTGTGCTTATCTAATCTTCGCTCTCTCCTCGCTCTACCCCCTCCACCCGATGCCCCCCCTCTCTGCCCCCGCATCTCGCAAACGGCGCGCCTCCTCTCCCCTCGGCCCAGACAAGCGACGCCGCCCGAATCTCGCCAATGGCTTCTCCTCCCTCTCCCTCCACCCAGCCGCCCAGCCCACCCCCCCGCCTCTAGACGACACCGACGACGATGGACTGGGCCCCTCCAACTATCCCAGGAGCAATGATCTCAAGGTCGAGGTCCTCCCAGAATCCAGCTCAACCCAAGAGTCCTATGCCCCCACTCCCCACCACCGCCACGCCCGCCCCCACCACTGGTCACATCCGTCCTACGGCCGGCCCCCTCCGTCTTCTTCCTCCAATTCCCCGCCATCGTCCAGCGATGAGACGTATGACTCGGAAGCCACCACGACGCGTTTTTCCAGGCCAAGAAGATATGCAGGAGCAGCGCAGCAGGCGGATGAGATCGTCCAGCCAGACGCCATCGATCCTGTGGCCGGCTACGAGCTGGGCGTCGAAGATGTCACCGGCGTGCCCCCGCCTCTGCGAGGAAGGCGGCCTCGGGAAGACGACTCTGCGGAAGGCCCAATGGAGAAGCGGAGGAGACGAGATGACATGGATATAGACATGGACGCTGATCCCGTGCCACCCTCGGGGGAGCCCGATAGTATCAAGGACAGGATGAGAACGAGAAAGACGGTGTGGCATGAGCCAGAAAAAGACCGTAAGCCCAGATAGATCATCCCATACTTTGCCTCGCTGACACGGTGCACAGGCATTGTAATCACCTCCCTCTCCGATTCAGACTCGCGCTCGTCACGCTCCCCTTCCCCCGAAGTTCCCGAAGTCGAGCTCGCTCAGGGCCGCCTATCGCAGCCGGGCGAGCACGGCTTCACTCTCTCCCCCTCCCTTCTCACCCACCTCATGAGAGCGCGCCGAGACTATGATTTCCAAGTTCCTCTCAGCGAGCTGCTGAGAAACAACGAGCGGGGGTTGACGCTGTATAGGCCGTTGGGAATACCTCCAGGGAAATGGAAGGACGATATAGTCAGGACGTGGGAGGAAGCGCAGGCGGATGCCGATGCGGGGCGATTTGAGGAGATTGATGAAGATGAGGATTTCACCCAGTCCTCCAATCCATGCGAAAGACAGTCGGCAGAGGGTATGGATGTAGAGCCAGAAGTGGTGCAGCCTTGGGCGAACCCGTGGACAGAGCAGGAGGAGGCGACCTCAGTGGACAATGTCGACGAAGACATGGCTATGGATGTAGAGGATTGAGCCTAGTAGCCTCGTGCATCTTTACGGCAGAGCATTACATGTTACTTTAGTCGAAAATCAGTCAAAAGTATCGATCGTGTGACCATCTGAAAATTACAATTGCACTCAAAAGTCAGAAATAAAGTGTCGGCAGAGATCAAGGACTTCTTCATCCACTTTTCCGTGTCTCTTCATCTCTTGTCATGATCCTTTCCTACATCTTGCCATCTTGACACCTCTGCCTATCCCTCGCGTTGATCTTCGTGCAACATGCTCCGGCCATGGACGACTGCTCCAGAAAAGACCTGGGGTGATATGACACCCGAGGCCATCCAGGCGCTTTGCGTAAGTCTTCCTCTTTCTCCATCCACTCGTCTGATGACTATCCCGGTAGCTGTCCAGCGCTCCTCGGAATCCTATATACCGCCACCCCCTCTTTCGCCGCATCTACCTTTTCTTTTTCGTACTGTCCACCCTTATTTGCCTTCTGCCCATATGGGCCCTGATATACCTGCCGAAGGGGAATCGACCCAGAGATGGGTGGACTCTCCAGCGGTGTCTCAGGGCGAGATGGGGAAGGAGGCTCTGCGGGCTGGTAGCCAGGTGCGAGATCGATTACCTCGGAAGAGATTTGGCCCTGGACATGGTAAGCTCATCCGGTGGTCATTCAGGGAGCTGACTTGTGCAAAGGAAACTACGAGCTTGAGGCATTCCCATCCTGTTACCATCCCCCCAGCCCCAGGCGACTTGGTCAGAGGACACATCAAGGAGACTCTTCAGCAGCTGCACGATTCTAGAGGAGCGTGGGACCCTCACTTTGTTTATCGCAAGGCTCGGAAAGCCGCGGGGGCGTGGGGCGCCTGGAATCTGGACGATGGGCATCAAAGAGATTTTGGATTCGAACCAGTGAAGGGGTTCTGGTTTACGGGCGAAAAGACAAGTCCTGTACAGCGTGCGCCTTCCCACCCTGTATTCACTCACAGAATCAGTGCTGATACACTCCAAAGCCCCAACACCACGACTGGAAGACGACCCCGTCATGCTCCATTTCCACGGCGGAGGCTATCTATGCGGCACTGCCGCAGAAACTGACCTAACTTCTTCCATATGCAAGTCTCTCGTCAAGTACTCGCCCATACACCATATCCTCTCTGTCGACTATCGTCTCGCGCCGAAAGGTCCTTGGCCGCTACCATTGATGGACGCAATCTCGGCGTATCGCTGGTTGGTCAAGGATAGAGGGATTGGGGAAGCGGATATAGTACTGGGTGGAGACTCGGCGGGCGGTCATCTGGCGTTGGCTCTGGCCAGGTGGCTGAGGGACGAAGGAGCCGCAGTGGGGCTGAACATGCCGAGAGGTGTGGTTCTGTTTAGTCCTTGGAGCGATCTGGGTTTCACGAATGCTTGGGGCAAAGACGAGTATAGGTTCAATGCGGATTCGGATGTGGTGAGTCATGCGCACTATATCCAGATACTATTGGCAAGCTGTCGGCTGAGACGAACACAGATTGACGACACTTTTGGGCCTTTTGCTTGTTCCCTTCTTATGCGCGCTCAACCGATTTCTCTTTGCTATACGTCACCCTACGTTTCGCCTGCAGCGTCGACCATCCCAACAGAAGACTTGTTTACAAACTTTCCCCCAACATATATTGCATACGGCAGCGCTGAGCGTCTCGCGCGGTCTATCCAGACCCTTTTCAGGCGCCTGCAAAGCGGGCGTGTGATTGTGAAACAGGCAGTGCAGGACAAGATCTTTGTCGGACCCGACGCGGTGCATGACTTTGCGATTTTTCCTTGGATGGAGGCAGAGACTGCAATGATGTATGAGGATCTCGATGGATGGTTGCGAGAGCTTTTGTCAACCGAGATTGAAATCGAGGACGAGGCGACAGAGGAAGCAGATGCTGTCTCTCCGCTGGTTTCTGCGTCAGTCTTCAACAGCCCGATGGACGACAGCGCGTCTTATCGCCGATTGAGTCGACAGAGGACAAGGGAGAGTCTGAAATCAAACAAGTCCCCGGTGATGGGGGCAACCCCCGATTCAGGCATGCTGAGGATGGTAGAGGATATGAAGGGAGAAGGGATGAGGTGCGATGGTTTCTCTCGGACAACTCGAAATCAATACTGATGTTGCGCTACTCTGTAGCATGATCGACATTCCTAAACTAGACCTGGATGCGCCAGCATCTCGCAAAGATGTGTAGCCGCTTCCGCTGTATTTGTATAGCATGCTATTGACCTAGAGGCATGTATAAGCATAGACACTATCAAGCTCATTGAACATACATTAGGTAACCTTGCTGAACCTCACGCGACAATCGTACCCTACGCTGACAACGTGGCACCCCTCGCCCTGGGCTGGCATAATGGCGCAGTCCCTGATGACCTCGCTGGAAGCAGATCCCGCGTTGACTACTCCATGGATCTTGACACTCGACCGCTTCTCGCCGTTTAGAGTGAAAAGATTGAGATATCCCCTCGATGTGGTGGTTCTGATGAATATGTCAAAACTGTGCGAAAATACCATGGAATAGACTCACATGATACCCGAACCATCGGGCAAAAACCTCATCCTAGGTAGCACATAGTCATCTCCCTCTTCGCCAGTCCACAGACACGCCAGCCTTTCCGTTTCTTCCGGCTCTATACCATATAGCAAGATCCTCTCACCTCCACCACCACTGTGGTCGCCTGTCTGGCAGGCCACGATCTTCCCTGAGGGATGGAGAGTCATGTTCAGAACTGCAAAACTGACATGAGTGTCCAAGGGGTGCGGGTTGAAGCTTTTGTTTGTATAGACCCAGGGTGCCGTTTGGGTCACGTCACTGGGTAGTGACAGGTAGTGGAGCACGTGGGAGCTCCGGGTAGTGTATAAGAGCCAGGTCGAGTCTGGGTGGAAGAGAAGAGCTTCTGGGTTTGAGTCTAGCTTACAGCGGTGTACCTCTGCGAATCGTAGTAGGGGTTCGCATGCGAGAGAGGCGTCGTCTATGGCGTCTAGTGGTATGGATTCGTCGTCAAATGGGGGAGGCAGGGGAGAACTTATCGCCTCATAAACCACTATATGACGATCGTATGATGCGGTTGCCATGAAGCGACCGTTTGGAGAGAATGCTACGCGAACGACATATTTGGCCGACACGAACGTCTGTAGTACCTCTCGAGAGATGACGTCCATAAGGACGACACTGTCATATAATTAGAGAATCACACGATATTATAATGATGGAACTCACGTTCCATCCATGGATCCCGTCAAAATGTATCGAGGGTTCAAAGGATAGACGGTAAATGTTAATATTGCCGCACGATGAGGCTGGAGAATCATAGCCACCTACGTTACAAAATCAATCGCCATTCACTGGCCAAGGTGATTCAACTTACATCTCCCGTATCAAAGTCTACCACTTTCAGTGTCTTATCCACAGAGCTTGTGATGATGCTCAGGTCATATGAAGCCTTGTAGCTAAACGCCCTTGTCAGCCGTATTGCGCGCCAACGTCCGAAGGATCTACTCACGAGGCGGTAGACGTATCGAACACCCGCTTTGGGACGTGGGAGACAGTTACTGTCAACAGGCTGGAGGCGGAGATACTGTCCAGGCTCCTTTCAGTGGGCGATAGCGCCACTCCTCGAGGCAGCTCGATCCGAAGCAGCCGTTCCAGCTTTTCTCTCTCGCCCACGCATTCTGAGATGCGCGACTTTTCCAGCTGGTCAGATATCTGTAAGGCCATCCAGTCCTCAACGACAGTACGCAGGTCGGGGGACGGGGGATGTTCTAGATCAGGGTGAGGTATGCGCGAAGCCTCCAGAAAAGGGTTAAGCACCGTAGGGTATTGTGATGCGAGGTAGTGGGCGACGAGAGTCTGAAGATGGTTTGATGGACGCGACATATTGCGAGGGTCAATGTCAAAGACGGTTTGTGGAGGATGATTTGGGAAAGACAACAGCCCCTGCTGGTTTCGGGAGACCGGCGGGCGAGCGGGTGCTTTTCTTGCCATCTTGTTCCTGTGGGCTGTCGGCCGTGATTATACCACCGTATACATCTTAAATCATTCAAGTATTACTGTACGAGTACAGATCTAAGGCTGGCAGTTATAGAATCAATCGACCCATCGCATTCTTCGGAGTGGCCTTGTGTCAGTCTTCTGTTCTGGTCGTCGCCGACAGCCGGAGGCAGTGGCGTGCCACATGAAGTCGTTGAGAGGTGAAACCATCTCTTCCACGCCACACACACAGAGGCATACCTGGTTACTGTGCTAATCGAGATTGTTACATAAAAATAAATGATTACACGCTGCGCGACTAGTTGTACAAAATCGGCCATCTACTCGTACATCCGCGACGTCTCCTCTTCATCTGCCTAGGCCCTTCTCTTCATCAAATGGGCTTCGCAGACCATCGGGCCCAACATCTCCCAGTAATGAGAGCGTCGACAAAGGGGGTGCCATTTTAGACATGTCTAGCTTTTGTGCGAGCTTAAATCGTTTTGCAGTGCGATTGCGCCGCCCATGTGACTCATCGTCACAGCTGTTTGTTGTTTTCGTGATCTCTGTAGGCACCGCTAGCAAAGATCGGTCGTCGGTGCTTGGTACGGCACTGGAAAGAAAAGATTTTTGGGCCGCGTGCGGAGCAGGATCGGCCACTGAGAACGAGGAGTAGGACCGCGTTATACCAGCTCGATTATGTTTGTCTGTCAACGCCTTCAAGTCCCCTTCACCAACGACGGACGGATCCCGGGAGGAAGCGTTTTCGCTTGCCTTTTTCCTCTCCTCTTCGAGAGGGCTGTCACCTTGAAGGCTTTCGGCTTGAAGATCTTCAGCGGTAAAACTGCGTCCCCTTTGGAGAAGACTTGACGGTCGCGCTACCCCGGCAGACAGCCGACGGCCCGACACCTTTGGCGGTAGGGGCGAAGGGAGTCTCTGGTCTGCAGATGGGACTAATTTGATAGAAGGCATTGGCAAATCTGTCGAGTTGTCAGTAATCTTCCGAAGAACTAGAAAGTAAAAAGTCATTGACCTTTTTCTGGGCCTTTAGTAGATCCTGCGGCACTCTTCTGCAAGGTCGTTGACAAGCTACGGATATATTGTTGAGCAGTGAAATTTTGTAAAGCCGGAGTCGAACTTACCGTAGAGCACGCCCAACAGCACTTGTGCTGCGGTCGGCTGCGTTGCCTTCGTCCAGAAAATCCATACTATCCATGCGTCGCAGGCCGGGTCGCTCTGAGCGCTCTTCCCGGGGAAGCTTGCGCCTTTCCTCCTCGATACCAAATCGGCTGTTTTCAAGCGCGATCTCGTTCATTTTCTGTCGCGTTGAATCCCACGAGTGTAGCCAGATCGTAGTGATGGAATCTTCGCCGGGTGAACGCGATTTTTCAGACATAGTAGTCTGCGACTGCAAAAGCCGTGTAGTTAAATCGTCAAGGACTGTAGAGGGAGGCAAAGATCCGGGGGGGAATTGACCGGAAGGTTGTAGCAACATCTACGGGCATGAGTCAGAAATTCGTCATGGAGAGAACATGGGAACCGGGATGTATCCTACGTTTTCTACAAGCCCGAGCTCGTGCGCGGTCCACTCCTGGTCACTTTCATCGCCATCACGTGGGCGCTTGGAGTGCTTAGGTGATGATTTGTCGCTTTCACCTTCGTTGACGGCAGTTTGCAAAGACCCCTCAATACGCGGTGCAAAATACTGGAGCATACATGTCAGCATTCCATCCTCGCGTATAGCCCGGCCCCCGGGGACATCGCGGTTTCACTTACAGACGAAATATTGTAAGGGAGTGGGGTATGAGGTGCACCGTCCTGTCCTAAACAACCGACATCATTCCTACACGAGCATCAGATCCGGGTCTTCCTCGATGATACAGCGCGCTGCCGATGTACCTGTGAGACATGATTGACCAGCGATGGGAAGCTTTCTGTGCCGCAGTCGATGAGCGTGGTGATATTGTATAGTGCGGGGTGTTTTCGGTTATAGCAGGCTTGAAGCTGGGATGGGGATGAAGAGAGAAAAGAAAGAGCTGAGCGCGCCGGTCGACGCGTCGCGGCTGCTGATCTACCTGTGCCTGGAGGCACGCCTGACGTAATGGGCTGCAACATTTCTTGTTGAGTGAGCACCACCTGCTTCATTGCTCATGTGTCCGTAGATGACTGTAAAACTGGCTATCCCTTGTCCTGACAGCTGGACTCTATCTTCCACCGACACGTGAGCGTCGTTTTTGATTCGTTCTGAAAAATGTAGTAGACGCGAAGAAAGGTCATTCAGGACAATGGAACACCTGATGCCTGCTGGCCTGGGGCGAGACACAAACTCGATGGACGTCAGGCCGCGCATCCCCCTTTTCTTTGTAGCGACGCTGGTCATTGTGCCGCCTCTCCTTTATTCCGCCCTCTGCCAGCAACCATTTGAAAGTATCTTGCATGCTGACCGTTGCACTCATCTTGTCTGCAACTCATTTCGACTTTGTTGAAGATGCCTAGCGAAAGCAAAGCCTCAAAGTCGAGCAATTCCAATAAGCCCGCTAAGAGCAAGAATGATATCGCTGCAAGTGCCCACAAAGCCAAGGATGCCATGAGTCAAAACACCACGCAGGCATATGGAGCCCTTATGGGATGCTTTGGTGGAGTGAGTTCTGCTATAGCTACTGTCTCCCAACAGCAAGACACCTTGTTTGGATAGCCATAGCTAATGACTGTCCGAGTGCAGGAGAAGGATTTCAACGAAGTAGTATGTCCATTTGGTCACGACAAACATTCTGTCTCACTGACATGATCATCTGTGTCGTTTCAAGATCCAGAAATACAGTCCAGCTTTTTTTGACTTTGCAGAAAATGTTGTGCTCAAGTCTGCCCCCATAGAGTACAAAGCAAGCAAGTTATTCGTCACTCTTGGTGCTATAGGAATGTTCCAATTGTAAGTTTCCTCTGCAAAAGGACTATTGTGACCTACACTCACGCAGATCTAGTGCCATTCCCATAGTACACTGGCCTCTAGAAATCATTGCCAAGTTTCTACAGTTCTCATTTCTGTTTACTTGTGGTGCCAAGGAGCTTCGCAGAGGCTTCAGCAAAAGCTCCTCGGTCAACCTCGTCAAGTCTTTGCTTATAACATTCGTTGTGGTCGTGTCATTGCAAACGATACCCAGCGTGCTCTTTGATATTCACTATCATTTCGGAGCGCTGTGGCATTTCTGCCTTCCTGTGCTTTTGCTTTCTCTACCAAGCCCCCAAGAGGACGATAGGACAGTGGCAATATTCCTATGTGAAGTCTTCTTGTCTAGCATTCTGAATATAATCACGGCAACCATGACCGGAATGTTGCCAGAGATTGACCTCCAAGATGATGCCCAGAGGGTTCCAGTAAGGACTTTATAACCCATACCATCAATCACTAATGCACTCACAGGCTTTGTTTGCTTTCTCAGCTTTAGCTATCTCCCTGTAGGTTATGATGATCGTGTTTGCTGTGTACTCCACAAGTACAGCGCTGATGAACTATATATAGCTGGCTTGGTCTGTTGAGAGAAACAACAGCTTATCTTCTTATCTGGGGCTCAATCTTGCTATCCACCGTCAAAGTGATCAGCCAAGACCAGGTGCAGAAGCAGCAAGATCCGGCTGGGTACTACAACCAAATGACAGTATGGCACAATCTATTGGCAATCTGGCTTTGGGGCTTCTTGATCTCCACCATACAGTCTCTTGCCATTCCGGGCCTTGTGTCCATCAAGGACCTCATACTTTACCATCTACCGAGCTACTTTTTGTGGGCGACTCTGTTCATACTTGCAATGATGTTGACCAAGAAGACGGAAAAGTCGCATGTAAGTTTGGTGATACGTATTATGAAACCGATGCTTATTATCTTGTCCACGACTAGGTTGCCGACACTTGGTATGCGAGGTGGCTCAGAGGCTCTTCATAGCCATATGCATCAAGATCCACAGCTGTTTATATACCCCTACACGTATGCACGGTATGGCTGGACAAGCGTTGGCCCATCCTTGTACTGCGCGAGCTCCTCAGTCGATTCTCTCCGATCTTCTGCCGATCTGTTTGTGTACGTCGTTTGGAATAGCGAGAGAAGAGCCAGCGCAAGCAGAGAATGTTATGAAAACGCCTTGTGTGGACGACGTCGACGAGAGAAACGTAGAAATTGCTCGGGAGAAATTGTCAACAAACGGCAGAACGGGCGGCGATGCCCGCTGAAGAAGGTTGCTGGCGAGATTTCAGGATTCAGCGAGCAAAAGGTCTTTTATCGAAGCGCATCTCGCCCCCTCCATCGCCATGGCCCTTCCTGCGACCCGCTCTTTCGCCCCCCGAGCCCTCGCCCGCCCAGCGCTCGCCCACAGCCCCCTCCCCTCGTCCTCCTCTCGCTGCTCCCTGTCCGTCTACACCCTCCCGAGTGATGCCTAGCTGACCCCTCTGCAGCCTCTCTCCACCTACTCGAGGCATCTCCACGGTCCCGTCTGCGGAAGAAAACCCTCGCTCGGCCCTCGCCGTCCCATTAAAAGACATCAAATTCCTCTCTTTCCCCCCGGTCACCCCCCACGCCCCAACCCACCACGTTCACGTGGCCACCCTCCACCTCCAATCCCACCATCCCTACAACCTCGACCTCCTGTCGCAGTTTGCCGTCCACTCGGCCCATTCGCTCCAAATCCCCACCTCTTTGCCAGCATTCTTGCCGAAAAAGAAGGAGCTGCATACAGTGCTGAAGAGTCCCTTTGTGAAGAAGAAGGCGCAGGAGAATTTCGAGAGGTGGACGCACAAGAGGGCTATCAAAGTCTATGACGCGGAGAAGGAGGCGGTGGATCTGTGGCTGAGGTACTTGAGACAGAACGGACTGCCGGGTGTGGGCATGAAGGCGTATATCCACGAATACGTGGATTACGGGTTTGGGGAGCAGTTGGAAGATGTCAACGAGGTAGAGATGGAGGTGCAAGACAAGAGAATTGCCGAGGCAGCGGACGAGCTCGTCAAGAGCTTGACTGAAGGAGAAGAGGTGAAGGGCGTGGATCAAGGGAGCGAGGGCGTGAAAAAGATTGTAGATGCGGCCAAAGAGGATAAATCAGCCGAGAAACTCAAGGGGGAGGCCAAGGAGTCTTCATAGTGACCATGCATTTCCTGGGAGTCGGTGATCCCACCCATCTAGCTCGAAATGAGTGGAAGCGATGTGTTCCTCAAAGCTGCATCTCAAAACAAATGTACAACATACTTCAACCAACCTTGTCTCCCTTCGCATCTATGTCAAACCTCCCTCGTCCTCCTCCAGCGCCTTCTTGATCCTCAGCAGTACACCAGTCTTCCAGTTATCCAACTTGGTGACCTGATCGAACTGATAGATGGCGCCCGTAAATCTCTCCACATCGGCCTCTTCACACGCGTCCATGAGCTCTTTGGCAAACTTTGCTTCACGGGTAGAAGGGAAGGTGACGTCTTTCTGCGCAAAGTCGGTGAGTAGTTTGTGAGTGGTCACAAGGTCCTGCTTGAATTAGCGCTGCCCAAGGCGGCTATATTGTAGACTCACTCCCATGGCCAGAGAACACAGCGCAGCACGAAGCCAGTATTCTTTTACAGAGTATTTTGTCAAGGCGCTCGTCAAGCTCCAGTTCGCCACAGTCTGGTACAGTTCCATAGACTTTTGATAGTCTTGCAAGTCGGCAGAGATCTCGGCTGCTTGTTGGTAGCATTGGTTGGCGGTCCTATCCGACGATTGTCAGTGGGTCGTCCGTGCACGCGACGACCAGCTTACGCATTCGCATCCTCCTGCTTGTACCAGTCTCCAGCGCGGATGAAGCTGTCTCGCGCCTTTGCAGGATTGATACCATCTTGGGCGTAGATGTTGGCAATCTCCTTCTCCCGGTCAGCCGCCTGGCGGAACAGGCCGCTCTCTATGAGGAGCTTGATCGCCTGGTGCAAGGCAGACACAGCAGCTGAAGTCGAGCACACCAGGTCAGCCCATCGTTGATCAGGGGTTCCAGAAACATACCTTCGGGATTGGACTTCTTGTACGACTTGGCGGCGTTGTGGAATGCGTTCATAGCGTCGTTGTTCTCATTCAGCTTGAGGCGGCACGCTGCTTCACTGGCATGTATATCTTAGCATGCCTACCCGTTCATCAAGGGGGCTACGCACCGCTCATATGCTTGGCCGGACTCTTGCCACTTGTTGTCGATCTTGAAGGAGACGGCGGCCTGGGCGAAGAGGTCGCCGGCCTCCTCCCACTTGGTGTTGCTGTTGCCAAACCAGCCGACGGAGGAGCTGGCCTTCTTCTCTGCCTTTGCGATCTGTTCTTCTGCTCTCGAGGGCATTGCTGGGTGGGCTGTCGACGCTGTTGTCCATGCTACCATACCATAATACTCGTAGTGACGTCGCAGGCGGGGATTTGCGGCGAATCCCGATAAATAGCAGGGTGGCGTTAAATACGCATCTCTCTTTCTTACTCATCCCTACCCATACATCCACCATGGCCTCTTTCTCAGGAAACCTCTTGTGAGTCGCCCGTACCCTCCTGCCCCCTGCCCCCAGCTGACAGACCCCAGCGGCACTGAGCAAGATCGCGTCAACTGCTCTTTCTACCTCAAAATCGGCGCGTGCAGACACGGGGACAGGTGCTCAAGGTAAGCGTCCACAGCAATCAGTATACATGTCTGACTTTTGCGCGTAGGAAACACATCAAGCCCCAGTTCTCACAGACGATATGTCTCCCCAATGTATACAACAACCCTGCCCACACCCCTGAAGGGCAGAATATGTCGAACGCAGAGTTGCAGGCGGATTTCGACAGGTTCTATGAAGACTTCTTCATGTGCGTATATTGTGATTCGTATGCCATTGAGATGCTGACCCGCAATCACAGAGAACTGGCCAAATACGGCAATGTCCTTGAAATGATTGTTTGTGACAACGTCGGGGACCATCTCCTCGGAAACGTCTACGCCAAGTACGAATATGAGGCTGAGGCTGCCCGCGCCGTCCGAGAGCTCAACGATAGATGGTACGCCATGAGGCCACTCCTCTGTGAACTGTCGCCAGTGACGGATTTCCGAGAGAGCTGTTGTCGACAAAACGAGATGGGAGAGTGCAAGCGTGAAGGGTGAGTGATGTCCTTGAATCAGACGTTCAGAATGCTGATGCCGCTACAGATTCTGCAATTTCATGCACCTGTGCCACCCGACAAAATCCCTCGTTGGTGCTCTTCAAGCATCCCAGCGCGTTTCCCGCAGACAAAACCGAAACAAACCGCACGAAGAAGGGGAGAATGGCGGAGACATGGGGTGGACGCCGGATGCCGCTGGAGGACAGGGATGGATGCCTCCGGCCGAGGATCTGGGATGGATGCCGGGAAACAGGAGGTAGTTGGAGGGTTTGACGGAAGTAGACTGGCTTGTGAGCAGCTTGTAGATGATGCATCTACTTATCCCTCTGTTCGACGAGTACTCTTCTCGTTGGAATTGCAGATTTCCCGGGCTCTTAAATTGCTCGCCAGTCCAGAGAATATGTCATGATGAAGTCTGGATTTAGTGCTAGTGGTATTGCCGTGTTATACTCAAAAACAGCATCCGCGGTTGAGACGCAAAGTGATACACAGTGTGTCGATGAAGATCATGACCCGTCAAGGGGTACTCGAGTACAGCATCGTCGCCATCTCTGCCATTGCCATGGCACACGTGTCTCTTCACTTGTACAAAGCTAAAGGTGATCATTGCCTAGCAGCCACACTGCAATTGCCTTTGAATGCACATTTGTTACATAGGGAGTGCATTCTTCGGTGACTTATATCAAAAGATGATCTTCACATCATCATCATCCGAGTCGGACTCGGAATCGTCAGCGGACACCTCTTGCTTACCATCCGACTCGTCGTCATCACTGTCATCGTCACTATCATCATCGTCAGACTGAGGCATTGCCGGAGCACCCTCGTCGAATTCAATGAATTCTGTCTGCTCTTCAAACCCTCCCGGCTCGGCCTTCGTCCCGTTCGCCTTGTTCTTTTCAACATTTTCCACAGCAGCGGCTGCAGCAGCCTGTTGTGCTCTCCCCAGCTCTGCTCTGACGGTATGCCTGAGTCTGCACTTCTTTCCCTTGGAGCATTTGCCAGTCGACCAGAATTCGGGACAATCCCAGGAGTGTAGATCCTGACACGTCCCCTCCTCTTTATCACACCAGCCCACATGAGCAAAGTCCTCGCATATGGGGGCATCGGCAGCGACCTTGACGTGCGGAAATGGGCAATTGGCACGGGTGCAGTACGAGAGGGCTTGGAAGCGCACGCATGACGGAGTGTTGTGGGCGGTTGGTGTGTGGGACAGGGGGCAAAGGACATCGCCGAGCTCGCAGCGACCTCTGAGAAAGTTGAAGCAGGCAGTGACGCGATTGGGATCATGTATGGATCGGCAGATGTGGGCTTTCCGGCAGCGACCTGTGTCAGCAGTCCGATGTAAAAAAAAAAAGAACACCAAGCAACGCAGAAGAGCAAAATGGGGAAAGGTGTTTCGTTAGTCGATTCGTGTTGTCGCCGGGTTGACGCACCCGTCTTGGTGAAGGTCGGACACAGTCTCCGTTCACTGCAATCGTGTCAGTGTTGGCGCTTCGGTGCAGTGAGAACCTACGCTGGTCTGAGAGGCACAAGGTTTCCGTTGGGCTGGAATTTGTACTTGACGTCCAGAACCTTGATAGTCTTTCCATTTTCGATATACCACTCCAAGGTGTTTGGGATTTGATACTCTACACAATCATAAGCGCCGAGCATATTGACAGGATAGAATACCCCCACCCGATGTTCTCCTGAGACCCTTGCCACCGGCGTTGAACTCGTAAGAGACCTTGTCGACAAATACTCGCGGGGTACCGCCTGCTTGGAGGCTAGGTAGAGCCTGGATATGGAGGCGACCTCGAGTCTTCTTACTGCTATTGCGCATCGGCTTTGTCGACTCGGCGTGCAGTTGGGCCCTGGACCGTTTTCAGCACTCATTGGATTCGAGCCTGACAGAACGCACCGCTTGCCAACTGTCATCAGGCTGCGACTCCCTGCCCTATTGGTAGCCACCCAATTATTCGAAGAAGATGATTGTGCCGGCTCTGACAAGATCTCTCCCTCTTCCCGTACACCTGTTACTGTAGCAGTCGATGTGGACGTGGGACCTTTGTTTATGGCGCGGAGGTCGAGAGAGTAGCTGTTGGAGGCACCCCGCCCGCGGCCGCGCCCTCTTCCTCTGGCTGCGCCTCTTCCTCGGCCGCCACGGCCAGCATAAGAGGGAGTGTTGTGGTAGGGATGGGCCGCCGAGTGGGAATGGCGGGTGATTGCGCCTGTGGGGGTGAGCGGGGGCGGGCGCGAGCGGGTCGGGTGTGCGTACCTGAGAGCCGGGCGATCTCCTGCTGGAGCTGGAGCTTCTTGCGTTCGAGTTCTGTGGGGGCCATGGATTCGCCGAGATCGAGATGGGTGATGAGACGCACAGACCTGCAGACAGACGACAAAGCAGTCAAAGGTGCGGGCGGCGCTCGCCGTCGTGCCCTTGTTGACAACAGCCGAATGTTGATCAAATGTTGATGCGCCCTTGGGACCTCCTTTCGCGGCCACACTAGCGCGCGATCCACGTCAACCACCATCACCCATGCATATATATACCCTCCCCTTCCCTCTTCCCTCTTCCCCACCGCCTCATGTTCTTCTCAGACGATCTCCTCACCACCAAAAAGGGGTCGTGAGTGACGCCCTGGCCGTGCCCCTACCACCATGCTGACATTCCCAGATTCGGTATCGTCTGGTACGGCTCACGACAGGAACGCTGCGTATACTGACCGCCTCAGGCTCATGGCCACTTTGGGGCCGCGCAACAAGAAGATCACGAAAAAACAGCTCGCTGCTGTAGACCTAGCAAAGACCTGTGAACTAATCGCAGAACCCCCCGAACCCATGGCTTTGCGACTGAGTGGCGCGTTGCTCGTCGGTGTTGCAAGGTATCTCCCATCTTCTCCATCATCTTCGAAGATTAGCTCGCAGATCTGACACTTGCGCAAGGGTCTACAACCAGAGCTTCGACATGTTTTACGCTGTGAGCTGCCTGCGATATGGATGACGAGGACCTCACTGATCATCTCATAGGACGTGACCACTTTCCACGCCAACTTGAGGCGCTCTATCGCTACAGACTTTAGTCACACTTCCAATACCACGGTGGGAGGCGGCGCGCTAGAGCTACCGAATGATGGGCAGATAAGGTGAGGGCTGCATGCCTCAAAGCTCGACAAGTGCTCAGCGACTCATTTGTTCTAGGTCGGAATTGATCACCATCGGAAACACGGACTTTGACTGGGATATGTCATCTTGGGATGCAGAGTTTGCTCACGTGGTACGTCCAACTCCATTCGCCCCACCGTATCCCTCTCTGAATTCGTTCTAGGACTGGAATGATCCACTGGCTCCTGCTCGCAAAAGGCGGGCATCTTCTGTGCTTTCCTCATCCCAAATATCCCTCGCATCCAAGCGTGATGAATTCGACACAGTGGAGGATGGATATGTTCGCGATCTGGACGAGGAAGAAGATTACGAGTATGAAGTCGGAAGGATAGCGAAGAGAAGTAGATGTGAGCACACCTGATCCATCCACGCCTGCTGTGCCATCTGACAAAGGCGACAGTCTCCGCATCTCCAGCCTATACCACCCTTCATCGCACTCCAATTCATCAACGTCCTCCGTCTAGTCCTTTATTTTCTCGCAACGACCTGGAATTCCAGCAAGAGGTTGACCTCGCTCTCAACCTCGGCGTTGATTTTGACGGTCCGGCAGGGGCTAACGACAGTTTTTCCGGGCCCAGTGGTGGCAGAGGGTTCGAGATGCCTCTAGCACCAATGGATGACTATGACATTGGGCCTGATATGCCCGCATTGATGGACAATATGGAAGGGTGAGTATGAGCCTCGGAGGAAGAGAGTCGTCGCTGAGGTACAACAGGCCAGAGATCTTCTATGATGAGGAAGGCAATCCTCCCGGCGATGAGCAACAGCTCCCCGTGCAACTTCGACAGTCTTCCCCCAACGCCAACGCCCTTGCCCACGATAATGTTCATCCAGACCCCTCCTACCAGAAGAAGAGGAAGGCCAAGCAAATCAAGAAGGTCGTCTTCGACTCGTTCTTGGAGGTCAACGAGGACGAGGAGCGGCAGGCGCGCTCAAGCTACAGGGAAAAGATGGCGAAAGATAGGCAAGATGCCGAGTCAAAGGAGGCTGAGAGGCGACTTGGGCTCGAAGTGATATCGATGGTGGATGGTGCGGGTGGTTTCCAGTGTGAGTTGATTTGGTATTCGCGCCATGGAGCTGATTGGTGGACAGTCTATGACGCTGAGATGGCCGACATGTTCTCCTCTCTCACGAAAGTCGCCAAATTCGAATGGGAGGTTGATCTTGCCCGCTCCAAGAGCCGCAGGAAGGGTCTTATTTCTACTGCCGACCAGGATATCGACATTGACGAACGCGAAGAGCGGCATGCGGTAGATTTCCCTCGAGATTTCGACATGCCTATGGCTCCCATGGATGATTACGACGTCCAGGCAGGGTACATGCAAGATGCGAGGCAGCTTCCAAATGGAGAGGTTGACTTTGGACAGAACGATGTACGTGATATTCTTCATCAGTCTGACTGAGTTGACACGGTAGTAGGCCTATTATCCTCCTATCTACGACGACTATGAGGTTCCTGTTCGTGACAGAGATGCCAGCATGGCCAGACTGAGTGATGTGGAATATGGTAGACGGAACAGTGTTCGGAGCGGTGGCGACCTTCCCGTGAGATTCTTCTGTGCCTTGTGTAGTTGATTCAGTACTGACAGTCAACCTTGAGTGGGAGATCATCGCTGGAAGCACACCAGGTGGGGCCTACCCAGACTTTGCCGACACATCTTTCAGCCCTGGATCCTTGAAATTCAGCCTCATGACCCCTCAAGAAGCTCGGTAAGTAGTTCTGCGCCCCTGCGGACTAAGAAGCACGTCTCACGCGAGCCCATAGCATTCGTCAAAACAGCCGCTCCGGCAACAATACGGGAAGCCAATTCGCACGTCGACACCGGATTCGATCTTCTTCATTGATGAGCGACAGACCGGATGACGATCCTCTCATGTTGGCTCGTGCGAGGAGCGCGGAACTTGATTGTGCGTATATTTGCACAAGGAAGTCCAAATATGCTGACAAAGTCTATCACCGCAGTGCCCTCTGATGTGGACCTCGAAGACATCCTCCCATCCGAGACACAACAAGCCCGTCTGGCAGACTTGCCGGACGCCTTTCGCCCCGAGATGCTTGCGACTCTTGAAAAACAGTGTAGAGATTTCCTGACGTACACAGAAAAGAAAATGATTGAGCTCAAGAAAGAAAAAGTTGCGTTTGGTGAGCTTGTGCCGAGGACTAGCAAGAAACATTGGACTGCCGTTGCTTTTGTGAGTGAAGTTTCTGGTTGTTGGAGCCTCCATACTAACGGCATCTGCTCAGTACGATTGTCTGAGTACGAACGCCCTTTCTACCTAGGGTCCATTACTGACTGATTTTGCAGCCCTCTCCACAAAGAACATTATCAGCGTGGACCAGCCAGAACCCTGGAGTACTATCCACATTCGCTTCGCCGATAAGCCGTCTGTTTGAATACCATCATGAGCAGCTCGCCCGCGCGTCACCGTCATCTCCTCACCTTCTTGAAGGTGTCATCTTCAGTACAAGTACGTTTGGGAAAAATCCCAATTCCTGCATACTGACAAGACCTCATTTCAGAATTCTTATTGAGCTTGTAACATACACCTATGCTCTAAGTATGCTTTTATACAATATGCCCACTTGCCATACATGGAGCGAAATTGGACGAGGTCTCATCTATGCTATACATCCGATACAACAATGACCGATGATGGCATGTACCTGCCTACAGTACTCGTATTCCTTGGAATTTGACAATTGTCAACCCCCCAACTGCATTCATACCTTCCCTCGTATGCAAGTCCTTCTCCTCATCGCTCATTCGGCATTCGTTTCCTTGGGCTGTTGACTCCCATTGATGTCTAACTTGGGTGACAGCGGAATACGAGATTTGTTTTCGTTGATGACAGACGATGGGAGAGCACCGCCAAAGAACATGTCGCTGTCTAAGTCTGATGCCTCTGATTTGAGGTTTTTGGCGGCTTTGGCAGCTGCCTCGGATTGCTCCTTTTCTCTTTTGCGCTTCTCATATCTGCCCACGGAATGAGAACACATTTCCACAAGATTGGCCGAGAATGACCTACAAGGCAGTACCCGGAACCTTCTCCGGATTTGTGTAGCCCTTCAGTCTCTTGTCTACTGGCTTTACATCATCCTTTCCCAGCTCTCGGCCATCAGACTCAATCATCTTGGCTATTTGCTCCAAAATCTCGATCAATCTCGTCTTCTCTATTCCATAGAGCGGTGCAGGTTGTTCCTCATCGGAGTTCGTTTGCAGGGTAGCAGCCGCGGCAGTGCTGTATCTCAGCTCCAAAAAAGCGTCCACCAGGTTCCTGTCGGCCATGCGCAGACAAGCCAAGCCTATCTGAGATGGCGTGTAAATGAATTCAGCGTCCGTAGAGTACGATTCGGTGAGCTTGAGTAAGGCTTTCGGCACGGCCTTTTGGATGTCGTCGATAGGCGGTCGGGGCTGATCCTGCAGTCAAGTCAGTAATCGCGCGAGTGTGCTGGGGAGATTACCTGCCTGCATATCAAGAGTCCATCCCCGGAGGGCTTTCTCACCGCCTCGGACCCAAAACTCAAACCCTAGACTCTGAGCGACCAGGAACTCCTTCCCCAGGATGCTATCTTGTGTGCGGCCTGGCATCTTCGGTAGAAAATCCTCGATGGCCACAGGGTAGTTTGTTGTTTTGGCAGCGAGAAAGAGAGCAGTCGGCCTAAGCAGCGATCAGCGCGATAACGACTAGGAGTATGAACAGCCCACATGATAGCTTTGGGGTGCCATTCCATTACACTATTCTTGAGGTAAAATCGCTTGAGGTAGCTGATCGCAGTAGCTTCTACCTGCTCTGGAAGAGCAAACCCTCTCCGACATATCTGAGAGATTTGTTGGCAATAGAATCTGACCAGGCATAGTTCGTCTGCGACCGTGAGATATGCGGCGGGAGTCGATGTCTGAGTCCAATCGCCTTTAAGCTCCTCTTGAGCTTGCTGTGTCTGATAGTCAGCTTTGTCTCTCATGCAGGCAGTACGCCGCACCTTTTCCAGCTCGTTGTTCTTTTTGGCGACTTCGATTGATCGCCTGTTGAGATCCTGGCGCAACTTGTGAAGGCCGGTGGAAGAGAAGCGCCAGTGGCGGAACTGGGAGGACTCATGGTAGGCGGATTCGCCGGGAACGAGGGATGAGGACGAGGACGCTGACCCGGGGTCGGTGGTGGCTTCCATGGCTGTGGATGAGATGTAATGGACAGTGAAAGACTCTGAAGCTGGCAGAAGCTGACCACATTCATTGAAGTTCGTTCGTTGTAGGTGGAGGCAACGAAGCCCCCCGCGGCGGAACCGTCGTGACTCTCGTGCACCATACCTTATAGTTGCAGGTGTTGTTGATCTTCCTCTGCACCCCGCCACCACCACAATGCGTCCCCTCCTCCCCCTCATCGCCTCCCTCTCCCTCGCAGCCGCATTTGACTGCGCCCTCAGCCCCGGCAGCATCCCCTTCGACCTGCACCCTCTCGCGGGCATCCGAACGGCCTCCAAGCAATCCGACACGCCACCTACCACATCAGAGGCCAGGGTCTCCCTTGATCTGTGTAATCCAGAGGGACTCCAGCGAGAAGAAGGGCTGTCAGATGAAGACCAGGTGGGTGGGCATAGCATCACACCAATAGATATCGATGTCTAATCAGTGCACAGTGCCCGCCCAAAACCAAAGTCTGCGTCAAGCTGCTGAACCACAAGCCATCCTCTTCGGATCCCGATAGAGTCACAGCCGTCATACCCTTCTGGTCTGAAGACATGCCTGCCGAGGATGTCACAACTACACCTCTTGGTAAAAGAGGAGACCAGGGGCTCAAGATTGATGTTAACGGCCCAGAGTATGCTGGGTAAGCGAAGCACTGTGGCAGGAGTGTTAAGCTGATGTATCTGCCGTAGCGTGCGACAGTATCTCAACCTCACCCTCATCTGCGATACATCCTCATCAGATCCAAACCCCACACTGATTTCCTACACCTCCGGCAATCTTAATCTTGAATGGGCCACACCGGACGCTTGTCCAAAGACGGCCGACTCGCCCAGTGCGTCGGAACCAAGGGAAGGAGGTGGCGGTTTCTTGTCATTCTTGGCGACGCTCTTCTGGTTTGTGCTCTTTGGGCTGGTCCTGTACTTTGCTATCGGTATGCTTGCTTCTCGTGTATTGGTGTCTTCCAAACGCTAAATTGGCAACAGGCATCTTCTACAACCACCAACAATACTCTGCAAGGGGTTGGGACCTCGTGCCCCATCGAGACTTTTGGAGAGAAGTCCCTACTCTCTTTTCAGATCTATTCTCTCACGTTGCGTCCGGCCTCCGTGGTTCCAGCTCTGGAGGAGGTAGGGGGGGTTACAGCAGCTTGGGGTGATCGGGTTATACATATTGTAGACATGATTGGATATGTTCTCTGCACATGCAAAGTTTTGGATCCCTACGAAAGAACATGAGCAACCTAGATGGCGAGTGCTGCAATATACCATCCATCAACTCTATTGGACTCGAGTAGAGTACTTTGTCGGAAATATCATTATGTCGTTACATCGTAATTGAGGGCTGGAGCGAAGCCTTAAGCCCTCCTGTCATACTTTCCAGCTCCCATCCCGGCTTCACCCCCGAGTACACCCGCTCCGCCGGCCTCCCTAGCCACTGCCATTCCTTGCACGGTCTTCTGCATCTCTACCCACTCCCCATCTCGTGGCAAGACAAGCTTCTCCGCGACGTCGTACACATACACTTTCCCATCGGAGGAGCCGAGCGCTGCCTTACGGGAGGTGGGAGTACGGTCCCAGGCGAGTCTATTGATAGCCCGGGGAGAGACTTGGGTGGATGTGATCGGCACCTGTCAGAGTTTTCAGCAAATGACTATAGAGAGGGTGAAGAAGGCTAACCTCGACATCTTGATTGATATTCCACAGATCGAATTTGCCTGTCCCGTCCACTGATCCGAAAACCGCAGGATGGTGCGGATGCCACTTGACATCAAACACATAATCCCCCGCTTCCTCGAAAGAGTGCATTGGCGGAACTGCCCTATCCTCCCCTTTGCCTCCTTGCACCCCAGCTCCAGCAGTGCCCTTCGCGGTGGCAGCGGTAGCAGCAGCCTTTGTCCGCCAAAGTTTGACCGTCCAGTCGATCGAACTTGTCAAAAACAAGTCTGAGAAATCAATCGGCCCCGTTCCTGGGTGAAAGTGTAGGCCCGTCACGGGCGCCGCGTGACCTTTGTAGATGTCTTCAGTGTTCAGTCCCGCTTTGGCGGAAGCACGGTCATATCGATTGGCTTGGTAGACGGAGCCTTCTTCAGTACCAATCCAGAAGGTGGAGGTTTCGTTGTCGGGGAAATCAAAGGTGGTGATGGAGACTTCATCGGTTTTGTTATGCGATGGCATGGTGAGAGGGAGAGTTTCCTATATCGTGTCAATATCGCACTCTTTCGGGTCTGCGAAGTCGTACCTGGGGTTGAGCCAGCATGTCAGCAAGCCACGAACAGACGAGTCCGTCCGTACTGCTCGAGATAAGGTTGTTGGCGTTTTGCGTTCCGACCATTTTCATATCATAGATGGGGTAAGTGTGACCTGTTGCCGACAGAGGGGTTTTGAGAACTGGAAGGTGTTTCGCCCGAGTGTCCCAGAGAAGGACTTGGCCAGAGTAAGAACCACCAAAGATGAGGGTTGGGTGATATGGGGAGAAGGTCACGGATAGCACATCGGACTGGGAGAGAATAAGCCAGACTGCTACCAACAGGGGTATGTCTTACAGGTGAGTGGAAGATAAACTCGGGTCGTTCCAGAAGGTGGAGATTCCAAACAGCAACGATCCCATCGGGATCGTTGACTGCTGAAGGATTTCTGTTGTAGGACGCGGCACTCAATTCTGGGAACTAGATCAATGTATCAGCATCGTTCAAACATGATGTGGGAGGAATACTCGCCTTTGGTGACCAGTCTACGTCTGTGACGGAACGGCCATTGGTCCATCTTTCGTCGGAGAACGCACAGAAGAGCTTCACCTTCACACCCTCAGACTCGTCACTGATATTCTATCAGCCCATCCGGCTCCTCGCTTTTGGCTTGATTTACTCACAAAGCACCGTCGCCACCGATGGTATAGTCCTTAATGTAGTCGTACCCATCACTAAGGGCTCTCTGAGCTATTCGCGTCGACTGTTCAATGAAGGACGAAAAGTCTGGAGCCGCAAACACGGCTTGTCGTTGCTCATCCGAAAGCTCTGCACCTCGTTTTAGATTGCTGCAATAGCCGTCAGAAATCGAGGAAAACTCACCAGGTACCTTCAACCCCTCTGACTTGTCTTTCAACTCTTTCAGTTCATTCTCCAAGGCCTTCCTCTCCTCTTCCAACTCCTCCAAGATCCGCTTCCGCATCTCATCCTCAGTCTCTCTTCCAGTTTCGCCGTCTCGCAAATTCCTCTTCTGTCGTCTTTCTTCTTCAGTGTCGGAAATGTCGTCGTCAAAATTGACGTCCGTTGCAAACGACGAGACCATCGTTTGGATTCCTTTGGAATAGGTGACTGGGGCTGGCTTGGTAGTCTGATGGAACTCAGCAAGGTGTACAGTAGATTGACTGAGACTAAATCACCTTTGTAGGAAGCTCAAACAGCTCTTCTTGATGGTCCACAAAGTCGGTCGCAGGCCGAGGAAACGGGGACACCATGCTCTCCCTAAGACCGCAATTAGCACAACCATCTGTCAGAACGGGAAGACGATACCTATCGGCAGCAGCAGGCAGGCCTGTCATGCCCATACCGGAGGTGGGTCCAGTGGCCCTCCCCAAGCTTCCCTCATTGCTCAGTCGGCTTGCGCGACCTCCCGGAGTGCCAGGTATACTGGACGGAGGGGTTGACCCTGATTGTCGTCCAGGCGTACCAAACGCGGAGGGGCGGGAAGAGGGCGCCGGGGTGAACGGGGAGGTGGGGCGGGTCAGGAGGGAGTCGACGAGGTCGTTGACGTCGCGGCGGTTTGTGGCCATGGGCTCTGATGCCTGGTCTGCGTTTGCGAGGAGCTGTTTGCGCTCGTCACGCGCCCGCCGCAGCTCGGCGAGCTTTGCACGCTTCTCTTCGATTTCCTGTCGGCGACGGTCGCTCATTGTGTCCAATCCGTGTCCAATATGTATCCAAACCGTGTCCACTTGTTCCAACTTGTGCAGCAACGCGCTGTCAATACACGATCCCAGCGTACAGTAGCGCGGCGACCACCGCCAGCACGTGACACCGCCTATCTCCTCTTGCATTCTCGGTCCTGCTGCCACATCTGTATCTCGCACATGCGCCCCGCATTCCGCGCGCTCCACCTATCCAGATTCCAACCCCGGCAATACTCTAAAATGGCCACACCCATTTTGCTTGAATACACTCTCGACAGAGCTTCAGACCTCTTTGAAAACATCTCTGGTGTCCAACAGGACGTCGATATCGCAGCCGGCGACGGTCCCAAGGTGAAGGTCATGATCCCGCCTAAAGCGCCGTAATAACACTCTGTAGCCACGGCTGGTAGCTGTCTCCAAATTAAAGCCGGCTTCTGATATCCAAGCTCTCTACGATGTTGGCTTTCGTCATTTCGGAGAGAATTACATCCAGGAAATGGTAGACAAGTCGCAAGTAGTCAGTCTTCACTCAGTGTGCGCTCTTCTTTTACTCACACTGCTGTAGCTGCCTTCTGATATAAAATGGCACTTTATCGGCGCCCTCCAAAGCAACAAAGCCAAGCTGGCTGCCTGTGCGTCCTATCAATGCCGAAATGGATTTGACTGACCGCTGCTTAAGCTGTCGAAAACCTCTACATTCTCGAGACATTATCCTCCCATAAAGTGGCCGATCTTCTCCAGAAATCCATCCCCCCTTCACGCAAGACGCCCCTCAACGTTTACCTGCAAGTCAATACCTCTGGCGAAGATGCCAAGTCTGGTCTGGCCCCCCTCCCTTCTTCCAATCACGAGACTGTTGACCTCGCAGTCCACGTCATCACCAACTGTCCGAACCTCAAGCTACTTGGCCTAATGACTATAGGCTCGTGGGAGGCGAGCCATGACCCAAGTAAGCCGAACCCGGATTTCGAATGCTTGAAAGCGACCAGAAAGGAGCTCGCGAAGATATTGGCAGAGAAGGGCGTGGAGGGCGCACCGAGGGAGGATGAATTAGAGTTGAGTATGGGCATGAGTGCAGACTTTGCCGTGGCTGTCAAGGAGGGAAGTAGCAGTGTCCGGGTAGGGACGAGGATCTTTGGGGAGAGGCCAAAGAAGAATTAGATACTATCGTCTATCAAATATGCTCGCATGACTCTTTCTGGATTCTGCCTCGCTATAATATAACTTGCAGCCGTACGGGCATTGCACTCTGGTCATCTAGCGAATCAACAACATCGATGCATTTGGCTGCTTCACAAGTATGAAATACCAAACTTTGCGACGGATTTGCTCTCCTAGTGTTACATCTCTAGGCGTGTTCCACACATGCTGCCGTATCAGTTTCAGCGGAAGGGGAAGCCTCCTTGCGCCTACAAATACGTGTTAGCACATGTTACAGCCGCAGATATGAACCTCGACTCACCTCTCCAGGTCCAACATTCATCCAGAAATCCTGCAGATCCAATCCCATCCCTGCCATCCCCATTCCTTCTTCCACTGCTCCTCCCTGTCCATTTTGCCCTTGTGACTGTCCTGGGTGCGGAGCCGTCCCTGCCGCCCCAAACCCAAACCAGTCTTCCAGCGTCGCAAAGCCCAAATTGTTGCTCAGGCCGTTCACATTCTGCCCTTGCCCTTGCACTAGGCCCTGGTTCTGCCCACTAATCTGGTCCACACCGCTCATATGCAGATTATACCCATCGGAAGACTGAGCGACACCGAACTCCATGAACGGCTGCTGGTGCGGAGGGGCAACATAAGGGGCTGTCTGAAATACCGGGGCGTATTGTGAGGGTGCCGATGGATAGGGAGATGTGACGGGTTGGCCGTATTGCTGTGCTATCGGCATTTGCCAAGAGGCTGTGCTTTGTTGAGGCTGGTTTTGTGGCCAAGACGCCTGTGTATTTGACCGATTCTGATGATCCTGATCCTCAGCGGTCTCGGGGTGGGAAGACAGCTTTCGGTCTCTTGTGGGCGGACAGGGACTTGTCCGCGGTTCAGAAACGTCATTTGGTCTACTTTGAGCAGGAAGCTGAACAATTTGGGAGCCGTTGGGGCTCTGTGGGACAGTGTTGTTTCCGGATGAAAGACCCGCCAGCTTTTTACGGAGAGCTTCAAGTTGCTTCCCGTATCGCACTGCAGGATACTCTTCATCCGTGGAACAGTGGGCGAAGCAGGCGCAAAGACGATCAATAAGATCAAGCGTACTGTGGTGTCCATGAGTATCTGGGTCGATCTATAAATCGTGTTACTGACCGTTTGTGATCCGCCCTTAACATAGCCCCCGAATATATTGCTTTCAAGAGTACAATCGCCCCGTACGTGAACCACAGCAAGAATCTGCTCGGCAGATACGGCAGCGCACCTCCTGGGTACATATTGTCAACACAAATGTGGAGCATTTCTCTTGCTGCATCACACATCTGAAAGATGTACCGGGCGTCGGGGCTTTGAGCTGCCCCGCGTGGGAAAAGAGAAAGCGCGGGACGGGCGAGCTTGGAGGTGTATCCTTGTTCTTTGTGGCGCTGTTCGAGGATCTTGTACTCTTCTTCGCCGCGCATAGTGGCGCGTTCCACATGTGCTTGCTTTCGAAAAAGTCAGCTCTGCCTTGACGGTGGAAGGACCACTCACGAAACTAAAAGCACATATGTAGAGCTGGATGTAGTAGTACATGACCCAAACAGTGTCGGTCAGTGGAAATAGCGTCCACTTCTTGCGCCTCCACAAGATCTTGAACCCATCCAAAGATCGAGCCATCTCGTCAATGTACTTGAAATACTCCCCGTACCTGTGAAACTGTTAATCCCACCTCATACCCCCGAGCGCTGCACTCACACAACAAGGCTCCTTGTCCTCGCCGCATTCGGATGTAGGACATCATGCGCATTGCTCATCATCATTGTCAACTCCAAGTACGCCTGCACCAGACTGCCTAGATCCTCTTGAGGAGTATTACCGGCAGGGTCGGACGATTTGATTTCGCGCAGAAAGGGAAAGTTGACGATAGCAGCGGCGGGCCCAGTCTGGGCGGAGGATGAGTAACCCTGGAAGCAGACTGAACCTCCACGGGTCCAAAAGCCTTTGCCTAGACGAATGGATATGTGTCTGTCAAACAGGTAGCAATCTACGAGTGACATGAGTCGCGAACGATTCCTTAGACCACCCACTTACAGACCCAAGCCAATTTCGCCCGCTCCAGCTCCAGAGTCCTCTCCGTCTCTGCAATAAGCTGTAGCCCTAGCTTATCCAGTCCCATCTCATAGGCGCTTCTCACTGCAAGCCCGATGATTTGCCACGCCTGCCTGTTTTCTACTCCGTGTGGTTCTTCGACGACACCAGAGTCGAAGGGATCTTCGTCGCGTGATTCGGGAGTGGCTGTTGGTAAACTATCTCGAGGTGTGCGAGGGAGAAACTCGGCGAGGAGGAGGAGCGATTCAACGAGGCCGATTGTCGGGGGCTCTCCGAGACTCTGGATTCGGGAAATCCATTTCTACGCCGATTTGTCAGGTCTGTGGCGCCGAAAATGTAGAGTGTGTACATACTCTCATGACTGTCCACGAGCGGTCATGGATATCCCTCATCTCTGGCGTATTGTCGACTCGACTGGCGATAATGATGAAGGCAGCTAAGAGATACTTTTCGGCTTTGGAAAACACAGACAATTGGTCATATGTTCTGGGTATGATGGCAGATGGAATGATGGGCTACCACTCGTCAGTCTACTTTCAGTAGGGATACATAGGTTGGGTCGGCTCACGAAGAAGTGGTGATGACACTTGAAGTATGCCTCGGACAGAGCAAATGCTTGTTGCTCCGTCACAATTTTCATCTTCACCAATGCGAAATCTTTCAATCCCGAGGCATCCCCCTGAACGTTCTCGGATGAAGGTTGTCCGGGCCCGTTGCTGAGACTAGACCCTCCGGGGACAGTGGCGATAGATGGCCTTTGACCATTCTGGCGCATACTGGTCTCTCGCCTCTCTTCCTCATTCGCTGCCTGCCCACTTGCGAGAGCTAGAATCTGCAAAGCATCGCTCTCATTCCTCATGTCGGCGACCACAATATTACTCGGGTCTGACGCATGCAAAGGCGGATTGACATGCAGATTACGCCTATGAGGGGAGGGTGTTGAGTTGCGTACGCCAGATGTAGAGTGGAAGCCTGGATGACCATGACCATGAGGAGTCGGATTATTCGAGTAATTAGTACCAGGGGAGCTCTGGCTGCTTGTGGAAGGTTCGTCGAAGGGCGGGAGGTACCTCGAAGTGGGTGGAGATTGCAGTAGCAGACTGTGTACGGACGGGTGACGGGGCGGAGGCGGAGGGTGCGGGTAGGGAAAGGTCTGGGGTGGATTGCCCTCGTCTCCAGACCCTTGGTCTACAGACCTCAAGAATGAGTGCGATGGTTTGCCTTCCGTATCTTCGTCGCCTTCAACCTTGCGGCGTTTCCGATTGTTGCCCCCTCTTCTCGAGGGGGCGAAAACGCACTCGCGAGATTCCCGTTTGCAGCGGCTACAAGGCGGTTCCGAAGGTGCGTTTATGTCTCCCTATGTTTTTGTATCAGCATGAAGCTTCACTGCAGATAAGACTCTACGCACTAGATCACACTTTGCTTTTCTGCTCCGACAATGAAGGCTGGGCACAAGGTCGAGAAGGCCAGGTTGGGGTTCAAGCAGAGGCGAGCGCAAGTCGTCAGTGGATGCGACTACGGCACAATTCGTCACTCACCAAGCTCTGTAGCCCCTTTTGATTTTCTCAGCCTGCTTTGGATCCATCGGGTCTCCCATGGCTGGCTAAGTCGGTTGTAAATAATTGACCTGTCAAAACAACCGAGAACGCCAAACGGGTGTTGACGGCTAAGGAACAGCAGAGTTCATAACCGGGTCTAGGCACGCGGCGCTCGCCGCCTCCACCAGTGGCAAGCATTTGTCGTTCTTCGTTTTCCGAGTAGATGGCCACCATCTCGTCACATCAGCCCATATCACCATGGCCCAGCAGTCTGAACCCGTCTCGTGAGGCCTCTGCTCTTCCTCTTTTATAACGCTTACACGGCCACAGATTACGCCTGCCTGCGATCCTACAGAACCCCACAAACCGTGCCGCCAGACAGGTCGAGGCCCACAACGCACAGCAGCGCCAAAAAGCCGCAGCCCGGAAAGACCGCGAGTACAAGGTCAACTGGACCCCGGAAAATAATGGAAAGGGCAAACGGGTGATTCGCAGACTGGATAATGGTCAGAATACTGTTCGATCTTTGCTCCACCACAAGCTGATAAGAGCTCGCAGCTGCTTTCGCCGAGAACCCACACATTGTGCGACCTGACCGGTCAGACTATGCCCCAACTGTACCTCTTCACCCACGACCAAGCCGCCCTCTGTATCCCCCAGGAGCCATATCTCGTTCTACACACATCCCTCCTGCTGCCCTTCCTGAGCGTGACCCATTCTCTGCCGATGCCCGGCAGGGAGTGTTCTCGACTTCGCTCAAGGGCACCCGAGCTATGCTTAGGAAGAGAGGCAAGAGAGCGGAAGGGCTGGTGATGAAATCGGAATCTGAGATAAGGGCCTGGTTGGGGGGACAGTGGGGTGATATCAAACAGTCGGCGGATCGGTGGACAGTCGTCGATCCGAGATTTGTAGATTACACTTCCGGAGAGACATCCACTCTCTCCAGCTCTAGACGACAGCTACCGCCCCAGCATCAGATCGTTACGCTCCCCGACCTGCCTATTACGGATGGTCAGATCCCAGCGATCCTCGAGGTGTCTCGATCGCCAGCTCATATGAGCTGGTACGTGCCAGAGAGCTTCGATCGACTTGTTCTACATCTCATCTCGAGATACTATGAGCTTGTATCTTGGAGTACGCAATCTAGTTACAATCAGACTGTTTGCTAACCCTTCTCTAGGCGAAGATTTGCCGACTAGGAGTGGCGATCATCTACGAATAACTCATATCGCCGTCCCCTCTGTTATAAGGCCCAACCGGCAGCCTGTCAAAGGCCATACCCTTGCCACACCCGACACGAGCGAAGTCTCCGGGCAGTCAAGTTCTGACCACAACTCGTCTTCGTCGTCGGGTACAGAGTCTTCTGACGACGATACAGCTACCGAGCGTGGTGATGATGATGATGAATATAACCCGGAAGGCGATATTACGGCCACACCCATTCCAGAGATGGAAGATCTTAGCTTGGCGAACAATGCCTCTGAAAATGGCTTGACTCGTACCCTCTCTGCCACATCATCTCAATACGCCTCTTCCGAAGCCGATTCCGACATTGGTACCCTTGGCGACAGCCTGATGCTTTCCCGCCCGGCTTCGGGTCAAGAGAGCGACGGCAGTCTGGCAGGTGGATGGGTAGACTTGGATAGTGATTCCGAATTTGGGGATTTGCCTGCGATCCCTTCTTTTAAAGGAGTGCGAGAGGCGCCTTCGTTCAGAAGGTCCGGGGTGAGTCCCCAGACGGTGCCGAAAGATTGGGCAGATAAGCCTTCTTTCTTTGAATATCTTTATGGCGCTTAGAGATTAGCCGTCGTCTAGCTTCGTGATGGTAAATATAGATGAAATATCTACATGGGTATTAGGAAACAACAGGTGGATATATCTAGGATAGTCGGGAGCGGGAAACAAAACAACGCGCTCTGCATAGCTCCATGACACTGGTCAGCATATTTACAATGAGGATGGGCCGTGATCGACGATGATGGCGAGCGTGCCCAGACAACCGGAGACCGTGATGTCAAACTTGATTGGTCGTTCAGAGATGGGTGATGGCCTTCCTGTCCAGGGGTGTACCTATGCGGTTGTCAGTCGACATTGAACCGAGGGGTCGCGGAGTCTGCCACATACCATCAGGAGCAATTCCGTTCTTGGCCAAATGACGGTTATGCCTGATCAGTCTCGCCCTGTCAAATGTGCACCTTTCAATGGCCCTGCGCAGCAACTGATTAGCATCCTCTCCCACTGGAAGCCCTCAGCGGCATCCAAACGGCTCATCCACTTACATGATCCTCCTGACCTCCTCCACTCCAGCAGCATCTAATCCCAACCTTCCTTCACTACTCCCCTCCCCCATATTGTTCGACTCCACATCAAAGCTGCCCGAAGTCATCCCCGCCTCGGCCTGGTCTGCGAAAGAGCTGGTCTCAAGGGGAGTGTAATGAACAATGTTGTCGACCCAGGCTGATGGGAGTACGCGGGCAGCAAGGGGCATAAGGCGAGCTCGGTAGTATACCACCACTGTACGCAGCGGCCACGCGTGAGCAAACTGGAGGAGAGGGCGAGGTTTGAGCGACGACAGACTCACAAAAGGCGACAGCCAAGATGATGGAGAGGGCCGACAGATGGAACAGCATGTTTGTATGACGCCTGAGGACGTGTCTGGGGTATAAGTCAAGCGAAAGAGCAGATAGATAGTCAGTGGATAGTTACCAAATAGTTACAGTAGAGACGCCGCCGCGCAGCAGAGCCAAATAACGCTTACGTAAAAACAAAAAGTTGACAAGTCGGCGGCGGCGGCGGTCCGTTCTGGCAAGATTTGCTGTCAACTGTCTCTCTTCAGCTACCACCCAAGCATATCATGTCTGGCCTCTCGCTAGCCCAGCAACTCAAACAGCTCCAGGCAGGAAACACTTCCGTCCCCGACCCCGAGTCTGCCTACTCCAACCTCGACACCAACAAGACTGAGCGCGAAGGAGATGAAGGCCGAGAACACTACCTCGACGTCGGTCCTTCGCGAATGAGAATGGAACTCGGTGGGGAGGGGGGTGGAACGTTGACCGGACCCAAATACGAGGGTGTGAAGGCTGGGCGTCAAAAGATCTTTGATGATGATGACGAGGAAAGTGAGCCCGAAGGAGATGAGAAGAGTGAGGAGGACGAGGAAGGAGATGACCTAGATGAGGACGAGGAGGAAGAGGGAAGCGAGGAAGAGTCTGAAGAGGATGAGGACGAGGAGGATGAAGAGGACGAGGAGGAAGAGGAAGAAGAGCCGCGGCCCAAAGCCAAGTCTTCCAAGCTTGACCCTATGGCCGCTCTCAAGGAATCGCGATTGAAGGACGTTCAAAAAGGACAAGCTATTCGTAAACAAAAGGCGAGTCACCAAATGGCACATCATTCATCGACACTGACGCACCATCCAGGCTCTGTTTGAATCACTCATCACTCTTCGAATCACTTTCCAAAAGGCTCTTACCGCTTCCCAATCCGTACCCGTTCCTCTTCCTACCGACCCAGAGAATGAACTCTCGAACAAGAAAGCGGCTATACTGCGTAGCCTCAGCGATCTCAATGAGAGACTGTTTAAGCTGAGAACGAACATGAAGCTGGTGGTAGGTGAGGATGAAGAGGAAGAAGGAGCCAGACTCGGCAAGCGAAAGAGGAATGCCGGTGATGAGCAGGACGAGCAATATTGGTTGGACTCTGCTAGACAGTCGCTTGCTCTTGTCGACGAGTGAGTGGGATCCGTGTTGTCTGACAGGCTTCCTGCTGATGCGTAGCAGCTCCCACCTGGACCTCATACCTGTCCTTAACAAATGGTCCGGCAAGATCCAGGCCGCGTCTCTTCAGCTTGGCTCCAAGCAAGCCGGGGGAAGCAAGTTCTTACAACAGATGAAGACTGGCGCGGGTGGCGTAATCGATGCTATCGAGACGGGGATCAACAATAAGGTACGGATATGTGGGTCAGTATCAGATGTGGTCACTGACGTTGTCATAGCGAGACTCTGAGAAGACTCTTGTAGAAAACGAGGAGACTGGCTACAGGGCTCTGTTGCGCGAAGTCATCGAGTCAAGGACAGGCTCAGGCCCCGCCGCCGACCTCACACACTTGAGGCGAGAGAAGAAGAAGAAGAGGGAAGCCGAACGAGGTGGTAGTAAGGGCCGAAAGCTCAGGTATGTTTAGATTCTTTTGCTGAAGAGCGAAGAGCGACATCACTAACAACCATCGTAGATACACTGTTCACGACAAGGTGCAAAACTTCGTCGTCCCCATTCCCCTATCTCAAGGCTGGCACGAGGAACAGGTCGACGAACTTTTCTCCAGTTTGTTCGGTGGTGTGGGTATGAGGGGCGCCGTGGCGGAGACCGCTGTTGGTCCAGATGTTGGCGCTGCCGATGAAGGGCTTGCAGAGCTCGGTGGTTTGAGGGTATTCTAATTAGAATCTTATGAGTCATGTTATTGAATCGTATACGAGTCCATTTGCAGTCGCTGGACGCCGGCTGGTCAACTCTCACCACCTGCCGCCTCTCTGTATGACACCGTCTTCCTGTATGTTCAGTGTAGTCATGATACCCGGAAACGTTGTATTGTGCCTTCAGAAAGTCGGCAGCCTGTCTGAATACAATCTAGATACAGTATATATCTTGTATGTACAAGTATATATCTTGTACGCCGGCCGCCGCAGGGTTTACGGATCCGTACGTAATCCCGAGCGCGCTGAGGCCACATGTCAACTCTCACTCAGAGCTGGAACAATTGTATGAGCAAGAGCCCGAATACAAGCCAGAACATCGGTTGAGAATGTCGGTGCAGCATTATCTGGCCTCGCTCTTCCAAGCTCCAGTGCCTTCGCGACAGGACAGCTGGGACACCGTCGTCTCCAAGTGGGACGCCTCACAGTGAGTGCGTCTGTCGACCGGTCTGGCCACGCTCACAAGCAGTGCAGCCCAATCTCAGACTCTATAGAGGAGCCAGCTTTTGATACTTCCCCGTGGCCCTCAATTCTCGATTACCTTCCTGACGTGGGCTCGTTGTCGCTCGATGCACCAGAGATACAACCAGAGTCGCCCTCGACGTCTATGCTGAAAGACGGCTTGGTCGATCGACTTCGCGAGTGAGTGCATCTTGTCAATATATCATGAGTCGTCGCTGATCCTTCCAATCGAGGCACATACCCACTACTTTCAGTTCTCTGATCAATCTGTTGTCTTCGCCTCGCTCAAATGATGACATCCAGTCGGAGCTTCTAGAGTTGATGGGATTTGAGGGTGACGCCCTCGTCCTGATCGAAGAGCTGCTCAAACCGGGAACGAGAGAACAGGTTGTGGCCAGCTGCTTGCGTACTGTAGGTGTATATTGACAGTGGCGTGAGACAGTGCGCTGATACTCCCCAGCAAGGCGAAACTAAGAAAAGTGTTGGCAAACAGGAGGCCGTCACCCCGGTCTCCGATAAACCCAAATATGTACCCAACACTAGGATGGTCGTGAAAGGAAAGTTCAAGGATAAGAAGAAGGTCTTGGACATTTCAGACCTGGTCGGGTCCGCTGAGGATATCAGCAAGAGACTGCAGCAGCAAGTGGAAGGGCCAAAGGCCATGTTCTCTGAAGACGGTCCTGTGAGTGCAAGAGAACCCAAGATCTGATCGTGGCTAAGCGACGTAGCGTATGGTGGAGCAAGAGGTCCTGCCTCATGTCTATACGGCCACAGGGTCGAAAAGTATACCCTTGTCGCACGGTGGAAAGTTTGCCTTGCCAGAGGGCACCAGGAGATCCTACACCGATGTGAGTTTTCACGTGTCTTTCTCTTTCCATAGTGACCATAGCAAGCTGACGCTATATCTCAGATCTATGAGGAGGTTGTCATACCGCCTGCCAACGCTGTACCACCTAAGATCTGGGAGCGCCCTGTCAAGGTCGCCGATCTTCCCAAACTGGCCAGGGGTTGTTTCCCTGTAAGCCTCGTATCTATACTCCACATTGACCACAGTGCTCATTGAATGCCAGAGCTACGTGCAACTCAACAGGATGCAAAGTATCGTGCAGCCCACCGCCATGACTACCAACGAAAATATGCTCATTTGTGCGCCCACTGGTGCCGTGAGTAATGTCTAGATATTTGACAATGACTAACCAAAGTAACAGGGTAAAACCGATGTTGCCATCATGGCCATCCTTCGGGTCCTATCGCAACATATCATTGAGGGCTCGACCTCGCACCCTTCAGGCTTCAACATCGACCGCAACGCCTTTAAAATCATTTACGTCGCCCCAATGAAGGCCCTCGCCGCAGAGATCGTGGCAAAATTCTCCAAGCGCTTGGCTTGGCTGAATGTCAGGGTCCGAGAGTTGACTGGTGACATGCAATTGACAAAGCAGGAGATCGAGGAGACCCAAATCATCGTAACGACCCCGGAGAAGTGGGATGTAGTAACTCGAAAACCAACCGGAGAAGGGGAGTTGGCTTCCAAAGTCAAGCTTTTGATTATCGACGAAGTGCACTTGCTGGCAGAAGACCGAGGTGCGGTGATCGAAACTATCGTAGCCAGAACTTTGAGACAAGTGAGCCTCTCGATTGTATGGTCAAAAAGGAATACTGATACAAGTGTGTAGGTCGAGTCCAGTCAATCCCTAATTCGTATCGTCGGTCTCAGTGCCACCCTGCCAAATTACGTCGACGTTGGCGATTTTCTGAGGTAAGTCTCGCCGAACCATCCACCGCTGTTGCTGATATTTTGCAGGGTCAATCGCTACCAAGGTCTGTTCTACTTTGACGCATCGTTTCGTCCTGTTCCACTGGAGCAGCATTTCATTGGAGTCGCCGGAAAGCCTCGATCTACAGTGTCTACCCGAAACATGGACAAGGCTGTATTTGAACGGGTATGTCATCTGAGCAGTCCCTTGGGAGCATCTTCTCACTTGCGACCAGGTGGCCGAGCTCGTGGAAGAAGGACATCAGGTCATGGTATTCGTTCACGCTCGACGAGAAACTGTCAAGACTGCTACAACTCTCAAGGAAATGGCAGCCGAGGAAGGAATTTCGACCTTCTTCCAGGCCGACGCCAACCCTAAATTCGGTAACCATCGCCAGGAAATGTCAAAATCAAAGAACAAAGAGTTGAAGGAACTCTTCGACGCTGGATTTGGTATCCACCATGCCGGTATGCTGAGGTCGGACAGAAACATGGTAGAGAAGATGTTTGGCGATGGCTGCATCAATGTAAGCAGGGCCTTGTTGCCGCTGTTGCACGCTGATGTGCCTGCAGGTGCTTTGCTGTACTTCAACTTTGGCATGGGGTGTCAATCTGCCCGCCCATGCGGTCATCATTAAGGGTACACAGGTCTATGATAGCAGCAAAGGTGCTTTCCAGGACCTTTCGGTTCTGGATGTTCTTCAGATCTTTGGTCGCGCTGGTCGGCCAGGGTATGCTACCAGCGGTGTCGGATACATATGTACCACCCACGACAAGGTTGATCATTACGTGACGGCCGTCATGTCGCAAGTAAGTGCTCCTGGTGTGATGCTTGAGCCTTGCTGATCATCACGTAGACTCCAATTGAATCTAAGTATGACTGATTATACATGCTCGGGCTCGTCCACCATATTGACTTGTTGACTTAGATTCATTCCCGGTATGACTGATTCCCTGAATGCTGAAATCGCCTTGGGTACCATCGCAAACGTGCAAGAGGCTATGCAATGGCTGAGTTATACTTATCTCTTTGGTGAGTGCTGCTTCTGGCCTTGGTATATGTTGTTAATGGTATCCGTCCGCAGTTCGAATGAAGAAGAATCCTTGGGTCTATGGTAAGCAAACTTTGTTCTCTACTATCCCGACAAGGTAGCTGACATAACTCTCAGGTATGGCATATGACGTGACCAAGGATGACCCTCAATTGGGTAACAAGCGTAATGAGCTCATCATCCAAGCGGCGCGTCTTTTGCAAAAAGCTAGGATGATCCGATACGATGACCTTCAAAATACGTTCGGCATCACCGATTTGGGTCGGATTGCTGCCAAGTACTACCTTCACTTTACTACGATCGAGATCTTCAGTGAGCGATCTTTCTCTTTGCCTTTACGTGAGACTTATATCGTTGTAGACGAGAAGTTCAATCCCAAGATGAGCAATGCGGACTTGTTCCAAATGCTCTGTGAAGCCGATGAGGTATGGGAATACACATACCAGGGGGTTTGTACTGATCAAGCAATAGTTTGAACAAATTCAATTGCGTGAGAGTGAGGTGGAAGAGTTGGAATCCATCATCAGTAGCGGAGTAATTCCCTTGGAGGTCGCCGTGAGCCCATCTCCCCGTAATACCACGCGGCGCTATTCTGACTGAGTGGTCACAATCAGGGCGGTGCCATCAACAAACGGAACAAGGTCAACATCCTGCTTCAAGCGCACATCTCGAATGTCTACCTCAATGATTTCGCTTTGGTCTCGGATGCTGCTTTCGTTTCTCAGGCAAGTACTCGCGCTGAACATGACTTTTGGGAGCTTATGTCTTACAGAATGCTGGCCGTATCATTCGTGCTCTGTTGGAGATTGCTTTGAGTCGACATTGGGCTAACTGCGCCTATCTCCTGGTCGAACTCAGCAAATGCATCGAGCGCCGACAATGGGTCTACGATCACGGTCTGGCCCAGCTGAAGGTCCTCCAGCGCGAAGTCATCCACAAACTTTCGCAATATACTCCTGACGACATGTCAATCGCCGACTTCCGTCACATGTCTGCTCACGAAAACGGGGAGTTCATTCATATGAACGAGAGACACGGGAAAGCGGTATTGGATGCCGCCATGATGTTCCCAACTGTCAACCTGACGCATACTCTGCGGCCGATCACCCATGATCTGCTGCAAATCAGTGTCAAGGTAACGCCGCAGTTCAGATGGAACGCGAAGATTTCGGGCAGCAGCGAGCCCTTCTACGTTTGGGTACAAGATGAGCAAGGCCTCAATATCTATCAATGGCGTAGCGTCCGCCTCACACCTGCTACCAGCGTGATCGATATTGACTTCTTCCTGCCCTTCGATGATGTGCCTCCGGACTCGATATCGCTTGTTGGAGTGTCAGATAAATGGTTGTGGTCTTACGAGCTGGCATTCATACAGCTCAGCGGTCTTACTATGCCTCCTCCGCCAACGCCGCCCACCGAGATGTTGGGCTTACCTTTCCTGAAGCTTTCCTGTTTCATGGACCCCGCCCTTGAACAACGCTACTCGCGGACTATCGATACTCTGAATTCCATTCAAAGTCACGCATTCTGGGTGCTCTACAACACGTGTGTCAATGCGCTTGTGTCTGCACCTGTGGGGAGTGGAAAGTCACTGCTCGGGGACGCTGCCATCTGGTGAGTTCCTGAAAGTATACCATACTCGAGCGCTTGTCTGATTTTCATATAGGAACGTTTTCCGGCATAACAGGGATGCAGTCGCGGTTGTTGTCGTTCCGGAGCGCTATATGGCTCACGAGACAGTCGCGCGCCTCCGGGATCTGTGTCCCCCAAAGCGAAAGGTCACCATCAGATCCCTGATTGATCCTGCGGATTTCAAAGAAGTTCTGTCAGGCGGAGCTGCTATTGGCGTTACAACTCCTTACGCCATCCTAAACAATGAAAACATCGACAGCTTCCTGTCCAATAGTCGCCTTGCCCTCTTTGTCCTCGAAGACCTGCACCTTCTGGACGAACTCTATGAGCTGGCGATATCTAAAATTTTGTCGTTTGCGAAGCCCGCCAGGACTAGGATTGTCGGCCTCACTTCTTCGCTCAACGATCCGTCTGATCTCGCCGAGTGGTTGGGTCTTGACCCTGGGCCTCTCGACCAGTGGGACAAACCTGTGACCTCACAGCCTCCTGCGCTGTTCAGCTTCCGTCCCTCTGACCGAGGAAATCACATTTCCGTGTCGACCAAACCTTTCACCATCCCTCATGGCCCTACCTTCATCAGGTCTATGGTGAAACCCACTTATGATATTCTCAAGACCTCCCCCGGGGGCGCCATCATATTTGTACCGTCTATCCCTGCGTGTGCCTCTGTGGCCTCGGATCTGGTTACGCAGTCCGGGACAGAGATGGATCTGAATGGCTTCTTGTCCCGCCCTCGCGAGGAGGTGGAGCCCTTTGCTGAGAGACTCAGAGACGATGCTCTGTTCGAGCCCATTCTTCATGGCATCGGCTTCATCACACGGAATATGGCTCCGACCGACCTCGCCATCGTCCTCGAACTCTTTGCCAGTGGTATTATCAAAGCTATCATTGTTCCCCGTCAGGCGTGCTGGACTTTACCCGTCCGCGGGCAGACTGTCATCCTCATGGGTGCGCAGTACGTGCGTATCACGGGCGACAAGGTCTCTAGCAAAGACGCCAAATTTAGGAAAGAAAAGCACATTGTCAACTACTCTCAACAAGAGCTGGTCAAGATGCAGGGATTCGCGGTGGGCTCTGCTGCTCCTACGGCTCCTGGCGGACAGATGTTTGTTATGTGTCAAGGCGAGCAGCAAATCATGATCTCGCGCATCTTGAAAGAAGGCCTACCTCTCGAGTCAAAGATTATCGATCTGCTCAACCGGCATTCTGCCCCTTCGTACACTGTCGATCCCCGTGCCGTTCAGATTTTGACCAACATGTTTAGGGGCCGTCGTCCACCCCCTCGGGCAACTGTTGACCGACCTGGCCGGCCAGACGGAAGAAAGGCAGATATGATGGACATTGTTGGCTACACCTTCTTGTCTGTGCGAGGAAAAAGCAATCCAAGCTATTATCAGCTTTCCAAGGGTGAAGAAGCCGAGACGATTTCAAGAGCGGTAGATACGTGGTTTGAGGCGATGGATGGACTGAAGGTGTACACGGTAGAGGAGACGAGAAAGCAGGACCTGGAGGCGGCTCAGATGGAGAACGGGGGCCAGGCAAACGACGAGAATGGCGAGGAAGCTTCGGTGAAGGGGTCGGAAGACGCAGTCGAGGTTGATGGTGACGCCGCAGAAGCTGGAAAGGTATAAGGATGCGACGGTGAATTGAGACCACGAATGAATTCGCTCTTGACCAAGAATCAGACGTGCATCATTCGCCACTTTGTACAGGAAATTCGACAGGTTACAACGTTACAAAAAGGTCTACACCGGGATGATAGGGCTTGAGAGAAGTGATATAAGTACACGCGGGCGATCAAGAAAGTGATATGCGTTCTATCACAGCTTTGCCTTGGCGCTCTGTAGAATTGATCAGTGACCTGGATCTTCGGAAGAGAAAAGCAGCATACCTTGAGAACACCATCAAGCTTGGTCTATGGAAAGAACGTGTCAGTGAGGCTCCCATGTACGCCTGGTCTGGAAAAACGCTTACAGCGAGCATGACCTGGGGGGCAAGTCAGCGTTTCGGTTTCGGTAATGTTGGATGGTGCGTACATTTCCCTTGACTTTCAAGCTGCCAGTCATAAACGCCTTCTGGGCATTGACCTTGCCATCCGCCAAACCCATAAAGGTATCTGGGAAACGGCTGGGTCGGCGACGTCATGGCAGTAGGAGTGATCAAGAACTTACCGTCGCTGAGGGTGATGGTAACGTCTGACAAGGGAGAAGTCAGCGCATCTGTCCTATCGACAAATAAGGTGGGAGATGCCTACCAGGCTTTTTGGCTGAACCTTTCGAAACTTTGCCTTCGTTCTTCAAATCGATCCTACAGGGGGCGCGAGCGTCAGATCCCGTCATGATCCACCGGGTGAGACGCACACCCAGATAGCTTCATTTCCCTGAGTGTTCTTGACATTGAGCTGGAAAACGCCGTTGGTCTTGGTAGAGTAGATGAAGGTGTCAGTATGCTCGCTTCTGAGCGCGGTGCGATGCGGGATATACCTTTTTGATCTGACTCTTCTTTTCCGCCTCGGGCATTTTTTCAAAAACCTCAGACAGAGACTATCAGCAGAACACGGTCAGTGTGTCTTACGCCTCGACTGGCGCGTCGGCGGGCTCACGGCGAGGACGTCGCTGGTCTGGAGAATGTCAAGGACGTGCAGGGTGACGACAGCGGTGTGAACGCACCTTGAAACCGGGTTCCTTGAGGTCGGACATGGTGTATGTGGTATCTAGGGTTGTGGCGGTGGGATGGAGGGGATGCGCGCAGGATGGCCAAGAAGGAGATGCAGATACAGCGCGACAACGGACGACTCACCGCCCGTCCAAAACAAATAACGCACCCGGCTATGAATTAGCCGGGCATGTGGCCACCGCCGCCCGCCTCGTGGAGGCAGCACGAGGCTTCAATAATGGCAAAATAATGGTGGGATGTCGTCTCCTCGATACCCCCTCTCATCAATGTTGGCTACTAGATACTCAAGATTGTTTTGTATGGGGCGTCTCTGTCTGCTAGCTGAGCCCCCTACCTCCCACCTCTTGGATACCGCTCTCCCCGCCGCATGCCTCTGTCGAGATCTGGAGCCACCTCGATGCCACCCTTGCTCTTGCTCTCGTGGGCTTCTTTAGCCCCGGTCTCGCCTCCATATTCGGATCCATCGTCCTCGACCATCCTTCTCGCGCCGCCCGCACCCTCTGGCTGATCTCCTGAGTCTGAGCACGCCCTCTCTCCTCCCTAGTAAGCATTCTCCTTACCCTCCATTCCATCTCTCCAGCTTCCTTTCCTCACACCAGCCGCAACTCTCGATTCGCCCGTCACTTAGGCCAGTATGTGGTCTTGGTGTCGCCACAGAATGACTTCTACACCACGCCCGTCCCCATATCCTCTCTTTAGAAGAATGGAGAGCGCTAGCTGATCACTTCAGTAGCGAACGAAACCGAGGCCCGCAACACTCGCAGCTATCATGTCAACCTCCCTGCAAGATCTTGATGACTTAGTTCAGTCATACAAGGACCAAGCAGTGCGCTTGCGCAAGCTAGCGACGTATATGGATGCCCGGTCTGCAGCAATCTTCGAAAGAGGAAAGTATTTTTTTTTTTTAGTTCTCTGAAGCTCCGGGTCAAGGAGCTGAAGGTCTACAATGCTTCTGTTGGGCACAAGGTGACTTCACACTCAATGGGCCTCGTATGACAGCTGAATTTCTTCTTTTTCCAGGAGCAGATTGTCCAACACAGACGAGACCTACGCGCGCCACTTGCCACCATATTAGAGGAGCCATTGCTTGAATCAGAAGGAGGAACAGAGAGTTCGAATGAAGCAGAAGGAGGAACAGAGAGTTCGAATGAAGCAGAAGGAGCAACAGAGCGTGCGAATGAAAGAAAGAGGATTCTAGCAGCAAGGAATGCCCTAGATAGTGAGTGAAGTGACTATACACATTTACGAAACATTGGAACGATGAAGCTGAGTACTACTTTTAGTCATGCAGACCTTCTGGGCCCAAACTATGGACGGGCTTGCCGCAGGGCTCTATGTACAAGGAGGGGGCGCGTATGTATCCTTTCTTTGTTCAGGTGAATCAGTGACGCTGATTGATCGTAGCGCCTCACAGGCAGTTATTGCCGGTTATGTTATCGGCTCAGTGTCGATGTTCGTGCTGTCGTGTCTCGAGGTGCCCGCGCGACGTCAACAGACCCAGGGCGAGTCGCTACTGTGTCAAGATCGAAGTTCACGGCTCCGTCTTCTGCTATCATATATGACATGAGAATGTAACCAGGTTCTAGCATGCCAACTCCATCTGCGGACTCTTCGACCGCCGGTAGCACTTCCGCTCCCGGCTCAGGCGACATTCCCGGGGGTCCTGAGCCGTTGAGGAGGAGCAGCCGCTCCAGGAAGGGGAAGGAGAAGGAGGATGGGAATTTTGAAGGATGAATGCTTATAGAGTCGAATGATGAAAAGTTAGCGTGCATATCATGAATCTGCCATTTCGCTTTACTTTCTTGCGTTACGGGTCCCGCCGCTGGTCGGCCACACCCTGACATGTCTTGACAGTCAGCAGCACACGTCCTGTGGCGTCCCCGTTACATAGCCGCGGCAAGGCAGCGCAGGCGGGGCAGCCCACGCCCCGCGTCACGAGAGGAGGGTGACGGGACTTTTCTGCCTCTCTTGTCTTGTTCCACGCTCTTCATTCGCATTTATTGTTCGCGCCCAGTCTTCGACCCATGCCTCAAACGCAAAGCGGAACCCGGCCATGACCTGGTGGAAAAGGAAGGACGGTTTCTGGACTGTCTGGGACCACCTCCAGCACTCTCCCATCCTCGACGAGACATCCGAAGAGGAGAGAGATTTTGAAGACCAGGTCAACCAAGAGGTCGAAGAGCGGAGACGGAACAGATCCCGCCGTCGTCCTCAGGAATGTATTCCGCCGACTGCACCGTCTCTCGAGCCAGCGGCATACGAGGTCGCCTTATCTTCCTCGGCCAAGCAACGCCAGGCAGAGCTTCATCCTGCAATGGCTGAGGCTAGTCGCTCCGAAGAGCAACCTCTTGGGCGATTGGCTTCAGCACCATCTCCTGCGCTGCTTTCGCCACCAATAGCTCATGGGACCACCAACGATGCGACACAAACGTTCGCCTCGAAAGATGCTGCTAATCCCGTTTCGGACAGAAGCACATCGAATCGCTCTTCTCCGGTTGTCGGGGGCTTGTCTACTGCCCGCGACGAGAGCATGTCGCACACGGTAGATGATTCGGTGTACTCTGAGGCATCCGCCCAATGCAGCAGACCAGCCCGGGCACAGCCTGCAGCCAGGCCTTCAGCGCCTTTACTTTCCTTCCGTGACTCTCATATAATTCAAACCTCTACTCCACAAGCCCTTCGAGCAACCGACTCAACGGCCCAAGAAGTTGCAACTCCCGAAGATACCCCTCAGGCCCCCACTGCCGCTCTCCTCGTCCCCGCCGAGACACCGGTCAGGAAGATACTCGTCCCTCAGAACCGGCGTCTACAGGTGATCGACACTCCTGAGCAAGTCTCATCTCCAATCAACACGCCCATCGATACTCCTACCCCCGAGAGACCAGGTGCCATCGGCAAGAGAAAACGTCTCAACGCTGGTACGCCTGTGCTTCGCGGGAAGCAGCAATCAACCAGTTCGAGATCTCTTCAGCAAAGTGATGGTGGAGCTGCCGAAGGAGAAGCGAAGAAGGGACAGATGAAGAAGGGACAAACCAAGAAGGGAAAGGGCAGGCAAGCAATAGAGAAGCCAGAGACCTCTCAAATCTTCAAGGATCTTGTATTCTTCTATGCGGACGCCCGTAAGAAGCTTCGCCAGGAGCGATGCGGTATCGTGAGTCGCATACACACCGACTGGTAAAAGGTCGCGTTCTGACGCATACACCAGATCCATGACCATGGTGGCACCCATATCGACCAAGCAGATGACACCATCACACACGTCATATTCGAAGGCAAGGCTCGGGGGACGCTCAAAGGTTTTCTGAAAATCTCATCTCTCGACGATCTACCAGAAGGGACAGAAGTCGTCAATTGGAATTGGCTGGCTCTTTGCATCGAGACGGTAGGTCTGCACACTTGGCAGAACACGATCGTGCTGACCTATCCCTATAGGGGAGACTTCAACCTATAAATCCCCATGTGCATCGATCGTTTCCTCAGCCAAGGCGTTCGTCAGCATCATCCCGTGCCATTGCGGCGCAGTCCACGCCCCGGGTAGCGGATATCACACACACTATCTGGCAGGTCAATCCACATGAAGGGGGGTCACATACTGACTGGACTTTTCCCTAGCTCTCGTTCGGACACTGAATCTGAACCCGAAGAATCTCTGCCGAAGAAGAAAGCGAGGGATTCCCTGGGCTTCACTGCTCGCATCCGTCATGCCGAACAAGTCGCCAAAGGCACATTTGGTTCCTCGAAACCCCGGCCTGTCGAGCCCCAGTCTGCAGGGTCAAGCGGTCGAGGTGTGCATGATGTGAATACGGTACACGGAATGACGAGCGATGCAGGAGTGGGATGGAAGAAGGAAAAACAAGGCGGGACGGATGGTCTGGATGAGGTCATCGAGGGTGTCAAGGAGGGGAGTCTGCTGGATGCAGAGGTTCGTTGATGCTTGTCCTTGACCAATTTTGACTGGCATTAAGAACTCAGGCAACTGACAAATGAGTGAAGGAGTCTGACGAAGAGAGCGCTGTACAAATCGCCAGTAACGACCATGATGCAGATGAAGATGATAGCAACCCCAACCCGCTCGCCGACAGGTTCATGTTTGGGCGCAAGAATGACAAAGCCGGCAAAAATGGTCCAAATGAGTTTTTGGCCAGGAAGTTTGAAGAACTACACGAGCTGTATGAGGGGCAACCAGGCAAAAATGCTTTCTCAATCAGAACGTATCAGCAAGGTGCGTTCCAAGTCTGGGTTTTTGGGTCACGTCGCGCTGATAATGCATTAGCTGCTGCTACTATGCGACGTATGTCTTTTGCGAGGTCGCTCAATCGAACGCTAACGGGTTCCAGGAATCACAATTCCCATCACCAGTGGGAAACAAGCCAAAAGCATTAAGGGCATTGGCGACAGTCTCGCCGAGAGGGTATGATGTTCCTCCACCAGCACTTGACCCGATCCTGACGATACCTCCAGATCGACGAGTTTCTGAGCGGCAATACTGGTCGAGCAGACTATGAAGACAATGAGCAAGCCCGCTGTACCCGGCTCTTCAAGGGTGTGTACGGTGTCGGTCGACAGATGGCATACAGTCTCTACCAACAGGGCGCGCGAACTATTGCCGATCTTCGTACAGGTAAATACCCTCTCACCCCCGGGCAGCTCATCGGTCTCGACCTTTACGACGACCTCAATACGCGGATACCTCGGTCCGAGTGCAAGCAGCTGTACGACCTCATCCAGGAAGAAGCTATGGGGATCGATGACAAGCTCTGGGTGGAGATTATGGGGAGCTATAGGAGGGGACAGGAGGATAGTGGAGATGTGGATATCTTGATCACCAGGGACGATGGGGACGGGGTGACACACGCGGGTGTCTTGAGGAAGTTGGTAGGGAGGCTGAAGAAGAAGGGAATCATCACTCATGATGTGAGTGTCATGATAGGTCAGTGCGGCGCTGATATATTTTTCCAGTTGAGTGAACCCGGTGATTGGCATGCGGTAGAGTCAAAATGGATGGGTGTGGGCAGGGTGCATTCTGAGGGCAAGTTTCGTCGCATAGGTGAGGTTTCCAGCATGGCTGAGGTCCGTACATTGACCGCTTTCTAGATATTCTGTGCATACCCTTCGAGTCATGGGGTGCCTCTCTGATATACTTTACTGGGAACGAGCTCGTAAGCCTCCTGTCTTGCTCTCGCTGGCAGCGCTGATCAGCGATACAGTTTAATAGGTCCTTACGCCTGTACGCGAGAAAGCTTGGCTTCAGTTTGAACCAACGGGGTCTGTACAAAGGTGTTGTCCGGGGAAGAGACGGGATCAAGACTGTTGCTGGTGATTTGATTGCATCAAAGACAGAAGAGGAGATATTCGATATCTTGGGGGTGCGATGGAGGTGAGTACGGATCCGTGTTCTCCGTGTTCCAGAAGAGTACTGATCTCTTAACAGACATCCGCATCATAGGAAGCCGTAAATATGAATGACCTTTCATACTTGATACATGCTGTGCTAATTGATTATTCTTCTTTCAACTCTCCCTTCTCCCAAGCCTCAGCAATCTCAGCTCCAGTAATCTCCCTAATCTCTCCTGGTGTAGCAGTGGCGCCCTGGATAGCGCTGGTGACGACATCAATCACGGTGCCGATGGCCGTCCTCTGCTGGTGGTAGTGTCTGATTTCCTCAACTCGGACCTCGAGAACGGCGATACGGGGGTCGGTGATAGAGCCGTCGTGGACTCCGTCGCCCTTGTCGGCGAACCAAGCCTTGATAGTGGGGTTGTAAAGCTTTTGGAAGAGTTCAGGGTCGACGTTTTGCCTGCGAGTGTGTGAATAAGGATTCGTGGGACAATATGGCCAAGACTCACTTGGCTTTACCGGCAATAGAGGCCCAACCCTTGTTTGTGACCATCCCGTCGACGCTCAGGTTGACATGGACGCTATTCAGAGGTCAGTACGGTCGAGGCTGTGGGTCGACTACTCACTCATTCTGGACCTCGATGTTCTTGTAAGAGTCACGGTCGTAGATAAAGTAGAACTTCCAGTCTGGGCTGATCTGGGCGGGGGCCATGACCCTGGAGTGGAGCTGGCCATTGGGGGCGTGGGTGACGAGGAGGACGGTCCTCTGTGACGAGAGAAGGCCCTTGAGGTCGGCGAGCTTCTGGGTGATGGAGGGGGCGGCTGCGGCTGCGGCAGTGTACTGGTCTGACATGGTGAAGTGGGGAGTGAGAGATGCATCCCTGGTTCCCTGCCCTCTTATATACTGGAGCGAGACGGTGAGATCAAAGCCCGTCATCGCACAACGTCATAGTGGAGGCAGCCTCGGGGTTCCGTGCCTGTCCCGATCTCCTCTGCTTTTGGGACCAAATAAGCCATCGACTTTTTCTCCAGCTCGTTTCTCTGCCTGTTCGCTGCAAGACTGGCCCAAGATGCTCCTTCCCCCCCGCTCGCCCCCGTGTCTCTCTCGCACTGCCCTCTACCGCCTCTTCCTCCAACACCTCCGCCTCGTCCCGGATCCACAGGTATGGGCCACCGCCGTCCCTCGCGTCCGCAAGCTGCTCAGCACCCCAGGCCCGCCTCCAACCGCACCCCCAGAGGATGGCGAAGAGAGGGCAAAATGGGAGAGCATCAGGTCGTGGAGGGCTGAGCGTGCGATGAAAAAGGCAAACAAGGTGCGCTCAACGCAGACGGCAGTAAGCGGGCGACTGACCAGCCGTGTCTTCCAGGAGCTGAGCCAGCTACGCGCAGCTGTGGCTTGCCATCCTCACGCCCTCTTGCGGCTAATAGAGCGAAGCTACTACCAGCGAGGCGCTTCACGCTGGGATCGCCTTCGAGTATGTCGCGCCGTTTGAGCGAATGACCTTGGCTGACGACTTCTGAAAGTCGATTCTGATCCAGTCAAATCCTTCCTCTCCCCCGCTCGATACTCGTTCCACTCCCATACCCTCGCCGCTCCGGCCCCTGATGCCCCGCCAGCCCGGCCCATCCGATCCCATTGTACGTGCGCGAGCAGCAATCCCAGAGCGGAGACGCGAAAACAAAAAGACCAAGCTGCACGAACGGAACTGGAATCTCTTGAAAGCACCCATATATCTTCCTGATCCGCGGCCTGGATTGGGGCAGGGGAGAGAAAGAGAGAGAGCAAAAGTGGAGAACATGCGTATCCTGGCGGGCATCTCGGAAGGGTTGATAACCACTCTGGATCTTCCACCCCACATCGCTCGCATCGTTCCCAACCTTGGCTCACGACGCAAATTACCACTGGAACCCTATCCGCCCCCGCGTCCGAGTCATACAAAGCAGAATCCATCAACGTGGAAGCTGCCCCGAGAGTTCACCGGACGGCTGAGAGAGCGTGTTTATCGGCGGGTTTGGTACAGCCTGCCATGGGTTCGACCCGTCAGCGAGGGCGGGGCATGGAAATCGTGTGCGTGGGCAGAGGTGCAGGCGTGGGAGCAAGGTGTCATGGACAAGGACTTGACGAGCTCAGAGACCCGGGAAAAGAGCGCGGGAAAGAAGGGAAGGAAGGCTGCAAAGGTCAACCAAGCCTCTGAAGACAGGGACCTGGATCCTCGCAAGTGGCCACATGCGACAGACAGAGACTATCAATGGCTTTCACGGGATTTCAGTGAGGCTGTTGGTCAACAGCCAATGTAATCCACAAAGCATCAATATAGTGTGACGTATGGAATGATTGATGGATATGTTTTCGAATTTCACAGGTGCCCATTGTTACCCTTACTTGCCTAAATAGACATGATCGATCCCTTCTACAAAGACCTGTCTCCGTCACTGCATAGCTGCATCCCACATGGGGATTGATGTAAACATAACACATAGAGTGTACCCAGTCATGCCTTATCAGAGGCTGATGAGGAAGTGCGAGGATGTCGCTGCATGTCTGTCAACACGGTTTCGAAAGTCTTCATTCACATGTCTGACATCCTTGGAGTGCTCGGGCAATGAGACAGCAGCCCCACTGATGACTACAATACCAAAGTATCAGCCATTATCATGTGTGACATGACATTATCGTATACCACCCACTCTTGAGATCTAGACCGCCGCCGGCGCTGTCTCGAGGATGCTCTGCATCCACTCGTGTCAGCAGCGGCCTCGGCTGATCTGTGCTTTAAACTCACCTGTTTATAAACACTTGCTTCTCTTTCAACCTCTATGACGAGGTTCTTCCAACTCTAATCCGCCTCTTTAGTCTGATTTTAAGGGTCATATCAATGTCTTTTGTTGGATCTTGGAAGGGTGTAAGGGTGAAGACGGATAGGTGGCGTAACCTAGGGGCGGCTACGTGGCGGATCTGACTAGGGGCGCCAGATGTCGACCTTGAATAGGCTGGATGGATGAAGGATGGATATAGGCGAGGAGGTTTATACAAGAATACAACAGAATAATATTGCCCCAACTGCCTGAGGGATCTCCAGAGTTCCCAGAGGTCTTCGCTGTACCCTCGCTCATGGACATCAGTCAAATGACGGGCAGCATCGATGAAGCCTGGGGTGGGGTCTGCTCCTTGCTCGGCCGCTTTGACGAAATCAGTCGAGAGATTGCCATGTCGTAATGCCCCTCGGGGAGCTCTTCCCAAGCACCACATGATGAGGATAGGTATATCTCTTCTACTATGTGAATCTTAATCAGGGCTGCTTAAATTATGCCAAGGGGTGGACCTCAATACCGGCGAACCGCCAAAGAATGTTGCAGCTTACGGACACAGTTGTCAGCCTGTCGTAGTTAAAATCAGTCAGATACTACTGCAACATGACTATCGCAGTGATGTGGTGAACGTATGCCTAATTATATCCAGACTGCCGACGAATACTGTGCATAATACACTCTCCGCGAAACTGCTGTTATCTTCTGACACTTGATTTCTCTTTACCACGCCTCCTGGCCAGGCTCAAAGACTTAGAGGGCGGCCTTGAGACGAGCCTCAGCCTCCTTGTAGTTGATGACGTCCCAGATGGCAGAGAGGTAGTCGGCCTTGACGTTCTTGTATTGGAGGTAGAAGGCGTGCTCCCAGACATCGATACCGATAATGGGAACGTGGGCTGAAAATGACAGTCAGCTCCTGTTCAACTTTTGACGCGTGTGGTCGACTGACTCAAAAGGGGGTCCTGGTTGGCAGTCGTGACAACCTCAAGCTTCTTGGTACCCTTGTTGTAACCCAGCCAGCCCCAACCGGAGCCCTGGACACCGGCAGACTTGGTGCTGAGCTCCTTCTTGAGGTTGTCAAAGGAGCCAAAGTCGGCCTGCACCTGGTCGTAGAGGGCGCCAGAGGAAGGGAACTTGGCCTCGGCTGAACCGTGGGGGGCGAGGTTCTTCCAGAAAAGCTATACCACCTGGGTCAGCACCACTCCTCGTCATTCTCGCCTGGCATTACGGCACCAGCCGACTCCCATTCCACTTACAGAGTGGTTACTGCGACTCATGTCAGCGACTCAACCTCGACAGCCAATGATATTCGACCCCACTCACATATGGCCACCACCGTTGAACTTGAGGGCAGGCTGGAGAGCGATAGCGCCCTTGACGTCTCCCTCGCTGGTAAGCTTGGCAAGAGACTCCTCGGCAGCGTTAAGGCCGTTGACGTAGGTCTGGTGGTGCTTGGTGTGGTGGAGGTTCATGATCTCTGCCGAGACGGACGGCTCGAGCGCCTGGTGGGGTGGTCAGCGGGGGTCTCTGGGGGCGGAAGAGCAGGAGAGGGGACGGACGTCGTAGGCGTAGGGGAGAGCGGGCAAGGTGTGCTTTGTCCTGAGGGATCCCATGGCTGCTGATCTGAGGGCGGTGGTGGCTCTGGGAGCGGTGCGGGTGAGAGAAGAGACGGTGGAAAGCATGGTGCTGTGTTGTCGATTGCTGATCAGGGGGGGCTATGGGCTGTGGCGGGGGTCTATGGGTTGTGAACGGGGAATTGAAAATTGCCTCACCATTTATCATCCCACGTCTCCCACCAGAATGCGTCATATATTCACGTGCAATTGATCCCGTCCACTTCTTTCTCGCCGACATTTGTTTTGGTTCGCGTTTCTTGCATCAGCCCGCGACAACTCAAACAGCACCGCCCAGCATGTCCTATTTCATGACCCAGTGAGCTTGCTGCGTAGGTACCCATGGGAAGGGCTGACGCTTGCAGTCTGCATTCCGGCTGGCACGTCGACCAGGCCATCCTCGTCGAAGAAGACCGTGTCGTCTGTATCCGGTTCGGTCACGACCACGATGAGGACTGCATGGCCATGGATGAAACTCTCTATGGTGTCTCGGAAAAGGTCCAGAATTTTGCCGTCATCTACCTAGGCAAGTATTGCTTGTTCACGACTTGCTCAAGCTGACCATGGACTCAGTTGATATCACTGAAGTGCCCGACTTTAACAAGATGTACGAGCTGTATGATAATTGCACCCTCATGTTCTTCTACAGGTCAGTATCTATGTGCTCTGTGATGGCGATAGCTGACTCTTCTGACCAGAAATAAACACATCATGATCGACTTGGGAACCGGTAACAACAACAAGATGTCAGTCCTCATCATCAAATGGAAACGCCCACTGACGAGTATCATTAGCAACTGGCCGATATCAGATAAGCAAGAGATGGTGGACGTGATAGAGACTGTGTACAGAGGAGCTTCCAAGGGTCGTGGTTTGGTCGTGGCTCCCAAGGGTGCGTCTTTTCATCTCTCGTCCATACTGAGTGGCGGTCGCTGATATCTGTGCAGACTACTCGACAAGACACAAATACTAGAATCTCTAGAGCTCTGGGACTGGGGATATGGGCGTATGCGCTGCGTTGTATGTTGTTCTTAAATTTAATGCATGGGTTTACAATCAAAAGCGTTCCACGAGCTTGCCGTGACCGCTGATCTACTCAGCTATCTACAAGTATCAACACGAAGCCATGTCAGCATGACTGCTGCACAATTCTACAACGTTCCCAGAGGGACTTCCTCCACAGGGGCTTCCTGAACTGGCACCCCCTCCTCCTTGCCCATCCTCCTCGTCTTCCTGACTTTGCCGGTAGTCCTCTCCCTCTCCCTCTCCACATCCTCCTCGGTCCGCCCCTTGTTACTCCTTCCAAACCATCCTGCTCCTGCCGTTTTTGGCACCGGCAAAAAGTCACCCGACTCGGGCATCAACAAGATGTGGTATTGGCGGTTTGCCGCCGGAGACGTGAGGAGCCATGTCTCAAGAAGCGCAAGATTACGCAAGTTGGATTTGAACAAGTTGTCGATAAAGTCGCCAATCAAGGGGACGATGCCGACTAGAACGTCAATAATGACATTGAACAACTGCTCTGTCTATCAGTCTGTACTCTCGCGCTGCAATTCCAGGGACGCACCATATAACCCAGGATGCTCGTTGGAACCCCAAAGATGAATGCCAGCCACACTTGGTAGAGTTGCAAGATACCAGAGACGATATCACCATAGATGGGAACCAAGGAGATTATATCGTCTATACCCGCTCGGAAGGGCAGTCCTAGATCGGCAAGTACAGGCGCAGCGTCAAGCCAGTAGGCTACTGTACGGATATGGTTGTACATACTGCACCTGTCAGCATGCCTCAAGGCAGTAGAGGCAGTAGGACACGGCTCACGCCTGGGCTTCTCTGTCATTTCGGGGCCTGCGGACAGCAAAGCCTGGGGGTCGGTATGTGGCTTCGAATGCTCCAAACCTCTGTGGCTTGTCCTCGCGCTGAGCTCTGTGTCAAGGTCAGTGATGGGTTTGCCATAGGAGGGGCGGGACTTGCTGGCGATCCCGAGCGGCATTGGGCCTGTAGGAGGAGAGGAGGGGCCAGATGGCGGAAAACACTGAGGCCATAATTTCGTGAGTTGTGGAGATGCAACAGCAGAATGGCTGCATACCATCATCACGGCCATGCATCGCAGCGGTGACATCATTCATTTACGTAAGGAGCGGCGCGCGACTGTCTTTGCTGTGTGGGTGAGATGTTGCGCTCGGACCCTCGAGAGGCGGGATCTGTTCTCACCCATCCTATCGTCTCCTCGTCGTTTGCTCTATACGCTGGCAGCCTTGCCTACTCTTCTTCTCTCCCCCCCTTGAGCGGCACCCTGCCTGTGCATCTCTCACACAGCCTCCACCCTGCGCCCTCCTGTCTGACTGTCTCCCTAACCAGCGACTTTTCACACCAACAACCGGGTCGATATCTCTTCCCTTCATCCATCATGATCCGAGGACACAATCACCACCTAACTCACCCTGCTCCCTCCCCTGCACCCCTCTCTAGCCCCACAGCCGTCGACTCACCGAGACCATACAAGCCAAGTACACTCGAGTTCGGCCTCAACCCTCAATCAACCCGGCACACCCCTGTGAACCCATACTCTGGACTCGGCATACAGCCCCGTACTCCTGGAAGTGATGGAAATGCTGAGGGAGAAGGAGAGAAAAAGAGGAGAAAGTCGGTGTTTAGTAGTCTCAAGTTGAAGAAGCGTATCACTCGGTGAGCATCGTTGAACCCCTCTCCGCATTGAGCACACTAACGACTCTCAAGACTCGTTTCGCCCTTTGTGCAGTCAAACAAGGGCCCTCAACCACAGCTCATGGCTACAAAGTCGGATACCGCCCTGCCCCGCCGCCCCATCATCTCCAGTCCCACCCCCGCCAAGACCGACACCTCAACCAACCCTCGCCCGCACCTCCCGCGCATCAACACTCACCAGCCTACTAGAAGCCGGGACTACAATGCTTTTCTCTCGCCTGAGGATTCTGTACCCACCGGACATGCAAGAGGTCGAAGCGGTGAAAAGGCAAACAAAAAGAAGATGATTGAGGATAAAAGGCACAGGATGGAGAGAAGGGCGAGTTGGCCACTGATGGGTCCTCGGCACAGGGAGCTTCCTCTCGGGCATGACCACTCTGAAGACAGTCCGGGAATTCAAAGGTTGGTAGCGAGTATCTACGAGGACCCCATCAGCGTGCAAGACCCCAGCGCCGACCTCAAACGGCTCAAGCAGGCTCTGGATCGTGACATTGGTTTCACCTTCAACGTCCCCTCGCTCAGCGTCGCTTCCAGAAACCGTGCTCCCCCTGCTATCAAATCCCCGGCGGGCAAGCACAGATCCCATACTCTCCGACTGAAGCACCGCGCCTCCAAAACCCAAAACAAGTCCGGTCGCAGTTCGCTTGTCTTGTCGCCCGAGGCGCAAGAAGCCCTCCAACGCCAGCTCGCAAGGCTTGAACTCCGGGATGACGCGCTTACTAAATCCGCTCGAAGACTGTCTGCGATGGACAAGATGGTGCTTCAGGGCCGGGGTCCTGCCAGGCATCCGCAAGCCCATCCGGGTCTTGGGAGACAATACTCTTACGTCTCTTTCCAAGACGAAGACGGCGAGCGTCGAGTCACCCGAGTACCTGCCGCTGGAAGTCTCTCGCCTGCCTCAGGCGACATGTCATCTTCGCCCATCTCACCCAGTGCAGCTTACTCTGCCAAGGCCAGTAATCAGAGTTCGGGAATAGGCTTGGCGGCGGGTTCGCCGATGACAGAGGGTGGGAGGAAGAATAGGATGTCGATGCCGGTGATGCGCCGCCGGGCGAGCAAGGCCGGTGTGAGAGGAGCGAGTGCCAAAGTATTCGCCAAACCCAGTTCATCCACCCCATCGGGACCAGCTACCGACAAGTGGGACGGTAATCCTCCCAGCCCTCCTCCTTTCATTCAAGCTCCTACCCCCCGCGTCGCGCCAATGCCTCGCCCCAGACAGAAAGGCGCGCCACTCTACAACCCGACGAACCTGTCTCTGAATAGCAAGCGGGTCAATCAAGGGAGGGCCACGGCGCCCAAGGGATACAGACCGCAGGCGAGGGTAGAGTATAGCAGGCCTGGCGCGACAACGCTGGCGGTGGATCAGCAGGCGCCGATGTACTCGCTTTACGCAAAGTTTTGAGGGAGATGGGAGTGTTACAACACGAGTTGAGTTGGTTTTTGTTCAGCTGACAAGTACACGGCTGACTTGCTGTCAAATTAGAACACAGATATACGACAATTTGAGACAAAGTATCGGAATTTGGCGATGGGACGTGGTATTCAAAAAGTGGTCAAGGCCTGGTGCCGCCGCGTAGAGAGATGATAGTTGTCAGTAAAGCGTCAGTACATCGATGCGCTTGTCACATATTTCACAGTGCACATTCAGCTGCAGAATCGGATGGCGATGCATGATGCAACAAGCTTAGAGAAGCTTGAGCTTGCCAGTGATAGAGTTGATGAGCTTGGCGGGGCCGCTGAGACTCAAGTTAGCCCAAGCCCAAGGTAAATTATCCTATACTTACGGTCCAATGCCGACAATGGTCTTTGATCCAGGGGCCACTTGTGTCCTACCACTACGTAGAATGTCAGTATAGTCTCTAGGGCTATGTGAAACAGACTTGCGCATCCCGGATAGTCCTCGCACAAAGGTTTACGCTCCTGGCCTGAGCCGCAAGGATCTCGAGTTCCTCAGTATTGGCGGTCCTCAGAGCAATTTTTGGCTGTCCCTGCATCTGCCAAGCCTTGAAGAGCTGAAGCATCGAGTCAGCACGCCAAGAACCCGGACATGACACTGGACACACCTTGGGGTTCGCCTCCTTCAAGGTCAGCGCACAAGCCAAGGTCGCATGTCCCGCCTGCGCCGCGATCTTGCCCTTGGTCATCTTGAGCTCGTCATTCACCACAAGTACCAGCTTCATCTCTTCGAAGCTACTCCATTTGGGCGCTGTCAGGTCTGCATTGGAGACGGCTGAAGATGCGTCGGATGCATCAGACTCGGCATCGGAGAGTGAGTCGTCGTCGTCCGAATTTTGTGCTTCAGAGGCTTTAAACTTTCGGGGCGAGCGAGGCTTTGATTTTGGGGCCTCGAGGGGGGTGGGAGTGGAAAAATAGTTGTGAGCGTGGTAGCCAAGAGCAAAGGTGATGATGGACACCACAATCGAAGGGACGAGTCCGACTAGAGAGGGATTATCAGGCTCCGCACTGGCACAATATGAGGACTCACCTTCCATCTTGGCAGAGCTCATTGTCGTTATTGGTATACAACTCGAAAATCCAAACAGGCCAAACAGGTCAAAAAAAGGAAGACAGAATTGCGATCCGATGACGTCGACGCTTTTCGGGCTTCCGCTTGACAACGACGACCGCTGAAGACCGCTCCCTTTTTGCCTTTTTTGCTCCTTGCCGAGCACTCTTTTTCTATCCCGATATTTTGTCATTTCTTGCGACCTTATTCGCGCAAGAGAGTATACCCCTCGCCCATCTACCCAATCGACGAAATTCATCACAATGGCCACCTTCACCACAACGGGCACCGTCTCAAGTCCTCTCGACCTCTCCAAAGTCCAGGGAGAACATGCCAACGTCAGCTTGTCATCGAACAAGAAGAACGTTCAACCTGCTGTCAAGGTCACCCTCACTAGCTTGACCCCTCACAATGTTCGTATGATCTCAAAGGATTCCAATGAGAGACCTGGGGCAATTACTCGTATACACATGAAAGGTGGCTGACGGTGGCATGTAGTCTGGCACATTACGAAAAATCAACTCCGTTGTCATCCCCATCGTATACTCGGATAGCTTCTACAAGGCCATGCTGGATCCGACCCTGGATGATGTCAACAAGCTCAGTATGTCATACGTTTGTTTCACACCACGACGCGTATCTGACTAGTCCACCTGCCAGTCTATTACGCCGATATCCCTGTCGGCGCGATTTGCTCCAAGTTTGATAACCTCAAGAAGGGCTCCAAGGAACCTCCCACTCTTGTTATTTTGACCCTGGCGTAACTTATCTCTATCCCTCGTCGAAGATGAGCACTGATACCTCCTTAGCATCCTCGCCCCCTACCGATCCCTTTCGCTCGGCACCTCTCTCCTCCGCCACGCCCTCCACGCTGCTCTCCACCCCCCGGAACCTTCGGCCCCCGCACCGTCGGACAAAAAGACCAATACCCGAGCTCAGTTGGCCAAGCCCGAGGCTAGGCCGTCCGTCAACAGGGCGCTCGCGCATGTGCAGGTCGGAAATGAGGGGGCAAAGAAGTTCTATGAAAGATTGGGATTCAAGGAGACTGGCATGTGAGTACTTTTGTAAGGTCGTTTCAAGACGAGACTGATGGACGTGTAGCGAGGATAATTACTATTCCAAGATGGAGCCCCGAGGAGCTATCTTGATGGTTTGTGAGGACATTGCGGCCGCCCTCGGAGAAGCTTCTAGCAATAGAGCTTGATTCTCATATGGTCTGCCGTCTCAGAGCATGCCCGCCATCTTGTCATCGCCTGGCATCCAAAATTAGCACTTTTTCGGATACCAGAATGCATCTGCGCATTAGGATAGCTTGCCCAAGGCCTTGCATTGCTCAGAGCAGGCTGCATATCACCAAACGTCCTCTCAAACGCGTACATGTATTTTCCAGGTGTCCTCTTAGCAACCAATCGAATTTTGACGTAAAAAAAAGGAGAGGCAAGGCTAGTCAAACAAAAGTCAAAAAGAACATGCCTCCGTGCCGATTCGAACGACAGACCTCCCCATTATCGTATTATTACGTACTAGTGGGGTGTTATAACCAACTAAACTACGGAGGCTTTGATATTTAACCAGGCTGGACACAAACTCATTCTATTTACGGCTTAAGTAAATTAAGGTTCAACTATCAGGTCGACTAACAACAGAACCATCACAACTACGAATGACAGTACAATCATCACAAATTGGATCATTTAAGAAGAGTGATGAGTATAATCTCCACTTCAATGTGAATGTGAACATCAACGGCTGTAGCGCTTGCATTATCGATGCTACTATGCGAGATACATGAGATTAGGGCCAGCCAACAGAGTATGACCATTTTATGCTTGTTGAGTTGGATACTAACCTTCACGCCCGCGTCTCTCTGCTTTCTAAGTATTTTATGCTTCTACTTGACGCGCTCAACAACCTTCACGGTCAACTGCACCAACGCATCCCTCGCCGCACTTTCGGGCAGCATTTCTACCAGCCGCCTCGCCTCTCCCGCAAACGCCTTCGCCAGCTCCACCGTCCTCTGCAACCCATCGCTCTTACCAACGATGTCCCGGGCAATTTCTACGTCTCCCGGTTCCGTGAATTTACGAAGGATCAGTGGTCCGAGGGATGGGTTGGTCTCCCAAGCGAAAAGAGCCGGGGCGGTTGCCAGCCCCAGACGCAGGTCCGCACCATTAGAGGGTTTGCCCAATGAAGGGTCGGGAGGAAGGAAATCCAGGGCGTCATCGATCAACTACAGCCAGCGTCAGCAACTTTCGTTCAGCATAGATGCGATGAGAACTGACCTGAAAGGCAATGCCCAGGTTTCTTCCGTATCCATAGGCCACGTCTTTTACCCAAGCACCTTCGACTCCATCAACACCACAACCACCGAGAACGACGGCCGACCTCGCACTCTTGGCCATGAGACTCGCGGTCTTCAAGTACGTCTTCCTCATATAGTCCTCGAAACCTTTGGGCGTCGGTGTTTTCTCCGGCTCGCTCGTAGCACGCAGCTGCATGACCTCGCCTTCGATAAGGTTTGCAATCACTGTCGCCATGAGCTCAACCACTTCTGGTGAACCCAGCCTGGCCAAAGCGACAGACGCTCGACCGAGAAGGAAATCGCCAGACAGGACCGAGAGCTTGTTGCCAAACGTTGACGGCGCAGAGGGTGCCCCACGGCGGAGGTCTGAAGCATCGATGACGTCGTCATGAAGCAAGGAGGCGACATGGATCATCTCTGTGATGCTGGCTAACCGCCTCTGGGTAGGAAGGATTGAGGGCTCGCCATTGGCGCCGATCAAGTCGTCAAATTGGGAAGGAAGAGGAGCAGGAGGCGGTAACCTTTCTTCAGGGTTCGATGGGATTCGGAATGGGGAAGCGAATATCATGCTGGCAATCCCAGCAGCAGGTTTGGGCCCAGAGACTTCGGGGTTCCAGTCATTGAGGACACCTCCTTCAGCTGTCAGGCTGTCGTCCACGTTTCTCTTGATAGCTTCCATCTGTGCACCTTTCCAGCCCTTCCCTCCCAACCCGTTTGTTGCTTGGCTAATGAGCAAGACTAACAACGGCCGCAGATGCTTGCCTTCAGCCTGGAAGTAGTACTTTGCGACAGTGTCGAGAGCAGCGTTGTCTGAGCCCAGCATGCGCCAGAGAGAGGATTTGAGATTGCCGATCTCAGCGTTGATAGCCGACAAAGGGTCGTCGAGTGAAGTCGCATTGGAGGCGGTGGTAGAGGGGGGAGGAGTCAGCACTTGGTGCGCCGATTCGGTAGCAGCTGCCCAAGTCGATTGGCGACACCGAGATGGAAGCGTTGTGGCCCGCAGAGCTGACGAGGAGAGTAGGTTTCGGCGGGAGCTTATAAGAGCTGCCCTTTTGGGGAACATGGCCTCGGGATTTTGGAGCAGGTAGGGGCTACAGGGGAGAAAGTAGAACTGGAAAAAGTCAGACATGGACGACGAAGACGATTGCATTTGCGGCCGCCCCCCATCATACTTACGTAATACCACAAATGTCAGTCGGTAAAAATGTTGAGCTTTGTTGTTGCAGTTAGGGTTGTCACATTTGACGTATTCTTCGATCAGACATGAAGGGTAAGCGGCTGTCATGTGGTGAGGCTAGTGGCACTGACTGTTCACAGCCGAAAATACCGAGCTGAAACAGATTGCTCCCAGCTCTGAAGAGGACTACTCTTCCGACGACTCCTCTTCCTCAGAAGATGTCACCGAGGATGAGGACGGAGCTGAGCTTACTCCTGCCATGGACGCTGCCATCTTGAGAACTCTGAGAAAGATCAAGGGGAAAGAGGGCGATATATACGGCAAGGAAAACATTATACAAGCGGAGCTCAAGAAGGCGCAAGAGTTGGCCCAGAGTAGAGGCCTTCATAGCAATGTGATCAAGAAAGCTGTTGAAAAGGTATGTACAATGTCCATTTGGCGCACAATACTGACATTTTAATCTAGCCGTATCTACTCCAAGACTATCACCGAAAGAAGCTGCTTGAGGGAAAATTTGGCGAAGACGAGGAAGATGACGAACCGTTGACCCACGTTGAGTCTCAATATCGTCTTCGACAAGAAGCCCGCTCCGCTTTTGCTGGCTTGGCCGAAGAGTCCGACGACAATGATTCCGATGGAGAAGGATTCTTGAAGAAGCGCGACAAGGAAGGTGACGAGGTAGACGCAGATGATGAGGAGTACCGAAAGTTCTTGTTGGAGATGGGTGGGGGCGAAGAAGAGGTCAAGCAGCTTTTGGGTATGGGCGACCAGCCTGCCATCCTCCAAACTGTCGATGATGATGACGAGGAAGAGCCAGGACAGGCCGTTGCTGTCAGTAAGGTCGAGAAGGAGGAAATGAAGAATGAGAGGAAGAAGAAGCAGGAAATGAAGATCAAGGACGACGATGATTTTCTCATGAAGTGAGCCACTTCGTCACAGATGTATCATTTCGCTGACAACCTATAGCTACATTCTCAACCGAGGCTGGATCGATCGCACGGACGATCATGTCCCCACGTACGACGAAGTCGTTGGCAAGACAACATCAGAAGAGCCTGAACAGGTCAAGGCTCTTAAGGCCTCCACATCGTCTCACCCCTGGGGCTCTTTGGACGACGATGAAGACTTCGAAGACCGTGCGGAGCAGTTTGAAACAGAGTACAATTTCCGTTTCGAAGAGCCCGGTTCATCTACCATCATGACTCACCCCCGAGACATTGCTTCCCTTGTTCGACGTCCAGATGATGCTCGTAAATCCAAGCGTGCCAGGAAGGCCGAGAGGAAGGCTGCCGAGAAGGCTGCCATGGAAGAAGGGCTCAAGAAGGAGAAGGGAAAGAAGAGAAGGGATGTGGAGACAAAGATGGAAGCACTGAAGAGAGATCTCGAAAGAGAGGGTGTGAAGGGCGTGGAGCTGGACAAACTCGGAAAGGTGTTGGATGGTGAATGGGACGAGACTATCTGGGACAAGGTCGTTGGTGGCATGATTGGAGATGATGTGAGTGCGATCCAGTACTGTATATATGCGTCCATTGCTAACCCATTTGCCAGGCCGAAGACGACGATAATGTCAAGCCAACTTGGGACGATGACCTTGGAGATGCTCCCTACGACGACGATGCTGAAGAAGGTGACTTCCACTATGAAGCCACTGGGGAAGATGCCGACGACATGGACCTCGATTACGACAATGATGGCCCCATCAACATGGACGCTGATTTTTTGGACGAGGAGCCGACATCCAAAAAGTCAAAGAAGAAGTCCAGGAAGGACAAACAGTCCAAGCATAGAAATCCTTCTCCGTCTCCCGAACCTGAGGAGGAAAGAGACAAGAACATGTCTATTGCCGAAAAGGCTCAGGCCCTCAAGGAAGCCGCCGAATCGTACAACGCCCTCGCGTACGAAGACTTTATCGGTGACATGCCCACCAGATTCAAATACACCCAAGCACCTTCCGCCTCCTTCGGTCTGACGCCAGCCGAGATACTGCTCGCGACGGATGACGAGCTCAACCAGATCGTTGGTATGAAGAGCATCGCACCATACAAGAAGGGCGGTATCGGTATGGCCGGAAAGGGACTGGGGCAGAGGGTCAGGCAATTAAAGGAGCAATTGAAGGAGAGAAGGTGGGGCGAGGAGCCTGGCATGCCCAGCAGTGGAAAGAGGGAGAAGAAGAGAAAGAGAGAACACCACGATACTCTTGTCAACGGTGAGGCTAGCGGAGAAACAGCGGCCGAGCACAACCGGGCCGACAGGGAAAAGAAACCGAGTGACAAGGTGAAGAATGGAAAGAGAATGGGCAAGAAGGAGAGGCAAAGACTGCAAGCGGGCGAAGCTAGCTCTGGTGAAATTGCCTCCGCCGATGTGCCTGCGATGCCTGTCGCTGTCTCTTCTGCCAGCGAAGTACCCGCCAATGAAGGTGTACCCGAAGGCGGCGAGAAAAAGAAGAGGAGAAAGAAGAACAAGAGCAAGGGTGAAGTTGCTGCTTGATATGTTTCTCAGATTACCATCATACGTAGATCATTATCCATAGTTATATGTGCATAAAATCAATGCATTTTTTTCATATATCCCATGTAGCTATCATCTGCGGGTCACGTATCGACAACAGGCTTGAGTGGGCCAACTTTTCTACACTGACACCCACAGCCAGCGGGACACAGCGCAAAGCCTCCGTTGCTCTCCAGATCGCCCAACCCTGGCTCGCTTTCATCATTTGGCTCGGTCATCCCGTCGCCGTCTACATCGGTGCTGCTGACATCCGTGCCAGAATGAGTATAGCCCGAGACAGCGCTAGCATCGTAGCCTGAAGTTAGGCCAGCGGTTGAAGCATTTATCGATTGCGCGCCACTTGAAGCCCCAGCGGAGCTGAACGATATGTGCGAGGCCTGAACACCCTGCTGATGTTGATGATGATTTGTATGATCTGTGGGTGATTTACCGAAGGGAACCAATGTCGCCTGGGAGTGATAAAGACGCATACAGGCATGATGGCCTCCATGGCTGCATTTTCGGCATCCCATCCACATACCCTTGACAACTTTTCGGCTAAGTCAGGGTTAGTTTGCCAAGCAGCACCAGTCAGTGAGTTGACGTACCACACCGCACATTCCTTGGCTCCCATCTTACACTTCTTACACCACCAAAACACCTTGCCCTCAACGCCGATATCTTCCAAACTGCCAGTACTTTTACTACAACGGTCGCAACCGAGAGTGTGTGTCACCCCTTGGTCCTGCGCCGTGACTTCCAATGACGGAATTCCACTGAACCTGCGTATATAGGAAGCGGGAAGAGGCAACCGGAGCGACTCGAGTGCGTCAGCATATGCGTGGGCGATTCTTTCGAGTTGGAACGGCGGAAACTGATGTAGCGGTTGCGCTATCAATGCAATCGTCGCCGCGAGTTGGACCTCTCCCTGGGCTTGCATCAGGGATAGCTCTCATAGCATGTAATCGTACTCACATTATCGACACAAGCATCCCACCAGGTCTCCAAGCTCTTCATCCTCCCTCTTTTATATTCCTCCCATTCTGATTTCTCAAACTTTTCCTCTCTTCCTCTCATTTCCTTCCCTAGCATGCTACCAGATCCGACTCTGGAGTTGACTCCAACCCCATTTGCTCCAGGTGCAATGATAGTGGCACCCTCGCCAGAACCACGGCCAGCGAGGGGTGCTTCAGTGATACCAGAGCCGTATTCATGAGAAGCGAGGCCGGCCGCTTGGGAGGGCTGCGCAGTAGGTATCGTTATAGAGCCACCTGGGAGAGAGAGCAGTCCCATTCTGGGTGAGGGTTTGAGACCCAGGCCGAGGGCGGCGAGAACCGGACTACTCCTTGTGCTTGCGCGACTTACAAGCCCCGCAGCTCCCGTGACCATACCAGTTCCTGGGCCGGAGTAAGACCCAGATGATCCCGACGCTGTAGTAGTTCCACCGGTCCCAGGCATGGCAAGCGTCGTCGATGACATGGGTTGATCCGGTATGATACCATATGGGTCGGGATAGAAATCGAAAGCCGCTTCGGGCTTGTGAGGATGATGATGCGAGTGCGCGTGCGGGTTGGGTCGAGAGAACATCCTCGACAGTGATTTTCTAGCACCAAGACTTCCAGATAGAGACCCGCCAACGGTGTTGCCTTGTCCCGCAGCAGAAGCATTCTGTATGGCAATGGGCGATGACTCTCCTGCGCCCTTTCTCTCAAACACAGGGCTACCTTGACTTGATCCGCTAGAGTCCCGTCTCATCGCTTCGCCATGTAATTTCAGCTCCAAGCCTCCCTCGGCTACCTGCGTCTGCGGCTCCATGAAAGTTACAAACCTCGACTTGGGTTTCCACGATTCTATCTCTTCTTCCGAGTCGTCCTCAGAACCTTCATCGGACGATGAAGAGGGTAGTGACGATGTCGACCTCTCGGGAGAATGCAGCGGGGAAGGGGGAGGAGTGAAGCGCTGCAGAGCGATACTTGTGTATTTTGGTGTCTGTCGTTGGGAGGCGGGGCCTTGAGACTCGGAAAGTCTCGCATGCCCGCCTTTGGGTGACACGTTTCTCGACGTCGTGGGCCTCTTCTCCTTCGCTTGACCCGACCCCTTCTGCCATACGTCTTCGAAACCAATCGCCTTTGCGTGGGTCTCCGCTGACTTGAACTCTTCGAAGAGACCGGCCATAAACACCCATAATCGCGCATCATCCTCCCTTCCAACCCAAGCTGCAACCCCCGCATTCCACCGACAAAGCTCTGCCCCTCCTCCTCCTTCCATTCGATACCATTTTGCCATGAACGTGGTCTCGGGCGGGGAAGGAAGGGGGGAATGCAAGGGTATAGAGCCGATGGTTTGGATCGGATGATAGGGGGGGTCAGAGATTTGAGACACATGATAAGGGTGGGGGACTGGACGCGAATACTCTGGTTTGAGGTCATCGAAGGGGATTTCTCCAGCTTTGAACCTGTCCACCGCGAAAGCCATCTCCCCTCTCGAGCTCCAGCTTGAGACTTGTCTCGGTACTTGATCCAGAGGCAGCGCCACAGGCAACCTTCCTTGTCCTGAAGCGTTGCGAGAGGTTGGATGGATCTTTCTTTCTACATCCAGCTGCGCCAGGCCGCCATTCTGAAAAGTGACGACCAGAGATCCTTCGTCCCTCCATGCGGCGTCAATCGCGACGCCATCCTGCGTAGGGACATTGTACTTCGCGACATGATGTCTACGAACATGCCAGATGGAGAGGTGTGCGGCGTCATCGTCCTCCAATGGATCATCATCCTCGGTGGGACCGTCGCTGACCTGAGAGCTCGAACGATTGAACAGTTTAGGCACGTTCAGCCTGGTCGACTTGTCTTTTGACTCTATCGGAGCCACAGTCGGCTGTGGTAAACTGGAGGCAGGGTCGACACCTTGGGTTGTGGACAAAGGCTGAGTGACGGGGACGACAAGAAGTTCTGTGGAATGATTCGGCCGCCAGGCTATCCGCCGGATGGGATGTGGTGTATACAGTGAATGTGTTGATGAAGGCGCTTTTTCCCATGACTGGTTCATGTCCCATATCTATGCCTCATCAGTCGCGTTTCGGATACAAGAAAGATGCCCACCTGTACGATCTTGTTGGCACCAGCACTGGCCAACCAACCCCCGCTTTCACCACCTCCTTCATCCCCCACTTTCCACTTGAGATCCATCACGGCTTTACTTCCATGTGCTCCATAAGCAGTACCCATGTGCTTTCCCGCCATACGCCAATCGTACCGCTTAATCGTGCCATCGTCTAAACCTATGACAAATGCAGACGCATCGGTGGGTGAAAAGCACAGCGAGGTGATGGCCGAAGAGTGTCTCAAGGGCCGTCGGGATGGCGGATCACCTGTACGCAGGTCGAGTAGTTTGATATTGCCGTCCGCGCCACCTATCAGAACCATATGACAGTACGCCGGCTGATGGCAAAATGTCGCACAATTCAGTGGTCTGAATGACCCACTCGATATTTCCTTGTCTAGTTTTCCCCTCTCCACGTCGTAAAGCATGAAATTACCGCTCGGAGTCGCCGTTACAAGTTTATGATCCCAGGCAGCGACACCCCAGTCGAGATCGTTGACGCCCTTGCCGACGGGCCAGGATGATTTCCATAGATTGACGACCTCAGAGATGGTCGCTCCACCTGGACCACGTGCAATGACATTGCGATCGGAATGGGATGAGGAATATTCTTGGACGACAGGGGTGGAGGAACCTGAAGATGGGTCGTCTATGTGGAACACTCGAAGATCTACCTCTCATCAGTCAAGGTTCAATCTTTGAAGCGCGACGAGACGCACACTGTCCGCCACCAACAGCATACCTGCCGCTTGGTCCTTCTGCCATCCTGTTCATTCTCGTAGTCCCCGTCGCGCTGCTCATCCCCCAGCCTTTCCTGGCAGTATTCCCAGCGGCAGCCGCCATAAGGTTGACCCTGACCCCTCTATCACTTCTTTCCCTACTCTCACTCCTGGCCCTGGGCGTAGGGGCTTGAGATGAGGATGCACTGCGGTATAAGGGAGGCTGAGAGTAAAGCCCTTCATCTGTGAGATGCCGCAGAAGTGTCGGCCGAGAGGGGCGGTTGAGAGACGGAGGAGCATACGATGGGAGAGGCGCAAGAGGAGGGTAATATATTGACCGCGGGTCGTCATAGACCACAGATGAGGGCGCATTGAAGCGCCGCTCGTTCGGTGTACGCACTGAAAGATGGGTGGGAAAGGGGGGTTCAAGAGGGGATGAGATATGTGGGGACTCTTTGTGGTGTATGGAAGAGGTCTCTGAGTTTGCAGAGGGAATTGCGCTGTGGTCGTGAGCGGGGATGGGGGTGGCTAGGGGATGCTCACGCTGAGAATGCGTTTGTGATGCGGTTCATGGCGGGTGCATCGCTGTTTGTTGTTGTTTTTGCCCGTGAAAGAGATGATGCGCGGCCAGCCGAGGTCAGCCCAGCCAGGATAAACTCGCGAAAATAACCACAAAATAATCCTCGTCCTATTATCGCTGACTGCTCTCTTTCCTATCACTGGTCCATCTCAACCTCGCACACCATGTCCCACGGCTACAGACAGTGCGTACTCCGCCCGCTTCACACCCGTCACGCTGACAAGGAGCAGAGATATGCCCCCGTCCGGGGGGTACGAAACCCTCAAGTACAAGCGTAATCTCCCTCTCCGAGGTCCTTCTGGTGCCGTCATCTTTGGCAGTGTGTTTGCTATCTGCACCCTTGGATTCTACCGACTCGGACAAGCCAACAACGAGCGACGGTGCGTGCGCAATACTTGTACTCCTGAACGACCGGGAGAGTCCTGGAAATTGAGCTAATGTGTGAATTGAATTGTAGTGAATTGAAGCGCGAAAAGGCCTGGTCCAGGATCAATCTTGTGCCCTTGCTCTTGGCGGAGCAAGACAGAGATGCGTACAGACGTGAACAGGCGGCCCTGGCGAGGGAGAAGGAGATCATGTCAGATTATTCCGGGTGGGAGGTGAGTCTTAATTTCCATGTGGAGTAGACGTGAGATGAGGCTGGAGAAGCAGGGCTTGCCGGCAAGCGGGGCATGTAGGCTTACAGATGTCTTAGGCTGGCAAGAGCTCCTACAACACCAAGCGATACACACCAAACACTATCGTCGTTCTCTAGGGCTGGTTCGAGGGATAGTGCTTCGCGTTGTACCGAAGATGTATTAGCATTGCATATTGTCAGGGCAAGACGTGTCGACATGCGGGTTGTGAGTTGCACCGTCATGGGATCAGTGTATGAGGGGCTTGCTGGTGTCTGGTCCTAGTGAACAGGGAATCGGTGCGATACCACTGTCCGGGAGACGAGTGTGTTGCGCTTTTCAGACCTGCTGCCGATGATTGTATACGAGCCCTGGGGTGTTTAGCCGACGTGCAGTGGCTTTGGTTCTCTTACAGTATTGTGCGGCAGTAGTCGTGGCTCATGCATATGGCCATGGCATGCATATGATGCATATGATGGATGTAGTGGTTACGTAATCGAGCTTGTTGCCTTGTCGGGTGACCGCATCAGCAGCAGTGTTCTCTGTGCAGTGTTCTCATCTCTCCCCAGTCGAATCTACTAATCTACTAATCTACGAACCCCCCACTGGTATACCCGCAATGACAGCTGGCCTCAAGAGTGCGCCCTTCCTTTGCCCCCCTGCCCCCATGCCCATTGCTCACTCGCCCGTCCCGCTCTTCCTCATCAATCCACTGTCATCAACCCTCCAATCCGCTCTCCATGTCTCGCCTACACTCGTATCACCAACCCGCATTCAACAAAAACACAGCCGTCATCCTCCTCTCGTTTGTGCTGGCAGCCGGCTTCCTGCTGGTCATACTTTCTTGTGCCCTTTGGGCCAACTGGCTTCCCCTCCTTGTCGGTGCGTCAATAGGGTCTCATCCACTCTCAAGAGCCTCCTTCTTGACTTTTGCTCACCTTTCATCAGCTCTCACTTTCATCCTCGCGCCATTCCCCAACTGGATCGGTTCTAGATGCGCCTCGGCGGACGAAATCTCGCCAGAGTACAATTCCGCCTACGTTGACTTTGGAAGGTTCCTCACGGGAATGCTCGTAGTAAGTGAATTTCGCTTCATGCAGAATGCAGGAGTGTGGATATGTAGCACCGCACTCAGCGGTCAAACCGGGTACAGGAAACCAGTCGCTCAGTGGCCCAGTGGGCGTGTCACGGCGATCTTTGGTGACCTCGTCGAGCATGCGGTCCGTCTCCGAGGGCTTGACATGCATCAGACAGCACCCCAACCTTGCATTTTGGCGTCTCCACGCTGACCATTACGCTTTGCTCAGACGACCGGCCTCTCCCTCCCCCTCCTCCTAGCCCACTCGGCCCTCATCCAACCCGCAGCATGCTGGATGTCCATTGCCGGCGGTGGTTTGGTCTATGGCACGATCCTGGTGTACGCTGGATGGTTCGGAGGCAACAACGAGGATGAGTTCTAGAGTAGGCCGTGAAGACTCGCAGGCGCTTGTATGCACCAATATTAGACGGGACGCTATACAGAGAATGGGTAGAAATAGTGGAGTTGCAGCCTCAAGCAACTAACGCACGCGCCGCATTTTACATCTCTGGCAGCTTTGCAACATTTCCTCGTCCACCAGCTATATACCCATATCCTCATTTCCACACCTTCGCCAGCCCACGGCACCCCCACAGTCACCCCTTCAGCCCCAGCCCGAGCAGTGCATCCCCCATTCCAGCACCACTTCGGCCTGCTGCGACTTCACCGCCTTTTTCATCGCCATTGCTCTCCACCCTACACACCCCTCACCCGTCTCCCATATCGCACCTCTCGCATGTCCTCATAGATCCAACCCCAGCACATGATGGTACACGCCACCCATTTCCTCACCATCCTCTCCCTCCTTCCCCTTTCAATCGCCGTCTCCGTCTCTACCCCTCTCAACGCGACAACACAGCCAGCTCCTAATCCTCCCTTTGCCAATCTTGCGCTGCCGCCTGGCCATGCGGCTCGAAATGTTCTCGGCGTGGCGCATCCATCGCCAAGCACTACACACAGCCATGGCATCAAGAGAAATGTAGGAAAGTCGAGGGGTGTCCGTGCGCACAGCCCGAGAGACTTGCCAGCCATTGTAGGCGACATACCTGCCATAACAATCGGAGGCATCGACCTGCCCCTCATTGCGCGATCCCATCCTGGCTCTGGCCTCTCCAAGAGGTCAACGGACAATGCAACCCTGCTTCCTCTGGCAACCACCGAAAAGTGAGCCGTGTTTATGCGCAAAAAGAGTGACTTTACGTTAACACTCCAACAGCACATTCATCGTCCCTGTCTCTATCGGTTCTCCCCCAAATACCTACCCTCTTCAGCTCGACCTCGCCTCTTCAGATCTCCTCCTTGCCTCTTCGCTCTGCACCTCGTCCTCTTGCCCATCCTCTTCATCCACTAATCCGTACTATGACGTCGCCAAGTCTCAGGCGGGATGGGAAGAGGTAAACGGGAACGGGACGCTATGGAACACGAGCTATGCGGACGGCACGGTCGCTTCAGGCTTTATTGGGAGGGAGGTCGTTACGCTGGGGGAAAGTGTCGTGGAAGGACAGGTCTTTGGAGTCATCAATTCAACCAATTTGACACTCTCCGACCAAAAGATCTCTGGGATCTTGGGATTGGGATTCCCCAGGTTATCAGTGATGGGACACGTGCTGTTGAAGGAGTCTGAGGCTGCGACTACGCTCAACGCTACTCTCACTGCCACTGACAACACCACCGCGAGTGCTACAGGCACCTCCAACAGCAGTTCCACGAGCACTGCCAGCTCTGCAAATGCCACTTCCACGGATATTGCCTACCTCCCCACGCTTCTGGAGAACCTCGTCCGTACACCTCATCTCCCCTATCCTGTCTTTGCCCTTGCTCTAGCTCCTCCCATAAACGACCCCTCCACCTCAACCTCATCATCAGCAGCTTCTGCTAGCTCCACGGCACGATACGATCCTTCGCACGGGTCCTTGACGCTGGGAGGCGTGTCGGCGTTTTACGTGGACGAGAAGGAGGGATCGGGGAGGACTGTTGGGGATATCGAGTGGTTTGATGTGGTCCCCTTTGGCCAGCCATTGACAACCAACGATACCTCGGCAGAGAGTGTGACTACCAGCGATGCTACCGCTACTGCCACGCCCTCTTCATCCACTTCGTCCAAGCGCAAGCGGAGTGATGAGTCTCAAATCGACTCACTCCCTACGTCCACCACCGCGCTTTCTCAAGAAGAGTACCTCCAATGGGCTCTCACTCTCCAAAATATCTCTCTCAACGGCACTGTGATCACCCCCAACTCATCCTATGCTTCACTTGGCCTCGGTTCTGTGGCCTTGTTGGACGCGGGCTTCAACGGGATAGCGGGTCCTCAGCAGGATGTGACTCGGATCTTTAGCAAGATTACGGATGCCAGAGAGGTCGAGACGGGACAGTGGGTGGTCCCTTGTGATACCAAAATGACCATTGGATTCAGCTTTGGGTGCGTCCTTTCTTGACTCTATTGTGTCTTGTGCTTACGATATGCAGCGGGAGGTACATTCAACTTCAACCGTCGGACTGGATATACGCCGGTGTAGAGAATTCCGAGCTCTGCATGGCCTGGCCCATTGCACAGGAGGACACTGGGGATGGAATTGATTGGCAATTGGGAACACCATTCTTGAAGAATGTCTACAGTATTTTTAGGTTTGTCTAGCATTTTGAGCGAAGAGGCCTCTCTGACGCGACCATAGCTACGGCATCAATGGCAAACAAGCTCCATTGGTCGGCTTTCTTCCTATGGAGTCTTCCTCGGATACGTCCGACAACTCTACGACGGCCTCTGAAACCCCCACGGCCGATCCCGATTCTCCCACCCCTACCACCATAGAGGGCCTCTCCCTCACAACCACGCTCAAGACTCAGCTTCCAAACGCCGTCCTCGCTTCTCCCACCTTCCCCACCCCGTCTTACGTCTACTCTTCTTCCCCTTCTGTGCTGCAGACGGGCACTTTACAGTACATGGGCTTGGGTAACGGCACCGAGTATGATGTTGGTGATGTATCGGTGGTCAGCGTGGATAGCAGTGCAGTCAGTAGTATTGCTGTGGGTGCTGGAAGCTCCAATAGTGGCGGAGCGGTCAGCGGGGCAGAGAGACGGGTATTGGAGAGTGGAATGGGCTTGGGTGTAGGGATGATCGCTGGTGGTGTACTGCTTGGCACCATGTTGATCTGATCTTTTGCATGAGCGCCTTCATGTCCAACTTAATGTGTGAATAGAACAAAACTTATAGCATAGATTTTACAGTCTTCAATCTTGCCTGATGACGAGCCAAACATGGACGTTTTCTTGAATCCTTGTAACGAAACCCAATGTATATGTATGTCTTTACTTTGATACTTTTTGAACAATGCATAGAGTTTTACAACTTGTCGCGCGATCATTGTGAGCAACCTGGACAAGTATGCAGCACATCGTGGATGTATAAATCACAGTCTGCGCAAAAGTCTTGGGCGCATTTTGAGCAGCGGTATCGGCCTGTGGGAGAGACGCCGTCTTCCACCTGAGACAAACCCGCTATGGTCGGGAGAGTTTCACGCTGCATAGGACGGTATCAGTGGTGAGCCACAGAGTAGAGAAGAAGACTGACGTCTGGAAACGGAGAGTCACATCCAAAGCATGTTTCGGGCTGGGATACGTCAACCTCTTCAAAGCTGAGGGTTTTGTAATTGGCCACGGGAAACAAGAACCAGAAACTGTTGTTTCTTCAGCACTCGTCGCATGTCATTAGAGGAATGAGACTGACCTTCTCGCCAAATGCGGTGAGCTGACGACCATCAACCCACAGACCTCACAGTCTGTTGGTACATCACAAAGCTTGCTCCCACACCTCGGGCAGAGGTATCCTCCCTTTTTGAGCAGACCATGGCAAGCGCACATGGTCTCTCCACCGAGCGGCAGCCGGATAGGGAAGCCCATGACCATCAAGTCACCAGCAGGGGCTTTGCCTGCAGCGCCATTGCGACCGCCAGCTGCGAGGGCATTGCGTACGCCGAGAGTGGCAGGGGCGATGGTCGTGGCCGGTGGGGGGATGGTATCCCAAAGTAAGTCTCTCAAATGTTCTTGATCCAGAGCGACCCCGAACTTCCCGCCAGTCTGTTCGGCAATCTGTTTACAGATCTTGATCTCACCAGACAGAGAGAGAATGGACGTGCGGATGTGAGTCTGGGCGATTTCGGACAAGGTGGTGTGGATCGTCTTGGGTCCGTCGGGATCGGCGGTAGAGATGGAGGAGAATACTATCAGCATCTCTAGGGACGAAGTCCCAGGAAGATGCTCCATCCCGCTCTTGGCCATGAGAAGTCCATTTTGGAGAGACGGCTCTCCGGACGGTTCCAGACGGCGCTTGTCTGAGAGTGCTTGTACAAGCTCTTCTGGCGAGCCTCCCATGGGCACTAGTACCTCCGATAACCTATCTCGTAGGGTGATAAGTCCGATTTGGCCCAGGGGATTTTGGTCGAACCATTCAGGGATGTAAGAGCGAAGATAGTTCAAGACGACTTCGAAACGAGTGGGCCGGTAGTCTTTGTCGAGCATTGATTCAGAAAGGTCGACGAGAATGAACATGTGCCGGATGATAGACCGCCGTACGGGTGCTTCAGACATGAGAGCCCTGCAATGGGTCAGCTTTGCCTCTTGCGCATCGCAAGACTGACCTCTTCCGCCGACCCCTTGCCAACAGACTCTCGACAGCGCTTTCCAGCGAACCCTTCTCATCTTCCTGCACGATATCCCATGATTTTTGATATTCTCCTTCCCACGCTGCTCTTCCGGGCTGCTCAGTGTCAGTGTTGTGTCCGCTTGAGCAATAACAATGCCGCTCACGTCTTTGGTCTTGCCCTTGCCCTTTGCGCCCTTGCCGGCTCTCGACGACGGCCCTGGTAGATCATCCTCGTCGATCTCCTCCTCATCTCTGTCTTCTTCATCGTCGGAGGCGGGGCTGTAGTTGCGGTCTGTGGGCATGCTTGTCGTGGAAGAAGAGATAGGAGGTGTAATGTAATGTACGTCCTAATGTCCAGTACGAGTACCATTCCAAGCCCCCCGGGACTGCCGCCGATTGCCGTGAATTCATTTCGCTCAACCGAACCCGATACTGCATCTCTCCGACTTTTTCTCAGACCACTCCCTGTACATAGCCCCCCGCCTCCCCAGCCTCCAGCAGACACAGGTGCGCTCCTCCTCTCCCCCCCCCCGCCCCCTCCCAATTTCCCCCACGCCTGCAGCTGCCGCAACCCGCTCGCGCTGCCACACCCGAGGCTGTAGTCACCCGAGGCACGATCTTTGAGTTGCCCGCTGCAGGGTGTCTCTGCCGACGTCCCTGCGCCATATATCGCCCTGTGTCTTACCACAGACACAGGTGCGCTCCTCCTCTCCCCCCCCCCCGCCCCCTCCCAATTTCCCCCACGCCTGCAGCTGCCGCAACCCGCTCGCGCTGCCACACCCGAGGCTGTAGTCACCCGAGGCACGATCTTTGAGTTGCCCGCTGCAGGGTGTCTCTGCCGACGTCCCTGCGCCATATATCGCCCTGTGTCTTACCATCGCCACTTACTCTCGCTGCCTTGTAGCTCGCCACGCACAGAGCCTGCTTCCGGAACCACCGTATGTGCTCTGGTCTCTATCTCCAGCTCAGAGTACTTCAAGAGTAGGAGCGTATGCTCATGATCGAGCCCACTGTAGTCACCACCGGACTGGGGCTGTATTATCTCGACTCGGGTCGAGTCATACCCCCAAGCAACCATAAAATAACGCCCAACTCGGTCACGCCAGACGCGTTCTCCAGCACCCCGAACCTATCCATCCATCTACCCCTCTCGAATTCCACCGAGATGTCATCCACCCACTCTTCTCCCTTGATGAAAGAACGCAAGAGGTCGGCTCATTGGTCTGGGCAAGATACCCAGATTCTTATAAATGTTCTTCTTCGGGAGAAGGATACCCGGACAGCAGATAATGGCTTTCCGCCAGAAGTCTGGCAGGAGGTGTCTGGGCTGTTGATGGGGAGCAATCCCAATCTGGCCCAGGATGGGTCCGAGATGCTGCTAGGGGGAGCAAAGACGCCAGAAGCGTGCAAAAGTCGGTGGCAGCGTGTACGTTACAGAAGGGGTCACGGCAATTCATGACTGACGGGAAGAGTGTGCAGCTTCAACGCGATTACAAGGCTGCGAAAGAGCTCGCCCAGCTCCCGGATATCAAGTGGAATAACACAACCCACAGGCTGGAAGCGACTGAGCATGCATGGCAGAATGCTGCAAAGGTGCGCACGACGTCAAGAGTGGGAAGTTTACTGACATTTCTCGGCAGGTCTACGAAATAACCAATAAGCACCGCAAGATCCATCTCCCATGGTGGGATTCCCTCGTCATTCTATGCTCCAGAGAAGCCACTCGTAGCCGCGGCCGTCGTCGCCGCAAGAAGAGCATTGAAGCCGACCAAGAAGAATACCAGGCCGAGCTGCTCGCCGAGTCTAGCCGGCACGCGGCTCAGGTTCACGCTCAGATGACGAACGGCCACGGGCACCACGGGTACGAGCCGATGTCCAATGGCCATCATCCTCATCACCATCATCCGCAAGAACACCATCAGCAGCACCACCATGGCATGCATGATCCGAATCAGGGAGGGTCGGGATTGGTGGGCTTGTCAAATGGGGCACTGCAGGCGGTTGAACATGGAGCTTTTAGCTGGGAAGCGGGCTCGAGTGGTGATGGGGACTTTGACCAATCATTTTTGGTGAGCAAATCTCGGAGACTAATTCAAGTCTGTGCTGACTTTTGTAAAGCCAAACCAAGCATTCATACCACAGAAACGCAATCCCATGTTTGACCCGGGCCTCTTGACCCCCGAAACGTCCTCGGGAACCACTGTTTCTGCCCCTCTCACGCTTCATGACACTCCCAATAAACGCCAACGCACGTCGTCCCGCACATCCCAAACACACGTCCTTCCCCATCAGCACCTGGGCAACATGCCTGGTGCCAACTATCCTTACGCACCCATGGCGTCTGGCAATCAAACTGCGGCGGGCCCTGGGGCGCAGAGCCCAGACTATGGAAGTGGGGAGGGAATGCTAGACCCGGTCTTGCTGCAGGCGACGGCATCGCCGGGTATAACGCTCAAGACGTATACGCCGCCGGAGAAGGGTGGGCCGGCCACGACGATGCAGGGTTCACTCGGCAACCCTCAAGTCCATCGCAGAGCGCCTTCGCAATCACAACCCCAACCCCGACACCCACCCACCTCCCATTCCTCTTCCGACTCTTCGTCTACGCACAATACGCACAATAATCTTCAAATTCAAGCGCAAGCACACAATCATCCTCAGTCCCACCCCCACTTTCAAGCGCAATCTCAACCCCAATCTGTACATCAACCACACCTCACCCAGATTCAGCCACCTCTCCAGGTTTCTCCTTCCGATCCCATGTTCCTTTCATCCCTCACCGAGTCTCAACGGCGTACTGAAGCACTGCTTCAGCTGCAAACGGTTGACGCGGATATGAGGGATGAGGAAATGGTAGAGGTGATGGAAGAGTTTGAGATGAATGTGGCGGCGGCGGATACGTATCTGGCGATCAAGAAGGAGGCGCTGAGAAAGATGTGGCTGGCCAATCTTGTAAAGAGAAGGCAAAGATGAGAGGTTATTGATGCAGGAGCGTGTTGTTGTCTTTACATTGGGCATACATGACGTTGTACGAGTATTACGGGGATTTGGTGAATCTTGTACTAGGTTATAGAGAAGTCTCTTGACAATGTCACGATTGATCTTGAGCTTGCAGTATGCAAACTGATCGTGTGCCCGGGTCCGCAGGAAACAAACACTGAAACCGATTTCAGATGCACTCGGGCGTTTCCACTCGTCGCGTGTGCTGTTGTGGGAAAGCCTAATTCCCGGTGGATTGTGCTTGAACGCGACTAAGATGTACAGTAGTCCATTTCTGTACTCTTAATATACATTCTGCATATTGACTCTCTCGTTACGGCGCAAGCACTATGAAACCGTTCTGGGATCGGACCAACCTAGAGATTGCCATATCCCATCTCAAGAATTTCCCTCAGCATCTCCTCCAAAGCCTCTCTCTCTCGTTCATTGTCAATATGGATCAACGGCTGAGCAACCTTGGTGCTTGCAGGGGGCGGCATAGAGTAACTCCCAGAGCGAGTGATTTCGATGGTATCGCTGTACGCGATGGCGACGGGAGCAGGGGGGCGGGTACGGCTGACGGCTTGCTGGATGTCTCTGGTCATGGCGCACATGGAGTTGATGGTTGCCTGGAGATCGCCGACTGTACCCTTCTCTGTTCACTGTCCTGGACGACGATATGCAAGAGATAGTCAAAGGCGATGACGTGTGGACATTCGAAGACGCGGTCGCCAGGCACAGGCACGGTGTTTCACGTTCACTGCTCGTTTTTGTTATTGTCCTCTGCAGTTTCACTCGACTCTGTTCCTGCCGCCGCCTTATTGTTCCCTGGCCTGCCATATGCACTCATTAACCCAAGCCCCCCATCTCTCATCTGCATCTCCATCCACCACCCACCATGGCGCCCCCCTCAGAAACATCCCGCTGGTCATTCAAGTCCCGCTTCTCCATCCAGTCATTCCTCCCCGCCCGCCACCCTCCCCTCATCACAGGGCCCCCTCGCATGCCCCCTACTCTCCCAGGCCCACGCCACGAGACCATCGTATCAGACACCGTATCCCCCGTCCACAGCGAGTACCCCGACCTCGCGCTCAGCACCCCGCTCCCGCCCATCAAAAAGAGAAGCTACGACGGCAGTCCTCTCCGCTGGGTCCAGGAGCAAGAGCAGGTCCTGCAGGAGAGCAGAAAGAGAAAGAGGGCGCCGCCACCGCCCCCTCTTGATCTGGACAGGACACACCGCATGTACCCTCCAAACTACGTCGACGTTGTCATCGGCCCCGGTACGCCTCCTGCTCCTCCCAAGGCAACGAAGGAGCAGGCGATCATCGAGGACCCGTTCGAGGTCGCCGAGGTCGAGGCAGGGCACCGATATCCCTCCTGGAAGGGAGGCAGAGTCGACATCCGTCCCGGCCAAGTCATCCCTCGCGGTATGATCCCTTCTCTTTCAGACTCTGACAAGTCTTCGCGCAAGAGCAAAGCCCCGCTTTTCACTACGCTCGCCACTCCCGACAACTATGACTCTGTCCTTCACAACGTCCTCCTTACCCCGACCTACCTCCCATCCCCTTCCGTCCAGCCCACGCCTACTTCACCATGGTCCTACATGGACGAGAAGAAGAACCGCCGTCAGACCTTGCTCGATACCATCTCCAACGCCGGTCGCCGGGCTTCGCGCTGGGTACCGGGCAAGAGCATCTTGCGCAACAACCATGGTCCTTATGGCGATATCGACAGGTCGCTGAAAGCTATGCGTGAGAGAGAGATGCGGGAGATGGACAAGTTCCGGAAAGGCGGAGTGAGGCTTGATGTCCCCAACTCTGCCTACTCGACGGGATCGAGCCCGGCTAGGGAGATGAGCAATGTGTACTCTCGCAAGAGCCCTGGATGGCTTGGAACAAGAGAGGCGGCTATTGGGTTCTCGGGTGATGGTAAACATGCCTCGCATTACGGCGACAAGTCGTGGAGGGCGAGCAAGAAGGAAGATGACAAGAAGAAGAGGAACAAGAAGCTGTTGAAGGTGAGTCGTTTTCATTGTCGCAAGTATCCGGCTGACTTTTCTAGATTGGCACCATCATTGCGGTGCTCATATTGGTCGCATTGATCGTCGGTCTCTGCACTACCCTCTTACGCAAGAAATCCTCTTCAGCCACCTCTTCATCGAGCGACTCTTCCAACTCGACCGCTACAGCCTCATCCTCTGCGGCCGAAGCGTCAGCGACATCATCCAAAACCCTCTCTGCATGCCTCGACCAATTCACAAACTCTGCCTCTTCCTCTCCCTCCTCCTATCCCTGCTCCGACTGCGTCAGCGTCCTCACGTCCACCACCAACGACTTTTCCCAGTCCCTGGTCAACGGCAACTCGACAGGCGTAGGATCGGCGCTGCAGTTCTGTGCCATGATGGACATTTTCAACAAGGTGGAGGATACGAGCGATATGGCCAAGTGGGGTGAGGATGCGAGTCCGTGTGGATGGGATGGGGTGAACTGCGACTCGAGAGGGAGGATTACGACTTTGACGTTAACGTATCCAAAGGTCCCGGATGAGCTTCCGGATACGCTGGGCAATGTGTATGGGCTCAAGGCTTTGCACCTCACTGGCAACTCTTCTATCCCAAGTAAGTCATCATCCGCCTGCTGGAAGAAACATCGCTGACAGTATGATAGCTGGAGAATTCCCTTCGTCGCTTTTCAAGCTTCTCAACTTTACCACCCTCGACCTCGAGTATACCGCTCTGACTGGCTCGATCGACTCGGTGTCTTTCAGCGATGCTCCAGGTTTGGTCACGCTCACACTCATCAGCAATGCCAACCTCGGGACAACGATGCCGGATCTGTCGAGCAACACCAAACTGTTGACTGCGGTTGTGACAGGGCAGAGTCTGACGGACGCGAATGCAGACAAGCTGCCGTCTTCCTTGACCTACCTGTAAGTGTCTTCAGCTTGTTCATTCATGACACACCTCTGACTCGCCACAGTGACCTCTCATACAACTCTTTGACCGGCCAAATCCCCTCCTTCTCCCAACTCACATCTCTCAACACGCTCTACCTCCAAAACAACGAATACACCTCCGCCCCCAGCTCTCTCCCATCCTCTCTCCAATCCATCTCATTCACCTCCAATACCGATCTGTCTGGGAGTATGCCTTCAGCAGTGTGTTCGAGCACGACATTGACGTCGTGTGATTTGAGGAGTACGAGTCTGACCGCTGGGTCGGGGACGAGCTCGAGTTCGCAGGCTGCGTCGTCTTCTGCTGTATCGTCGTCGGAAGCGGCCTCCAGCTCGGCAGCTAGCAGTTCAGTCGGCAGCACGTCTGTCGCTGGCTCTACGTCTAGCTCGGCAGTAGCGTCCACCAGCGCAGTGTCCAGTAGTGTGGTCTCGTCAAGAGCTGCGAGCTCGACGGTGGCTTCTGAGTCGTCTTCTTCGGCGGCGACGAGTAGCTCTTCGGCTCTGGTTGCCAGAGCAGAGACGTCTAGTGTATGTGGGGTGTGTCAGTTCAGCTAGAAGAGTCTCTCCTGGAGAAGATTAGAAAACGAAAAAGGCATATACCCGTACCAACAAACTATCGTTCCATAAACATTATTGTAGAGTCGTACACGGAAAGGTCGCCTGCAATGGCGGTCTTTGTATGTTTGCCACATTATCAAGTAACACTATACAAATGAATCGTCTGCATGAAAGTCTAAGCTGGATACCAACCTCCAAGATCCCAAACGCAATGCAGGCCCTCCACAGAGAGACCGTACAAAGATGGTTCTCAATGGAGGGCCATGCACTGCCGCTGTGGGTGGTCGAATGAGAAGTCAGCTACCTTGTTCGTTCAGGATGAACAAAATAACGTACGGGCCCTTCCAAGGCCGCCCATGTCCAAGCAAAGAGGTCGAGCGTTCTTCACAGAGAATCCACCCCACACACGAACTGCGTAAAGTCAGTACCAATCCGTGGAGTAAACACATACAAAAATCCAGACAGGAGATTCTTTTGACCTAAATGGGTGTCAAGCTACAAGTCAAGTCAAGAGGGTATGATGAATGCGTTGCGTGCAAAGAGATGCGAGGTTAAGTTGCCGGGTGCTGCTCGAGAGGGTCTACAGTGCCGATGAGCGACCAAGACGAGGTTAGTACTCACAAGCACGGGGTCGACTACGAAGTTGGCGAGGACTGATGGTAGATGGGGAACATGATGACGGTAATGGCAAGGATGGTGAAGGAGGGAGTAACGAGGAGGAGGCTGATGTTGGCGTGAGTCGTTGGGTTTCCAAATGTTTTCGAGCTCGGGGAATGATTGAACGAAGTGTAGTGTCGTGAAGCGCCTCCTCCGTCGTAGGAGGACCCACCCGCCCGCGCCTCTGCCTTTTGATGATGTTAAAAGCGTATTCCAATTAAGTCGGTACAGGGAGACGTCGCGAAAGAGCTGAAGAGGCGAATAGGTGTTGCAGAGAGAACTGTGTCCATCGGGCAGCGGCTAAAGAAGAGGTTGGATGTTCAAAGGCGAGAATCCAAAGGTCTGATGAAGACAGTCGGGAGTAACGACACATTGAAGAGTGGTTGGTGAGGAAGGTGAAGATGGCGAGTGTATTTCATTGCAGGCGGAGGGTGAAAAGGGAATCCAAGGGAGCTGAAGAGACATGATGATAGGCGAGGGTACCCACGGCTATGAAGAACAAGAAGCGAGAATCCCAATCCCGTCCTCGTCGCTAGAAGATAATGCCAAAGCAAAGATCCGCATCCTGTTCCGAGGTAACGCTTGAATGAATTGATGGTGGCGCGAAAGGAGAAGGGGTATTCAGGGCCATTCAAGTGGAGGAGAAGGGTGAGAAGTTGGAGGAAGTGTAGCATCCGATCCATAAAGCCATGGCCTGAGATCCGATACGAACGAATGAGTGACCGAAGGTTGGCGAGGCTGAGAGGGCAATCCAATGATAGGCTCCAAGGTGCTGGTGCCGAACAAACGATCCAGAGGTCCAGATGGTGGTGTAGATAAAAGTGAAATGGCGAGATCTGTCCATGTGGAACCGTGGAAGAAATCGCTGAAAGTATGACATGAGATCCAGGGGGGCTGAGAAGACGTGACGTGAGCTCAAGTTGGATGATCGGATAGATAGAGGTACCCACGGCTTGAAGAGACAACGTCGCAGCTGATGAAAGCGAACCTTCCGTTGATGAGGCGGTGTGCTAGTGATGTTGTCTTGCTGGATTGCTTCAAGGGAATGTCAATGGGGATAGAGATGGGGCGATGTCGAAGGAGGCGATTCCAGTAGAGGTAAAGGGTAGAATGTGGAGATTGTGAATCCAGAGTCAACATCAAGAGAGGTCTGACGAGAAAGTGCTGTGTGATGGCGGATCCAAGTTCGTCAAATGGATAATGAGCAGAGAGGGAGGTGAGGTTAACGCGTCGGGCGAGAGCTGCGGTTGAACCATGTCAGCTCAAACTCCATGATGCTCAAGTCTGACGACACTCACTGCTGCTACGAGCCAGGAAAAAAGACCTGAGCGATGGCCTAGTACCCACCTCTCTGCTCCCTGATCATAATATGGCCCTGCAAGCGAGAAAAGAAAAAGGCAAGTCTGGGTAACGCGATGTCCAATCCTGGCTGGGTGGTGGTGGAGGCGGTGGATAATTTGGTGCAGGGAATTTGTTCCAGAGGTAAAATCCAAGGGGCTTGAGCATGGGGATTCCGGGTACAGAACAAATAAGACAGGGGCTGGTGGGACTGCAGAGCTGTGCACCATGTCAGCTCAAGTTGAATGATGCGGTGCAAACAAGAGAGAAGAGGAGACTCACGGCTATGAGAACAAATTTCGGAAATTCAAACTCCAAGGTTCCATCCCAGCTATAAAGCATGACAATCCAGAGGCCAGGGTAACGCGGTAGGCTCTCGTCGTGAGGAAATGGTTGCCACAAGGTGTCCAGTGAGAATTCCAAGAGTGTTGTTCAGGCACCTTGATGACTGCGGTGTGAAATGCGACGAGAGGCGGGAGACTCTCACCGGCTCGATCAGAGCTGTAGGGGAGGTCAGCTGATGATCTACAATCACTTCAGGAAGAGAAGAGAAGTACAGGGATGGATGCAAAAGAGTCACACCGCGGCGGTGCCAAGACCCAAGGCTGACCTCCCGAGTGGCGGCGGGAGGATGAAGCCGACGCGAGTAGTGGAGAGGAGGCATGATAGATAGTATGGAGGGTGCTCACTGGTCAAAAGGGAAATGAAGAGGTCGACTGAGGGCGGCGGCCAAAGCCAGCGTCAGTGGCGAGGATGGGCTCGGTGAGAAAAGAAAACTCACACATGACCGGCGGTGCTGACGTGAGGAAGAGCTGGGTGTGCAGTGTCGAGACGGCGAGACGTGCACGTCGAGGTGTAGTGTATGGTATGGTAGAGGCAGAAGCAGATACAAAAGGTGAATGAGAAAGAAGAAAGAAGAAAGAGAGATGAGGAGTTGCAATTCGAGGGGCAAGGGGCTGCCTTTATATGCTCTTTCACGCGGCGGATGAACCACGGCGCCAGACCGTTTCCGCACCATGACTCATCTGCCTCCGAAAGTGGGGGACCCTGTTCGGCCTTGCTCCCTCTAGGGGTGAGAAGAAGTATTACCCTCGTTCGAGATGCGGTCCAGCCCATGATTTCATGTGAACTGAGCCGAGGTCGGCCGGGCGCATACCCCCTCTTCAATTCAGCTGCCCGCCAGTGCATTCTTGTGCATCTGCTCTTGCATCGCCCACTCCCGACTCTCACTAACTACCCCCACACCCATGCATAAGCAGCTCCTCAGTACTTGCAGGCATTTCCAAAGATACCAGACTTCTATCTCACCCCAATGCACGTACCACCTCTCTCTTCTTTCTCACCGTATCCTACTACTTGCCGTGGAACATCTCCGCGAAGCCTGTCACATATCATCGTGTTACCGTTGTTCATGTCTTACGCTCCCAAATACAGAGACCAATACTTTACAGGGGCTGAAATGGTATCGCTGGTCAACAAGCGGACATCGTCTAACCAATATAGCGCCTGGTCGCATCTGCGCTGCGAGTCAGTAAAGAAATTTGCTTTCCAGCCTCTGCACGTTCGTGTCCTTGTCTAGCGCTCCCAGTATACTTAATCAAAGCAACCATTTTGATCGCCATCTGAGAATCCGAGAAATAGACAGACATTGTTTCCTCTGTGGCGCAGCTTCACTCAGTAGACATCTGTTTCTGCAGAGACGTGCGACCGACGAGGCGTGCTCGGCTCGGATAATGGCACCTGTTCCCTAGGCATACTCGAGACACACCTGACCAGTGCCTTGATTCACCGAGAAATTGGCTTACCTTTTTGCCGTGGTGCTACTGTTCGGAGCACATATCGCGAGGAAAAGTGCAACGTTGCAAATCTTTCAAGTAGTATGTAAAGTAGCAACAGTTTCGTTGAACGACGCGAATAGAGCAAGAAACATGAAGAAGCTCGTGTATATCGATTGATCCTCTTGATCGAGGGTACATCAGTCTGGGTACCTGTTAGTTAAGCTATGCCCCCCATCCTGTAACAGTCCACAAAGATCATTGACATGTCGCTCGAATCAAACAGCTGCAGAAGAGTGCGCGGCAACGTTATGAGGTCGAGGAGTCTCGTCATGGAGGTTGACGACATGGGAACGTGCTAAGCAGATGAGACAGAGTATAGAGTAGCATGAACCGCTCCTGACGCAAGCGGGAGCAGTGAAGTAAGATAGGTGGCCGCTCGATCCTCACGAGACAGCGATCAGTACGAGTACAGAGCCAAGAGATTGTTGGCTGATGTCTCGCTCTCTTGAAAACCATGACTCAAGGTCAGAGCACTCATCCTGTTGTGGTGTCAGACATACATATACTATTAAGATGCCGCAATTATGTTCACGACTATGCAGAGATACCCTTACACTTGACTTCCTTATCATGAGGTGAGTCGTCCCCACCATCATGACGACAATAATGATGCGCACTTGGGTTTCTTCCCCCATTGGTATTGATTTGGCGATCACTAAGCCTCGGTCTGTGTATCCGAGCAGTGGCGTGTGTTTCAGAGGTCGAAGTCTGTGATATGTGACATGTGTTTGTTCAGCGTCTGTAGAGGCTTGGCTATACGGGCGAAAAAAAAGCCAATTCGACTCCAGGGGAGAGATACCTTGACGGTATGACAGTATACCCTCGTGTCCTACATATAAAGATACTCATCTGGGCATTTGTGAAGGACATGCTACGCTCCATCAGTTTCTGCATAGGACGGGCGATCAACTCCCCACAGGTGACGTTTGACGATGAACCAGCAACATCAGCAACCTTTCCTTGGGACGGTTCGTCATGTGGGATCGGCTGTCTATACAAGTGTGTATACGCGGGTATCTGCCTATGCTCTGCATTATGTGCAAGCTATTCCAGTTGTTGTTAGCGTGCTGTTCCGAAGATGCCGACTAGTACATGCGCCAGGATGCGAGGCCAACCGACGATCTGTTATCGCGATAAGGGCAGCTTGTGCTCCCCTAACCGTACCCTCCGATGCTGGTATCTGGCAAAAGAAGATGCATAGTGCTTCGCGATCATCCATACAGCACCGTTACATACATACAGGCATGAACGCTTTCATGGGCACAAGCCGCGGCAAGCGACATGTTCCCCCGCACAGCAATCTCTCCTCGGCATGCCCCCCGACACAGCAACAGGTGTCATCTACCCGCCCCTTCATGCCCCGTCTGCTCGAGGGTGGCTGTTCATAGTGCGGTCTACGGGCTGCCTGCGGGGCACGCCAGGGAACGTGAGGGAAGCACGCCTGGCGTGGCAGTGCGGGAGGTTGATCAAGCCGCACCTGCCCTGTCCTTTAGCCACGCCCCCTTCCCCGCCTTCTCATATAAAACGCCCCCAATTTCTATCTCGATTTCTCTTCTTCTTCTATATCTTCCCTCGTCCTCCTAGACATTCCATATAATCTTCACCACCGCCTCTCCGCACCCCATCCACAAAACAACACCCAAGATGCGCTCCTTCGTCGCCCTCACCCTCGCTGCTGCAGCCGTTGTCCAGGCTATCCAGATCACTGCTCCCTCCAACAGCTCTGGCTGGTCTACCAGCGGCGCTCAGGAGATCAAGTGGAATGTATGTCACCTCCCGCTCCCGTCTCATCCATCCCCCGGCCTCCCGAGGATGAGGAGCCCCCTCCTTGCAACGCTAGGCATGTCCCAACTGACGCTCCCCTCTAGTCTGTCAGTACCGACCCCAGTAACTTTACCATCACCATCTCCCTTCCCGAGTCTTCCGACCGCTCGGACATCACCAAGGAGAACATCCAGACCTCTGAGGGTTCTTGGCAGTACACCCCCGACTCTGCGCTCGAGGCTGGCGACGGCTACAGGGTCAGCTTTGTGTACGACGGCGCCATCTTGGCCCAGAGCGAGCAGTTCAGCGTGACCGACGGGACTTCGTGAGTGCTTCTCCTCATGTTTGAGGGTGTTTTGCGGCGTCGGGGGGTGGCCGGGCAGGGGAAAGGACCATCCGGCTTCTCTCGCACAGACCCGTGCCTGGATCGATCTGTTTGTTGACCCTTTGCAGCTCTCTCTCCGCCACTTCCTCCTCTTCTTCTTCTTCCACCAGTGCCAGCGGTACCACCACCGTCTCTGAGACTGGCTCGACCACCGCTAGTTCCGTAAGTCTTTGCGCGTATTGACCATACAAGTACTGACGATTTCAGTCCGCCTCTGCCACCGCGTCCGACTCTGCTGCCGACCGAGTCACTGTCGGCGGTGGTCTTTTGATGCTTGCTGGCGCTTTTGCCATGCTCATTTGAGCCACTCCCGAGCACGTTAACCTCTAGCTCTTTGCGTTGAGAAACCTTTCCGAGATTACGAGTTGTTTATAGATCATTTGAGAATATCCTTTCGGTTTTATACGAGTCGCGATGGACATTTAATCATGACTGTATGGGTGAAGGATACATGGACCTAAGGCTTCTTCTCTTCGACCACCTCCAGCTCGTCCATCTTTTCCTTTTCTTCTTCTGTCGGCTGGGTACTCTCTGAAAGCTGAGCTTGCCAGAGTTTTTGGTATACACCACCAGTGTGCGCAAGGAGCTGTTCGTGTGTTCCCTGCTCGGCGACTCTGCCGTCTTGGAGCACGATGATCAGATCCGCATCCGATATCGTCCTCAGTCTGCATTCTCGTCAGCATTGTCCATGGTCGTAAAGTAGACTTACCTATGCGCAATAAACACACTCGTCTTTTCCTGCCCCGTCAATATCGAGTTGATGTTTCTCATCAATTCTGTCTCTGTATACACATCCAACGCGCTTGTGGCCTCGTCAAAGAACAACACAGGTGGGTCCTTGAGCAAGACTCGCGCCACGGCGAGCCGCTGCTTTTCTCCTCCTGAAATCATCAATCCCCGCTCGCCCACCTTTGTATGATACTTGTCGGGCAAGCGCTCGATAGTGCCTTCCACATGCGCCTTCTTGGCCGCCTCATACACTTCCTCATCGCTCGCGCCGAGGTTGCCATACCGGATATTGTGCAAGATATCTGCATGGAAGAGGGGCGTGTCTTGTGGGACGACACCGATCGAGCGGCGGAGGGAGGAGAGGGTGACGGATTTGATATCTTGCCCGTCGATGAGGATCTGGCCAGACTGAGAGTCGTAGAACCGGAAAAGCAGACGGAAGACGGTCGACTTGCCGCACCCGGACGGTCCTACGATAGCCACCTTTTTACCCGCTGGGATCTTGAACGAAATGTCTTTGAAGATCGGTCGCTCGGGGTGGTACCCGAACGCCACATTCTTGAATTCAATCTCACCTCCCTTCAGGCAAAGTTCCTTGGAGGTGGGCTTGTCGGCGATGGCAGAGTTGAGAGATTGGAGGTTGAACATGACGTCCATGTCGATAAGCGACTGGCGAAGTTCACGGTAGACGGTACCGAGAAAGTTGAGTGGGAGGGAGAGCTGGAAGACGAGCTGGTTGACGAGGACGAGATCGCCGACTGTCATTGTGCCTATATGCCAGTCAGCGTGAGTGATAGGAGCAGTAAGCTGCTGACACACCTTTGACAATTCCTTGAGCTCCGAGCAGCATCATCATGGTCAGGGCGCTGGAAAAGATGAAATTCTGTCCCGAGTTGAGTGCGGCAAGGGAGGTGGCAATCTTGATGGACGCCTTTTCGTACCCCTTGAGGGTCGTATCGTATTGCGCGACTTCATACTTTTCATTGTTGAATGCCTACTCAAAGTCAGCAGCGCACCACGAGACACAAAACGACATACCTTGACAGCCTCATAGTTGATCAAACTATCCACAGCCACCGTCGCACCCTTGTTGTCCGCCGCATTCGCCTGCTTCCTGAACTGCGTTCTCCACGCCGTCGTCTTGACTGTGAACCAGGTATACAGCCCCATGGTGATGGCCGTTACCGCTGCAAAGTCCCATCCAAACTTCCAGCTCAGGATACCACACACCATGGATATTTCGAGCGCTGTGGGGATGACGTGAAAGACGATGGAAGAGAGGATGAAGGAGATGCCCTTTGTGCCTCTGTCGATGGCACGGGTGAGGCCTCCGGTCTGGCGGGAGAGGTGGAACTGCATGTCCATGTTGAGGAGGTGCTCGAATGTTTCTCGGGCGACCTTTCGAATGGCGTTTTGGGAGACGGAGGCAAAGACGGCGTTTCGGAGCTCGCCAAAGAGCGTGGTGAGAACTCGCGCGGCGCCGTCTAGTAAAAGTGAGCGCTGTCCACACATAATATAAAGGTCACTTACACCCGGCTATACTGGCTCCAGCCAAGACCCAGACCGTCGTATTATCCGTGATGGGCACGTTCAACGCATCGACAATGTCTTTGAAGAAGAATGGCACCTGCACATTGAGCACTTTACCAGCAATGAGCAGCGACAAAGCAGCAATGACGCGAATCTTGACGCCGGGATTGTTCTTTGGCCAGATATTGCCTGCGAGCTTGACGATGATGGACCAGTCTGTCTTGTCCTGCGACTCGGAGGCTGGGGGTTTGGCCGTGTTGGGGGAAGGCGTGGTGGCGGGAGGAGATGTGGTTTTCGGTGGCGGTGTGCTTCTCCGTGCTGATGACGAGAAGAGGGCGATGGGGGGCAGTCTATAGGGGTATACGGAGGCTATGCGTGGTGGGCGTGGTATTGGAGCGAGGGAAGGCCTGGGCGGGAGGGGTATCCGTGAGTACAGGCGGACATGGCGACTGCACGAGCCGAAGCTCATGATGGAGGACCGGGGGACTTGTATTACTGGGAGAAAGGCGAGGCGTGCAGTTGCAGAGAGAGCATACTCGGCCTGTCCTCGGCGCCAGATGATGCGATTGATTGTGCCTGGCGGGGTGCGCCGCTGTGCCACGGATGCAAACGCCGGATGGGGAATTGCCGGGCCGGGTATGTGGTGAGCGTGGCCCGGCGGGAGCAATTGTCAAGTGAATCACATCCCCTCTATTACCTCTACACGACGATGAAGCGCACGTGGGAGCAGCAGCCGCAGGGAGACGCCCCGTGGGTCCACCTCCCCGCCCACCCCTATGCCCAGGCCTACTTCACCCCCTCCCCCCTCCACACCTCCACCACCTACGACAACGCCCCGCCACAGCCCGCCCACAACAAGAAGCAAAAGACAGACTCAAAGAAGGACTCCCCTACCAAGGACGCCGACAGCGAGGGGGACGGCAACGACGACGACGATGATGACGAGGACGACCCCGAGGACGACGGCAAGCCCGGCAAGGGCAAGACCGCAAACGGCAAGGGCGCAAAGGGGGCCGATGGCAAGCCGAAGCAAAAGCTGACGAGAGGATCAAGGGCCTGTATTGCGTGAGTCGACTGTGGGATCGCCATTCTGCCATGTGCTGATCGTCGTGCAGCTGCCGCAAGATCAAGATGCGCTGTATTCCCGATGATTCATCTGCCGGCCAAGGCAATGGTATCTGCAAAGTAAGCCATCCGCGCTCGTCCTGGTAGCGCTGACTCCCCGGTAGCGTTGTAAAGCAGGCGGCCATGAGTGTATATTCGAAGAGTCCAATCGTGGCAAGCGCAGCACCCGCAAGAACGAAGCGCTCGCCGCCAAAGTATCCAAGATGGAAGCCGCTCTCAAAAACATCGGTCTTGTCTTGTCGAATGTCGACCCGAGCACCTTGAACAGTTTCAACTCGGCCTTGCGCTCGGCGACGGACGACCCAGATGTCATCAGTATGATCACCGCGCACGCATCCTCGGGAGCGGCGCAGAGGATGACGGCGGGACAGAGGGGCGCTTTTTCAGGGCACGATCACGAGGGAGGGCACCAGCCACCGCTCTCCCCGCGGCTGCACTCTTTGCCCGACAATGTCCTTTCTCCGCTCGGACTCCTCGCCGAGGCGTCTTTGCAGAACGACACGTCAAAACGTAAACTCATCGACTCTACCGGAGCTGGCAGGTCTATATCCCGCCCTCACTCTGCCGAGCATCTCCAGCCTCCACGCAATGGTAGCATCAATCTGAATGGCGCATCGACGTTCCGCATGGCTACCAGCGATGTCCGCGGCGGCGGAGAGGGCCACGACGAGGATGATCAATTCGGCCAGCATGGTCTGGGGGTGTCCAGTCACAACTACTTCAAGCCGGGCACGGGGAATGTGTCGTTTTTGCCAAACCTGCCGGCGGAGAATCGGTTGCCAGAGCTCTTGACGATTGCCACGAGGGAAGAGATTGGAGAATTATTCGAGATTTTCTTCGACAACAGTGCGTACCTTTTCCCGTTGTCGTCCCATACTTATGTCGTGTAGTGGGCAATCACGTACCATTGGTTTACAAGGAGTTTCACACTCCCGATCTCGTCCTCCAACGGTCCCAATTCCTCTGTACAGTCATATGCGCCATCGCCGCTCGTTTCTACCACAAAAAGCCCGAGCTCCACCATTCTCTTTCGGCATACGCCAAGCGCCTTGCTTTCGAAGTTCCTTCAAGAGGCTACAAGAGCGTTGAAGTGGTGCAAGCGTACCTGCTCTTGTCTCTCTGGACGCTTGGGCCCGAAAAGACGTTTGAGCAGGATAGGACGTGGTTGATGCTCGGTATGGCCATCCGTATGGCTACCGATCTCAATCTCCACCGGAAATCCATCATGTCGGGGCTCGATACGGAAGAAGGCCGCGCAAGAGACTTGGAGATTATCAACCGCGAGAGATGCTGGCTGCACTGTTTCGTGCTTGATCGGTCGCTCTCGGCGCAAATGGGCAAACCATATAGTTTGAAGGAGGATTATATTATCCGGTCGTCGTGCGAGGCTACCTGGGCCCAGCAAGCGTATAGTCTGCCGTCTGATGCGGCATTGTCGGCGTATGTGATGCTGCAGCAGATCATGAGCCGGGCGATCGACAGTATCTATTCGTCTACCACGACCGTCTCGGGGCTGAGGGACGATTGCGATTGTGAGTGGTGTCCGAGTTGGAAGCAAAGCTGACAAAAGTAGACATGATGATTGTCCGATCGGCGCACGAAGAGCTCCGGCGCTGGCTTACCGACTTTTCCCGCTCCATGGACAATGGGTAAGCCTCTCCCCTCTACTACTCGGAGTGACTTCTGACGATACATTCTGATGCGCCCCGTTTAATAGCGGCGGCACTTCGGAATGGAGCAGTCGTGCCAACTTTTACTTTGCATACTCTTCTCTGGTGCTCTACTCGTTTGGATTGGAGAATGCGCTGGAGCGGGCCAAGATGGACATCTCGTTCTTCCTGACGAACGTGTATGAAGCTGCTACGGTAGGTGTTCATGTGACTAATGAGAAGCGGCTAACAGTCCGAGTAGAAGGTGTGCACGGTCGTCAAAGAAGAATTCATGCCCCGCGGCTGGCTTCCTTACCTTCCCGACACCAACTTTGTCATGTGCTCCTATGCTCTCCTCTCCCTCCTCAAACTGCTCAAACCCGAGCTCCGGCCGTATCACGACTCTGAAGACGCCATCTTCAAGCTCGTTTCTGAAATGGCGGACGTCCTCGAAGAGTGTGCTGTCGACCCGTCGCATCAGCCAGCCATCTATGCGGCCTTCATTAGGGAGATTGTAAGAAAGACCAAGGAGCTGAGGCACGGAGGCGCGGGAACGGTGCCGAGCAGTCCGGGCCACCATGGTCAGGGCCATGGGCAGGGACAGCATGCCATCGCAGCGCACATGACGCACTTGGCCGCGAGCCAAGCGGCTTCCATGGCTGCCTTGAACGAGGCCGGCTCTGCTGCTGCTGGTGACGATGCCCATGGACACCAAGATGGAAATGTCGATGAGCAGCATCACTTTGATCCGTCTCTTATGGGCCAGGGGGCGAATTGGCACCACGATGTGCTCAGCGGGCACGAAACACAATTCACCTTTATCCCGCAAGGCGGCGATATGCTCATCCTCCCCTCGCAAGCCGGACCTTCCATCGCCCCGTCCCCAACATCCGCCTTCCTCGCCAACCCTGGATCTTCTCAGTCCAACGCCAACCCCGGATCTGCGCCTAGTTCAAGCAGCAACATGCCTGCGGCGGGCCAGAGCCAGGGAGGGACGGGTACGACTCCGCACTTTGGGACACCTTCTGCAAATGGGTGGGCAGAGTATATGCCTACGTTCATGAGCTCGGACGGGTTTGATGGGTGGGATGGATCGATGTTGTTGCCGGGTTTTGGAAGGGGGCAGATCACGTTGAGTGGTGGATTGTTGCATAGTCAGTATGGGAGTGGTATCATGTGAGTATCTCTTCGCCTTTTTCAGGGTCATGGCTGACAGAATGACAAGGACGCCTTTGCACCAGACACCTATACAAAGTAGGATAGGGAGCAGGGCTGGGAGTAGAGCGCAGTCCCCTCACCATGATCGCCATTGAGGTCTGATTCCTTGTATTCTTGGATAGAGGCGTGCTGTCGGAGAGGTGGACCGTTGGAAAAGAAATGTTTCAAATATAAGAATGTTTATATTAACGACCTTGTATGTATAAATGATCACTCCTAGCATACCGTCTGTTCATGGCCTTTGAGGATACAAGGCGCATGGAGAAAGTCTTTTGGGTAATCAGACAAAAAGGTGTAATCATAGATGCATCATGCAATAAAGAGGCGCTATGACCTCTTTCCAAAAGCTACCTGTCTCGGCAGCCTGAACGAGAGACAATACATGTCCTTGTTTGGCGCCACCGACCGCACGTGGTGGAGATTGTAATCCTGAGCTTGTGGGGTCAAGTCGTACTCGAGATAATGAGATGCTCGCTAGATTCTTGTCAGCTCTTTTCGCTACGTCGGGACCGCGTACTGACCTGCAAGATATCAACCTCTGCCTTTTCCGGCTCAATCTCCTTGGTAAAGCAATAACAATGCACCATCCCCAGCTCCACCTCTTCCTCTCCCGCCTCTCCATACTGCTCCACAAAAGTAGGCTCCGAGAGCAAAGGGGAGTACGACCCGATGTAGTTGCCAAGGAAGGTGAGCGCCGAGTCGGGGAGGTTCATGACAAAGTGCGAGATCAGCTTTGGCGCTGGTGGCAGCTTTGGTTCTGTCTCTTGCTCCACGGGGGCAGGCAAGCCCTGCGCTTTAGCCTCGTCACGTTTCCGGCGGGCTTCACGTGCTTCTTTACGGTTCGGCGCGCGAGGCGGGAGGGCAGGCTCGAATGGGTCGGTCCATGCCTGGAGAGGGGCGATGCGGATGAATTCGTGGCCGTCTACTTCTGTCACTCTCAACGTCGGTTCGACCTAAACCCCATCAGCTCTCTCCCCTTGCAGAGATAGAAGGCCATACCTTGTTCCGCAGACAATTCTCCCGCATCCACTTGACACTCTCCGGATTCAAGTCATTTCCCATGACATAGCACCCCTTCTTCGCCGCTGGTACGGCAAAAGGTCCGACACCGGCCATGACATCCGCAACAAGCGACTGGGGCGGGAAGAGCGAGATGAGCCGTTCATGTTCGTGGTGCAAGCGCGAGTTCCAGTAGACTTTGGAAAAGTCGAATGTGAACGAACAGCCGGATTCGTTCTGGCATCTATTGTCAGTTGATGTGGGGGGATGTAGAGGGGGACGTACGGCTGTGGTGAGATAGTCGTTGTCACCAGCAATCACTTCCATATCAAAGTACCTGAACTGGGCGTGGATGGTATCCAGCTTGTTGACCACCGTTCTCAATGCTGGGTTTTTCTGCGACCTCGTCAGCTCTGATCGACGGAAAGGAGAAGCACTTACGTCGAGGATGACCTGCCCGATGAGGAATCGATAAGGCAACCACTCTTCTCGCAGATTCATATGCCCAATATGACCGGTGGTAGTAAAAGATGAAGGAAAATCCTCGCTCTTGTCTGTCGGGAGGCAAGCTTCCAAGATCTCGGCTGTTTTCGATCAGCACCCCGCTCATTCTCATATGCAGTGGGAAGACGCACTAGGCCCAAAATTGTCATACCCCATAGCAACAGTGTCCCTCGCCGTCCCTTTGATATACTGCTCCAGAAGCGCCCTCGTTTCCTCTGCGATGTCATCGTAGGAAGCGACATTGAGCCAGAGCACTTTGAGGTTTTGAGAGTCTTTGCAAGAGGCGGGGATCTGGTCTGGAGGGCAGTCGGTGATGGCTCTGATTTTGGGGAGCTCCAATAACAGCCTTGGTCTAATGAGCTCTATACGCTTTTGATATATAAGATAAGAGCTTACTCTCGTACAGGCCGGAGCGCTCTGATCTTGGTGACATCCCTGGGCTCGACAATGACACCCAAAATGTCGATAGAGATATCAAAAGCCGACCGGTCAAGCTTGGTCATGCCCTTTTGCTTGGGAGGCGAGATACTAGATCTGCCAGAGAGTTTTATAGTGTTGAGTGAAGGCGGGGAAGACATGTTGTAGGCAGGTGTTCGGTTGGCCCGAGGCGAGGGGGTATGAGGCAGTTGCGAGGTGAACGAACGAGCTGAGCGGAGTGTTGGAGATGCTTTGAAGAGACGTGAATGGATGGACGCCCTGAGCATGGAATGGAGCGAGGATGGTTCGCAGAGTGCCCCTTGGAGTGGATGGGGAAGCGTTGGAGATGGATAGAGCGGCAGCCCGAAATCTTGGAATGCAACGAGAGGAAAAGTGGAGGCGAGGCGGGGATCGCCGTCCTTATCTGGTCTTGCCATGTTGAGTCATTTTTTAAGGCGGCAAGGATGCGATGTATTACGACGTATAGATTCGGCGCGTCGTACGTGGCTACGGCACCGGCATGACATGTTGAAACGCGACCGGAAAGGCTAAATGGCAAAGAAGACAAGACGCGTTCTTGCTCAAACTCTGATCTGACACCATGTATTTGTTACCAGATTGTTGTTACCAGAATCAGAATGGGTGAGAGATCTGAGGAACGGTGAGCGATACGGTGCAGACGATGAGTGATCTTGCTGTTGAGGCAATTGATTTTGTGTAGATATCTATCGGGTGACTCGGAAGTCGGAAGAGAGGGTCAGTCGGAGGGGATCTGTTGTTTCTGTTCGTGTACAGTACGAGTATCTGGTGATTGTTTTCGTGCATTTGCATTGTCCGAAGACCTCGGGCCCGATGGCATGGGAGGGGGATGCAAGACAGAGATGCATGGGAGTGGGCGAGGAGGAGAGATTGTTCTGGAAGAGAGTTATGTAGAGACGAAAGACGCGAAGACAGAGTAGGGGGGACGTGACAGTGACAGACATTAGGGGCGGCAGTTGCCGTGTCTATTTGGAGATCTAGCTTGTGGATGGATCGGCGGGGAGGAACTAAGGGCGTGCTATGCGCTATGCGTTGTTTGGTCCGTGCGCGGGGCTGTTAGGCGTGTGCGCCGTTGGGTGAGCATGCATGCAGCAGGCCGAGTGCACGGGCTGTGGGTGACGTCGGGTGGAGCTGGGTTGGTGCGGTGGCTGGGAGGAATCTAAGGTAGAGTGCAACCTTAAGCCATCCAGGGAGGATCCAGGGGCGGGCACGCGAGAGAAGACCGGCCCCTGAGAGGAACGCCGAAAGGAGAAATACGCGACGAGGACAATAAGCACAGTTCAATTTGCATCCTCCTTCTCTCCACCCACAACTCTCCCAACCTTCTACACAGCCCCCCTTCCCCCTCCTCTCCCCCACAGCTTCACAGCGCCCACGATCCTTACTTCCTGGCGAAGACTCACCTACTCTGCCCCTCCTCCCACAACGCGCTGTGCGCCCATCACCAAGTAATCCACAATGTTTACCTCTCTCATCGCACTCCTCCCCCTCCTCGCTCTCCCCCTCTCACACGCCGCCGGCGCCTCAGACCCCCGCCAACTCGACTCGCGCGCCATCTACGACGCCGACGCCGCCCTCGCTCCCCGCGGCACTGCTGCTCCCGCTGACGCGCACGGACACGGTTCCAACGGCTTCCGCTCCAGGGCCCACACCTCTGGCCTCCGTCGACGCAGGAACCACGGCGAGGCTGGCCAGAAGCTCGTCAGGAGAAAGGTGAACGGCGGCAAGGAAAACAAGGAAAAGCGCACCAGCGAAAAAAAGAAGAGGTCTTGCAAAGCCAAGACGAGCGAGGCTGCCTCTTCGTCCACCGCCTCGTCGGCTGCATCCAGTGCTGTGTCTAGCGGGTCTAGCTCAGCGACCGCCGCCAGCTCTGCCGCCTCTCTCACCAACTATGCGTCTTCGGCCGCGTCTTCCATTGCCACTGGTACCGCGTCGGCATCTACCAACGATACGGGCGATAACTGGACAGGTTCGGTCAGTTTCCAGACCACCTACACGGTCGGAAACGATGCTTCGTCTACCGCTACCGCGACTGCCACCAGCTCTCAGGTGGCCAACGCCACTGCTTCGGCCTACGAGAGCGAGCTCTTCCCTTGGGGTACCGGTCTTGCCTCGTGGACGACTTCTGACGGTCTCTTGTCTTGTACGTCATTCCCTCCTTTGTTGTGTGTGCCATGTTGACCTTTTTCTCAGACGACAAGGCCTTGAAGCCTTTGACGGCTGGTAAACTCGCCGACACTACCAACGCGCCCGACGGCACCTCTGCCCTCTACGCCTCCTACCCCAGCGGTACCTACGGTCTCTCTTCCAGCACCGGTTCTGGTTTCTCCTTCTACTCGCCCGGTTACTCTGGCGTCGAGGTTGACAATGCCACCGAAGTCATGCTCTCCTACTCTATCTGGTTTGACAGTGGCTTCCAGTTCAACAAGGGCGGCAAGCTTCCCGGTCTTTATGGCGGTACCAGCTTGAGCGCCGCCAAGAGCTGCAGTGGTGGTAGGCAAACCGACAGGGGTGACTGCTTCTCTGCCAGGTTGATGTGGAGGACCAACGGTGCTGGTGAGATCTACGACTACCTTCCCGTTTCCTACACCGATTCCGACGACGGCTACGGCGAGTCCAGTAAGTCCTTCCCTTCCCTACTTTTCTCTTACTGACATTGCATAGTTGACCGAGGAGCGTTCACCTGGGCCACCGGCGAGTGGGTCACCGTCGCCAACCGAGTCAAGCTCAACGACGTCGGCTCTGCCAACGGTGAGCAAGAGGTCACCATCAACGGTGAAAGCAAGATTAGCATCACTGGTGTCACTTTTGCTACCGAGGAGAACACCAAGATCTACGGTATCATGGCGCAGACCTTCTTTGTAAGTTTCCGAGCTCTTTCCGGCGGGGCAAGCGCTGAAAAGAAACAGGGTGGTCACGACAGCGACTGGGCTTCTCCCCAGGACCAAAAAGCCTACTTCAAGGACTGGTCTATCGCCGTCCTCGCTTAATCGCACCCCTCCTCTCTCCTCTCCTGATTCACCGCTAGTCGGGGTATCTGTGCAAAACAACGATTACTTTTTCCTTGGGCTCTCATCCTCTCTTGCTTTCTTCTTGGTATTAATGCGATGTGATCAACAGTATAATGGGTTATCATGGGTCTGGATACCTATATGCGCATTATATCGTCCATCTCATCTTGCTGAGAAGGGGTATACTCCTCTCTCCGCCCATTTCTTCAGGTGTAGCCTGACAGAAGGGGCCGTCCATCATCCGACCCGGCAGGCCCGGGGAAGAAACCCTGTCTATACGCTTCCGACCAATGTTATCTACTGTGTATATAGCGATGTGTCTGATCATGTATATATATTTCCCTGTGGAAAAGAATACGGTTTGGGTTGTGAGCGCTGCGCGTGCTGCCGTGTCTGATGTTTCTTGCGGCTTGCGTATTGTTCGGGTCTTGGGCTAGTCTGTCAAACGCAATCTAAAGTTCTGGCAGGGCCAAACAACTAGACAAGCAGAAGCCTCAATTAACAGCCTACGCAAAGCAACGAGCCGCATATCCCGCAGACCTGTAACGATGATTATGCATTTCAACAAAGACCGGAATGAAGACCACAAGAAAGAAGGAGAGTAGTTTGGCAAGCAGTTGATAGCTTATTCTTGGACAATAAGCTCTTCGACTTTCCAGTCCTCGAAAGAGTTGTCTACGCCCCATATCAGTATTTCTCGCTAAAACAAGAGCAACGCGGGGGGGGGACGTACCGGGAAGGTATCGCCGTATGACAAGCGGGATCTTCTTGGCCGCCAGCTCTTTGAGCGCAATCTCGAGCGGGTCCGATTCGCCTTCGACTGGTACCAACACGGGGGCGTTCATACTGTGATACTCGATCAGCTCTTTGCAACCCCCCAAAAAGATGTTGCTGGAAGAGACGAGGGAATCGGGTTCGGTATGAAGGGCTCAGGTTTTCGGTTTTCTTTGCACATGCTCTAAAGGAGCGTATCTCAAATACTATCTTCGAAAGAACATCATAGCCCCCCTCCGTCTCCCACTTCCACAAGCACCCCTCCCAACTTGGCGGATCATATCCCGAGATAAGCAAAAACACTCACGAGATCTGCAAAGCCCTGGTACCCAATACTCTTGCTCGCTCGTATTTCGTCATGTAGGGCGTTGTGACGCGCACTTCGTTGGCTTTGGCGGCTTTGCCTGTGCGTGGACGGTCGCCTTCTGGGACACCAGACTCCTATCACACGGTATCAGTATGCAGCAGGGGAGAAGGAGGGTATGGGGGAAGCGTACGACAATCATGTTTTCGTCGGCGTCACCGTTGGCTTCTTCCTCTTCACCCTCAGCGTGCTCTTCGTGGCTGTATCAGGATCAGCATTTGTTTGGAAACGATTGTTGATATGGTGTCGTTCCCGGTTCTGCTTCTATCTGTGCCACAAGGCAAACGTAAAGCTGCGAGCCCCGCTGTTGATTCTCCTGCAAGCCCCGTCTCGCCCCTCCTGCTTTGTAGCTTTCCATCATTCTCCCCGTCTTTCTCCATCTATCCAACCCAAGGCAGAGGCCAACTCACACCATGGTATCCGGGTCATACTCCTGGTAGTCACCCCCCTCGAATTCCATCTGGCCGTCGTCAGACATTTTTGTCTTGCTTAATCTAAGAGTTGGTCGGAAAGTTTTCGAGATTGAAGTTTTTGATTCGGGGGACGGTTCCAAGGACGAGGTCGAGGCGGATTATATGGTTTTACCGGGGCTGTTGCAGTAGGTACGAGGAAATGGATGGGGAGAGTAGGTTTGTTGTTTTGGATGGTTTGTGGAGAAGCGACGGAATGGAAGAGAACGAAGAGTTGAAGGCCAGGCAGCGGTCGTCAGTTCGGGATCAAAAATGCGGGACCAAAATGTGAACTTCAAGAAGCCGGGATAGGGTCGGGTGGTCGTCTGACATGCATGGAGTAGTTATAGAGGAGTGCTTCCCAGATCACAGCTTGATGTCGATAGCGATGCATCGGGCGTATGCATGATGATGCAGTGAAAGAGATGACAGAAACGATGACGTGGAAGCTCCCCACTCTTGTCCCGGATGGCGTTCCGAGTTCCGTGTTGTGCAGTGGTTCCCTCATCAACAGAGCATCTCTAATTCTTCTCAACCCTCCGCTTCTTCCTTTGCGCTCAAATATCATGCCCCATATACCCTGAGCATCAAGCCACCCGCCCACACACCATGCAGCTTGGACGCTACTCTGTCTCAACCCTCCTCCCGCCGCCAGTCCACAGCATCACCTTCTCCCCAGACGGCCGCTTCTTCGCCGTCGCTGCAGAGAAGGGATACGAGGTATGGAAGACATGGCCCCTGGGACTAGTCAGAAGAAGAGGTAAGCTCTTCGATCCAAGCACAAAACCAAATGGCCTAGCCGGGTGGCAAGGACAAAGGGTACGCGTCGTGCTAACGAGACTTGTAGTTCTCCCGGGAACTCTCGCGCTGGCTCTCATACTACCACACTCGCCTCTTCTCATCCTCCAAGGAGGCGGTGCTTCTCCCCTGTATGCTCCGAACAAGGTCGTTGTGTATAATGACAAGGTCGGAGAGGCCGTTGCTGAGCTCGAATTCGGGTGCGTCCTCTTGACCCGTCGGGTTGCGAGTCATACTGATGGTATCTAGTGAACGGATACGAGGCGTATCAGCAAGGAGAGGGCTTTTCTGTGTCGCTCTCTCGCGAAAGGTCGTTATCTTTGAGTACGGCCTGAGTGCACACGATTCGCTTGGGAAGGGCAAGGGCAAAGCAGTCGAAGGGGAAGAAGATGGCTTTTGGATACGAAAGTTGGGAGAATGGGAGACAGCCAAAAATGAGCAAGGTATGTTTTTCAGTCTGTGAAGAGCGATAAACTGACAAGGTCTAGGTCTGATGGCATTGTCCACAGCCCCGGGTTCGACATTGCTGGCTCTGCCCGGCCGTCAAGCCGGTCATGTCCAGCTCATCCCCTTGCCCTCTTGTCCATCCTCTTCCCCCGATCCGCCTTCTCCATCTCGAACCACGCCAAACTCCACCTTTCGCTCTCCCATCATCCTTGCTCACACCCACTCTCTCGCCTCCCTGTCCACAACTCCGTCCGGCTCACACATACTTACCACCTCGGAACGCGGTACACTCCTGAGAGTCTGGGACACGCAAAGAGGAAGGCTGGAGAGGGAGCTGAGGAGGGGAGTAGACCCAGCCGAAATGTGGGGAGTGAGTTTTGAAGGGGACGTGGGTGGCAAGGGAAGGGTGGTGGGCTGGAGCGATAAAGGGACGATACACGTTTGGGGCCGTGAAGAGAGCAAGGAGAAACTGCAAGTCGATCATTCTTTCGTCCTCATGCTTGCTGACGTCAATTAGTTTATCACAACATCAACCCTCCCTGACCTCTCTTCTTTCACGAACTCTCCCTCTTCCGAAATACTTTTCCTCGACCACGTCTTCCGCCCAATACCACCTCCCCCGAAAGAACCCGCACGCCTTCAGCGCGGCCTTGGGAGCTGCGGGGGTGCCGAGCATGTCTATGCGGGAGGCTGTTGAGCTGGAGGCGAATATGGGAGAGCGGTTTGTGGTGGGGTGGGTCGAGGTTGACGTACCTGTTGTCGCAGAGGAGAGCCTGGGGGTGAGGTTCGGAGAGACAGCCAAGGAAAGGGATAGAGACAAAGAGGAGAGACAGAGGAGGGCGGTACCAAATCCAGCCTTGGGCACGATGGGAAGCGGGATACCCATGGGCTCGAGGGGCGAACGTCTCTCGTTCGGTTCGGACAACACGAGCCGTACGGCAACTCCTTCTCAACGGGCCGCCACTCCCACCCAAGCCAACATCAAGACTCGAGGACGCTCTGTCGCGCCACAGATCAGGCTACGGGGCATGTCGAGCCACTACACTTCTGCATCGCCCCATTCGACAGAGAAGGGGAAATCAAAGCCTGGGGCTGGGGAAGGAAAGGTGGAGACGAAGAAAGAGATGCAATTGGTTGCCATCACGTTCTCGGGAGATTGGTATAGGCTGAGGATACCTGATCCCGCTCCTTCCCTGTCTGGACCTGGCAGCGGCGCTGGTAGAGGGGATCAAGAGAAGGCGAGGGAAGAGGAGAAGGAGAAGAAGGAAAGTCGGAAGTGTGAGCTTATAGAGTATAGGAGATTAGGTGTTGGGGGTGGGGGTTGGTGAGGTGTCATCGTCGGTCGTGGTTTCATCTTGTTACGTGTCTGATGTCTGCGCTGCATGTGGCTTGATTGTATACTCTAGTGTATGTTCATTGTATATGTTTGCATGAATTTGCCCAATGTAATGTTGCAGTCGCTCTTGACTGACTGCGAGAGTTCACAAGGCACATACAATTATACATTCAAGATATGTTTCTATTCCAGATACTCTTTGAGACTGCCAGTAACCTTCTCAATCTTGGCCAAAACCTTCCTTGCAGCAATCTCTACATCCTTACTCTCATCTTCCAAAAGCTCCGCCAAGAATTCGCTGACAGTCTCGGGCACCAGACCCACCATCTCCTCGGCCTGTGCCTCCCAGATGCCGCTCAAAGCGTCAAGAGCCGCAAGACGGATCTTGGGGTCATCCGAACGAGTCACGAGACATGTGGAAGTGTTGAGTCGGCGAAGAACAGTTTCTGAGGTGGTGCTGCCAGCCAAGCTGGCAAGACAGTTGGAGATGGCTCGCGGTTCTTCAGGAGATCCCGCTGACTGGAGGAATAGAGAGACCTGAGAGACCAAGAGAGGGAGAAGTTCGATCTGTGAAACGTCGGTCCAGAACGCCCCCTCGTCGACTTCAAAGGATTTGGCAAGAGTGCCGAGGAGAAGATTCCAAAGAGGCAACGAAGTGTTGGCACCCGATGAGAATGCGGGGAGGAGCTCGTGGATGTGGGGGAGGAGAGTTGCCATGTAGGGAGAGAGCAAGTTTTTGAACTTGTTCAAAAGACCGGTCATGACGTGGAACAATACGATCTTTCTCTCGTTCAGTCGATCCAGATCAACAGCTAGATTGCAATCAGTATCCTTCACGGGGATAGGCAGACGAAACTCACTCTTTCCTTCGGCCAAATCGATGACCGCCCAGTCATACAACCTCACGAACAAGGGCTTGAAAGTCGCCTCGTTCAGCTTGGTGACCAACTCGAGGAACGACCCAATCGCTGATTCCTCCACGTCATTGACCATACTCAGATCAACATTCTTCTGCTGAAGTCGGTGTCGAAGATCAAAGACGTCCAAGAAGAATGCAAACACGGGTTTAAGCATGCTCGGAAGGTCTTCGCGGCTGGCGTTCTTGAGCGTGAGACGAAGCATCTCAAAGAAGCCCTTCATTTCGCTGTCTCCGCCGGTCTCTTGGGTGGTCTTCCACACCTCCATGAGGACCGGGAAGATGGCCTTGGTTCGAATCTTCTTCGCCAAAGTGGTAAGCATAGAGTATGCGGTGGCCTCATTGGTAGATCGGTAGAAGAACGTGGTGATCAGGGTAGCACTGAGCTGCTTGGAAGAGATAAAGGTGGGAATGGTCTCGATCGTCGACGCAAGTGTGGTGAAGGCTTGGGCCACGGACGACGCTGCTGATTTGGGCGATTTGATGAGCGCAAGTGTGGTGTCCAGAATAGATTGGACGTAAGGGATGGCCCTGGATGCGAGGTGACGACTGAATAGCGATTAGCAATGATCCTAGTAAGATGCACGGAATGACCTACACAAGGAGCTCGACAAGAGACAAGGCAGATACCACAGTCCAGTTGTCCTTGGCCATTTTGGCGCACCCAACAACAGGAAGGACCGCACCAGCCAACGCTCCATCTTCTTGCGGCACCGCGGTCTTGACGACTGCCTTGATAGCATCAAGAGCAGGGCCAACAGTAAGGCCAGGAGTAGCCAACATAGCCGCAGACTTTTTGACGATCGCAGCAATCGATTGGGTGCTGCGAAGACGGACCTCGGATTTGATGAGGGGAAGACGCTCAGTGAAGAGACCGAGAGACATGACAATATCTTGCTCGGTGCCCTCGGCAAGAAGGCCGGCGGTGACAGCCAAAAAGTTGTCGACAGATAAGAGAAGCATGGTACCAGCAAGCGCCGAGTGCATACTCGACGGGATGTCGGTGGATGCCATGACGGGTTGAGCCATAGAGGCAGCCAAGACAATCAGCTGGCGCACAGAAGCTTGAATCAAAGCTTGATCACACGCCTTGCCTCGGAGTTGTGCGATGAGAGATGACAGGAAGGTAAGAAGATGAGTGATCTGGCGAAGAGAGCGGTCAGAAGCGTCGGTCTCAGTAAGACTGCACATGGCGTTAGCAAAGAATCCTGCAGTGGATGGTAATCTTACGTTTCACTCAAGAACGCCATCTTGTCGGTCCTCGACAGATCTCCGACCAGTCTGCCCAATTCCTGGACCACCTCTTGCAGCACGACGACCTTTTCGGTGACACCGAATGCGCTGGCAACGCTGCTTGGCAGATCCAACACAACAGAGACAGGCTCCTTGTTTCGACCAGCCTTGGTAGTGGCCCGGTTGACAAGCAACATTGCTACTGGAGCAAGATAGTCGGAGGCACCAAGAGACTTGACAAGGTGAACAAAGAACGGCAAAGTTCGGTGGCGCGGTAAACGTCCGGCCATGTCCGTGAAGATGCTCAAGAAGGTCAAAGACTCGGTGTAGAGTTCCAAAGAGGTCTGAGCTTTCTCCTTCAGAGATGCCGTCATGACAGGAACGATCCTTGACACAGTCTTCTCGACTACACCGAAAGTGTAGGCGTCGTCCCTCTGGAAGTCGCTGGCGCCCATAAAGGTAAAGATGGGCATAACGTTGTGCAAGACCGCCTCCGGGATCAACCTAGCGAGCTCGCTAGCCACAAGCAATGCCCTCTGCGCGGTCCTTGGGTTGGTGGACGCCCTGACAACCTTGATAATCACCTCAATACCGACATGAGCCCTGTGGATCTCCTGGGCATCGTCGACACGTTCAAAAAGAGACAAGATAGCAAAGAGCACCTCTTGCTCGAGGTAATCGATGCCTTCCTTGATGACGAGCCTCTTGGCGAGGAGTGCAGACAAGATTGACATGAGGGAAGCGATGAGGGGCGCAGACGCCGGGACTGAGGGCCAAGTTCGAGAGTCGATAAGAGTGGTGAGCTCCAAGACTGCCTGGGTAGGTCTGTCATCTTCAGAGCCATCCTGCCTCTGCCTCTTTCTGTTCTGGCTCGTCTCCAAAGGATCTGACAGATGCCCGATCAGTTCAATGAGAGCGTCAGGCGTCAATTCGAGTTGCTCGAGCACCTTGATGGTCTCATGAGACTCTTCGGTGGGAAGAGAGTGGATGCACTGAATGAGAGCGGTGATGTAGTCGATCTTTTGTGAGGTAGTAAGAGCGGAGAAAACGCCGTGTACCATAGCCTGGAGAGACAGCTCGCGGAGCTGCTTGCGGAATCCTGCAATATTGTCAGTTCGATGTAATCGGTTGATAGCAAAGTGCACTCACGACCAGTCTGCGCCGTATCCAAAAGCCCCAAGAAGAACGCCCATCCTTCCGAGTTGTTCTCGGCGAGAACAGCGACACTGTGGACTCTGAGACTGCCCGACAACACTTGCAGATACTCGTTTCGTGAGCTCTCAGCGACAGAGGAAAGCCAAGCGGCCTCTTCAGTCTTGTCGTTGGCCAGCTCCTCCAGAAGAGGAACAGCAGATCGCAGAATCGAGGTATCGTGCACATCAGCAAGCAGAGCGAGGAGCGCAAGTCGAGGGTGGATGGATCGGTACGCCGCGATATGCGACATCAAGAAACCAAGTACAGCTCGACGGTGGGCGGATTCCTTTCTGTTCTTGTGTTGCTGCATATTGAGCACTTCAGTGTGGAACGCTCGGATGCGGAGAGGGTCGATGATGAACTCGTCGGCAACTTCAAGAAGCGTCTCGATGTACTTCTTTCGGTCGACAGGCTTGAGCAGCTGAGCAGATTCAGATCTCTCGCCGTACACAACGTCGAGCGCGTACACGTCGCCCATGGCCTCACCGCCAGAGATACCCTTGAGTACATCCACAGCCGCCTGGCGCACCTGTCGCTCGCTGTCCTGAAGAGCAATAAGCACTTGAGGTAGGATGACTTGGAAATCCACAGGAGGGTTTGATGGGGTCGCAGGAAGCGCGGCGTAAGCACGGATGAAGGCGAGAGCATGTCTCAACGCCGAAGTGCGAAGCGCTGAAGGGAAGAGCGCAGAAGGAGAAGTCCAAACAGACGCAAAGAACAGAAGCGCATCTTCGCCCAGCTGAGTCAAGAGCGACCGAAGCAGCGACTGGGCAATGGGAGCGGGCAAGACGGCCGTGTTGGCCCAGAGGTAGATCTGGTACGCCAAGCTCTTGTAGATTGGCTCCTTGTCTTTGCTTTCGCTAGCCAGCCAGATGAGCTGCTCCTCGGGCTTGACTATCTTGGAAGCGGAGGCAAGGATGCTGACGACAGCTCTCAAAGTCGTTCGACCTTCTTCAGGCCCCTTGTACACGCCTTCGAGGTATTCAGTACCGACATGTTCACTGGCGTGCTTGATGTCTCGCAAGGAATGTCCAGCAAGACGAGGTGCGAGATTGACGAGTACAGCAGAAGCGGTCGAGAGCTGTCGAGGTCCACGGAAGGTGACAATCAGAGTTTGAAGGATCATATAAGCGAGAAGTCGAGCAGCAGACAGAGGGGAGGCAAGCTGCGAGACCAGGAACGCAACGTCGTGGGCGAAAGTGGCTGAGGCGTAGGTGGCTTCAGCCAAAGCTTTGGCGATGACCAAGTTGCTCTTCTGAGCACCCTTGACGCCCTCCTCTCGGGCGTTGACGATTTCCGAGCTGATCTTGCCGAGCTTCTCCAAACCCTTGAATCCACCATCAAAGAGCTTGAGCGCTTCAGTCTTGGTAAGAGGCTGTCGACTCTCGGTCGAGAGGAAGACGGGGAAAAGCAAAGACTCGTAAACAATCTTGCCGCTCTCGGGGTGCGCCTTGATGAGGTGCTGAGACACAAAGTCGAGGTGACGACCGATAAGCTTGGGGTTGGGCTGAGCAGCCCAGAACGCCACTTTGACGCCTGCAATGTACCGTTCAAAGGGCATGATACTCAAAAGACCCTCGGCATCTTCGTACAACGTCTTGATGACCTCTTCTTCGCCATCACTCAGTCGCGCCTCAAGAGCAGAAATGACACTCTCGACATCCTCGCCCTTTTTGGCCATTTCAAAGACCGCCTTGACTCCTTCAACTCGGTTCGACACATCCGCCGCGTATACGTCGAGGAAGGCAACCTCGTCTGAAGGTTTTTGCACGAGGTCATGGTCGATGGGCTGGGATGAGATGGCAAGAGACGATGAAGCACTCAAGAAGGCAGAGTCGACGATGGTAGGGTGTCGTTGACGGAGGTTGGAGAGCAGGGACTTGCAAGTGGCTTTGACGCTGTCGTCGATAGTGTTTGAGCCGAGCTGGAGGAGTTTGTTAGACGCCAGTTCAGCGAGGCTGTCTGGAAGAGCCTTGTGCTCGAGCACAGCAGCCAAGTTCTTGACATGGAGGTCGGGTTTCTCCAAAAGACTCGCGAGAAGCACCTTGAGTGCGTTCTCAAAGCCGTACTTGTCCATCGCAGCCACCAAGATCTGGTCCAGATGCCTGACCTTGACCAAATTCTCACTCGCTCGTGGTCCAAGACCGAGAGCCCAATTGGAACGGTCGTTCAGGATGAGGAGGAGAGTGAGCATACGCTGGGAGGCGTTGGCGCCAGTGGCGGGAGTGAGAAGGGAGGAGAGGATGGCGGCGAACGGCTCATCGGCGAGATGCTCGGCTCGAGTGAGGAGCACAAGAGGTGGGTAGATGGCAGCCTACAAAATCAGTCAGACATGTTACAGAAGAGTGCAATCACACTCACATTGACATCCTCTCCGGCCTTGGGTGTTTCCAACAAGGTGACGAACGCCTCAACAAGCAATCTCACCACAGCCTCATTGACACCTTGCGCGCGCTTGGCACCTTCCAAGAGGTCGACCAGAGTAGCTGACCAGAAGGTTAAGAGCGCTCGGTGGACGACGCCTTCTTTGACAGCTTGCTGCACAGAGCTGATCAGATCGCCTAGCAAATGAAGGGACTTGTCTTTAGCGGGCGATATAGCCGTCACGATATACGACCGAGGGATCGCTTGGGCATTCTTGATCAGGGGGGCGAATGGGACGTGGTACGGAGATGTAGTTGGCAAGGTGAGGATGGCGAGGATCCGGGGGAAATTCTGGGATTCGTGGTAGGGAAGGAAGACTCGAAGGACCGTCTCGGCGTTCATTTCGTGCACTCTGCGAATTGTGAGATGCTGCAGTCGATGTATACAAACATATTGAGGCTCACCTGAATCGCCTGACCAGCCACTCCAAACACTTGCCAGCAGCCATCACACCAATCCACCTCCCCAACCGTCTCAAACACCCCTCCAAAGCCTCGTCCAGCACATCGTTCTCTTCCTTGCTCAACATCATCCTATCCGTCCTCTTCGCCCCCTCACTGAACAGGTCCCGTTCATATTGCTCCATCTCGGGGTCGATGTCCAGAAGCTCGTCGAAGCCGGATTGGGCGAGAGCAAAGATAGAGTCGATGTCATGGCCGGAAGCGACGTCTGGGGGAAAGAGGTATGATTTTCCAGAGGGGGCACCGTATGCGGATGTGATACGGTCTGCGTCGAGGGAGGCAATCCCCTGCAGTTGCCTGGCGAGAGACGACATGGTGAACGTCTCTTGCTTTTGAATGTTACAAGCTTAGAATGTCAAGCTTCCACAAAATCATCCACTGCTGCCAAAAATCATCAAAATTAGTGGTTACGTAAGTGCCTGCTCGGTGGGCCGCGTACGTACCTGCCTCCTCCTCCCGGCCTCTGACGGACGAACGGTTCAAAGATATAATCTCTCGGCCTTCGAGTGCTTTACACCATGTCCCAACCTATTGAGCTGGAAGCGCCTATACGACCAAAAGAGGGAGAACCAGGGTTTGTCGGCCTGCTAGTCAAGTCGGTTTTCGAGGTGCGCCCAGTCTCTTTATCGATCCGTCTTTTTGCTAATTCTGGGACGTTCGTTGACAGCCTGGAGCCAATGCTGCTGTTGTCCTGGGTATGTGCAGTATATTGAATGCAGTGTACTGGTAGCTGACTATCTGACAGCTATGAACGTCTGCTTCTTCTTCCTCATCCTCACCCTCTTCGGCCTCGCCGTCTTGACCCAATGGAACAAACACGTCCTTCTATTACTAGGAGTGACTACACTTCTTTGGGCGTCTATGGCATGGTATGATGCACTTTGCTTTTTTTGGCAAAGAGGGGTACGCAGCTGACTCGAATGATAGGTTTGTACTGGAACTCACCCGCGTCCAGAACCATCCCAGCAATATGCCATTGTCTGCCGAGATACCCGAGGACCAGGCATCTCTGTCAGATGAGCTGAAGAAGGAAAAGTGAAGGCAGTCATCAAACTCTATGCATTTCTTCAGAGTACCCCATCTATATCAACGCCCGGGTCGTCATTGTCAGCCCCAGAAATTCTGTACTTGTACAACTCTATCGAAGAGCAATCTACTCCAATTGTGAGACCAGATCCTTCTACTCGGATTTTCAGCTCCATTGTACTCTCACACATCAGATCAACGACTCACAAGGAGAGGCGCAACTTGCTTTCTCGTAGCCTTTGCATTCCCCTGCACCCACACCTTGACCCAAACTTCCTCCCCACCCACCACCTCCCTCTTTACAGCCTTCTCCGGCTTCCACTCTTGCAACACCAGCTCTTCACTCGCCTCCAGCCCTTTGACCAGGGAAGCAAAGACCTGCTCGGCTTGCTCATTGGTGTGGAGAACTCCGCCAGCGCGGGCAATGAGCGCAAGTTGGCGCTTGTGTTTACCCTTCTTCTCCGACGAATAGGTCGTGAGGATCCCTTCCAAATCAAGTGTTCGCTCCTGCATCCAAACGCGCACCCCTTCCATCAGGCTCTCCCACCCCTCGGGCGCTTTCGCGATCCAAGGTTTCAACCCCAGAGGTACTGTCGACAGACCCACTTTCAGGGTAGGATACGCCGCGGCCCGGGTGGGCCAGGTGTACTCTTTGTAGTCACGCATGAGAAGCTCATAGGTAGAGAGGCTGGAGACGTCGTTTTTCGTCTCTGACAATGTCTCTGCGAGGCCCGAGAGCGGCGCAGGGACGGCCTCGGCAGAGACTGCCGAGACTGAAAAGTTGCTGCCGATCTGAGGCAGAGTGGAGATTGGATGGAGGAACGCGGCGGCCTCGTAATCTATAGGGGTAGCTTTACGGCCGGGTTTGAGACCGCCCGTGTCGATGAGGATACCCGACAGGAGGAGCGTTGCAAGCTCGGACGGGATGGGCGCGCCGCGCGATAGAGACGCTTCCCACTGTCCTCTAAAGTGCTTGGTCACAAGAGATGTACAGCTTCCGGTGGGGAATGTGATTTCTCTGATGGAAGCGTCGGTATGAACCCCTTCGTCTTCATGGTGGTCTATCACCGATTCTACTTGGCCGTCTCCGAATTGAGGCAGTAGCCTGTTGTGGTCGACCAAGGCAAATTTGACGCCTTGGCCGGCGAGTTCGGATGTGGCGATGGGGAGTTGGTTGGTGTGGAGTAGAGATGACAGTGGAAGAGAGGCGTTACGGAGAGCGAGGAGGTTTTCGGGGCGGAGGGGCATGAATTTGGGAGGGGTGAGGATGAGAGGGACAACGCGAGAGGCGAGGAGGGTGGAGGAAAGCTGAGAGAAGGCGATTGAAGATGCAAGAGAGTCCAGGTCTGATCACATGTAAGCTTGGTACTCTAATGAATTGAAAAGACTTACCTCCGGCTTCGTTGCCCATTACGACTGTCCAGCCTTTACCCTTGCCTTCGCGCAGATCTTGCAAGAACAGGTCTCTTTGACTGATAAGAAAGCCAGCGAGGCGGCCTTCTTGGACATCCTCGGTTTGTAGTTTGGTGTCGCTCATATTCGCGAAAGGTCTAATGGCTTGGCAGGAAAGGTTGTTGTGGGCTGTGGTGGATAATCTTGAAAGGGAAAAAGGGAGACAGATGCGCATAGACTCGGTGAGATAGCCTAGGACGGAGAGGAAGAGGACGACGGGCGGGAGGAGGGCAAAAGCAGCAATGAGAGCGAGTGTTCTGTATTGCCTGGGCCAGCGCATGCGTAGAGGCGGATGGTAGAGGAGATGGGCGTCGGGCGTCATAGATAGCACACTTTCCCACGGTCGAGCGCGAGGCCACTCTCCGCTTGCAAAATGGACTCCTACTACCATCTCTAATACCATCTCTAATCGGCCTCGCATCTATTACAACCCTCATTAGACTACGCGCTACACGCACGGACCGCCGCCATTACATAACTGCCGACTCGCACGCACAGACCCACAGAATGTCGCAGCCTCCACCCTCCTCCTGGGCCGACGACTATGAAGATCCAAAGCGTGACCCTTTTCTTCTCTTCTTTTTGCTCCCGCTCACCCCGCACAGCCCAACAGAACCCGCCCCCCGTAAAAATGTCCACCCAGAACGACGGTCCGTAGCCCTGCGCACTTGTCGTCAGCCCGCTCACAAACAATACAGGCTGGGGAGAAGCCGGCGACGCCCCCTCTGCAGCCCTTCCTGCCCCTGCCCCTGCCCCCGTTCCCCAAGCAGCCCCATCCACCGAAGCACCCCAGGATGGATGGTTTGACGGCTCCGTCCCCCAGTCTGCCGCCCCGCCTCAAGCCGACCACGACCCGAGAGAAATTCAGTTGAAGGACGACACGCAGAACCTGATCACCAACGATTTCCAGGTCGAGGTGCGTGTTTGGGAGAGGTACTGTGGAATTGACCCGGTGGCTGACTCGAGACATAGGTCAAACTCGCTGATCTGCAAGGCGATCCCAACTCTCCTCTGTACTCGGTACAGTCTTTCAAGCAGCTCAACCTGTACGTTGGATGATCACACATGGATGAAAGCTAAAGTGTGACAGGCATGATGATTTGATGAAGGGCATTATCGCCGCCGGTTTCCAAAAGCCCTCCAAAATTCAAGAAAAAGCTCTTCCCCTCCTCCTCTCCAACCCGTACGCCCGTCCTTCTCTTACCGTCCATGGCTGACACCGAGTAGCGCTCGAAACCTCATCGGCCAGTCCCAATCCGGTACCGGAAAAACCGCCGCCTTCACCCTCAACATGCTGTCCCGTGTCGACCCCACCATCCCTACCCCCCAGGCCATCTGTATCGTCCCCTCCAGAGAGCTCGCCAGGCAGACGCAAGAAGTCATCGACAAGATGGGTCAGTTCACCCAGATTGGCACTTTCCTTGCCGTCCCCGGCTCTTGGTCGCGAAACCAGAGAATCGACAAGCAGATCCTCATTGGAACGCCGGGAACGTTGGTGGACATGTTGATGAGAGGAAACAGGATCTTGGACCCCAGTATGGTTAGGGTGTTGGTGTTGGACGAGGCGGACGAGTTGATTGCGCAACAAGGTCTGGGCGAGCAGACATTCAGGATCAAGCAGTAAGTCTGGCCCTCTGCGGCTCATACAGTGATGGCTGACCCTAGCAGGCTCCTCCCTCCCACCATCCAAAACGTCCTTTTCTCCGCTACATTCAACGACGACGTCACCGAATTCGCCCACCGCTTCGCCCCTGAAGCCAACCAGATCTTCCTCCGCAAAGAAGAAATCACCGTCGACGCCATTCGCCAGCTCTACCTCGAATGCGACTCGGAGGACCAAAAGTACGAAGCGCTCTCTGCCCTGTACGACTGCCTCGTCATCGGCCAGTCTATCGTCTTCTGCAAACGCAAGGTCACTGCCGATATGATTGCCAACAGGCTCATAGCAGAGGGCCATGCGGTCGCCAGTTTGCACGGAGACAAGATGGTGCAGGAGCGTGATGCCATCTTGGACGGGTTTAGGAATGGGCAGACAAAGGTGTTGATTACGACGAACGTGATTGCGAGAGGAATCGATATTCCGCAGGTCAACATGGTCGTCAACTATGATGTGCCAGATCTCGGGCCGGGTGGGTCGGGACCAGATATCGAAACTTATATCCACCGTATCGGTACGTGTTCCCATTTCCACCCTGGGATCATGCTGAGTTGGTTGTGCAGGTCGTACCGGTCGATTCGGCCGCAAGGGTTGTTCTGTCATCTTTACCCACGACTACCGGTCCAAGTCGGACGTTGAGCAGATCATGGACATCCTCGGCAAGCCGATGAAGAGGATTGACGCGAGGTCTACTACCGATATTGAGCAGCTGGAGAAGGCGTTGAAGATGGCTATGAAGGGGCCAAACTAATTCGTGCAAGGGGGTGTGTTATAATGGAGAAGGGGAGAAAAGTAGAGACATTACAAGTGGATGTATCTATGGATGAACCACCTCCTGGAGCACTGCACCATCATTGTGACGGGTTTGATTATGATGGCGGACGGTTCGCCTCAAGCTTGGAGCACGGTACGACAACATGCATCAAGCGCATTGCTTTTGTTTTTTGATCCTTCCAACTTCCTCCACCTTCTAATTCTTGATCTCACATGGTAGGCCTTCCACTGCCCCTCTTTGCACCATCTCCAGCCAACGAGCTCGCACTCTTCCTCAGCTTCTTGCCAGCCTCCCATGCCGTGACAGCCTTGTGGTCTCGGCCGATCGCGTCTTCCGACTTGACCTTGTAGATACGGACGATCCAGTTCTCAGAGGTAAACGCCTCGTCTGTTGGCGAGGTTAGCTTCTACGCTTACAGCTTTGTAGTAAGAAGTCGTACCGAGGGTGTCAAGCTGGACGCTGTTGGCGGGGATCTGCTGCCCACGCACCCTGTCCTGGGCGGGGTGACCGCCAAAGAGCTCGGGGAAACGGTAGTAGCTCATCTTGTACATGAGCGAGTTCTTCATCGTAGGAGTGCTAGATCACGAATTAGCGCTCATTCTGTCAGAAAATAGAAAAGACTCACGCCCTCTCATCGAGAGCATACTCGCCCCTCTGCGTAAAGTAGTTGGCCTCCTGCACCTCATCAGGCCAGACACCCTGCGCAATCCTGACCATCCACAAAAACTTGTTAATGTCATCACCAGAGTAGCCCAACAGGCCGCCAAAGATGACGAGCACATAGTCGACATCGTGCTGGCGGAGGATGGGGTAGGCGATCTCTTCGGATGAAGACATGGCTTTGCCGACGGTGGCGATATGGGTGTTGTTCCAGGTGTTGTTGTCAACGAGGGTAGGGCGGTCGGCCATACCAGCGATCTGGTATCCGTAATCCCACCAGGACATGATGACGCTGTCTTCGGCAGTGTTCTGGCGGATCCAGTAGTACGCCTCTCGGAAATCATCGATAATGTTTTGGCTTCCGTCCTGGTTTCGCGAAGCGAGCACAACGGAGGGGGACGAGTAGGCGGTAGAGGTCACGTAGGTGCAGTGAAGAACAAAGATGAAGAGGAAGAGAGACAAGACGGAGACGACGGCGAATCGGGTGTCGAGGCCAAAGATACCAGAGGTGGACTTGCCGCCAAGGATGCCGGTAAAGGCAAATTCAGACTTTTGGGTGTTGGCCTGAGCAGCTGCCATCCTCTTGGCCTTGGCTTTGCTGATGCTCGCAGGCTTCTCGGGCTCTTCGTCGTCCTCGGGGGGAATGACAGGGTCGATATAAGCTTCCAGGAGCTTGCTGAAAGCGATGGCGGCGCAAACACAGACGACGGGGGTGATGACCAACATCAATCGGACCATGACACCGGCAAAGTAGGCCGAGAGGACAGAGTAGACGATGAGGAAGATTTGCTCGTCCTTGAGCTCGCGGAAGCACCAAAAGACACCGGCGGGGAAGAAGAAGATGAGCATTTCGAGGTCAAAGTAGAAGGAGGGCCAGGCGGTAGGCTGGTGCTCGGACACGGAAGCAATGATGGGCACTATACAGGGGTTAGCTCAGTTGAAGACGATAGTGGGGACTTACTGTGAACCTTGGCATAGCCAGTGTCCCAGAGCGAATAGAATCGACCGGCGAAAGGCGCAATCCATCCCGAAAAGGTCAACGTGACAAGCGCCGCGAAACTGATACAGAACACGCCGACCACAAAGGCCTTCAACAACATCTGGAACTGCTTGCCAGGTACCAGTCTCCTCACAATCTCAACAAAGCCGATGAGCTGCAAGAGCCCAAAGACACCGAGGGCGGCCATGTGCTCCGAGGTTCGGATGGGGAGGAACTCGACGAAGGGGACCTGCATGGAGGAGATGGTGCCGATGGCGTACCAGGAGGAGTAGGCGATGTAGAGGCGGTTGTTGAAGCGGCCCATGAGAATGAGGACAAAGGCATGCAACGGGATCACTACAAGGTTTTAGGTCCTGCACATGCACCACAAAGCGTACTCACTGTTGGTGATGAACACGTAACCACCCCAAGCAGCCACCATCCACCCGTAGAACAAGGCGGTGATCATACCGTAGAACGCGCTACCAGTCTTCATAGCCTTGATCCAGGAGTAGAAGCATCCCATCAAAAGGAAGATGGCGATGGCTTCGTTGTCGTAGGATCCAGCGACGGAACGAGAGATGTAACCGGGGACGATACCGATAAAGGCGGCAGCCAGAAGACCGGCAGAGGGGGTTGACATCTCGGCAGTGAACCTGCCCTGGTCAGCCTTCATCCCAATTTTCTTGATGGTACGCACAAGTAGGTAGCCCAAGCAGTCAAACCGGCGAATCCAGGTGCCAGCAACACACAGACATTACGAATGTCCACAGGCATGTTGATGGCCCTCAGAGCGTGCCAGATCAGACCGGAAGTGACCATGAGACCGGGGTAGAGAGTTGTTCCGACAGTTCGACCAAGGGGATACCAGGCAGAAGGGTCGAACCAGTTCCAGAATTCGTAGAAGCCTTCATTGACGAGGACCTTTGAAGCTCGGCTGCAGACGTGTCAGTGCTGCATCAGATGGGACTTGAAAGATGCTTACAAGTTGAACCAAGGGTCACTGCAAAACATTAGCGCTGTTCATGATAATGGCGGACTACTTACAATTCGTGGATGACACTTTCAAACCTGATGACAGCGAACAGTCGACTCCCGATAGCCGCACCGCATATCAACGCCAGAATCACGAATCTGAGCAGACTCTCAGTGTTGTTGATAGTCTCGGGAGAGATTCTATTGGGAAGAGGGTATGCCAGCTTCCGATTGGACACGGGTGCTGAGGTAGCAGCAGCCACCACGGGGACGGGAGAGGCTGGGGTGGTGGGCGTGTCGACCTCGACGACGGCCTTGGGAACAACATCGGCCGAAGATACCCTAGAAGGGGTGTCGACAGGGGTAGGGGCCTTCTTGGAAGCTTTTGATTTGGTGACCATGGTTGGCGGGAGGCTGGGGATGAGGGGAAGACGTGGAAAAGTACAGAGCTTGACGGGCCCAGAGATGCTGCGGAGTTGCCTCGGGTTCAGACGCAGCAGGCGAGCTCTTTGTGCTGAGCAGGCGTAGGGGGGGGGGAGAGCGAGGGCGGGGGGATGGGAGGCGAGCTGCCTTGTTTGAAGATTTGGAGAGAGAGAAAGGACAAAACGGGTTGAACGTCGTCGCGGTCGAGCTGCGACTCTGCGAGCAAAGGTGCGTGACGTGGAACGCGTCGAAAGTGGAAATCACCATATGCTATTCTGGCTTTTCATGCATGCACAATTCGAAAGATACAAGGCGTGCATGTGTTGTGGTCTGAGGTCATACGATTGCTCCACTGGGTAAGTCTAGACAAATCAGAAAAGACGTGACTGGACAAAACGCCCAGCAAGGAAGAGACCTGGCTTCAGTTCCTCATACCTCACGTGTCACCATCTAATTATATTCCTTGTTTCTCGCAATCACATGGAGTTTTCAAAGAAGCCCACTGACTTTGACATGCCAACTGCCGTTACCCAATGATAATCAACTTTTCCTCATGACTTGCTCTCGGAATCCCAGCGAGCAGCGGCCGTCGACCTTGACTTTCATCATTGTCTCTTCCGCTAGATTGTATCTTCCTCGCATTAAGCACCTCAAGCAATAGACTTGGGAAGGTATTGGAGGAGAGCTGCTCCTCGACGGCAGAGGGGGTGAAGAAGGGCAGTAGGGGTACACCCTGCCATGGAGCTCTGCCGGCAACTTTGAATGGGAGGGGGGCGCACGTGGCATATGACTATGAGTACGTAAGCATGACGTCTGTCGGTTATGCGGCGGGAGTGTTTGAGTCCCAAATCGGCATCTCCTTCTATTATTCCTCTCTTTCTTTCTTCTCCCATCCGCCATGGACGTCCTCAAGCCAGGACACGCTCACCGCTCCTCCAGCGACAGGCTCCTCAACAACTACCTGCAAGTAGCCCCCCTCCCACGTTTACTCCGCTGACCCCCCACAGCGACTCCCAGAAATCTCTATCCACCTCCCTCCTCACCCTCCTCTCCCACTCCCACTCATCCACATCGTCCCTTCTCGCCTATGTCACATCCTCTCCCGGCGTCATCCCCACCATCCGCCGATCAGTGCGCCATGCCGCGTTTGAAGGGCCGCTGTCGTCTGGAATGACCGAGGGCAGCCAGCTGGGATCGGAAGGCGAGGGTGGCTGGGCGGCGTACATATCGAGCTTGGACCAGTTCCGGAAAGACCTCAAGCAGATTCATTTGCTGGAAGAAGAGATCAGTCGGGTCAAGAGAGACAGGGAGATCCTCGTGGGCAGGCTCATCAAAGCGACAAAGGGTAGACCTACAAAGTCGGATCTATCTGCCCTTGCGACGACGTACAATGCGCAATTTGACGATCCCCGGTCTTCGAGGGCGTCTGTCATGTCGGACAGCTCATCCAATACCAAGGCCGGGAAGCGTGAGGGTAAGCTGGCGGATGCGCAGGCAGAGTTGCTTGGGTGTGAAGAACATTTGAGAGGGCTTGAAGTCCGGATCGAAGCAGAAAGGAACAAGGTCATGACAAGGGGTCTGGAGCAGCGATTTCGGGCCATGGAGGTTGTTGGGAGGATGTGGGTGCAGCAGGCGAAAAGGGGACTGTCCGATCTTGACATGATGCAGGGTGCGTCAAATCTTCATTCCCCAAAGTGTTTACTGACACTTCTGCAGACCTTCCGCCAGATGCGTTCGAGCTCGACTCCAACGGTTCCCTAGCTCCCTCCCAGTCTGCCTCTCAGGTAGCCTACGACGATGTCCCAAGACCTCACTCCCGCGGCGGGGCGACTTACCCCCGTCATCTGCATCCCGAATTCGCAGGCAGCATCGACGGAAGTATCGCTGAAGAGAATGAAGATTCGTCCGATGAGGACATGAATGGACTTCAAGTGCACGAGAATCATCCTGGTCAGCAGCTCAGCCATCGAGTACCTCCCAAAGCACGCGAGCAATCCCATCCTTCCGGCGTCCCTTCCATCATTGACTATTCGCCCAAGCTTGGCGACCGCCGAGCTGCCTCCGACATTGGCACTGGTGCTTACCGACCCACCCCTCCCCGTCAGTCGCTGCTGCGTACAGTGTCTCATGACCGCGGCACCTCTCGCCAGTCTCGTCGAGCCGGGTCAGATACTAGCAGTATCCGAGAACACAAGCCAAAGAAGAAAGGTTTCTTTACCTCTATCAGGACTTGGTTTAAGGGAGGCAAGCACCATGGGGAGAGGTCAAGCTCGCCCCCATATGGTAGCGGTGGCTCCAAGGCTGGGTGGCAGACCAGGACAGACGGCAACATTAAGCGTGGCAGTACGCTGCGTGGAAGCCGACCGGACGAGTCGTCTAGCGATGAGAGCGAGGGTGGCAACTTTGTAAGCGTATCCAACAACCAAAACTCTACTTGGGCTGTAGACCATCACCGCGGTGCGGGGTCCAAAGTGTCGCGTACAACCTCTATGCCCCTTGCTACCGGCCTCATACCTTCCAAACCCGCCAAGCCAACTCGCTCTGCTTCTCAGAGCACCATTACTGCCAAGCCCCGACCCAAGTCGTCCTTGTCGAGATCTGGTACTGTAAAGAGCGCTATGTCGGACGCTACCGTCAAATCTTCTGGCGGTACCAAAAAGAGGACGCGCCCTAACGGTTCTATCGCCCGATCTACCGTGTCCTCCAATGGCCACCACAGTCAGGGTGCGGGAACAGCCGGCAAGAACATCATGTCCCTCGTCGACTCTTCCGGGCCCGTGATGCCAGAGGTTCCCAAGGCGCCCAGGAGCGGCAGCAACCCCAACATGCATCTTCCCAGCGCCCCGGGAACATCAATCGTCACTGCCGATGCCCGTGTGCCCACACCCAAGAAGGCTACGCCGGGCGCTGCTACTTCTGCGGGTCCGCCTACATTGGGCAGGAGTGTCTCGCAAAAGAGCACCGCGAGTAAGAAGAAGAAGGTGGAGGGGGATGGCGAATCTGAAAAGGATGACAAGACGTGGCGACCCACGACGCCGTTGCCACCTTCGCGGTTGCTTTCGCCTCCGCTCAAGTCTGCTCTTCGACCCACATCGCCTAGCCCTTCGCCTCTGCCCCTTGCACTCCAGGAGCCGGTGAAGCCAATGTACTCCATCTCTGCGCCTGCGCCCGTTCCCTACGAGGAGGTCAAGCAGCAACAGGAGAGGGAGCAGTTGGAGATTGAGGAAAAGGAGAGAGAGAAGAGGGCGCAGTTGCAGAAGCGCAACTCGTACGTTTCTGTGCAGAGCGATGGTGCGTCCGTCTACGAGTCGGCCTACGAGGACGAAGATCAAGGTACCAGGGGCTACGGCCCCGAAGACACCGACTCTTCTGATGACGAGGATGGAGATTACCAAGTCATCAAGAATGAAAAGCACATCAGGCGTGGAGAGATGGCTTCTGGAGATCCCGATTATGGCAAGCAGTATGATGATGTAGGCAGCGACCTCACGGTCGGCGCCAGAAGTGAACACACCACCGTTGCACCTACTGGCCCCAGTCTCGCCCCTGCCCTCGAGCCCCCTACAGACACCCCGAGGCGTAGAAAGAGCGTCAGGATGGCGGTGCCCGACTCGCCCGTGACAGAAATCATTCCCAGCATCTCTCCTCCACCCACTGCTCCCGGTCCTGTCTTTGGGTCCCCTTCAACAAAGTCCAACCAGAACCCTCATCCTCTTTCACTGTCCGAGTCTCAGCCAGCCCAGGCTCCTCGCTCGCGTACGCCCTCTCCCGAACCCGAGCGCGTCGAGCAACAATGGTCTACGAGGATAGGCAGGATGCGCGAGGACACGAGCGATGAAGAAGACGATGTGCCAGACTATGTGAAGGCGCGCAAGAAGCTGCAGCGGAACAGTGGAAAGTGGGAAGTAGATGGCAAGGAGGAGAAGAAGGAGAGGGGCCTGAAGAAGAAGGGCAGTGTGAAGGGTAAAGGCGTCAAGAAGCTTGTGAAGGCTTGAGGAGTTTCATTTGTCGGTTTGTTGAAGATTTGTCTGTCGTACACGTTGTCTTTTTTGCTGTTACACATGCTTCAGTATTTTTTAATCCACAAATAGCGAGCAATAATAGTAATCCTTTACTGGGGTTCACGTAACATGAAATCATAATAAGGTTGAGCATATCAGTGCATGGTTCCTCGACCGCGGTGTACTCGTATACTTGTGCGTCCATCGTCGGTAGCTGGATAGTGTGAAACCCTTTTCATCGTAGAACAGTGATAGGATGTTCGACCCAGGTATCACTACAAGAAAGCAACAAGAGATGACATGCATGAACCCAAAATAGTAAACCACCTCCGTCAGCCCTAACATAAAACAAGTACGCGGGACTAAGTGCTTCACCAAAGACATCAAAGAAGAAGAAGGAAATCAACAGTAAAGATACCTCAGCAAAAGTAACCACCTAGCACAGCTATATGCCCCCCCAGCAACGAATGAAAGATACAAAAAGCAATCACCAGATTAGGAGGTGCTGAGGGCGAAACATCTTTCAATGTTGTCCTCGTTGTTACCCCACCAATTCTTCATCGCCACACCGGTAGTACCGAGGAATATAAAGATGAAAAGGAGGTTAAAGTTGAACCCGGTGTCGACTGTTGTCCAAGTAAGCATATCATTTTGTAAAGCGGACCACATATACTCACGAGCAGCGCCAGAGATATAAGCCCAAGTGTTCCAGAACTTTCTCCTGTACCTGTACAGGTAAAAGTTCCATACGGTTCCGACAATGAACGTGGTGAATGGTCCAGTGCTCAGGTTACCGTAGAATGTAGCAGCGCCAGAGAAGAAGATCGTAGTGTTGAAGAGGTCGAAACGGACCTTGGGGAATCGCTTGTGAAGAAGCCAGACGATGACGGGGGCAATGGCGCCAACCCTTACATACACATCAGCTGGGATCACCATGCTGATGTGTCTAAAGACTTACAGGAACCCATAAGTCAGAGGCTGGTATACACTCGACTTGAACAACCTCGTCGGTCCCACAAGCGAGTACTGCACACCTGCAGAGTTATAGCTCTTGAATTCTTGACCCGTCCACTGTCCCGCCGGATCGGCCACCTTGCCACTGACATAGTCAAACTTGCTAGCAATGACCCAGCGCATGACACCGTAGTTGACAGGGATGGCAAGCATGTTTGCGAGTACCTGAATGCCGATGACTTGGCGGGGAGGAATGTGGAAGTAGTGGCCGATCTGATTGGTATATGGTGAGCATTTGATCAACATAACCTGTGGAGGTGTGTATACCTTTTGGTCTTCCAGTACAGTACGGGCATCGTACCATACATTGCCAGAGATGATACGATACGCGAGCTGACCTAGGGGATGACGAGAAGATCCAGGAGCCTCGATCATATCTGTCAACGTCAATATTGGTGATCGCTCACGCTCAACGTTACAAAGTCCACTTACATCCATAAATCAACTCGTTGAAGATACCCACCTTCATCGAATAGCCAGACTGTGCGTACACCAATGACATGGGCAGCATCGCGGCTGCACCAAAACCAAGGCCGACAAAGTAGGTCCAGGTGGACATGTAGAGCTTTTTCGTGAGAATGACTCCCAAGAGCATGAAGAACGGTATCAAACTGAGGAGTCCCCATTCCCTATCGATTGATTAGCCCCCTGTAGCTATGAGTAACAGATACACTCACCACCAAGTCACTTTGGGATACTTAGCGATGAGCCGACTCAAGCGGTCAGTGTGCGCCGGTCGCTTGTTACGGAAGGACTTGTAGACGTGCTTGAGAGTGGGAGCCAAAAAGAGGCCACACCATACAAATGAAGAGATGTACGAGGCGTACCACATGAATACGTTCCAGAGGTACTGAGCTCCGGAGTAGGCGAGGCCGATTTCTTCATACCTGGTCTCATTGAAGACTTGGTACCCGGAGGCGTCTGTGTCCACTGTGAAATGTTCAGTGAAAGTCCAAAAATCCAAGTGCCATTCTTACGAAGACTGTTGAAAGGGTAGGTCGTGCCATTCGCCAAGAAAACGCCATTGGACATGATGTTCCAAGTAGGTGACCCCCAAAGGTTGCCAAAATATGCGATAGGGATCAAGATCCAGACCTGTGCCAGGGGTCAGCGATTATTGCGCAACGAGCGGGAAGAGCTCACCATGATGACGAAGGAAGCAAAGATCGTGATTTGTACAGAGTACGGGTATGTGATGACAGTAGACGTGATATTGGTCCAATCCAAGGTAATGTTCAAGAGTCCAACACCACCTCGACCCGCACCGAGGAAGTTGACCTTGTGGTTGTGGGGCGCAAACCAGCACAAGGGGGCGAGGGCGGCGACGAATGGAAAGACGAATTCGGGAAGGAATTGCCAGGTGAACATGACAGCAAAGATAATCCAGAAGACCTGCCACGATGTTGTCAGTGATACTTCACAACACGATGATGCTTCGGGTACACGCGACTTACTCTCATCTGCTTTTGCGATCGCGCAAGATGCAGCTCAGACGTTCCCTGGATACTTCGATAGACCGTGACCTGCTGCATAGACAGAGGGAAGACGAATTTCGGATCGTCGATCAGAATAGGTCGAACCATGGCCGCGAATGAAAAGCCCAGAAGAGCTGATCCCTATGAAGTCGTTGTAAGGTTCATTGCCTCTCGATAGTAGATCATTAAGACTTACCCATCCGAAAAACAGAGCAATGGCGGGGTTCATGGTGATGTTGTAGTACAAGGCAGCGTTTGTGGGCAAGAAAGCTGCGTTGATTGATGTCAGCAGATCGTCCTTTCTATAAGATGATATGAGATGCGACGCTCAGTCGAGACACTCACTTGCCCATTGCCCCTGGCTTCCCGCGTTGGCTGCGATACCAATGATAACGTGCTCTTTCACTGAAAAAGGTCCAGGGTTCAGATTAAAGGAGAAGCGCCCTAGAGGTACTGTCCATGCGGGAAGGACTTTGGCGAGGAACTTTCCAAGGGGGTGTGATGCCAGAATCACAAAGAAGACGGGGAATGCAGCGGTGGTAGTACGGAAGCTATAAATTCTGATCAGTTTGCACTCTCCACAACAGAACAAACACTTACTATGAGATCTGAGAGATGACGCTTCCAATGGTGCAGAAGATAGCAGAAAGCAAGATTGCTCGAAATGTGATAACGGGCAATGTGGGGTCGTCTTCGAAGCTGACAGTGTTCCTCACAATTTCAGGGATATCACGAAACTCTTCCGAGTCCCAGTCATATTTTTCGTCGCGGTTGATAAAGTCGTCCAGCTTGGCCTCGTCTACGTCGACCGGCTCACTTGGCTTGACGTAGCCGTCATACTTTTCGTCCTTCTCGTCAATATCGGGTGAGGATGGATCAGTGGCCGCATCGGCTGTCAGCACCTCTGTGGCGTAAAGATCGTCCGGTTTCTCCACCTGCTTGGCCATAGTGGGTGATTCTTGCTAGAAGCGAGCTGTAAAACGAAATGTGAACCGGATGGGGGGGCAGGTATATATATCTAAGGATGGACTCTCCCATCCTCCACTAAGATTCATTTGGCGGCATTCAGGCCAAGACATTTCGGTCTCCAGAGAAGTGACCGCAAACTGATAACGCACGAAACGGTGAAAATTGCGTTATCAGCTCTCAGGGCACCTCTAAAATCAAGCACGCTCTATGTGGTGATGGACGTTTGTGCAGACTGGTGATCATTGGTTGTCCGACTAGCGAGGGGTCCGGCGAGGCCGGCGAGGGAGCGGTGGATGGGTGCAAACGTAGAGCCGCAGAGCTGAAAATGCCAAGACGAATATGATCCCAAGTTCAAATATCCAGCGCTGGTGGCAGATAAGGAAAGAGGAAGATAAGCGCCGTAAGCAAGTTGACGTGATTGTGAACACTTGTTTTCGGCGATCTCCGAGTCACGCATGCGCGTGCTCGAGCGTGCTTTCTGCTCCTGGAAGACTACGCCGCTTTGCGTCTATTGGTGTATGTGATTGCCGCAATTTGGTCACAGCTCTCTGTTATAACTTATATCTGCTTTACGTGCGCTCCGCTTAACAGCCGCACAGGCGCAAGATTAACTCATTGCCCTTATTAGGGTGATAGATGATGAACCGTGTCGTCCACCCATTTCCAGCAGGCCCAGCAGGTGGGGTTCACCCAATGACTTTCAAGGACCAATTGCGTATTGGATGAAAAACGCCCACTGATACTACCGTCTGGGCCATATCGGAGCAAAATCTACTATTGCTGCGATGAGGAGATGATGCAAGGCGCCACAGATCATTCAACGTAAACGATTTTCCCCCTAAGGCCTAATGTCCACTGCTGAGTGCGTTTGCGTCTATCTACTCTTCGCAATCATTGGAAGTTTCGGTCTGATATGGAAACAGGTAATCAAAGTGTGGCAACTGATGTTGGCATATGCATAGGGTGATAGTGGTACAACAAAATCAAAGGCTTGGGCGTTGGTCGCCTCCGTCCCGTACGAGTACAGTACTCTATGATACCTTTCGTCTCAAATGCTCAAATGCTTGGTGATTTGGTCAGTGTTCGTTACGCCTGCGCAATCAAGGACTAAAGACTTGACATACCTCATCAGCGATATGATCCTGAACTCGTGACCCCTGGAGGGGTCATTGGTAGCTCTGAGCAACTCGCAATGCATTGTATGCTCTCCCGGAGCGAGATCGTCTCTTATCCGTGTTCCCCTGATAGTCACTTCATCAGACTGTTTACAGCGATGAGAAATAGTGGCACTCAATGTCCAATATTATACGTCATTTCCCAGTACCCAATAAGAGTCACCGCCTTATGATCATCGTCATCCACCCAGCAAGCTATATTGCCGAGCCTGAAAGTCTTCGAGCGGAGGTAGAAAAGCTTGACGGTACCCAGCACGGTGGTAAAGTTGAAGTCGGCCTTGGATATGGGTTCATCTGAGACCCAGTAATTCTACAAACAAGTCAGTACATATCGATTGTGTAAGTCCTTTTCGCGCACCTTATCCTCCCAGGCCCATTCCCGCCTAGAAGAAGAGAGGCAGAGATCAGATTTACTCTCATAATGCATATCTGAGCCGACTTACCACCCATCGTTCCTGCTGGGTACAAGCCTGTTGCTGCCTTCCGAATGTGCGCTCAAACAATTCGGGGAGAGTCTGGGGGTGACGGACGAGTCGTCATACGGCTGCATGATGCGCATCTACCCTTCATGTCAGCACCGGAGCAGAGAAGGAAAAGTGGAAGTGGAAGTGGTTTACTCTGGGCAATGGCGTGACATGTAAACGCTGGTAAGGCTTGGTACGCAGATCCTCCCTCTTCCCCATCTCACAAACATGAGTTTGGAGGTACGCTATCCCCAACTCGCCCTGCACCTTATGTCCATCTTGGATCTACACTCTCTCTTTTGGCTTTTGCTCTGCCGACCACCCTCGTCAGCGGTTGGCACGCGCGCAGAAAGCTCTAATAATTCACACAGCTCCAAGAGGACAAGACCCGTTTCTTGAGGTATATGCTCATGAAAACAATACGAAGAGTAATCGGATCCTGCGTCTTTGATCAGTTCATCCATGTGCGCTGAAAGATGAAAGGTCGACATACCTGTGCCTCCCAAAGCACCACTGACAAAGCTATTTTTCCATCCTGATAACGTACCATACTGACATCCCCTTTGCGCAAGTATCGTACATCAAGACCTGGCAGAAGAAGACTCTCGTCGCTGTCGCGGCCAAGATACACCAGCAGGTCGCCGGTACCGTCCTCAGGACGGACAAGTTCCTCAAAGGGGAAACAACACACTTAGGAAGGACTACAAGCTCATTGCCACCCTGCTCAACGACCCCTCCGGCTTTGTTTGGAACGATGAGCTCAAGTGTGTCTACCACGAGGACTCTGTTCGGGACAGAGTACGTTGGTGTTTCGCGTTGTTCTCCCAATCATAATAACGGAATGGTATCTTTGACGCGAAACACCAACGTACTCTTCACCAAAAATCGTCCTCGTGGCAAACACACTTGAGCTCATCGTTCCAACCAAAGCCGGAGGAGTCGTTGAGCAGGGTGGCAATGAGCTTGTAGTCCTTCCTAAGTGTGTTAATTTTCCCTTTGAGGGACTTGTCCGTCCTGAGGACGGTACCAGAGTCTTCTTCTGCCAGGTCTTGATGTACGACCTTTGCGCCCTACAGATGTTGTCAGTGCGCAGTCACTTGTCGAGTAAATATCCTGGCAACAGCACCAGTATCCACAAGCGCCGGTCGACAAGCTCCCGCAACATGACGAGCGTCTCCTTGTTGGACCAATCCTGAGTAGACGCAGCAGCAGCGACTCCAGGGGTACCAGGAGCACCAGGAGTGGGCGAAGCGGTGGCCGGGGTGACAGACGCGACGTCTGGATTCGTGGTCTTCTGGGTCTTCTTCTTCTTGGTGGCAGGTTGATGCTTGGGAGGAGAAGGAGGAGGATGCTGGGGGACAGACATGATAATGAGCAGGTGAAGCTGGCGAAAGTAGTCCAAATGAAGCAGGAGTATGCAACAAAGAACGAAAGAAGAGAAAGGAACCCGTCGAGATCCACAGAGGAAATAAAACAGAAATAAGGTGCATCGAGCGAGCTGGGGCGCGACCGTGGGCCGCCAAAAGTGGCCCATGGGAATGGGATTGACGGCTGGGAACTGGGATGGCTCGTGAATTTACCCAAAGAGGCAATGGATGGGATGGCCGAGCTGACGAGCCAACGCGTCCAGACCGAACGGGATGACGGGCTCAGCCCACAGGCCCATTTTTACCCCTGGCTCGACACAAGCCCTTCCCCCCCGGAGCCAGATTTTCACCCGGGATGAAGCCTTCATCCCATCCAGAAATCGTAGCCGAACAGACCCTATAAAACAGCCAAATGACCCGAGAGTCCGAGACAAGAGCCGAGAGCCGGCACTTCAGTCCCCAGATATCCGGGAAACCCGGTCTCCTTGATCTTCTGTCACCTGTACTGGTCTGCGTCCGTTCGCTGCAAGTGATACATACAAGTTCACCTGTACTGGTCTGCGTCCGTTCGCTGCAAGTAATACACAACTGATGTATAACTGCATAACTGCCTGCTGCGTGCCTCAATTGTTGTACTACCCGAGATCAAAAGACACGCGACCGATGGAACACCCCGATGGAGTGAAGTAGCAAGTGGAGCCTGGGACGGCTCTTGATGTAGCAGGCGGCAGACGGGGCAGCCGTATCGTAAGATGTTGATGGAAGGCAGGCATGGCAGGCCCACTGCAACTTATAAGCTGGCTTACATACTTGTACTTGTATAGCTCTGAGGCCAATGAAGATGATGATAGGAGATTCGGAAATTTCGGGCAGCATGTGGGTGCGGTGCCTGGGGCCTGGGGCACGAGCAGCGACGATCAGGTACCGGGTGCCTCCCACAGGAACGAAGGGTTGGGTTGATTGTTTGCCATCGTCCATCGCTCCGAAAAAATGCATGGCCCTGCTGGGCCTATGGGAGCACGCACAAGAGCACTCCTAGAGCCGATCCCGTCCCCAGAATCCCCTCAGATCTCTCGCTCATAGATATAATAACCTCGGGGTTCCTGATAACCGACCATCATTGACGTTTGACAGTGAATTTCAGGATTATGTGAGTCAGTCCTTCCAACAACTTGATTACGCTCCCTTGTCTCGTATGCCCAACTGCATGAGGATCCTTTGTGAAAGCGGTAGACGCCAGGATCGATGACTGAGAATCGAGAGCCGTAAACGACATATGCCCATCCCGTCAGCTTCCGTCAATAGCATACCCCGCAATCAGGCAAGAGATCAGGAGGAGCATTATACATAGCTGATTCATACCCCACAAGCCACCTCTCATGGTCCCCTCATAAGTTGGCTAAGGGACGGCCGGGCACAGTTGCTTAGACGACCGCTGTTGACGAAACGACGTATATATAACAGCAGCTGCTTCCAGCCCTGCTGTCTTCCGTCCGACTGCCACTGACCCCACACTGCGACATCAAAGCCGGCACCAGACGAACTTCTCAGACAGCATGTACCGCAAACTCAAGATCGCCGGACTCATCCTCGCCATATTCCTGTTCGTATCATACCACCGTCTTCATTGCTCGATATCGGAACCATCAGAGCAGCCACAGCGAAGAGATGTCAAGCTGGATTTCAAGACTGAAGAGGTTTGGGTGTTTGAAGAAAGCGTCCATGATGGTAGGTCGTTCCCTGTACGTTGCAGTGAAGCTGACAGCTCCTTTACAGAAGTCAATGGCGCCATAGCAGTGGGGCTTCAGGCTGCCAAAGTAATGCCCACCTTTGCTTGTGAGTATCTAACAGCAGACAAAGGGCCATGCGGCTGACCAAGGATATATCTAGGCCACTTTCGACATGAGTTTTCGACCATTTTGTCATCTATCGTGAAGGAAGAACCTACAGTCGTCATACCCAACGGGCCTGATTTTCACAAAGCGCTTGCTGAAGATTCCATTGACAATGTCATTCTGACCACTTGTGCGTATTCTTCTGAATTCGTTTTATTTCTGCTGAGATGCCCGAGCTAACGCTAAAGATAGGTTTCAGCTCGTTGCAACGACACAAAGCAGCTATCTATGCCTCCACTGCCCATGTCGTCTGCCTGATACACCATTCCAGCCCCCACGTCTACCACGAGCTCAAACCCTTGATGGAGCCCCTGGCAGAGCAAGGCCGCCTATCAATAGTGGTGCTTGGCGAGCATGTCCGGGAGAGGATACAGGCGGATCTCAACATCTGGACCGAGAATATGGAGAGTACTGTGTGGGAGAGTGTTCCTGTGGAGGTCATGCTCCCCGTAGGTGTGCTTTGACAAGGTGCCCGTCAACAAATACTGATTGAAGCTGTCAACAGATATTCGACTACCCTTCTTCGTCTGACAGACCAGAGCCCGCCATCTTTCCCAGTCGAGCCATCGTTCAAGGCAACATTGAGCCCGGAAGAAGAAACTACGAGAAGCTGCTGTCAGACCTTCGAAAGTCTTTACTGAGTGAGCAATTTAACATACATGTCTTGCCTCGAAAAGTCTCTGACGTGGTGTAGAATCACCTGCCATGTGGGGATGGTATGGATTGGAAGGATCCCCTCTTCGCCCTCTCCTTGACAGCTCGCCCTTCACCTTGCACCTAGTCGGCCAGATCAATCAACAACATCCCGTCGTCATCCCAGTAGAGCTCCGAGATGTCGTGCAAATACATTACGACCTTCCATACCCCGAATTCTATCAGCTTATTTCCGAAGCTGTGAGTCTGACAACTCTTCTCGCCACTGGCAAGGACTGACGACCTGTAGGATGTAATGGTCCCAGCATTCAGAGACAGAGGACCCTATGAAGATACCACCTCCTCCTCGATAGCCGCAGCCGTAGTCACCAGGATCCCCGTCCTCGCCAGCGCCCGCCATCTCCTCGCATACACATATCTCAAGGGGCCAAGCATCATTCGAAGACTGATATCTACTTCCGAAGTATCAGCTCTGGAGGCTATCCGAGCGCAAGGGCAGCCGAGAAGAAGGGAAAGCAAGGAAGAATGGAAAGAGTTCCAGGATGAAATCATCCAGGATAACGCGGAAATGTGGGGGAGGATACTGAAGCATCGATCGTACGGTGGAGTGAATGGGGGCCAAAAGTAAAGCTATAAGGCACTAGACATGATAGAAGTTATTTGTACAGTACGAGTAATGTAAGATATAGTCAGATCGTCATAGCGTTACTCCGAACCAACAACTTTGACAGCGGGACACAATAGCAGTCATCTTGGAACGAGGGATCACAATAATTTGACCAAGTGGCGAACAACCTAAGGTCATCCTGATTGACATGTGAAAGTAGAATAGAAGTGATTGAGAGGTAGGCGAATTGTTTGTGGTCATAGTGTTCGATATAAATACATACTCAAGCAAAACTATACAGGAGTAGTGCGACAGTGGTTACTCGGTTCGATTAGAATTTTGCAATTCCTTCATCGAATGCCGTCAGGCGCGCAGGTTCGAGTCCTGCCTGCTCCTTGCTTTTTGCTCATCATCTAGCCCCTGCTTGATAGACCTGGTCTGAGCGGTCTTGGACTTTTTGGTCAGGCTGGTACTTGATCTCCTCTGGCTTGTGGCTGCGTAATTCTTATTGCTTCAAACTGGCATAGTAGATACATGTGTTTTTGATTCACCGCGTATGTTGCGTAGTCCTTAAGTTTGGCTCAAAAACAATTATGAAAAAGTCGTCGCGAGTGCAGAAGAAGCCAAGGAATCAATCCTCTGGTGCCTCCCTTATGTGCACACGTCGAAGATGTTCTTCACATAGTGAGGCTCAACAAAGCCCCTCAGCGCTGCCGCCTGCTGCAAGCATAGTCTGTAAACTCAAGTGGGGGCACATGAAAAGGAGCGTTGACCCATGTGCTACGGGTACCTGTCACCTACATAGAATGATAGATGCCTCGGCAGATCCCTATATACTACTACTTGTGTGTTTAACGGGCTCAGTGAAGCAATGCTAATGATTATTGAACCTTGCAACAAGGACGAAAAGATAATTGCAACAAGGACAAAAAGATGTTATGCCTCCGTGCCGATTCGAACGACAGACCTCCCCATTAGCTACTTATTACGTACTAGTGGGGTGTTATAACCAACTAAACTACGGAGGCGGAGTATGACTGCAATACTCCTGCATTATGTCAATCAAGAGCGTACTGTTTGAAGCTGGCTTCTTGGCTTGACCTCGAATCCACAAGATCGTGCCCGATAATAGTCCACCATACATATGCGGCATGACATGAGTGTCTTTCCCTAAACTAGCTAGTTTTCCACCGTAGGATACACAGTCACTAACTCGTACAATGCGAAATCATTATATATGCGAAAAATGCGTCTGCTTGACGATGAAGGACGATCAACCAACGCCGGTGCTATACGCGGCCACTACCCTTCAGACACCGTGGGACTCCAAGATCTCGGGGGCCCTCCAGGAGACATCATCGGTATAGTCCGAAGGATGATGGAAGGTGTTGAGAATTTGACAACGAGTGACCCTAAAAGAGTCGCTCGTTGGTGGGATGTGAGGGGTGAAGTGTGAGGAGGCGTGGGGTTGACAGATACAGTCGACAACCCTCCTGCCTCTGGGATGTCTGCTTTGGGATACAGAGCCAGTACCAAAGCCATAGCCTCCTCAGCTGTCAAATCTTCCTCTAAAGGCTCTTCCCTCCCCGGAATCGCACCCATATGCCAAAATGGTACCTGTGGGCTTTGTAGGATATCCATTGCCTGAGGGAATGTTTGGGCAAGGAAAGCGAGGAAAACTGGATAAGAGGCGTGGGATTTTGGGAACACCTGAGGTGATGCGAGAGTGAAGGCGGTGAGAGAGAAGAGTAAAGACGTCGACAGTCTAAGGAGTCGAAGAGATGGGAGGGGAAAGGGATTTGGTGGTGACAAGCTCGATGAGAGCATCACGAGTGAGAAGTGGGGGGCGAGGGTGACATCCCTTGATGCCCGAACAGCTTCCTGTATGATCATCTTCCAGTTCAACATCGCGACACCGGATGAAGGAAGATTGGGATATGAGGATGGCTCGTCTTTGGAGTGGTGGATCAGAGCTTGTATGATAGGATTGGCCATGTTCGCGGCTCGTCTGAGAAAGTCGTGATAGAGTTCGGGCCCATGTACAGATACCAACTAATGGTGGAAGTCAGTCTCACGTCTCTCGTTGCCGCGTACATGCACTCACATGTCTAATCTCATTGGACGCCCTATCGAAGTTGTCTTCTGTGAGAGTTCTCACCATGAAGCCGACTTGTCCCTTGACGACTGAGATTGCTTGTACTGGATCTCTCTTCCCTCCACTTCCACTGCTTCCACCAATATTGAGACCCGTCCCAAACCCCATCGTGCTATTCCAAGTCATGGAAGCGGAGTCACTACTGGTAGGAGAATGAGGGAGAGCAACGCCCCAGCTGGCGGGGGCTGATTTGATGGTCCCGCCCCCCAGTCCGGGAGGAGGGATGGTCATAGGTTCTTCGGGTTTTCGCGAACAGCAGGACCGATCTCGTTGAAGAATTGGCGAGAGGGGGTGCGTCTGGAAGACTCAGTGCTTGCTGGGCCGTAGATGGATGGCCGCGAGGTGAGCCTTTTTGGGGTGTTGGAACGGGAACGATGAGCTGAAAGGCTGGCCGAGATGCTGGGGGAGAAGCCGAAGCAGAGAAGGAGGCTAGACACCAAAAGAAGAGGCAGAGAAGAGGCAAGGCCGCTCACGGCGCGTCTCCGCTTATACTTGTACGATCTGCTTTCGCGGCGATGTCCGCTCCGTGACGGTCTTCTTTGCGTAGCAACTAGTAGTAGGTGTATCAATGGATGTAATGATCCGAATGCCTCTTTGCCGGTTGACCAAGCTAGCAAACTGCCTTTAATGAGTTATACCAGGTGCCCCGTGCCATATCTATACTGTCAGAGAAAAAAAGGACTTTCTTACGACTCATTTTGGTAATGAGCTGAACGGAACCTCCTGCTGTCCTCTTTTTGGAAAGCACGACTCAGTGGTAAGAACAGAATTCCTTCTAAGTCCCTGGGCTTGCATAGAAGAGGTGTTGTCTTTTCTTATAGTCTCCGATGACTACTTTGGGCAGGATATAATAGTTGTCAAGAAGTTCTTGCCACATCTTCACTGCCCTTGGAGGCCTAATACACAAAGAGCAAACTTCCGCCATAATGAGAGGAGTACTGTGCCTGGCCGTGAGAAATTCAGCACGGTAAGCGGGCAACATGCTTTGTGTTTGATTGTATCTTCGAGAACAGGTCGATCGATGGTACAGCTGTGGTCCGGTGGAGCACTAATGTGCCAGGATTGTTCAAGATGCCCATTGTGAACTTATACACACTTGAGCGGCGGTTGATAGGAGAGGGAAGCATATCGACTGTTCGACATCACACTTTTCGACAGCCGACGTTCATTCGTGACTGCGCTGACTTTGGTTGTGCTCACTCATGACAGTAACATTATGAAGCCACCAGTCGAACCACGGCAACAGACATGCATCCCGCCCTCTCATGAAATGGCAGAGCACCAAAGTGCCACCGGCGTCACCGGCCATCACATTCCTCTTGATGTCCTCTTACTTGCACCCAGTCCGCTCTCTGGCACTCCCTCGAGCAGTACTTTGCCCAGTCACAACCGCCACACTTATAAGATGGGGGCGAAAGCCTGAAGTTGAGGCACCACCTGCAGACTTCTTTACCTCCCCATCTATCTTGATCTTGAGGCTTGTCGTCGGGACGATTGATCAAAAACCATGTAGGCGAGTCGATTTCGTGAATTAGTTGGGGTTTGTTGTATGCGTTGTCTGTGCTTTCAAAAGCAAACTTCATGTTGTTTTTGACGCATAGACGGATGGAGGCATCATTCCCGGTCGTTGGGTCAGACTGGCAAATACTTATAAGCATCCGTCACTCGGGGACTCGGCGGCAATGTCTGGACTCGCCTGTACCACAGCACACCCGACCTCTTCCATAGCGAATCGTAGGACCTCCACAAAAGCCTCCCCCATTATCCCCTGCCCCCAGAGCTGAGGATGTATCTCATAGAACATCTTCCCGGTTAGTCCAGCCTGGTGCAATTGGGCGAAGGTCGGTTGCGTGAAGACTTCACCCTTCTTTGGGAGAATGGACGATGAGGAAGGATTTTTGAAAGAGAGTGACAGAGCGATGTTACCTACACAATATCAGTCAACGCTGCAGGGAGATGCACGCTGTTGCTCACCGAGATATCCTTCCGCAGACGTGATCCGGTTCGTGATTTTGATATTCCCTGGAGGTTTTATCTCGATCAAAGACGGATCAACGGCGGTTATCGCAAATACGTATTCTTCCCTGAACTTCTTGTCTGGAGTTGTTGCCACCCGAGGCATACTAGATAGGTTAGATAGGTCAGCTTATGAAGAGTATGGTATCGACTGAAACGCATGTACCTCGATCTTACGTATCTATTTTGGAATGATTCTTTGATATCTGACATCGACGGGGAGCCGTATCTGAATGGAAGTCAGCTTGTTGGAAACACACAATTGATATTCGACACGTACAGCTGAGTTTTCTGAACCGAGGGCTCCATCTTGATCCGTCTGATCCCCGTGGTGTCACCCACTTCAACCTGCCGAAGGCGAAGCCTGGGTGTCTTCAATTCTATATCCTTACATGAAGGGGTACGGAAGATGTTGAGAATAGGACGGGTCTGTTACGGGAGGATATCCTCTTCAGCAGATGTTCTATATCGTAGTGAGAGAACACACCCGATCATCAAGGATGTACCAAGGCGATAGAACAAATTGCTTGGCGCCTTTCCTCAAATCCTTCTCCCACTTTCTTGTATCTTCTGGTGACTCTGGGACAGGTGCAGGCGGCTCTTCTGGGATACTACCCAGCCATACAGCTTTGGTCACTGAGGCCTGTACGCATAAGCTCATTTTCTAGCTTCCAAGGTTGCTTCAGCGAAACTACTCACCTTGCTTTTATTACTCTTCTTTTTCTTCTTTTTCTTCTTTTTGGCATCGCCACTCCCGCCATGACCTTCTCCTACAGCTTGCTCGTCCTCCACCTCACTCTCGACATTGAATTCGCCTTCGGCCCCGGTATCAAGCCTGACTTGGTCCAGTTTCTGTATGACGTCGGTAGTCATTCTGACGATGTATCGAGCGATGTTGGTCTATAAAGAGTTCAGCCAGCAAATCCCTTCACGGGTAGAGACCACTCTGAGGTAAGTTGTTTTGCCCACACTCTCCTTTCGAGTTCTTTTGACTTTGGACAGCCGCCGAGGCCGCGGCAACAGCAGAAGGAAGTGGGTGGAGGTCATTTACGTAATTTTGCAAAAAGTCTGGCTTGTTGTTGCTAAGCAAGAAATATGGATTGCTGAGTGATACACGGCCAGCGTTCTCGTCTTGCACTCCCTCACTCACTCATCAATCTTCTCCTTTCACCCCGACAAAAATGGCCAGCAGCGACATCGAATGGGCTCTACTACGAGGGGGGTCAATCCCTGTCGACACGGTCGCCAGCACCCCCAAAGCCAAGGAGCTCGCGACGAGTCTTGCCGAAGCTGACTTCAAGTCTATTCTTCTGTCGCCCGAGGCTCGAGCAGTCTTTGCTTCGACACCCGACCTGTTCGAGGGGCTTCCCTTCTCGCCTGCCTCTGCAGACTCTTCCGCAGAGATCTCTTCGGCTATCCGACTGATCGTGGCCATAGCCCTCATTCACTCTTTCGTCCAAGTGAACTGGACTGGGCCCGAGCTGTCTTTCAATACCCTTGAAGTGCTCGATACAACGTCATCAAACGAAGAGGACCTGAATAACGCGGCCCTCCCCTTCCTGACATTGCAGGGCGAGCCCGCATACCACCTCTCCCAGCAACCGGCCCTTTTCCTCTTGGGCAGAAGACTTTTGCTTTCCCTTGAGGGTGATACCCAGCTTCCCTCGGTGCCTGCGTGGATCCTTAGGCTTCATCTCATCCACCTCGCCCTCCTCGACGAACCCGTCCCTCCCCCTACTTCTGTCCTCGACTCCATCAAAGCTCTTCTCGAAAATCCTGCTGTCAAAGCGGATCAGGATCTGACTGCTCAAATTCATCTCGAGCAGGGTCTATTGCATTTCCGATTGGGCACCGATAAACATGCCAATCAGGAGTTTTTGTCTGCAGCTAAAGCGAGTGGTCTCGAATTCGAATTGACTGGTGCGCTGGGTAAAAAGACCAAATACCAGGTCGCCGCGCATAGTCAGCTGGTGCTTTTGGCAGAGTCCAGAGCTCGGGATGGGGAAGGAAAGGAGAAAACTTCGGCGGATAGTGAAGAAGGGGGAGAGAAATTACCGGAAGCTCTGCTATTGAACGACGACACGCTGTTGGAAGAGACCGAGTTTACAAAAGTCACCCGCGACGACAAATCAACCTCGCGACTAGCCCACCTTGACCCCTCCAATCAACCGCCCCTCCATCCGCTTGATCAGGCTCTTCTCATCTCCTTTTGTCTTTCCCAATCGAACGACTCTCCATCTTTGGGTCTGACGTCTCAGCAAATGATGCCTTTCCTCTCTCGAGTCATCTCGCATCCTCGAAACTGGTCCGTCCATACCACCGCTCTTCTGCTACGATCTCGTCTTGAGGCAGGCAGATCAAGGACTGTTGAACGTTCCTGCTTGCAGCTCCAGGCTCTCATCGAGCAGATGCCTACGAGCGACTCTGAGCCGAAAGAGAGATTGAGATACTTCCATCAGCTTCCTTTGCCTAGCAAGTGGGAGATGGAGAGCGAGCTCGCCAAGCGCTTCATGACAGTCGGTGTCATTCGAAGTGCTCTTGAGATTTTCACTCGCTTGGAGATGTGGGAGGACGCCATTGGCTGTTTGCAAAAGATGGAGAGGGAAGAAGAGGCCGAGGGAATCGTGCGAGATCTGCTGGCGGGCAAGAAGGTGGAATCAGAGCTGGTGCCTACTCTGGGACGAGCGACAGTTAGCGAGATGCGCAAGCAAAAGCTGACTGCCGCTCGAGAGGGCAAGCTTTGGTGTCTTCTCGGTGACCTTGCCCTCAACGTTCATGGGGCTGCTCACGATCCTGCTGCTGCCCGTGCCACTTCCATCGAGCACTACAACAAAGCCTGGGAAGTTTCTGAACACACTTCGTCTCGATCTCAGCGTTCGCTCGGCTCCCTCTACATGGGCACGCAAGAGTTTGAGAAGGCAATCTCCTGCTTCCAGGCGTCGCTCAACATCAACCCCCTCTATTCTCGTGCTTGGTTCACTGTGGGTGTGGCATACGTGAGGATGGAGAAGTGGCACGATGCCAGGGATGCGTTTAGGAAGCAAGTTGGAGTGGATGAAGATGATGCGGAGGGGTGGAACAACTTGGCGGCGGTGTACCTCAGGCTGGAAGAGGAAGGCGTTGCCGAGAACGAAGTGAGTAGAAGCAGACGATCATGGATCGAGCTGACAATGACAGGCTCCGCCGGTGTCGTACGAAAACAAGATGCTGGCTTTCCGGGCTCTCCGCCAAGGTCTTCGTTTTGCCTACACCAACTGGCGCATGTGGCAAAACTACATGATCGTCGCTGTCGACGTCGGAGAGCTTTCTGAGGCTGCCCGCGCAATGACCCGTGTTGTCGAAATACTTGCCGGCTCCAATCCCGAACAAGCCATCGACGCTGACGTGCTCGACAAGCTCGTGGATAGTGTCACTCGAGACGACTTTTCTTTGAGCAAAGACGAAGCCACAAAGGTTGTGCCCAAGACCAGTAACGAAGGGTTTGGTCTTCTGCCCATTGTTGAGCGACTGTTCGACGTGGTCATCTTCCCTCGAGTCTCCGACAACCCTCGAGTATGGAGGACACATGCTCGTCTGCTGAGATGGAAGGAAGACTGGGAAGGCGCGATGGAGGATACCCTTCGAGCCTGGCGGTGTGGGCCTGTTGCGGATGAGGGTGTTGAGAGAGATCTCGCCAAGTGGCAGGAGGCCGTCACGGAGCTGGAAGACTTGGTCGCTGTGATGAGTGTGTTGGGACCCAAGGCGAAGGCGGTGCAGGAGAGGTCAGAGGGCGAGAAGAAGCGAAAGAGCGATTGGAAGTTCCAAGCCAGGGGTCTAGTCAGGACATTTATGGGAAGGACGAAAGACTCGTGAGTCGTGAGAATGTTTGGCGACTATGAGACCGCTGACGATTTTGCAGATTCGAAGGCGAAAAGGATTGGGAGAGACTACAGGAGCTGTTAGATGAGCTCAAAAGGTCGGAATAGGTCTATGTGACCTCGATCTATCTGTTCTCATCGCATTTTAGATATATTCATCATCATTATGCACGGTCGTGCTCTACATCAATGTCTGGTGATGTGCTTGTTAGTGACGACGAATGGCACGGTAAATGCAAGCTTGAGTAACAGTCTAGATGTCAGGCTGTGGTCAGGTTCTTCTATGGAATGGCGTTTGGAAGTGACCCTTTCGAGATGACTAGAGATGCCATGTATGCGCCAACTAGGGCCGAGAAGAAACAGAGAGCAACAAGCCTTTCTCCTGTTCGTCGCGATTTGATACATAACCATACTAACTCGATACATGGACGACAATAATCCATCATCACCGCGAACCCAGCTAACAAGATGTCTGATGATACAGATAGCTATATGGAAAGAAAATAGCAACTCTGCTTTTATTCACAGATGGCCGTCGTTTGACGGACCGACCGACCAAACTAGATTTTATAGTGGGGCTACCACCGTCCCCGTCAAAAGAAAGACGTGATCCCAGTTGTAGACATGAAACAAGCAACTATTCACGGTCCCCATGCCGTGCCGGGCCTCTGAGGTGTATGCTGAAAGTCTGCAGACGCTTATGCGATCAACTAGTGATGCTGCTTTGCTTGATGACGTTTCAGAGCGTCCATCCTAAAAACGAAGTCAGCAATGTCTCATTGTCTCGTTCAACGTCGAAACGTACCTTGTGAAGCTTTCCCCACATGTATCACACTGAACCTTGGGCTTATCCTTAAACTTTTTCCACAAGACCGCCTTTTCATTATCGAGCGCACCCTCCACCACTAGCTCGCCTTCTCGCCGAGCATGACGGGCCATATGTCGAGGTAGATCGTATTTGCGGGTGAAGACGTCGGTGCAGCGATTATAAGGCTATAATCGAGTCAACTCTGATGCTTTCGAGATTAGAGAAATGTGACTTACAGGCAAAGGATTAATGTAATCACACTGTACTCCACCAGGGGGCACATGAACAGCTTCCTTCGACGCGCCTTTTGCGAGCCCATTCGGCGAATCTCCAACCTTCCTGACCTTTTTGATATTCCCCTGCTTCGTAACACCTCCAGGGGCAGTGGCAAGGTCGACTTTGCTGGCCAAAGTCCTACCCCTCGGCCCTCCTACCGCAGCAGTACTCCCCTTGGGCCGGCCTCTTCCTCGACCTGTCGCTTTTCCACGCTTCGGTGCAGCACTGCTCCCTCCATAATCACTATCGTGATCGCTCGGCACAGGCTCTGATGTTGAAGGCGAGTGGTAGTCGCTCAGCTCTTCCTTGATCGGCTCATCCTCATCCACCTCTTCGAGATCCTCGTCCATCGGCTCCAATTCCATCTCGCTCCGGCGTCGTTTCCTCGGAGGACCCGGAAGAGGAGGTGTACTGCCTTCTACCTCCGCATCGCCCCCAGGCGGGACACCTGTAGGTATACCACTAGCTCTCCACTTGTCCACCGCCTCCGCGCCAGCTTTGCGCTTGCCCTTGTGCTCAAACGCGGGATCATACGGCGTACCAACGTGCGAAGCGTGCGGCAAGCCATGGGCTGCACGCCACAAAAGGTCGAGGCCACTCTGGGCAGATTGAGATGACGTAGAATGGGAGCGTTCGCGGGCGGCGTGGCCGACGGTAGCCGCATCGTCGTCATCTTCTGGTGGTTCCGACGAGGCGGCTGTGGAAGCAGACCATGATGGGCGAGAGATCATGCCGGGAGGAGGCGTACCCGCTGAAGCACCGACAGGGATAGAGTTGCGATGCTGTATTGAACGATCGGCGGAAGGTCGGCGAGGGGAGGAAGGTTTGATGGAGGATGGAGGAGGCATGCGGCTGGATGAAGCTGTACGCTCCTTGTCCCGGGCAAATTGGCTACCGGGGCTGTTTAGGTAATTTGACTGCTGCCACTGGTTGGCCGGTACCCATTCAATCGACGGTATACACCAGTCAGACTCTTCGGAGCTCGTACTAGCAGCATCAGTGCTGGACGATGTGGACGATTGGCGAGTCACAGGAGGACCAGCCTGCTGAGGAGTGACAAAGTTGGTATAATTGCGCGGTATTGCAAAGTTGTCGGTGGGATAGGGAAGGCCTGGTGTAGGCCCTTGGATGACGGTGGATGTATTGTTGAGTTGGCGGACAGCTTCATCGGCTCTGGCAAGAGCCGCAGCTTGTTTGGCGGCTAGTTCGGGGTCGTTACCATTGCCAAAGTACCCCAAACCGCTGGTCAGGTAAGACGGATAGGCCATCGGACTATCCATCGGAGATTGACTTATCGGGAAGCCCTCCGGTCCATAGCTCGATCCGAGATAGGAGGGTGGTACGGGATGCTGGGAGGAGGATGACTCGGTAGAGCTCGAGTACGATCTCGATACGCCGTGCCCATTACGCCCCACGCCGATCTCTTTCCCATTACTGCCATCGTTCCCATTTGACTCCTGACTCGCCGGCTCGACAGCCATTTCCTCCGGGGTCTCGCTGACTGCATTCACCATGCCCAGCATTCCCTCGCCCGGTAATTGCCCGTTATTGGAGATTGGGGATCGAACATTGAGCCCGTCCATGTCGCCGGCCAACTGCTGCTGCCCTGCTCTCGGCGTCCTAGTCCCGGGCGAACTCGGCGACAGGGGTACGCTTTTCATTGAGGGGCTAGCAGTCCCAGACTCTGATGTCGCGGTTGTCGCGGTCGATCCTCCCGACAGGACCCGCTGCAGAAGAAGCGCTTGCGGCTCTATGGGATGAGCCGCGTCTAGTTGAGCTTTGTCAGCAAGGACAGAAGTGAGGGGGGCGAATGAGTCGGCAGGCTTGGGGAACGGTGATTTAGGTGATCGTGGGGATCTGGGGGAGCGGAGGAGTTTTGTTGGGGTGGTGGATGATGGAGGAGGAGGGGAGCGAGTCGAGACCATGATGAGAAAGCAGATGATGGGGCGAGTGAGATGGGACTTTTTGTGTGTTCTGTTGTGGGCGAGGAGGAGTGTCAGTATGAAGAAGATGACTCGGGTGGCCTTGGCCGGTGTCATACTGCGTACCTGGGGAGGTTGTTGTGGAAGAGGGTGAGTGACTTGCACTGATGCCCGACAGCAAGGGCTGTTGGGGGTGAAAGGACGGTGGGTGGAGACAAAAGGGGGGTGTGGGAGAGGAGGGGAAGACTACTGCAGCAATAATAGCGGGGTGTTGGGAGAGACAGCGATGCAGAGAGGCCATCTCGATGATGATGCATGGCGGTGTTAAACAACGCCCGGCGGAGATTGCCGGGTGGCAAATCGCCAAGTACGTAATCCGCATCGTTTGCTGGAATCACCATGCCATGCCATGCCACCATGGCCACCACCTGCCCCACACTCAATCGAACCTTGAATTTTGCACGGCCATCCACCACCAAGTCGGTCACCAAAGGCGTGTTTATCCCATGCGGGGATTGCTGGTGTATGTATCCCCGGAGGGCGAGGCATGTCATCGGCCGGAGCGTGCGCTATGGCTGGCGCGCTTGATTTTCTTACCAGCCCTTGCCTTCAAAGCCAAAGTTCATCATCTGAGGATCTCAAACGCCAGATGTATGCTCCAGAATAGATGATCCCTACGCCGGAGGTTGAAGAGCCTCATACTCTTACATGCCTTCATGCCGTCATGTACACCTCATCCTATGATCTCCGTCCAAGAGCCCCAAGGTCCAGGCGCTCCGTCTTCTCCAACAACTCTGAGCTCTACATTCTCGCAATCCGGTCCTCCAAAGAAACCAGTAGCTTTCCAGCCTCGCAGTTGAAGTAGCGAGAACATTCCTAATCCCGGGTCAGCTTGACAATCTTCAATGGTCAATTTACATACCAAATGCTTCTCGTTCAACTGGCCGTTGCCCCTCTGGCAAATTACGCACGTATGCCATAGAGAACCTATACTGGAATTGTCTATTGTCCACCTTGGGTTTTGGCGGAGCAGACCTTTGCTCGCCGACATCGTTGGAAGGAGCGGCGGGAAGCATGCGCTGGATGGATTCGCGCGAGAGAGAGTAGACGTCAAGATGACCAATGGTCGTCAGGCCAGAGACGATATTGGAGAGGTTCGTGAACGGGTTGGAAGTGTGGATAGAGTCTCTGTTAAAAGAGTCAGTGAATTTGTAGTCAACAGAGCAACGTCGACCTACTTTTGCTCTTCTTCAGCGGCCATGAGGGCCTTTCTTTCCTTTTGCTTTTCTGCCCAGCTTTTCTTCTTCTGCCCCGATTCTTTTTCCCTCTTCTTCCTCTCATCCTCCACTTCCTTGCCCAACCTCTGAAGGGTCTCCAATATCGTCTCTCCCCTCTGCATCAGCTCCCACGCAGCTCTCAGCAATTCCCGCTCTCTCCGCTCCTTCTCCTCCCCACCACCAGATTCTTGCGCCTGTCGCTCCTGCTCCAAGCGCTCTTGCTCCTTGTGCGCCCGCCGAGCCTTCTTCATCCCCTCCTTGTCGACATCGTTCATCCAGACGTCGTACTTTGCTTCCGGATCCTCGTCGTTCTCCACATACGTCTCACCATCCGCCGTAAAGCGCCCTTCACTCATCTCATTCTTCATGTTGAAGGGGGTAATGTCGACACCCATATCACCGTCGAGCCCCGTCTTGCTGGGCTCTTCAGCTTCCGAGTCGCTGTCCTCCGCTGGCCCCTTCCTCTTCCCAGGAGCAGAAGGCCGCTCAAACTCTTGCCCCTCAATATCATTGAGCTCCATAAACTCCTTCTTCTTCTCCTTCTTCTCCTCCTGCACATCCTCCGCAAACATATCCACATCATCATCCTCCCCCTCCTTATTCTTCTCCCCTCCCCCTGCCCCATCCCCATCCTCATCCTCGTCCCCACTGGAATCACTCGCATAAGCCGACTGGTCTACCCGGCTCTTCGCTTTGGACTTGGCAGTACGCGCGTTGGAGACGATATCATCTTGGAGGAAGGCGTCGTCGTCGTCGTCCTCTGTCTGGGAGAGGGGGGTGTTTCGGCCGGACGCTGAGCGAGAGGCGGAGGCGGAGGGGCCAGAGACGCTGGGAGCGGGGGCGAAGCGGGTTCGTTTTTGGGTGGAAGAGGAGGAGGGGGCGGAGCGTTTGTTGGACATGACGCTGAAAGACTACTCGTCCACGGGAAGAAGAGATCTGGGTGCTTTGAGGAGGAGTCGGCGAGGGGGTGGGCGAGAGGAAAGCGATAGTCAAGACGAAAACAACGGAGGTCATGCACAGTATGACGCTCATCAAGTCCTAATGCACATTTGATCCCGCTAATCCTTTGAGGCTTTTCAAAAACTTCTATTTGGTTCAACCAGCACTCAATATCTGTCCACCAGCTCCACCTTCTTCAACTTTTCTATCCAATCCCTCACAATGGGCAAACTCAAGGCCGCTCTCGCAAACCAACAATTCGGTGCCGCCAAGGCTGCTGCCAAAAAGCGTGCTTCAGCTGCTGAAGAAGCCAAGAAGCAGAGCATCAAGGCGAGCGTCGATGGTGTGAAGAAAGGCAAGAAGCGGGCCAAGGCCAAGGCTGGACCTTCCGCTGGGCCCGTCAATGGGCCTGGGGGTGTTCTCGAGGGCAAAGGGAAGGGCAGGGAGAAGCCCCCAACGATACCGATTGATCCTCTAGACACGGTGCTACTCTTGGGCGAAGCAAACTTTTCATACACTCTCGCGCTTCTCGCCCCGCCTCACAACCTCCCTCCGCACCAGATTCTGGCAACAGTGTATGATAGTGAAGCCGTCACGCTGGAAAAGTATCCCGATGCGGCTGAGAATATAAAAACCTTGAGAGAGAAGGGTGTGAGGGTCGAATTCGGAGTGGACGCCGGGGCGTTGGAGAAGTGTAAAGCTGTTGGGAAGGGGAGGAGATGGAGTAGGGTGGTGTTCAATTTCCCTCATGTTGGTGAGTACGATAGGCATAGTATCGATTGCATGGGCTGACTTTGAGCTAGGTGCTGGCATAAAAGACCAAGACCGTAACGTCTTGACAAACCAACACATGCTGCTTCGCTTCTTCCGTTCGGTCGAGCCTCTCCTCACGGACGGTCCTACACATATGCCTCTCCCCCAAAGATCCAACAAAAAAGGAAAGAAACAAGCGCCCAAAGCAAAGAGAGCAGACTCTGAGGACCCAGAGTCTGAACTCTCTGGCGTCTCGGATGTCGAAGACCTCGGCTTTGAGGACGATTCTTTCTCTCTCCCCTCAGCACCCCAGACTAGGGAATTCACCCCTCCGACACGCGCGGGTTCGGTCCTTATCACTCTCCTCACCTGTCTTCCTTACACACTCTGGTGTCTTCCCCAACTGGCTGCCCGCCCGCCTAGTGTATGTCCCGGCACGAATCTTCCTCAGCCTCGGTACACCCTGCTGAGGTCGTTCGAGTTCAAGCCGGCGGCTTATCAGGGGTATGCGCACAGACGAACGATCGGGTGGAAGGAAGGGCTGAGCAAGGGAGAGAACGAGGAGATCATGGGGAGGAAGGGAGTGCCAAGGACGTATGAGTTTGTGAGATCTGTAAAGGATGAGTAGTCGTGTTATCAGACATGTATCAGCTGTAGAGATTATCACGGGGACATGACCACTGCAAAGGACCAATGCGCGATAGATCATACAATGTACATTGGAGTTGCCGAGTATTTTGTTATAGCTGTACTCCTCTAGGGTATCGCCGGTGCACTGCCATCTGAACAAATTTGATTAGTCTGCTCCGAGGACGTGATGATGAACGACGTACCTGGACACCACAGAAAGCCACAAAGAGGGCGTAGATCACGGCGGCAGCATAGCACGTTGACGCGACGAGATCAGGGTCTTCGGGGTCTTTTGTCGATCCGGTAAGGACTTCGACTCGACGAGAGAATAGGGATCCGAGGGCTGCAAGGGCGCTGTCAATATGGAGAATGTAAGACGGGGCCGGTACGCACCGACGAGGATGACAATGGCGATGATGGAGAAGACGGTACAGCAGGACGCTGAGGGAGGTCAGTCGATTGAATGGGGAACCCAGAGGACATACCGAGTCCCTGGCCGACTACAGGCTTTACGTTGATGGCCATCGTTGCTGTTGATGCTGACTCCATTCATCCATCGAGAAACAGCAACAAGAGCGAGCCGTCACAGGCGGCCATCTCCGACATTATTCGACCGCCCGTTTATTTGTTTTTCAAGATTTCCGGCTCGACCTCCACCTTCCGCCTTCAACTTTCACCTCAAGCCATACAAATCCACAGCCATGGCCAAACGCGTCAGCAAAAGGGGCAGCAAGTCTACCAAGCTCCAGAACGGCCTCCTTAACGAAAAGGCCGCCGACAAAGAGGCTGCTGAAGCCCCTGAAGCTCCTGAAGCTCCTAAAGTTCCCAAGGAGTACAACATCAGCGATGCCTTGCGCCAGGCGGTCTTGGACCTCGGAGGAGACGAGGGAGATTTCGATCTGATTGATGGTGTCGATGATGATGATGAGGCTCCAGCTCAGAAGAAAGAGAGTAAAGGGCCCAGCGACAAGGATTTGAAGAAGGAGCTCGGCGATTTCATGAAGGGGCTGGATTTCGGAAGTATCGAGGTTGCTCCTGTGGAATCGAGCGAAGAAGCGAGCGACGAGAGTGAAGAGGAGGAAGAAGGGTCCGAAGACGAAGACGAAGGTGAGGAGGAGGAGGAGGAGGGGGGGGAGGAGGAAGATGATGACGAAGAGGATGAAGATGAAGATGAAGATGAGGATGAGGATGAGGAAGGATCAGCAGAGGAAGCAGCCCCGAGACCTGTAGATGTAGCCCCTGCCAAGAGCATCAAAGAGTCTTTGACTCCCAAAGCTGCTCCAGCTGCGTCTGACCCTGACAGCACGAGCGGTGTGGTGAGTTGTCTATACACGGAAAGAACCGAGCTGAACCCTTGCAGAATGTACCCGCTTCGACTTCCTGGCCCGCTCTTATTCCTGCACTCGAACCGGTCGCCTCCGTGTCCAAGCTCGGTCCTCACGATCTCAACAATCTCAGACAACGAGCCACCAACCTTCTCGAAAACCTTCCCGCTCTCCACCGATCCTCTTCCTCTGCCGACAAGGCTTTCATCACCCAGATTCTGCAATCCGGTACCCACCAGGATAAGCTGTCTGCTTTGGTCCTGATCGTTCGGGAAAGTCCCGTTCATGGTGTGAAGGAGCTCGACAAGCTTCGAGCTATGGCAGGATGGAAGGAAGACGGCATCGGCGGGGGTGGTAACAAGGACCAGCGAGTAGCTGTCGTCAAGGCGTTGGCGGATTGGTGGGTGTTTGGCGGAGGAAAGCAAGCTGGCAAGCTGCGTTACTTTGCCGACCAGCCTCTTTTGGCTCATCCCAAAATCACCGATCGTCACCTCTTGATGTTTGCCTTTGAAGACTACTTGAAAAAATGGTTCTTTAGCATTCTGCAAGTGCTCGAGGTCTTGTCACACGACACACTTCCCTTCGTCAGGACACAGGCCCTGCATATCATCTTCCGACTCTTGGCTGGCAATGCCGAGCAGGAGCAGAATTTGCTGCGTTTGGGTGTCAACAAACTCGTAAGTCTCTCGCTTTGTCTTTAAAGCCACGCTCACACTCTCTCAGGGTGACACCGACAGACCCGTCGCTTCCAAAGCTTCCCACCACATTCTTCAACTCCTCCAGGCCCACCCCGCCATGAAGACCGTTGTCGCCCGTGAAGTTTCCGGCCTCATTCTCAAGCCTTCCGGTGCATCTGGCCCCGCTGCCTCTTCTTCCCACATCAAATTTGACGATGACAAGAAGAAGGCCGCTCAGCTTCCTGCAAAGAGCGACGGTGTGGAGCATGGGAGATACTATGGGTTGATCACGTTGAACCAAATGACTTTGACGAGGCAGGATCAGGACGTTGCTGGAAAGCTCGTGGACCTCTACTTTGAGGTCTTTAGGGAGATTCTGGGTGATCCTAATGGACCTGAAGAGGAAGAGAAGCCCGTGGAGGAGCAGGAGAAGGTTGAGAAGGTGGCTGGAAAGGTCGAAAAGTGGCGCGGACGTCGCAAGGGTGCCAAGCCAAAGAACGGTCGAAAGACTGCTTTGGAGGAAGAGGAGGAGTTGATCGAGACGACAAAGGCCAAGCTTGTCGCTGCCGTTTTGACTGGTATCAATCGTGCTCTTCCCTTTGCCAAGCTCGACGAAACCATGTTTACCACCTACATGGACACCCTCTTCAAAATCACCCACGCCGGCACTTTCAACACGTCTATCCAAGCCCTTCAACTCATCTTCAAGGTCTCTACTACCGAAAGCGAGAGCCAGCAGACTGTCTCCGATAGGTTCTACCGAACCATTTACGATTCGCTGTTTGACCCGAGACTAGTCACTTCAAGCAAGCAGGCAATGTACCTCAACCTGTTGTTCAAGGCGATGAAGGCGGACCAGAGTGTTGCCCGGGTCATGTCGTTTGTGAAGCGTTTATTGCAAATGCTGTCGCTGCACCAGCCACCATTCATCTGTGGTGCTCTCTATCTTCTAGGCGAGGTGAGTCATCTGGCTTTTCGCGTCGTTCATGGTCTGACATTTTGGTAGCTCTTCAGTGCCACTCCTGTCCTCAAGAGGATGCTCATTGAGCCCGAGGATGATGGTGAGGAGCACTTTGTTGATGCTGACGGCGAAAAACCTGCTGTGCCCACTGCTCAACCATCTAATGTCGGAAAGCAGTATGATGGCAGAAAGCGCGAGCCTAAATATGCCAACGCTGAAACCAGTTGCCTCTGGGAACTTGTGGGTACTGCGCGCTTTCTTGCTGGACCACGCTAATCTGGTCATAGGCACCCTTCCTCAACCACTTCCATCCCTCCGTCTCCCTTCAAGCCCACCAGCTGCTCACTTCTCAACCGGTCACCGGCTCTCCCGACATCTCCCTCAACACCCTCATCGCTTTCTTGGACCGATTTGTCTACCGAAACCCCAAAAAGACTATCCAGCCCAAGGGTGCTTCCATCATGCAGCCAGCTGCTGCGAGCGACAAGACGGGTATGATTGTCAAGGGCGAAGGTGAAGCGGGTGTGATGGTCAACAGCGAGGCCTTCTGGAGGAAAAAGATTGACGATGTCCCGGTGGAGATGATGTTCTTCCACAAGTACTTCGCGGAGAAACTCAAGAGGAAAGAGGGTATGGGCAAGGGCAAGAAGGGTGTGGAGGAGTCTGAAGCGGGTGAAAGCGAAGAAGGCGAGGATGAAGATGAGGAGATGAACTCGAGTGAGGGAGATAGCAGCGATGAGGAGGAGGACGAGGAACAGGCTGTGTCTGACGAGGACTCTGATCCCGAGGAAGCCGAGATCTGGAGGGTGAGTTGCAATTACTGGTAACAAGCGTATCTGCTGACATCTTTTGATAGGTCATGAAAGCTACCATGCCTCGCGCCAACGATGATCTTGGTATCAGCGAGGATGAAGATATCGATGATGATATAAGCATATCCAGCGGCTCTCACGAGGAAAGCAGCGATGATGATGAGGACGAGGACGAGGACGAGAATGAGGACGATACCGATGAGTCGGAAGTAGACGAATCGGAAGACGAAGAGTCTGAAGAAGAGTCCGTCCCGGCGCCCAAAACAAAAAAGGGCAAACGCGCCGCCCGGTCATCCTCCCCCGCCTTCTCAGATTCCTCCTTCCCCAACTTCGACGACGAAGATGACGATGTCAATGACTTGTCTGACGTTGACATGCCCGATATTGTGCTCGATGCCGATTCGGACGGCGACGAAGAGGAGGAGGACGAAGATGAGATCGGAAAGAAGAGGAAACAGAGGAACCAGGAGAGGAAGGATAGGAAGAAGAAGAGAAGAGAATTGCCGACGTTCGGTAGTTATGAGGACTACGCCGCTCTTATCGAGGCGGGAGGAGAGGATGAGGATTAGGGGTAAGGGGGTGTATCTATTAGGTCTCTTGACTGTGTCTTTGGTCATGTGTGATGCATGTTTCTATCAGCATTTGACATCCACTGGGTTGACATAGCGACATAGCATTGAGGTAAAGGCATGCGCGGCAGCTGCTGCTGCCTCAGCCTTCTGTCGGCAGCTTGGTCACTATCTGTGGTGTTTGTGATGAGATTCCAGACAACAGGCGTATTCATAGAAGCAAACACAATTGACTAAATTAAAATGTCACGTTGGACGGGCTGATCAACCGAAAAGACGTCTCGAAGCCGGAACTAAAGCTCAGGTGTCAGAACTTGGCAAGCTGAAGAACTGACCACTCACTAGAGCCGAACCATGCATTTTCGTTCTCGGCCGCTGGGGCTGAAAGGCGCGACCTACCATCACCGCCAGCCGAGCGAGAGTCCGATGCCATACTATCGTCCTCTTGGGACTTATCCACAGCAGCAATTCTGCTCATCTCGTCTTTCCACCACTCCTCGTCATCTTCATCGTCAGCCCAATTGAAGCCTGCCAGGACATGACCAGTAAACGTTTCTTCTGTCAAACGTCTTCGAGACAACACTCACTTGACTTCCAAGGCCCAGCGGTTACGGTCTCACGCATCCCGAGACTGAGCTGTACAGAACGGCTCTGCTCAGGCGCAAAGGATAGTTTGTCAGTGAGCTCTTCTACTGGTGGCGACTCCTCCAAACCTCGCGCGCGAGGCTTTCCATGCCATATCTAAATAATGTTTCGCGGCTATAGCGTCCATATGTTTTTCTTGCTGCAAGGCTTTGAAGTTGCTGCTGTCGAACGACGGGATAATGATCTTTCAAGAAGCTTTCGGCTGCATAGAGATCTGCACTGGCTCGATAGAAGTTCACGCGGCTGTCAACGGTATCTTGCTCATTGTGAATTTGCTCAAAGTCGTCGCGACAACTTTTGACTTTAATGTGCAGGGCGCGAGCCAAACTCTCGACCATGGTGTCATATTTGGCTTCAGTTCTGCTTGCATGATCATGATCTCTTGTCAGCTTCCTGCTAACAGTCCGTTCCATCCATTGACGATTAGCGTGAAACGCTTTGGTCAGTTCCTCTCGTCGGGCGCCCTCGGTCGCATTACCACCAGAATTATCTCTCAAAAACTTGTCAAACTGATCATGAACTTGATCTCGCAAGCCCACCAGAATACGAAAGTATGACTGGGCGATCGAGGGGCGAAACACGGTCGTCTCCGGCTCATACTTGTATTCATCTATATGTGTGTTCAGCTGTTTTGACAATTTGTCACAGGCCCTGGACTGGAGAAGTAGATCAGTTGGGATCCCAAAGTTGGAGACGCCTGGTGCCACTGCCGATCATCAGTCATGGTCTATACGGGAAGAGGGATCATACTCGAGTAAACGTTGTCCCGCGCTTTTTTCGAAGCTTGAGAGAAGACACCGGGATGACCAGTCGCGGTCTCCCAAGTCTTTTCTAGCTCTTGCAGCCAAGCTTGAAGATGCTTTTTCCTCTCGGGCAATAGCTCCAATAAATCTCCGACTCGCGAGTTGTGATACAGGCCAGGTTCCACACCATCATCGGCATTATCAAAGAGATGCTCGAAATATCTACGTCGGACTACCTTTTCGTCCTTCTCTGAAATCTGTCCGCGCGTTCCTCAAACTTTTCGGAAGTCTCTTTAGTTCCAGGCCATTTCTTGGAAGAGCTGAAACGCGCTACTGCGCCTTCTATGTCTGAGAAAGGCCGATCCCATATGATGGTGTTTTTGTTCTTCCTTGTGGAAGGTGCCGCGTCGACTCTGCCGTATGCACACTGGCAAGATCGTTATAGATCCTGCTCACGAGGAAAGGGAATGCCTCCTCAGATATAATTTGACTTCTCAAGCCGTCTGCCAGATATTCTACCCGGGAAATCTGTTGCAGATCTTCTATTTTTGCTGCCGTACCACCTCCCAGTGTCTCGAATATTTGGTCCATCAATTGGATTAGTTCTCCACTGGGGTCCTTAGAGCCATCTCGTGTCATTTTTTGGTAATATGACTCTCCATTTGCCTCGAGGTCGGCAACCGTCTGGTGAATATACCGGGCCCATTGACTGGCGTCAGCCGCGTTCCATTCGCGATGGTTGTTGTTACGTAGCACTGCGTCCGGATCCTCAGAAATTGCCCGTCCGGCAGTGTCAACAAAAGACAAAGCGCAGAAATTGATGAGTTTCCTGTAGTCCCTATTGGGATCCAGGAAGCCTTTCTGGGACAGTCTGTCTAAGATCGTTACGGTACCATCAAGTTCGCTTTTGAGGCGGTCTATAGTTGCGAGCTGTTGATAATGCGCTTCGATCATCTGAGGGAGCGCGAGTATAGGGTAATTCTCCTCAGACATGCCGATCCTTGTGGGGGACAGACCATGAATGCCTTTCTGCGCCTCCGGCTGATGGGCGCTACTGCTTGAATCCGTCATCATGCTGCTGGTGATAGTTAGTGACGGCCTACTTTCGTATTGTTGGGAGGGCTTGTCAGTATATGTACTAGGTGGGCAGATAACTGGTCTAAGGAATTCTCACTGTGAACTTTTGCTACTTAGGCCGCTGGTTCTGGACGAAGGTTTGATGCAGAATCAAAGGGCTGGGGAGGAGAAGAAGAGCCGCGGAGGATGAGACCAATGGGCAACAAGGTGTTATTTGTACACTCTCAACCGACCCTCGACATTCCATCCTCAACGGTGTATGTGAACAAGCGAGGTTTCCCATGATGGTTTCCCTTGTCTCAGCTTCTCATTACCGACCTGGGCCTTCCCATGACCCACCCTCCAATGAACTAGCTATCATTGTCCGAGCCGCCTGGCGCCATACATTGTCCGTCGCGTATCCCAAGTAATACCTCATCACCAATCTTGAGTTTCTCATCGCCTCCTATCACTGCTCCCTGTTATCTGCTCCGTTCTTTATACTTGATACTTTCTCACTTGAGTTCACACGCGGCAGAACCAGAAAAGCATCTGCAGACACAAGACCCGCGTTGCATTCCGGGATCTCGGTGGGTTAGGCTTTCTACTGCTGAGAGGACAACCATCGCAGTATCGAGCCATAATTTTGAAGGCCCTTTGTGGCTTTGGATAGTACATTCGGGCACCAAATATCAACAAATGTAATCCAGCGAGCAAGTAGCACCGGATGTACCATGACAAGTCATCATTCAACCCGCCATGCACCTGTCACTATCTGGTCTACAGATTGTTGCGTTCTCATCTCTACATACACCACCCCATTCGCCCTCGGATCCTTTCGCTGCTACCCCCGACTGTATATATACTCTACCAGCAAAACTCTCAGCAATACCTCTGAAAACTTTGGTCCCCGACAAAACAACATGGTTTTGGTAAATAGGAGTCCTGTGATATGTAAAGCAGTTTTAACCCAAAACAACAAGCCTCCGTAGTTTAGTTGGTTATAACACCCCACTAGTACGTACTAACACGATAATGGGGAGGTCTGTCGTTCGAATCGGCACGGAGGCAATTGTCTTTTTGTTTTCTTTTTGCCGTTCTTTTTGCCAAGTCCTGGTTCTTCTTGAAGCAACTATTCTGTTCATGAATGCCTCATGCTTGTCACGACAGTAGACGCAACAACAAAATATATCCAATAGATCGAACTCTCTAATTCGCCGGCTTCTCCTCTATAACCTGTCCAGCCACCCCAGCTCGCATCTGTATCTCCATTATATCTCTCAGGTACCCCTGCCTCATACCATTCTCTTCGTCCAAAAGCATCAGCCTTGCTTTCGCCAGCACATATCTCGCCTGCCACCGGCACCTGCTCAGCACCTGTATTGGACCGCTCTCGGGGTCCTCGGCGTCGTCGATTTGCTGCACGAGGGTGGAGGTGAGAGGGAATATGTCGTCGAGCTCTGCAGAGGCGTGTGGGTTGGCATCAGGTCGAGGGGGTATGACAGGCTCGTCCAAAGGGTTCGGGATAAGATCATCCAACACCGTTTTTCTCCTCTTTCCATTCACCTCCTGCCCCGACCCTTCTGCTCTGTCCCGTCCACCGTCTTCTTCCGGAGAATAATCCGGAAACATTCGATGCTTCGGAAACTTTTTTTCCGCCGCTATCAGAGCGTAAAGTTCTTCCTCCGACTCGGGCAAGCACCGCCTTCTCGCGCGCAGGCGGGGGATGACATCGTACAGCTCAGAGTCGTAGCACAGGTCCGAGTCTGGTGCTACAAACCCCGGCGGTATCGACTGAGTCGGTACCAGCGTTGGCGGTGTGCGTGGACGGTAATTTGCAGAGGTGGCATCGGGGAGAGCATTGGATGATGAGGCTGAGCCAGCAGCAGCAAGGGATTTTCTGCCTTTGCCTCTACCGGGACCTTTGGCTTTTGGTTCTTTGGGTTCTTTTGTTTCTTTGGCGGGTTTGGGGGGCGCGCCGTTGGGGTTGAGCAGGTCGGCGTGGACGGTACGTTTATGTTTGTTGAGAGCATCTGTACGGGCAAAGGATTTGCCGCAATCTGTCGAGTATTGTCAGTGCCCGGTACAGGAAGAGTTGGCAAGGAGCATACCTGCAATGTTGCAAGTGTACGGCTTCTCGCCCGTATGCCCTCGAATATGGGTCAGAAGTAACGACCTTCCCTGTTTTGAGCCGACACGAGCACATGTACGCCATTCACAAGCAAACTCCTTCGAGGCATTGATATGGTCTATACCCAGCGTCAGCATAGCACCCCAACGCGTCACGTCGCTACGCACCTTTGACATGACCATAAAACACTTGCTTATCCGCAAACTCATCTTCACAATCTCCCCACAGACACTTTTCTTTCTCCTCTTTCTTTTCGTCTTCTGCTTTCACCTCTGCTACAGGTTCCGCTTTCGGCGGCAGCTCTTCGGCCGCCTTGTCCTCCACCTCGAGTTCATCCTCGCCCTCCATCCGGACATCTTCGTCCACGTCCCCGCTCGTAGCTGGGGAAGAGGCGTGACTTTCAGTCAATTGATCTCGGAGATGGGGATGTAAAGCGGCAGGAGGGGCGGGAGAGGAGGAAGGAGACATGGTGGATGGGGCGAATGGTGGAGGCTGCTGAGTCTGGTGAATGGAGGCTGGAAGCCGTTATCAAGAAGGCAGGCGGGATGGGCGAGGAGGCTGTCGGGGTGGCACTCCCAGGGAGCGGGCTGGCTGTTTTGGGTATTTTTGTGGGGAGAGCAAGAGCGCGCATGCATAGGAATGGCGTCGTGGACTGATCGGGGTGGTTGCAGTGGAAGACGACGGGATCAAATATCGATCCACTGACGCTCGGACCTCAAACGCAACGACTGTGAGACGGACGCTTGAGTCAGTCACTGCATCTGATGCATACACATGTACTCGACATGGCAGGTGATCCTACTGGCCTTTGCTCCCATGATTCACAAGCCTCCTTCGAAAGAATAGCTCGATGAGAACACTCCGCCACCACGCGTAGAGGGTGATGTCTGCGATTATACTCACTAATCAGCCAACCGCCTGCCAGTCCTGGTTTGGGTACGATATTGGTTATGGCCGACAGCTCTTTCCTCAGCCAAGACTCCATCTCCCATCCTGGAGGCGCGAGTGAAGAAGCAGACTCTTGGGCTACAAAGGAGAATGTCCATGATGACGGTACACGGAACGCGGTTGTTATAGGCTGTCTGCGTCTGTTCGTCGCTCCTCACTTGGATGAATCCCATATTCGTCTTTTGTATAGACCCTCAAAGTATGACAAGGGTCATGAAGATGAGCCCTTTCTCGCTTGTTCGTCAGGCGGTTGCTGTATATGGCGACCTGCTGAGTAGTTCAGACGAGGTGACATCCGCCAAAGTGGTGTCAGTTCCTCGAAGGCACTGGAAAGCGTTCGTATGGCCCAGTGTACCTCAAGCAAGACCATTGACACCCTATGTACTCCATACAAGAATGCATTGCAAGTTGCAAAGTGCAAGATGGATAGCGTTACAGTCACAGGTACGCGAATATCGGCTATTTCTCTCGGTGACGTCTATTGCCGAACACGACCATCACCATGCCCCATCCATCTCTATCTTCCTTCGTTTTCTTTATCCGTCTCATTCGCCATGCTGCCCCTCGTACGCCGCCCCCTCCCCCTCCGCACCCTCGCCTCAGTAGCGTTCGCCAGGCCCTCATCATCCCTCTCCCCTCTCGCCCTCAAGGCCGCAGAGGACGTGAACAAGTGGAAGGGTACCAACGCGAATGGGGGCAAGACGAAGAACTATATCGGGGGAGAATTCGTAGACAGCAAGGCTGACAAGTGGATCGAAGTCAGGGACCCTGTGTGTACATCATTGCTCCTGGGGAAGGGGTGCTGACAGCCGTGCTAGTCCTCCCAGACCTTGATCAATACCGTCCCAGAGACGACCGCAGACGAGTTCAAACAGGCAGTCGATGCAGCGTCTCAAGCCTTCAAGACATGGTCGCAGACTAGTATCATGCGCCGCCAACGTGCCATGTTTGAGTACGTACATCCTTTGCACCATGTGCGTACGCAGGCCGGAGCTCAAAGCTGATCCCGTGACAGACTGCAGCATCTCATCCGCCAGCACGCCCCCGAAATCGCCAACTCTATCGTCCTCGAGCAAGGCAAGACCTATGCCGACGCTCTCGGTGACGTCGGTCGTGGTCTGCAGGTGGTTGAAACAGCTACCGCCATCACCTCGACCCTTCTCGGCGACAAGCTCGAAGTCGCCAAAGACATGGATACCTACTCGCGCAGGCTGCCTTTGGGTGTGACGGCCGCAATTACGCCGTTCAACTTTCCAGCGATGATTGTGCTGTGGTCCGCTGCGCTCGCGACGGTGACGGGAAACACGCTCATTGTGAAACCGTCGGAGAGAGACCCGGGAGCGACCATGATCATTGCAGAGCTTTGTGAGAGGGCTGGGCTCCCTCCCGGAGTCATCAACGTGTGAGCTGCCCCATCTCCTAGTTTCATTCCAACTGACGAAATCCAGTGTCCATGGCTCTGCGCCCACAGTCAACAGAATCTGCGACGACCCAGTCATCAAAGCCATCTCCTTCGTCGGCGGCGACAAGGCCGGTGAACACATCTACAACCGTGCTATCCCTTTCGGAAAGCGTGTACAAGCCAACTTGGGCGCAAAGAACCACGCCATCATCATGCCAGACGGTATGTCTTCGTCTCTTCATTGCTACTCTGGTCCGCAACGTTTGAGGAAGAGGCTGATGGGGGCATGTAGCGAACCAAAACTTGGCGCTCAACTCTGTTGCTGGCGCGGCTTTCGGTGCTGCCGGTCAACGATGCATGGCACTCTCCGTCGGTACGTACACCCCCATCCGTTTGCCGTGCTGGTCTGACATATGCATAGCTATCTTTGTCGGCACCGCTCGAGAAATGATTCCAGACCTCGTCGAGCGTGCCAAGGGCATGAAAGTCTCTGGCGGATTTGAAGAGAACACCGACTTGCAAGTCCAACTCCTTCTCTCCCCCTTTCCCTCTAACAATAGGTTACAGGGGGCCAGTGATCTCTCCCCAAGCCAAGGAACGTATCGAATCCCTCATCTCCTCTGTCGAAACCGAAGGCGGCAAGATCCTCCTCGACGGCCGCGGATACTCTGTGCCCGAATATCCTAACGGAAGCTTTGTGGGACCGACTATTGTGGAGGCGGTCACTACCATGCAGGCTTACAAGTGAGTCTCCTCTTCACAGCATCGGCGCAGTGAGCTGATGGTAAGATAGGACGGAGATTTTCGGACCAGTCTTGACTATCGTGGCGGCTGATACCTTGGACGACGCTATCGCCATCATCAACGAGAACAGATAGTATGTCCATTCTCTGCTTTTTCCCTCTATCGTGCATGGTCTGATGGAGTTACAGTGGGAACGGCGCCTCCATCTTCACCAACTCTGGCGCCACCGCCCGCAAATTCGAGATCGAAGCCGAGCCCGGCCAGATCGGCATCAACGTCGCCATCCCCGTTCCTCTCCCCATGTTCAACTGGTCCGGAAACAAGGGCTCTTTCAAGGGAGATATCTCATTCTACGGCAAGACTGGTCTGGACTTCTATACGCAGAGAAAGACGACGACGAGTTTGTGGCCAGAGGCGGATGCTATTGGAAACAGGGTATGTACAGTCTTTCTGCTCTTCTGTGAGCGAAAAGAGGCTGATGGATGTTCTATCTGCAGGCGAGTGGAAACATGCCTCAGATTCATTGAGAAAGTTTTTTATGGTTGTACAATGCAAACAGCAATGTTTCGATCCACAAGAGTCATAGTTTCCCCAACATGACATGTACAGTATGACCGTGCAGATAGCAAGAAACGATTATCCGTGCTGTCACTGGCCGCCATTCAACGCACTGCCCAAGCTCTATGCAAGGGTAGCAGCGTATGAGGCAAGGATACTCAACCTTCGACGGTGCAACAGCCGTCGTGCTGAAGGCGGCTCCTCTTAATTTCCAACTCGGCGTCTTTGCCCGAAGATCCCTTTGCTGATGTCTACCAGCCGCGACACTCATATCATTGCGCTATTCGTGACAGATTGAGCAAGAAATGATCCATTTCCAATACACGTCTACAGTCACAGCGACACATATCCGAATCCCAAGCCAGACGATGACTACTCTACTTTGTTCTAGTCTTCATCCCAGTCTCCACAGGCTGTACTCCCAAGTCTGCCCCTCGCGCCCTCAAAAAGCTCACCACCTCCCTGCCATCTCTCACTCCACCTGGTTGAACCCAACCAGAAAGCACCTCATCCCTCTCTCTTTCACGCTCCAGCACCCTACCTCCATACTCCTCCGCCAACCAACTCTGTGCCACCACCTCTTCCCCTTGCTCCAGCTCTCTCAACACCTGCACGAGCTCCCGGAATGCTTCGGAGCGTACTCGGAGTACGTGCCTAACCAATACTCGGGAAGATAGTTTCTTGGGCTTCTTCCAGACTTCCTTGGGAGTGTCGGGGGCGAGGCCGGCAACCTTTGGAGGGTCGGGAGCGAAGGAGGAGTATTGCGCGACGAAGGCTGGGAGTGGCATCTCGAAATCTCGGGGAAGCCAGACGCCGATGACAAGACGCCAGGCGGCGGCGAGCTTCTTCATACTGTCCAGACGTCAGCGAGGCTACAGCAAGAACCAGAAAATTGCTCACGCGTCGTAGTTTTCGTCAATAAGGGTGGAATGGTATCGGCCCAACATCCAGACAGAGACAGCTGCGATTACCGCACCAAAAGTCCATTGCTTCAGGACCGCATAAAGACTGAAGAACAAGACCGGATAAGTCAAGAAGCTCAGTATCAACCCGAAAGTGATTTTTGTCTGCGCTTGTGTTTCCAGCTCATCTTCCGCCAGCCTGGCGCCCAGAATTCCAACCACATACACCGGCAGATGTATCAACATTGGCACAATGAAGAAAGGAAGACGGACAAGGCAGTTGAGCGAATCCTTGATGAGGAGCCAGAGGGTGGAGAAGCGGTTGGGCAGGGTGACGGCGGATTTAGGGTTGAGCTGGTTGGGAAGGGAGAGCTCAGCGAGGGCAGAATTAGAAAGGCGGGAAGATGTGAGGAGGCGGTGGTAAGTGGCAAGGAGGTCCTTGAGGGCCTCGATCTTTTCGTTGGCAGTGCAAAAGATGTCTACCAACGTTTGAGAGACTTGGACATATTCTCCCAGGGGCAGATTGTCCTTTGGCCAAAGAAGCTGCCTGGCCATCTGAGCAGCGAAAGAAGTGTTCCTGAAGGGGCATCAGTACAGCGCGTAGTTACTATAGTCACATACCAGTCAGGTGCGTTGACAGTCATAGTCCTGAACTCGAACGTGATCGCCTTGGTCAAAGCCTTAACGGCAAGCTTGTCTGCACCCTGCTCGCTGCTGAGGAAGCTTGCCTCATAGTCCTCCATCTTGATGGGGGGTCCATAACTTTGACCAAGTCAGCATTCATCCCACGACTGTGTGTTAACTTACTGCACAACGACACTGCTCCTGTACTTTGCCTTGTCCACATAGGCAATGCCAACTGGCACCACCACCGCTTTCTTCCCACTTTTGGCACCTTTGTTCTCTTCAGTTCCCTGGAGGTAGCGAACGTATTCGAGAGCAGACCAGGCAGTACCATCTTTGAGGGGAATTAGGTGGGGCTCGGTATGGGAGGTGCCTTCGGGGAAGACTCCGATCGATTCTCCGCGCGCCAGAGCTTGTAACGATCAGCAGGAGCTATAAAGGCTACAAAAGAACGCACCCTCAAATGTTCCACGGAAGAGCATCTGATTGTTCTTGTTCTTTCTGTCGACGGCTACACGCTGGTTAGCGATGCCGCCTGAATGTAGCAGACAACTGCGAACCAATATTTCCCGCATTCCGAAGAAGCCACCCTACGGCGGGATTTTTGAACAGCGAGTCTTTGACCTGGTCACAGTACAGTCAACATCTACACGCGCGAATAGGACGGATCACGGACCCAGTAGTGCAGCAGATGGCCATGCGGAATGGTGTTACTCAGCACGGCGGGCTAAGAGTTGTCAGCACAGCTTCCCACGAATGCGAGGCGTCTTACATCGACCGCCATGTTGGCATGGGTACACGCACTGCAGCAGTCAGCTCTACTCGCGTCGGATGGGCACGACTTACAAAATGATGGGACCCTCCGTAGGGACATTCTCAGCGCCGTACACCTCGATTTCGCGGAAGAATGAGCAGATGGCCGAGTCTGCCAGCGCCACCAGGGGCTTGTGTGTGAATCCGAAGGGCATTGGGGGAAATGGGGGTGAGAGACAAGATGAAGACAGAATGAACAAAGGACAGAGAACAACACAGACCAAACACAGACGCAGGCGGCCGAGGCGGGCCAGACGCGTCCCACGTGGCCTCCACCTTTGGTTTTCTCCCGCCCGTCTTGTCTCTATAGACCGACGGTCCTCGAGATTGAGCCAAGAGGCGTGATGTGTCCTTCCACGAGTGACCGTCCCCATCCCAAAGGATTGCAACCCCAGCACACATATCCATCCGTCGCTAAATATACTGGTACGAAGCTAGAACTCCGTGGCATATATCCCAGTATTCTACTACACCAGATTGTGCTCCGTTCGTATCAGATTAGATGTGTAAGCTTAGCGTTTACTATAACGGAACACGTCTTCGATTCTTCCATCGTCCAACCTCCGTCGCCCAACAGTCGAACCACCAGCACCCACCAGCAGTCGGTCCCCGGTGATCGCCGCCCCCGCAATATTATGTAACAACAGTTTTATCTCCTCTTTCATTTTTGTTGAATTTTTGTTGCTCCCTCCTTTATCTAATCTACGACTCCTCAAAATGGCGACCCAACCCTCCAAAGAGCTCGACGCCGCCGTCCTCGCATACCTCGTCAAGAGGGGCTACACCAAATCCGTCAAGTCGTTAGAGAAGGAAGCTGCTGTCAAGCTCGCCCCCGGCCAAGAGGCTGCCCTCGAGAATGCCTGGGCCGCTGCTGCCGTTGCCGCTGTCGCTTCTACTTTGTGAGTAAAATCGATCTTTGAGAGGATACGTCTAATCTATTCTATAGAGCTGAGGCCGATCCCGCGTCTGTGCCCTTGCCCGACTCCAGCTCTGACTCGGACAGCGATTCTTCGGCCTCCTCCTCATCGTCCTCCTCCGGCTCCAGCTCTTCAGGCTCTGATTCCGACTCGGACTCGGACTCGGACTCGGATTCCGATTCCGAGTCCTCTTCCAGCAGCTCCACTGTCGGCAAGAAGCCCGCTGCTGCGTTTTTGGACGTTGAGGCTGAAGAAAGTGACGACGAAAGCAGCAGCAGCGATGAGAGTGGAAGCGAAAGCGACTCGAGTTCTTCTTCTTCGTCTAGCTCTTCATCTTCTTCGAGCTCCTCTTCGTCTGGGTCTTCTTCTAGCTCATCGTCGGACTCGTCCAAGTCTTCCAAGGCCTCCAAAAAGTCTTCCAAGAAGTCTTCCAAATCCTCTTCCAGCTCTTCTGGTTCCAGCTCCGACTCTAGCTCCAGCTCCAGCTCTAGCTCCTCGTCGTCATCTTCCTCCGACTCCGAGTCTGAAGAAGAGGAAGTCGCTCGTCCCGTCATCGGCAAGCGCAAGGCGCGCTCCCCCTCAACCTCTTCCTCTTCTTCCTCTTCCTCCTCTTCGTCATCATCTACCATGGCCGAAGACCCCGCCCCCAAATCTCCCGTTGTGACCGTAGTCACCACCAAGAAGCGCAAGCTCGAAGATGGCGTTGAAACTGTCACTTCCACTGCCACCATCTCTACCCCTGCTCCTGCCGCTTCATCCCGTGACTCCAGCACCCCCTTCAGCGGAGCTGGCACTCCTCTGAGTGCCAAGGGCAAGGGCAAGCAGCCTCGCGTCCAAGGACAGAGATTTGAGAGGATCAAGCCTGAGAATGTCACCTTTCACGACCAGGCGTTGATGGACAATTCTTTCGACGCTAGGGAGAGAGCGGGGGCTAGCTCAAACGATTATGGAGCAAAGGCGTCTGCGGACCTTATCGTGACTAGGGGTGCTGGGTTCAGGAAGGAGAAGAACAAGAAGAAGCGAGGAGTGAGTATATCTCGATTTGTGGGATGACTGCATACTGACAAGGTTGTGCAGAGCTACGTCGGTGGTGAAATCACTCTTCAAACCCACAGCATCAAGTTTGATGACTAGGTACCCCTTTCCCTGGTTCTTGGCCCGTGACCATGATATTTTTTTGTTCTGTATAATCCTCTTTTTGTCTCTTGTTGAAGATAGATGCATAGAATATTGCATGAAAGAAAACATAAAGACCCCAATTGTGGGCTGCCTAGTGACACCCCTTTTCAGTTTCGTAAACACCAACTTCACTTACAAGTGATTAACTCTAGCTACACTGTGCCTACGATACATATCTTTTCTGTTCGCCCGCCCTCTCTTCGTCCATCTTCTAGTGAAGCTGGAGGCCGTTCATGTCGGTTGCTGGGGAGCGAGGGTAAGAGAGACACGAGTCGTGAATCACATTCAGCGCCTTGACTGAATCCTTGTTCTCAATCACTACATCACCTATCAGCTTTGATCCTTCCACTAAACGTCATGAAGACTCACCACAACTAATGTTGATCTCACTAGCTCCCTGACTGATCATCTCGATGTTGATCATCGCCCGCGCCAAGCTTGCAAACATCAAACCCGCACTGCCAATAGCATTGCGCATATTCCGGCCAACGAGAGAGAGAATGGCCATGTCTTTGGAGACAGTGATGTCGCCGATCTTCTCAAGGTCCTTGACGAGTCGGTCGAGGCGTTTTCGGTGATCGAAATTTTGCATGGCCATGGACACCTGCATGTCATCAGCTGGAGGAAAACCGAGAAGGGCGATTGCGTACATGAACTTCACTTGTGCTGATCAAGTCGACCACAACACCAGCCCTGTCGAGAGTGCCAAAGATCCTCGCCAAGAAACCATGAGACAATGTCTTCCGGTTCGAGTGGATGTTGAGCACGATAATGTTGTCCTTGATGGTGACAGCGGTCGGCATCCTCTCGTCCACATCAACAACGCTCTCCGCCTTGGGCGGCGCAGAATCCAGACCTCGAGGGAAGCTCTCATCGGGGTAGATCACCGTACCAGACCCAGATGGGTTGTCTACATTCTTGATCCTGATGGGGATCCTTGCTCGAATGACTTGCTCCATAGTGAAGGGGTGGATAACCTCGGAACCATAGTAAGTGAGTTCTGCGGCTTCGTCGGGGGTGATGATGGGCACCAGTCGGGCAGTAGGGACTTTTCTAGGATCGGCGGTAAAGATACCATCGACTTCTTTCCAGATCTGGAGTTCGGCAGCTTGGAGACCAACAGCACAGAGGGCCGCGCACAAGTCGGTGTAGCCTCTGCCAATCTGGGCAAGAAGCGAACCAGGGACGGGACCGAAATAGCCAGTAACGACGGGGACTCTTTGGCCGCAATCCTTTAATCGCTCGCCAAGACGCACAGCAAGTTCTGTGTAGAACTCTTGGCCGAGCTGGGCGACGCCTTGATCGCCCGCACCTGCGAGAAGTGATTCGCTAGCGGCAGTCACAGAGGCATCAACGATGCTGTCGAGGACGACGAGTTCAGAGTCGACACCCTAGGCGTACATTAGCAAATGCTCGATGCTAATGGAGAATCAAGACGTACCCTATCTCTCAGCGCGGCAGCGACGATCTTGCAAGCTAATCTTTCACCAGTGCCAACGATGGAATCTTGACTTCTGGGGCTGATCTCGTCGATGATCTACACCATCATTAGCTCGCCCACAGAGAGATAAACATCCCCACGTACCTGTGCAGCGTATAGGAAACCCCTCAAGCTCTCGCAGTCCCTCTCAATCTCCTCCTCCAATTCATCTCTCAGAGGACCCTCCTTCAATGAAGCCCGAGCGGCTTCTAAATGCCCCTTCTTGATAGTGTCTACCGTAGCATGGAATGCAGCTTCTTGCTGACCACGCGGTTCCAGCCCGGCTGTGGAAGGGCTTCGTGGGGGAGATCTGCTAGAGCTGCTCTGGAACGGGCTAGGGCTGGCGGACCTGCCGGTGGGGTCGAGCTGGGAGAGCGACGAGATGGAAGAGGCCATGGACTGCTGGCCGAAAATGCCAGAGCCGACTCTCTTGGGGTAGAAGGGGGTGGTAGTGCCGGAGGCTGCTTCAGACGGGGCACTGCTAGCAGCAGGCTGAAGAGCTTCGCGGGAAGCTTGTAGAAGAAGGTTGGTGGTACCGAGAGCTTTTGTCTGAGAGGAGCGGGCAGAGCATACGATGGCTACTCGGGATCCGGAGGCAATATATGAGCTGCGAGGGTGAGTACAAAGCCGTGTTGGGGGTGTCATACTTACTCGACAATCTTTGTGATGCTCTCGAGACTCTTGCCGACAGAGGTGCCGCCGTATTTTTGGACGACCCATGGAACGGAGGGGTCTGTAGAGTTGCGTATGAGCTGCTCGGGGGTGGGTGTGGCGGACATGGCGAACTGGAAATGCGTTGAGAACAAGAACAACAAACTCGGATCACCCGAGAAAAAGTCGACTCGCGAATAACCGCTCGGATTCTATATTTCTCGGTTAATCGTAGATCGGCGACCGCCGCTTGCGCCGCCCAAGTGACCAAGTCTTCTTTCTTCTGATGTTGTTTCTAATTTCTATGCATCATTCTCTGGGGCTGGCGTGTTCCAATTGGGACACCCAGACTGCGTGCCAATCAATGGAACATCATGCATCGGGATTCGGCGAAAAAGGCGACCGCCAAACATCACTTCGCTGATAACGGCTCGGCAGTCGGATATTCATTGTCTGCATCGTGATCTGTACGTATGCTTATTGAGAAGATCACCATATCAATACCAGTACATCATGACCTCCTGTCCCAACAACAACACTGGCTCCCCACAGAGAGACCGTACAAAGACGGTTCTCTCCATGGAGGGCCAAGGATTGCTTCTAGCTTGCGATCACAAAGAAGTCAGCCGCATATACTTGTTTGAACAGAGGGGTCGACTCACTAGGCCCTACGGCCTTTTTCGCTACTACACGTCACCAAGAAGTTACAGAACTAAAAGTGAGAGACCTAGGTCAGCATACAAAAATCCCAACGCCACAACCCAGCTGGGAGCGCCAACATCGCCACCAACCCCAGTGAATAAGGGCTTTTGAAGGCGGGGTGGGAGTCGACGCGCCATACTGAGCGGGGGAAGGCAATCCATGTCTTTCCGTGTGCAGCAGTGCAACCATAATTAATTCAGGGAGGAGAGAGTGTCCACTCCACTTGAGGAGGTATATGTCGCGCGAGCTGAGTAACGGTCCGTATGACTCGAGATGGTCAAGATGTTTGATGCTGGATGATGGACAGAGCTAGAGCTGGATTGGAACAAGAGAAGGCGACAAAACAAACAGGGCAAAGCCGGAGGGGGCAGAGAAGGAGTCGTCCGGGATGTTGACGTTTTGAGATGGATCGAATTGGAAAGAAAGTGTCCCGCCAAATAGGTCAGCTTCGGGCGGGGTATGAAAGCGCGAGCGCTCACCTTGTCGCACCCTGTCTCTGGAAGACTGCTCGCCACAGCACCAATATGAAGCGCCGAAGATCAAGTCAGGGAGCACGAAGGGGTCCCAGGGAAAGGCGACCTATCAACAATGCGCGGTGTTTAGGGGAATGGGTTGAGAAACGATATTGCTGTAAACGCTTGGCTGCTGTGATCGATAGTGTTACGGTGCGGTTGACGAAGGCGTATTGCTGTTGTGAAAAGAGATAGGAATGATATGTTGATGAACTCAGCCAAGCGTGAGGGGCGTCAGCATAGCTCAACAACGGTATGTGGGAAGCAAGATACTCACGAAAATCAAAAAGAGATGCGCGGCCAAGGTGCCTCCTCCGTCGTTGAATGACCCACCCACCTGCGCCTTTGCCTCTTGATGATTGTGTTGATGCTATCCTGCGATAGTGTGGACAAGGGAGATGGTTGACAAATGTATGTGGGAAGAAGAAGAAGATCTAGCGTCCTAGTGTTGAGGGAATGTAGTCCGGGAGAAGGTGCAGCGTGCTAGGTGCCTGCACGCCCCATGGACTCTTCTAGCTTTACGTACTCGCCACCGTCTTCGTTACCGTTACTGGTTCTGCTCTCTGCCTCTCTTCTAGTAAGACCAGGTGAAGTCGAGGCGCAGAGCTATGAAGAGTGAGCGTCCAAAGAGTCTTGTTGACGGTGTAACGAGGGTAGGTGTGCGGATTGTTGGTTGGTTACGTTGATGCGTGCGTGATGATGTTGAGTTCTTTTCTCACCGATAATAAGTGGCGATCAGCCTCCATCCAAGGAGCACCAGGGAGAGTTAAAGATAGAAAAGACGGGTGTGAGAAAGTCCCTCAGCGGCGATGCCAAGACGCCGGTGCGAAAACGGTAACGCGGTGGTGAGAAATGAGGAGATTGGAGTGGGGGACGCGGGGGTGGTGACGAGAGTGGCACGTACTGCTTCCATTGGCTGAAGTGTGGATGATAACAGAAATTCGAGAGAGACGCTATGAGGGTCAGAAGCTGGGATGAACGCGAAATGGTACTCACCGTTGTGATGGAAGAGGCGGAGGGTGCTGAGAAGGCGAGTTGAGTCCTTACTGGTATATGTGGGTGGAAGAGTAGATCATGGTAGTTAGAAGACTGGAATTGAACGAAAAAGAAGAAAGAAGAAATTAAGATTGGGGAATCCAATTTGAACGGAATCAGCGCCCTTATATGTATACTCTCGGGGTTATGATAACGGTGCCACACTGTCAAGGGGCTACCTTCCTTAGGCTATGCCTTCAGAGCTCGCCGAGGGGTAGAGACGAAATGGTCTGAGAACTCGAAGTGAGTGGCCAGACCAATGCCGAAGGAAGATAGCGTTTGTACGAGTGTGTTGAGCGAGAGAGAAAAGTGTGTACTAGAGAAGACAACAATAGTGGATCGACGAAGTATCTACAGCTATGGAGACACGTCCTTATATACCCTGGCACCTCAAGTCTGCTTACTCATCGTATCCTCCGTCGAAACCTCTAGAATCAACTACATCGGCCAACCTGGTGGCGAAAGAATGTTCTCGAAAGTGGTGGAATGGGTTTGCTCTCTCTATCTCCGCGTATTTCCATTCTTGCCCGTGAAGGTTTGATCTCGAAGGCGGTGCTGGTATAGCTCGGCCGCGGAGGTAGATGGATGGATGTTATAGTCAGATGGTGGCAAGATGTGGGCTCGACGCGGACGTGGGAGGTGGAGGTTCGGGTGTTTGGCTCGGGTGTTTGGTCAAGTGGCGACAGCCACGTGACACACACCGCCCCCACTTTCGCCCCAGGAACAATCATTGTCCAAGTCTGGACTCATATCCCTCATGCAATTTTTGGTTTGCAGAGGACAATAGCGTGTGTTAGTCCAGCGAGGACAGCGAGGAGGAGACTCAGCTTTGTACTGCCATCATCGTGAACGATACTTCAGTAGACTCTACTCCTAGCGATAGGTCTCGACTGCGGTACCCGTGTGTGAATTCCAGATGTCAGGATCATCAGACTGCTGATCCCCCTGGGCAGGCCTACAATTCACGTACAGAAGGCCTCTCAGATTCTCTTGCGGTTGTTCAACGTCTTCCAGTCTTTTGTTGTTGCAATTGTTAGTGGCAGCTCTGATTTACGTAATATTTCTTATTTGCGATAACTCTGCCTGCCTGCCGATAACGCAATCGTGCCCTTATCTTTCATCTGTGAGTGAGTGCGGGCAAACAAATGATGCATATATCTTTGCTATTGATACACTCATGCCCTCGCAAGGATTGTAGAACATGGCAGCCCAGCTGGTGACACAATCCCCGGAAAGCGGCCCATCCCGACTGCTGACACATTCCCCTCAACAACACGGTCCCACTGCGTCGAGCGAGCATTCGACAGCACAAGGACAAATAAGCAAAAGTGGAAGGACCGACGAGAGACCTGTCTTGCAAGCATGCGACAGATGTAGGTCAAAGGTACGTGTCGTGTCTCGCTTGTGCGTTTGCGAGTCATATCTGATCTTGCGCGCAGAAAGTCAAGTATGCCCTCAAACTCGGAAAAGTTGGAACTATGACTGATGACTATTCAGGTGCACCCCGGCAGCTAACGAAGAGGGTGCATGTCAATCTTGCGGCAAGGCGTCGTTGACGTGTACCTTCAACATGCCTCTGACAGCTTCACGGTCAAAAAGGATTCGCAGAGACACGAGTCACCTTCAGGAGATTGAAAATCAAGGACTGAGTGTCAGTGCAGAGGCTGAGCAATCGCCGAGAGCATACGAGGGGAGGACAGAGAGTGCCAGAAGCGATGGGAGTCACAGTCGGACAATGGACCTTGAGTATACCGAGCGAAGACCCGCCTCCACCGCCACTGTCCCCGTCCGGTTACCATTGGGTACTACAATACAGCGTCCTCCATCTGTCCGACGAGAAGGTGTGTGAACGCGCAGGCTCCTTACTATATACTGATACATCTCAGGACCAACGGCAATGTCATACATTCTGCATTCCACCCCAACCTTGCCCATATCTTATCTTCGCGAATACGATCAAAATCACTCCATCAACATGCATATGCCCTTTCCGGATTCCGGAGATGGGTATATCCAGGTCACTAGCCCTCCCCTTCCGCCATCGTCTACAGACCCACCGCCGCATGTGATGGAGGCTTTCCACTCACCAAGTTGGAATGAGGTAGTCAATAGACTGGTGGAGACTTATCTGAGTCATGTGAGCCCCTTGCTTCCCATCGTTGTTAGGGAAGACATAGAAACGGCAGAACAACATCTCATTCATGCGGTGGCTACCGTGGCTGCGACGAGGAGGAATTGCCCCAAAGAGATATTCGACTGTCTCAAGTACATCTTGAAGCAGGAGATGCTGGGTCTCGGTATGTGCTACTTGATGTGAGATATGGTTCCTACTGACCGAATTATAGATGTCTTTAGCGATACAACCCGCCAAAATGCTCAAGTATTGCTCGTCACTTGTATGGTCGACGAGCTTGCCCTGGAAAGCGGTGCAGCGGCACCTGTCAGCGTTCAGAGGGCTAGACTGGCTGCTGCCATCAGAATGGTGAGTCGGGTGAGGGAATCAGCGATTGGAGCTGACTCAGACACAGTGTCAAGATCTTTCTATGGATCGCGTAGACCCACTTTCGTTGACAGCTCGGGCTGATAAGCGAATATGGCAATGTGCTCTGGTTATCGATCAACTGTACGTTGTGACTATCTCTTTTTACTTGGTTCTACTAACTGATTTTTTCATTTTAGAAATGCCACGCGTACGGGATCGCGTCCTATCGTTGCTTCTTCCACGTTCAAATCAGAGATCAATTCAATATCATCAGAGGAGAATAATCAGTTCTTCGAACAATTGTTCACTTTGTGCGCTATACTCAGCCGGATTCTGGATAAAGTCTACGGTCCTGATGGAGTAAAGCGAACGAAGGATGAAGAGTTGATTGACATTCGTGACGATCTAAAGAAGTGGAAAGATTCCCTGCCCCCGGCTTCGAAGTTTTCCGGGGCATGGTCCAGCCTTCCAGCAGGTGAGCTTGACAAATCAATCACGATCACAGTGTTGACCTATCACAGGCTTACTTCATCTTCTCTACACACTTCTTCTCCTCCTTCTCTACCGTCCCTTCATGCGGTGGTCTTTCATCTGTCCGGCCCACATTTCTCTTTCTCTCGATATGCCCGTCTGGCTCGAACTCAACCCCGCCTCTCGCCAGGCGCTCGAATGGGCGACCAACCAAGATGACCTTGCAGACCTGCTTTTCTTTGGCCCCTATGCCTTGGGGCTGATGTGCTTGGTGCAGTATCATAGCTATGCAAGGAGAAGAGAGTGGGACGGGGTGGTGATGCTGGAAAAGTTCCGAAAGGATGCTGTGGAGAGATGGACGTCGCGCGCAGCGAGTGGGCACATGTTGCTTCAAGCTGCTGTAAGCCTTTTAGTGGGGGGTTGAAATCGCGCTGACACCTTATAGCAACTCGACGTGATTGACCTTTTCTACGCCGCCACCCAAACAACGCTCAGAACTGGTACAACCTCCTACGACACCCCCACCTCTCCTCGCGGTCTTAACCCCACCCCAGGCGTACTCAACCGCCTTCCTGAAACGTCCATCCACGGGGTAACCTTCCTCCGCGATCCGACGCACCCGCAAGGCGGGGTCTTGGTGGCTACACAGCAAGCGGCGAGGGAAGTCAAGGATCTGCCGGCGGGGACTGTCATCATTGGGAGTGGATCCCTGGCGCGTGAGACGCTTTCTGGGGATGGAAATGGGAACGCCAGTAATGGCGCGAGTCCATCAAGTAATGCGGCAGTCGGGGTGGTGGGACAAGGGGCAATGTTTGGGGATTTTGGGGGTGCAGAAGGTTTTGTCGGACCGTTGATGGAAGGTCTGGGAGAGGCAGGTCGGGTCAGTATGTCGACGCCTGATTGGGAGGCCATAGTATCTTCCTTCACATATCCTCCAATAGCTCATTAATTGATGGATGTACCAGCTATCGATACCAATTGCATAGCAGTATAGCAAGATGCAGAGAGTACAAAGACGTCTATGACCCAGAAACCCAAAGATTCAGAACAACAACGCTGAAAGAACACTACAAAGTATACCGGAACTCTGGCCGTTCCTTGTCCGATTTGTCGACCACCGTCGTACTGGACAACAAGCTCGGCGCGCTCTCCCCTGATCCAAGCACCTTCTCCTCATCCACCTCTTCCCTCCCCGGTGCCGTTCTCACGGGGGTGGTCGCATCTCTCTTCTTGTTCTCATAGATGTACAAGTATCGCAGTCCAATCGAAGCCAGGGAGGCAAAGGCCATAGCGACGATGACCGAGATCCAAGTTGATCTATATCGGATAGCCTTTTCTTGCGCAAAGACAAGATAGGCAGAAACGATGTTGCCGACATTGTAGCCGATGAAGATGAAGCCAGATGTCACGCCCTGCCAGCCAGGTGTCAGCTCTAGTTCTGGGTACAAAGTGAAAGTGCATACCTTTTTGGTGGCGCCAGCGGTGTTGGAGCTGGCGAGAGTGAGAAGGAGGACGTAAGGGGCGCCGAAAGTGGCGACGAGGTAATAGCCAATGAGAGGTCCAGCGATGACATCCATAGGCGCCGTCCAGCTGTGAATATGTCAGTCTTGGATCACAAATCAACGCTCAGGCATGCAACTCACACAACGATGGCGCCGATGACAACGGGTACACAACTGAGTGGTAAAAGCTACTCATCGGTCAGTGGCTGCTTTGATATCCTGTAATTGGTGAGAAGTACTCACCAAAGTCCTGATATTCTTGTACTTGTCGGCATAGTAGCTGAAGATGGCGATCGTTGCAATCGTAAAAAAGCCACCGGGGACCATCAAAGCATTAGTCTGCAGCGAGGTGTAACCCCATGAACTGATGATCTTTGCCCCGAACGCCGTAACCGAGCCATTGCAGATGTAGATTGCCGCACCCATGAGCAGATAGATCCAGGTCTTGACGTCCGTCACAGCTTCCACTACCTGATGGCCCTTCAAGCTCTGCTGACTCGCGCCGAAGGTGTTTTCAGAGTATCGCCGGGCAAGAACGGCTCGTTCTTGTTCGTTGAACCAGCGACCCGGCTTCAGAGGATGCTCGGGAGCGACAAAGTAGATGATGAAGGCCCAGGAGATGGTGAGGGAGCCGCAGAAGTAGTACATGGATTTCCAAGGGTGGGTGCCGCCTGTCTTGCCGAGGCCGATGTTGACGAGGGAAGAGAACATGCTGAAGACCTGATCCGTTGTCAACGCCGAAATATATGTGAATTATAGAAGACTTACACCGGTGGCAGAGTAGAAGAACCCGATACGCTTGGCCTGTTCTTGGGGCTTCCACCAAAGAGCACAGATGGCAACGAATGCGGGCGATACTGCCGACTCGACGAACCCAAGGATAACTCGCTGAGCGACAAAGCCACGATAGTTGGTGCAGACCACTGTGAGGATCGCCACCAGACCCCAGATCAAGACGCAAAGAGCAGCAGTCTTGACAAGTGGCGCTCGGGCAAAGATGAGACCCATGGGCAGGACCTGAGACAGTATGAGCTCTGCATCCGGTACACAATTATAGACTTACGGCGACAATGTAGCCATAGTAGAAAGCGGCAGTGGCTGTACTATATTTGGTGGTATAGGTCACGCCGTTGATAGTCTCTGACAGCCCCTATATGCGATATGAACATCTATGCCTTCAATACGAGAATGTGTGATATCTTACCAGGTCTTTGATGATACCATAGATAGCAGCAGTACCCAGTACACTCTTGTCGTAGTATTGTAGCCCATAGCTACATTTGAGGGTCAGCTTTCTGGTCTTGACTCTCAAGGAGCATAGAGACGTACGTTATGAGCATGATGGGAAGAAGTATAGCGTCAATCTTTCTGACGACCTTCTTCTCCAGGGCAAGGTACTGCTCATCGTCTACTTTCTGGGTTGTGTCGCTCATCTTGAAAGAAACCGCAGAATGCCAGTGTTTTTCGAAGACCGACTAGCCAGGATGTCAGTATATAAGTGTTCCATCTCAGCCACCGCAGAGGGCTCTGAATAACCACGTCAAAGAGAGATGACAAATGAAGACGCAGGAATAACGTACTCACGGAGCTGAGGGGACCACACAAAGCACCTCGGAGCTGGTGGGGGCAGTAATCTTGAATTATTCTGGCCACAACATAAAATTGGAGAGATTTATATGGGGCCCTAAGAGCACGCTATTGTTTCACTTCGGGGCGCCGATTGCCCACAGGCGGATACCGCCGGGGCAGCCCGCAGCCCCGCAGCTCCGAGCTCCGAGCAGCCTCTGTACAATTGTTTGGCTTTCGGAGATGCTCCTGAACCAAAGCACATCAGGTATTCAGCGCCGGCAATGTCAAATGGCATTTCGGTGGGACTGTTTGTCAAGTGGCGGCTGCCTCGGGGGGAAATTGGCCATAGTATGAGCGGCGAGGCCGTTATAAGAACCTGCCGTCTCATCTCGTCGCCCTCACATACTACACCCCCACCATCATGACTATCGCCTACCCTATCCCCAAATGGGACCGTCCTACTCCTACCACCTATCCTCTCAACTATGCCGACCTCACAGAACTTCCTCTCGATCTTTTTGACTCGCCTTCTGGCCGCGAAGAGCTCGTCAGGCGAGTGAAGCACGCTTTGGAGGAAGACGATTTGGGGTTCTGGTCGGTGACGAATACTGGGTTCAGCGAGGAGGAGATTGAGCATCAGTTTGCTATCGGGCAAGCTTTCTACAATCTGCCTCTGGAGGAGAGGCAGTCAAACCCGATCGATGCGAAGAACGGAGGGTACTTGGGATACAGAGCTGTGAGTTATGCCTTGGCCCTGTGAACTACAGCTGACCCTCTGCAGGCTTACGAGCGCACTATCAACGGTACCGACGTCCTCGACAACATGGAGCTTCTCAACATTCCCAAGTACACCAAACACTTTGCTTCTACTCCTCGACACGACATTATCAAAGCGCACGAAGCTGCCATCAGCGATTTTCACCGACGCTGCTGGACAGACGTAGCGAGAAAGTTGTTTGTGCTGTTTGCGCTCGCGATGGAGCTTCCAGAGAACTATTTTGTGGATAGGCATGCTTATGACGAACCTTCGCAAGACCATCTGCGTTATGTGAGTTTTTTTCATCGCTGACTCGAGGGCGGGTGCTGACAATGTCGTAGATGATGTATCACCCTCGCTCAGAAGAGGACGACGCCAAATGCAATAACCTCTGGTCATGGGCTCACACCGACTATGGATCCCTCACGCTCCTGTTCTCGCAGACTGTTTCTGGATTGCAAGTGAAGTTTGCCGATGGAACCTATCACGACATCAAACCCAAGACTGGGTCAATCGTTGTCAATGTCGCTGACACTTTGAGCTTTATGACCAAAGGTGAGTCCACCTGGTATGATATTATGTATGCCAGACATACTGACTGCATTATTCAGGCTACTTGAGAAGTACGATCCATCGAGTGACCCGACCTCCCCCTGACCAGGCGCACATCCAGTAAGCTATCATTCTGTCCATCCTTTATCAAGGACTGATCGGGTTCAGTCGAATCGGGGTCCTCTACGGCTGCCGACCTAACGACTCTGTCCCCGTCGTCGTTGCACCCTCTCCCCTTCTGGAACGACTCGGCCTTATCACAGACGCCGACAGGATCGACGAAAAGGATGCTGTCACAGCAGGCGGTTGGTTCTCAATCTCAAGCTGTTTTTGGCGTTGCTGACGGTGGTTAACAGAGTACGTCGCTGCCAGAGTCAAAGCCGTCCATGCCAGTACGACTTATGGTTATGCGCCTGGGACCAAGTTCAAGCACGGCAACTTGGAGGTATTGGAAAACTTTGCCGATGTGAAGGACGGCGCGAGCACTTCTATCTAGCCAATACATCATATCAAGCTCGTAGTCCCTTCTGGGCTTCTCGTTCTCTGGCTCGTAGACCTTCTGGGCTTTTCGTTCTCTGACTGTGATGCACTTGTATTACCTTGCACACTTCAGCAGGCTGTGGCCAATGTTATGCATACATAGTAGCAACTGATCAAAGTATACTAACAGATTTATTGATCGAGTCCGCTCTGGCCGGTTGAGTGAGCATGGTATGAAAATCTGCGCTTAATCGAACAGCCTTTTCCCCTTAGCTCCTCAAGCTCCCAATTCAAGAATGCGGCTCGACCTCAGGCCAGCCTACCACCCTAGGATCGGACACAGTCATACGCCTGTCTTGTGTCACGAGTATTCCTTCGCCAGCACCTTCCAACGCATCTATCTGTTGTTGCCGGAGAGCCCTTAGTGCATCGATCTTGGGCTGAAGCGCTAGTGAAAGAACGGATGCGTCGGGGGTGGTCAATAGGAGACGTTCGCCTGAAAGAGATCTCCGATGGTCGGGTCGGGAGGGGGTCGGTCGAGCCAGGTGTGCGGCGGGGACACGGAGTACTTTACTCGAGTAGCAATGATCTCCGCATGAACTCCTGAGTGCCAGCTCAGATAGCCTAGATGGACATTGCGAGGCCCTGGGCACCCAACGGCAGAAAGACTGGGAGAGATTTACATTGCTGACCTTAGCAGGCCACCAGGAACCACACACTCTGTTTGGTTCCTGCGCCGGCGGCCGCAAGATTGTCTCGAGTCGGCAATATCCGGCTAGCACCATCCGGCCTTCCAGCGCTTCCTATCTCTCTTTCATTCACATCATTACAATCTCCAATGGCCCCCTTCTACGACAACTACGAGGCGATCAGTCGACGATCCACCGTCTTCAGTCTGTATCGCCCATATCTCTCAGTCTTTGTGCCGATTACTGACTCCGAGGGCGTGCAGGTACAAAAGGCGTGGTCTGTTCCTCCCAGCCCCTTGCTTCAGAAGCAGGATTGACCATCCTGCGTGGAGGTGGCAACGCTGCGGATGCTGCTATTGCTATGGCCGCTGCTTTGAACGTCACAGAAGTACTTTAAGAAGCCTCCTCCGCTGTTCTCCGACTCAGCTGACGTTCACGCGTTTGCAGCCCTGCAATACCGGTATAGGCGGTGACGTTTTTGCCCTTTTCTACTCTGCCAAAACTCACTCCGTCCATGCCATCAACGGCTCGGGTCGGTCGCCCCAAGCTTTAACCCTGAGCAAGGCGAGGGAAATGGGGATACAAGGGACTAAATTCACAGCTGATTCGGTGCATGCTGCGACCGTACCCGGGGCTTGTGCTGCTTGGTGTGATATCGTGGAGAAGTGGGGAAGTGGTAAGAAGACCCTTTCAGAGGTGTTTGAAGTAAGCGAAATCTCTCAGATAGAGTTTGGTACTGATTGGGTACAGCCTGCAATTACTCTGGCTCAGGACGGCTTCGTGGTCCACCCTCAAGCAGCGTATGAATGGTCCTCTTTCAAAGATCTCCTCAGCGAGCAAGCGCAAGGGGGTCTCTGTCCTTTTCTCATCGATGGCGAGACTCCAAAAGCTGGAGAATTCTTTGACAATCCCGCTCTGGCCGAGACCTTGAGGACTGTAGCGAGGGAAGGCAAGAAGGGGTTCTATGAGGGCAGGATTGGAGCTGCTATCGTTACATGTAAGTGTCATGAATATGTTGTCATTAGAAACTAGAAGCTGACTTGTTATAGCACTCCAAAGCCGAGGAAGCTTGATGACTGCTCAAGACCTCGCCTCTCACTCTTCCGACTTTGTTACCCCCATCTCCTACACATATGGCCCCGAGAAGCTTACAATCCACGAATGTCCGCCCAACGGACAAGGTCTCGCAGCGCTGATTGCTATCGGGATCGTGGATGTCTTGAGGGAGGATGGGATTGTCAAAATGGATGAGTGTGAGGAGGGAAGTGTGGAATGGTTGCATACTTTGATGTGAGTTGGGACGTCTCGTGGACACAAGGAATGAGCTGATGGGAAGGGTAGTGAGGCTATGCGTCTTGCTTTCGCAGACGCCCACCATTTTGTAGCAGACCCGAACTTTTCCAACGTCCCCGTCGAAACACTCTTGTCCAAGGCAAGTGTTCTTTGCCCACGCAGTCAGCTCATGCTTATGGGGAGGCAGGACTACCTCCGACAACGCGCCAAGCTCTTCAACCCAGACAAAGCCGAGGCTCACTACTACTGAGGCACTCCCTTGCCTTCCAGCGATACTGTCTACTTTACCGCCGCTGATAACGAAGGCAACGCTATATCCAGTGAGCTCATTCCCTCTCGCCGATGCCGGTCTACTGATGTTGTGTAGTCATCAACTCGAACTACCTCGGCTTTGGCACCGGCATCGTCCCAGACGGGTGGGGGTTCAGTATCCAAAACCGTGGCATGGGCTTTTCACTCGAAGAAGGCGTGCCAAACACTTTGGAAGGAGGAAAGAGACCTTACCATACCATCATCCGTAAGTATTCCTTGCATTGGCTAACCTCCTCGACAGAAACTGACAAATGCGTCTCGTGCAGCTGCTATGGTAACCCAAGGAGACCAATTATACATGTCTTTCGGCGTTATGGGCGGTGCCATGCAGCCTCAAGGTCACCTTCAAACATTCCTGTAAGTCCCTCTTTCACATTCAAGTGAAAAAACTGAAGAGGCGACAGGAACGTCGTCCACCAATCGCACCACGCCCAAGCAGCCCTCGACTCAAAACGATTCTGCATCGGCGGCTCGCCTGCACCTTCCTCATCCTCTGTCCCATATTACAATGACCATGTCGCCATCGAGCACGGTATATCTCCTTCCGTCATTGCAAGATTGCGCGAGATGGGGCATGATGTACGGGACGTGAAAGGCCAGGAACAGATTGTCTTTGGGAAGGGACAGATTATCTTGAGGACGGAGGACAAACGTACAGGGAAGAGGGTCTGGGCTGGAGGGAGTGATCCGCGAGGGGATGGGTGTGCTTTGCCCCAGGTCTAGTGTCTAAAAGTGAAGCATGTATGCAGAAAGTCGCATAAGTATGGCATGAGATAATCAGTCTTGAGACTCGAGCGACGATGGATGTATCTCTGCTTCTTCTGTCACCTCTTGTTTGGAAGCACAGATCCCCAAGACCGCGAATACCACCACAACCCCAGCAACACCAACCAGCCCCCCAAAAGCAGCTCTAAACGCCATTACCCAACACCTCACCCCCAACTCCCTCTCTCTCTCTGGCAACTCCTTCAAAAAATCTACCGACTGTCTTATGCCGGCAATGATCTCGTCTGATCCGGGTCCAGTGAAAGTACGAGACAGTTGGTGCGAGAGGGTATTTTGGAGAACTGATTGGGACGAGGCGATGCCTAGGGTGGAACCGAGAGAGCGGAGGAGGAGAATTAGAGATGTTGCTGCCGCATGGTCTGGGATTGCTGTCAGCTTTACCCTATCGATGATCAACAAATGACTGACCAGAGCCAGAAGCACTCAGCACATCTAACAGACTCGAAATGAACAAGATTCCCATCCCCGCATGAACCCAGACCAAATGCCACACAAACCATCCTTCAACCCTTTCCCCATTGTCATCACCGAAAGCTAAGCTCAACATGATTCCCGTCCCCGCCAAGAGCACCCCAGCACCGAGGCGCTGGGCGAGGTATGCTTTGTGGGGATGGTGGTGAAGAAATATGCCAGTGAGGATGGAACCGAGGGGGGCAGTGAGGGTTGGGTAGAGGAGGCGGAGAGAAGCGAGAGAGGCAGTGGTGAGAAGGGTGGATTGGAAGAATGGAGGGATTAGGTATAGCACCTTGAAACTTGTCAGCTCCAGAATAAGTCCATTTCCCAGGGATACTCACGCCGAAGATGACCATGGCTCCGAAAAGGTTCATACCTACTTGGGATACCATATGTCGGCTTTTGATCAGGCCTATCGGCAGCACGGGCAGCGATGCTTTGGCCTCGTGGCGGAAGAAGACAAAGGCGATGATGCCGGTAGAGATGACGATAGTGGGGACGAGAGGACTGGTCCAGGGTATCTCGTCGCCTCCTAGGTTGATTATGATCATGAGGAGTGTGATTGCCGTCAGCTAAGAACATCAGCGAAACGTTCATGGTCGACCAAAGCTTACCAAAAGGCCGCTACCCAGCACATCAATATCCTTCAACTGTATTTTGCCTTCCTCTCCTTGGTGTAGCTCTATCAGCTTTGGGCGTGCTCGGTAGACAAAGACAAGGATGGAAAGAATGGATAAGGGGACCGGAAAGAGGTACGCGAATCTCCATCCGAGCGAATCAGAGAAGAGTCCACCGAGAGAAGCTCCCACAGCGGCTCCGACCTACACAAGACGTCAGCAAGCTGATACAGGGAAGATGAAACGAACGAACGCCGTAGGTGACATTGTTGACTGCTTGGTATGCCGGTCGACTCTTGACCGGGAGCACATCCCATGCACAGACCTGCGATACGGTTATCAAGCCTCCGCCTACAATACATCAGTCATAAGTCCTTCATTTTCCAAGGAACTAACCTCCAATCCCGCACATCGCTCTTACAACAACCATCTGGCTGAGTGAGGCACTCATCGCACACCCCAAACACCCAACAGCGAAGAATGACAATGATAGAACATAAAGGGTCGTTCTCCCAAATATATCTGAAGCTCGTCCATACAGCTGTATGTTGATCAGCTCAGAACATCGCTATATAGAGACACTGACAGGCTGAGCCGCAGTAGAGACTATGAGGTAAGAAATTGCCACCCATGCCACATTATCGCTCTCTCTAAAGTCTGCTCCTACAGCTGTTTGAGTGGAGGCTGCTATGGTACTCTCAAATGCGGCGAGAAAGTTGTTTGAAAGAAGAACTACCGAATGTCAAGGAGATACTCTGGGCCTCCAAGGGCAGAGCCTACCGGGTAGTATTAGGGCGTAGTCCCATCGACTGAAGAGACTAAGTGATTCTCGCTTGTGCTGTGAGGAAGGGATGAGCGGGGTTCTTTCGCTGCTCATATTGATCGCGATTAGTAACAGAGTAAAGTGAATAGCACAAAGTTCTCTCAAGTGCATCCTGCACTCCAACGAGCGTTTTCGGCAACTCTCGGTGTCAACAAAGCCACCACAGGCAGACGCACACCAGCCTGGCGCCGGACCGGACAGCGAAGGCGGGCCCGAAGTCAAAGTTGTTTGGTGGTGATATACATGATCACGTCATGAGACCTGATTAATGTTGATAGTTTTGACTGCCCCATGTCGAATCTGAGATATCTTTTGCGTGATGAAGAAATCAAGAGATGGAGAGGATCAGCCCCGAGAATCGATCAGCCCCGGGATTCGAATCTCGGGGCTGAAATGTGGCGGAGATGACCGCCAGGCACGCCGGCGATAAGATAGTTGCGTGCGATGGCAGCCCCGACCAAGGTGGATGTCGAGCTGGATCTGTCTTCTTCCAACGCAATATCTGGCTATAGCCCTCTCCAACCCATCCAACCCGCAATTCAATCCGTCCTGCCATGGCTGAAACCAAAAACTTCACCCTCGAAGGGCTCTTCTCCGTCAGAGGCCTCGATGTCCTCATCACTGGAGCCGGCACCGGCATAGGCAAGTGCGCATCACTCCTGTAGAGGCAGGTATACTCATACCACAGAAGGGCTGTACATGGCCAAGGGATTTGCCTCGAACGGCGCGGTTACGCATATAGCTGGTAGACGAAAGGGGAAGCTTGAGGAAGCGAAGGCGTCTATTCTCGAGCTCACTCCAGACGCTCAGGTAGTCATGTGAGTTGCACACTCTACTGTGCGATGCTATAGAGTGGCATATGCTTATGCTACGCATCAGACATACCGTCGACATATCTGAAAGAGCTGCCGTCACTTCTCTCGTCGCAGATCTTACCAAGCTCGACGTCCTCATCAACTGCGCCGGCATTGTCCTCCCTGATCCACCAAGCACCCATCACAGCCCTCTCCCCGAATTACAAGCCGCTCTTCTCTCTTCCTCCGCCGACACCTGGTCCCGCACCTTCTCCACCAATGTTGAAGCCCCTTACTTCCTCTCTTGCTCCGTCCTCCACCTGCTTGCTGCCGCCCCCAACGGCGGGCGCATCATCAACATCTCTTCCATCGGCTCCATCATGTCCGACCCCAACACCCACCAGCCCGCATACCAAGCATCCAAGGCTGCTGTCAACCACCTCACCAGGCTTCTGGCAAGCAAATTCAGAGAACATGGAGTGAGGGTGAATGCAATCAGTCCGGGCTACTTTCCGAGCCAGATGCAGGATGCGAGTAATCCAAAGAGCATGTTGGCGAGGGCGAAAGACTTGGTGCCGCTGAAAAGGGGAGGAGAAGAGGAGGATGCGGCCGGGACGGCGATATATCTCGCGAGTAGGGCAGGAAGCTATGTTGATGGCCACACTATAGTACTTGGTGGTGGGCGAGAGTGGGCATGAGTAATTCTAGGGGCACATGAATCGCTGTATTTCTCTTCTGCAAGCCTCTATCGTACTTAAAACGTCGTACCTACGGAAGGCTAGGTGAGGGTGCATGTGATTTATGCTCTGTACTGTACAAATGCAGCACTCGTATAGTAACTGTGCGAGTATATGGAGGTTCCAATAAGAGAGGTTTGTCGGTTGCATTGCGCCTTAAAGCCTAGATTCCTCCGTTGCATCTATTCTCTCTTTTCACAATCATATTTGAGTATCGGCCTTGACCTTAAAGCACACCACTCCTCAACATACTCTCGTAACATGGCGTCTTTCAGGCAAGACTCCGTCCCTTCCTACCTGCAATTTGTACTCTTCTTCGGCGCTCGGACATTTTGGTTCTGACAGCTCCGAAGGACGACGAAATCACCTCAACCCTGCGGCCCTTGCTCCTGTTCTTCGGTCACCCGGAGGATATGCTCAGTTTCTGCACCTCGACTCTCAAACGCAAACACGATCAAGGCTGCACAAAGCACACCACACCATGGCCATCCAAGGCCTCCGACGACCGCTGCTGACCTTGTTCGCCCTCCTCGGCGCTACCCAAGCCCTCCCCGCCCTCCAGGTCCCACTCACGCCCTCACCACACGTTTCTGACGTACCTTCAATAGATACCTGGGCCCTCAATCCTCTGGGCGATGCAGCTATCATCCGTCTTGTCACTCCTTCTAGCTCCTCGTATGTCTCACCTCCCATTTCATGTTTGCCTCGGATTAGAGTAATGACCAGACACTGACACAATTGACACAGGGAAGAGTATGAACTCCATTTACTGGCTATCAATGCGCAATATACTATACCCACCGTACTTCACGGCCCCACCGATCCTCGAGCTGTATACACGTTTCTCGACGACCATACCTTGGCCACGCTCTCTCCTTCCTCTCCAGCATCACCATCATCGTCTCGACTACCCGAGGCCAGCAGAGACAAGAAGCCGGAGGTCAAACGATGGGATCTAGTGGTGCAGAAGCTGAACTATACATCATTCCCGTCTGCTTATCCGCCGTCTTTGGGTAGGAGAAGGCTCGTCAGAAGGGTGGAGCTGGAAAGATCCCCGGAGAAGGTATTGTACTCTTCCCAAAATGGGGCTCTTGTCATCGTGCTTTCAGCACCTCAAGCACTGGAAGGCGAAGAAAGAACGGAAGAAAAAGAAGGGAACGGGCCAGTGGTGCAAGTTTATCTCGCCCTTGGTGACAGCGGGCAATGGACGACAAAGTCCAAGCTGGAAACCCCGCTAAAGAACACCGGTCTAGTGAGTCTTCGCCTCCATTTTGCTTGCTTGGAATTGGTGCCAATAAAGAACAGATTGTCCTCGAAGCAACTATTCGAGGACCCATACTGGCATTTTCAGCTCTCAATCCGTCCCTCTCCATCCCCAGCTCACCCTCCGTCGTGAGTCCACACATACCTACTTGCGTCTCGTGTCCTGTGCCTGACATATGACTCGTCCATCAGCTATACACCCTCGACATATCGTCGCACAAACTCACACAAATCAGCTCTGCCCACCAAGGCTCTGCAAGCTCCCCTGCCATCAGTTCCGAAGGCAGAATTGCATGGCTCAACCAGCCCCCCATCCATGCTGGAAACGAGAGAGTGATAGAGGTTCGGAGAGCGCTTTGGTTGTCAGATGATGTTGATGGAAAGAGTCGGGCGGTCGGATTACAGGATTACGAGTTGAGCCCCACCGGCGTGGTTGTAGGCTTTTTCCCTGCACCAGATGTCAACGGCGGGGGCAGTGTACTAATAACGCATAGTTTTCGAAAGACGGCAAAGCCATCAACCTCCTGACTCCACACGACAACTCTGCCTCCCTCTTCCACATATGGACCCCTTCCTCTTCATCCTCTCCGCCCGCCAAACCCGTGAGAATTCCATCTAATGGTACAATCTACGATGCCGTGCACGTCGGCATCACGCCCCTGGACCATTCGCACTTGATCGGCTCCATGTCGGAGAAGACCGACGGGAAGGGGAAAGAGTTGTGGGTGATCTCACACTCACCCCATGAAGATCCTGCCGATAATTATGAGAATATCCGGTTGACTTGGTTTACGGAGGGGTGAAGAGTGTACCAATAACATCCTGGTTCTTGTTTGGGGCTGCATGCATGAGCTGGACGATTGCCATGGAGACGCGCGTCGGTCGTTCAACATCGCCCATCGTAGTTGGTGGCACACGTGTTCATCAGCGTACCAGAGTTCTGGAATCAGCCTAGACTTGCATAGCCACCCGTAAAGACTGAGTTGTGGTGCCTAACAGACAGGCTGTACAGCGTGATCCACAATGTCATCCCTGAGTACTCGTTGCTGGCGCCAGGACGAATAGAGGTCAAGCACGTTCACCTATGACGTCCAAACAACGCAACCGAGTAGCCCGGTTCGCCCTTTCCCGTCCCGTTTCCCAGGCCAAACAGCCCATTATTACAAGCGCCTGCCAGCAATGCCTTGACGCGTTAAGAATCTGGAGATGTGCGTTCCCTACATATATGCATGAACGTGCTCCCTCTAGCTTGTTGTTTTGCATCTCGAACACGCCAAAAGTTGACACCTGTGGACATGTGCGTTCGGGTTTTGCGCTTCGGGTCGCTCGGACCGAGGATTTCCGGCCCAAAGCACAACATCTGATCGAGATCCGAAAACGTTTCTGATTGCGTCGTCTCGTCACTATTTCCTGCATCTCTTCTTGTTTTACTCTCTCTTCTCTAGCTCTCGCGAGAAAACACAAGCCTGCTCTGTCAACAGCAGCACCCACGCACGCATCCCCTTATTCCCACTGTCTGTCTTCCGTTCGATCCTCGTTTGGGACGCATGTTCCAGGCAAACAGGACGCAGTATTTGCTGATCAACAGGCATCATCCCCATTTTCCCCTCCCCATTCCGCTCTTCCATCGCCCTCCGATACGACCGCCCTCCTCTCAGCAGTCTCCCCTTAGAGACTCTAACCAACGAGGCTAGCCCGAAAGCCATCCCCTTTCGATCTCTTCCGGATTGCCAAAATCACCGCATTTTTTACAAAGCGTACGCAGCGCAGAGCACCCAAGCACGCGTATTGCTAAACATATCATCCGGACTCCTCTTGTTAGCTCCCCATCTATTCGACAACAGGTTGTTTGCCGAAGTAATATAAAAGAGGTCCACTTTGGAACCCGCTTAAATCTGCCCGCGCCACTCTGAGGAACTATCATCTTACCCGAGATGTCCACCACAAATACTCCCGCTACCAGCATTCGACCGCCCAAGGACATCGAATGTTGGGGTCACAGAGGTGCCAGTGCTCACCTGCCTGAGAATACGTGAGTCCATTGCTTGTACATGCGTACATTGCTTCTTGCTATGAGGCATTTTCGCGAAGACAGTCACTGGTCTGGATGTCCATCACCATCACACCCCATGTCATCAATGCTGATGTATCCACGTTTCACAGTCTTGCCAGTTTCCGCGCTGCCATCTCTGAAGGATGTGACGGTATTGAAAGCGGTACGTGCCCGGCCCCATCCGTCGGCTTTCTTCGTGACTGAATGCTGACTATGCGCTATAGACGTGCACGCCACTTCCGATGGTGTTGTTCTCATGTTCCACGACCCCACCCTGGATCGTACCACCACCGGAAAGGGGTTGATCAAGAATCAGCCGTACAAGGATGTCATTGAGTATGTAACTCGTTCTCTGACTTCATGTCGGGCACTGACATGTATATAGGCACGTGCGAACCGTCAAGGAGCCGGTACAGCCTATTCCCTTGTTCGAGGAGCTCGTCGCTCTCATCATGGAGCCTGAGAACCGACATGTCTCTCTGAATGTGAGTCACATCGCCCGATTGGGAGTGTGGATGCTGATGGCGAATTTGTAGATCGACTGCAAGATGCAGAATGACCCCCAGCGACTCTTCGTAAGTCCCCTTAAGCCTCATTGAGCTTATTGCTAACCACCGAGCGCTCAGCCTGAGATGGCTCGCATCGTCACGTCGTATCCAAACTACGAAAAAGACCTCAGTCCCCGTATCATCCTCGGCCTCTGGCATCCCCTCTTCATTCATCCCGCCATCAAATACCTCCCTCACTGTCGCCGCTTCCACATTGGCTTCTCCATTCCCATCGTGAAACAGTTCTTCTGGGATACTTGTGAAGGCTTTTCCATGGCTTTCCCTCTGCTAATGGGTAAGGAAGGCCAGGCATTCATCAAGGAATGTAGGGAGCAGGGCAAGGAGGTCACGGTGTGGACGGTGAATGACGAGGCGGAGATGCGGGTGGCAATGTCGATGGGTGTCAAGGCTGTTTTGACAGATAAAGTCGGGGTCTTTGTCAATCTCAAAAAAGAGGTACGTCCCATGATCTCTTGCACTCCTGCTTGTCTCCCACTGACCCATCATGCAGATGGTCGAACATCCAGAGAAACTCCCGCTTCGAGGGTTGGAAGCCTGGACTTTCCCATGGTCGCATTGGAAGTACTATTCGGTTGCACACGTAACTGCCCGTCTCGCTTCCAAGATGTTCCTGAAAGCTCACGGTTCCCTCTCCATTTCTCTTTCCCCTTCCGACGACCCTGAACCGCCTACATCTATACCGACTCTCCCATTCCCCGTACCGGCTCCTGATTCTTCCCTCGGTGATGCTGCGTCCACCCCTACCGCTCCCTCCCCCTCCCCGTCCCCTTCTACATCGACAAACGACCCCACCCTGTCGCCTACCGTGTCTATCGCTCGCGCCCTCCTCCCTCGTGATCCTTCATGACTGCCCTCCCTGGCTCTGTTGGGTTGTTCAAACCAGAGTTGGATGCTCCGTACCCAACTAGACGTCATGCGCACTGTCTGTTTCCAGCCTGGTCCTCTGACCATGCCGGATTTGAGCGAGTTTAGCATGGCTGCCAGTGGAGAGCAGGTGGAGGCTGAAGGTCCAACCCAAGGCAAGAAGGTTGGGAAGGATGGAAAGGAAGAGGACCAGGACCAGGCGGAGAGGCTGCCCTTGAGCGCTTTGCCTGAGAATGCTTTGTAGAGTTTCCATAGGCTGCTAATGAGGAGGGACATACAAGTAGGAGAGATTGCTGTAAGATAGGTGTACGGACATTGCATATGGGTTTTGACCTTCATAGAGTGGATGGGTTGGAAGGCAGAGGTGACAGGGAAGAGTTTCTTTTGAATTCGCATGCATTAGTCTACAGTCTCGATATCTCTCATTTAGCAGATGCGTCAAATCCACCAACTAAACTACCAGGGATCGTCCAGCCGCCTCGCCACTTAGCATTCCTCACTCAAAAACGTGGCAAGTGTCTCCGCTGCTGCTATGATGTGACAACAAGACAGGTACGGCCAGACAAGAAAACTTCGAGACCTTGAACTGCAACCACGCATAACAGCGACTAGCATGATCGATAAAGTGTAGAGCATGCAGACGACGGAACGACTATCTGTTTTGGCCTAGTCCTTGAAAAGGCGCTTTGAGGCTCGTAAACCTCCCTCCCGCATAGATCCGTCAGTCTCTAGAGACCACGAAAAAGAGAAAATCCTTGCTTACCAGGTCTGAACCAAACATTTTCTCCCCTCCTGGTGGTCGCCAGGGGAAGAAGGCCTGGTCGGGGTCGTAGTCTCCTCCCCTCTGAGCCTTCTGTTCTGCTGCCTGAAACGACTCTCCTCGACTAACCAACCACCAAGTCAGGTTTATCTCATATTCATCCTCAGCCCAATTGAAACCTGCGGTAGAGATGGGGCAATGAGTACATAGCCTCGTGCATCATTCAGGTGATTGTTTGTTGTGGGATACTCAAGGACTCACTCGAGTACCTCAACCTTTCAGTCATAATAGTCCACCGCCAGCCTTCTTCTTGACTCTGTGGTAGCCTTTGTGATCTTAGTGTCCGATCAAAGGATGCTCGATACCCACCTCGCCTGTGTTCTGGTGCTTTATGGTCGCTGGACAGACTTTATGGAGCACAAAATCAGCCACAGTCACCCCGAAGGCGGAAGTCATTTTAGAGTCGAATATATTCTTCAACATCACAATGACGTCCTACATCAACGCGGATAATGGTCAGCTCAAAGGTTTCCGACGACCCGAAGATGTTGAGTGCTGGGGTCATAGAGGAGCCAGTGCAAACCTCCCTGAAAACACGTACGTGAAGATCAACCTAGCTATACTTGTAGTCCACCAGCCATTCATCTTGCAATTGCAAGGAGTGATCGTTCCGAAGGTAGGCTGATGAATCAACATGATCAGACTCGCAAGCCTTCCGTGCTGCCATTGAAGAGGGATGCAATGGTATTGAAAGTGGTACGTCGGGTTGTAGTAGCGCGTTTTTGATCATGCAATGCTGACGAAATGTCTCTCGTGAAAGATGTGCACGCCACTTTCGATGGTGTCGTCCTCATGTTCCACGACCCGACCTAGGATCGCACTACCACGGGCAAAGGTTATATCAAGAACCTACCATACAAAGGAATGATTGAGTAGGTTATCTTTCACATCACCACCGCTACATAGGCTGACGAGGATCATGAGACATGTACGGACTATTGAAGAACCCATACAGCCCATTCCGTTTTTGAAGAACTCATTGCACTGATCATGGAACCTAAAAATCGCCATGTGTCCATAAATGTGAGGACTTTATCAAAGTAACCTGGGGTAACATTGTCCTGATCATTGATCGCGCCGTGCAGATCGATTGTAAGATTCAAAATGACCCACAGCGCCTGTTCGTAAGTAGTGTTATCTGGTGCTCGTTCAACGTCGCTTACGGTAGACGACGAATAGACTGAGATGGCCCGCATCATCACGTACGTGAGCCTCAACACATGTGCTATTACTTGGCCCACTGCAGAAGCTCAATGTGTTACAGTTCTTACAAAAACCATGAAACCGACCTGAGTCCCCGCATCATACTCGGCCTATGGCACCCCCTCTTCATCCGCCCCGCCGTCAAATATCTCCCCGCCTGCCGTCGATTCTACATCGGCTTTTCCATCCAAGTTGCTAAACAATACTTCTGGGACACGTGTGAAGGCTTCTCCATATCTTTCCCTTTCCTCATGGGTCAAGAGGGACAGGCGTTTGTCAAGGAATGCAGGGAGAAAGGAAAAGAAGTCACTGCTTGGACAGTCAACGATGTGTCGGGAATGAAAGCCGCTTTGTCCATGGGTCTCAAAGCTGTTTTGACGGACGAAGTTGGCGTATTCGTAAATCTCAAACACAAGGTACGAGTGTTGGTAACTCACCTCAGGGCAAGCTAATGTCTGCCTCGTTCGCAGATAGCCAAAAACCCAGAAAGCCTTCAGCTTCAGGGCTTGGAAAGATGGACGTTCCCGTGGTCAAATTGGAAGTATTACTCCGCTGGACAGGTGGGCAAACAGCCATATCATTTGATAAGCTCAAGAAGATCTTCCATCCAACGATTTGAAAGGTGCTCACAAGTGATGATAGAAATGGATCCTCAGGACGAAAGTGCAGCGATTGCAGAATCTCTGCTACCAGCCAGGCCCATCAACATTACCAAACTTGAGTGATCTTGACACGGATACAGGGGAAGACCGGAGCAGCCAAAAGGGCGGGGGCACGGTATGATGCAGTGATGAGCATCTGTAAAGAAGGCAGAGCTGGCCGACTGCAGCAGCACATCATGTTGGTCCGTATCATGTAGAAAGGGTTTCACCATGTACAGACGACTACGCATGCAGTATCGCAGATTGCTGTACTCTACAATACTGCCGCGCATACTGCCGCCACCCCAAAGCTGCTCGAGAGCGGGGTGAGCGTTGACGTCCACAACATAGAGAGCGAATAGTCTCTTATTGATGCGGCCGCCTTTTGTGGTAATCAAGTACTCGTATACTCTTTACATTCTACTTGGACAGCAGACCTATAAAAACCCTTCCATATTCGTTTTGGGCACCGCCTTTGCCCGTCTCTCGCTTCTAGGTGGTAGGCTCGGTGATCCCTGCGCACTTGCCGTCTGTCTTCCATTGTCCATTCCCATCCCATTCCCATTGGCACCACTCCCAGCCGGTGGAAGCGATCTCCCCAAATTGAGGGGCGGTACACTCTGCTGAACTGAGCTTCCGCTTCTCTCTCGCGCCATACGACTCGCCCCCGATGTCGACCTCTCCCGTATCTTGGTCGGGCTAGTAGCGTAGCCAGAGTTGGACCTATCGCGCGCTATGGATGGACGGCTAGTGCTGTCGGACAAAGCAGAGTAGGCGGAGAAGGTCTGGTCTCGGGATCTTCCTGAGACAGGAGTGGAGGACGGGTGAGGTGAGGTGATGGCAAAGTATGTTTGCGCGCCAGCGGAGGGTTGGAGTAGACTGATGAGAAGGAAGGTAAAGTCGAGTCCGACATCTCGTAACAGCTAAAAGCGGGGTCAGCGATAAGAAATGAGGACAAATTATCACTTACCTTGCGATTCTGAGACGCGGTCACATGCAGACACTCGTCCACCACGCTCTGGTCGACGTCGGGAACATCAACCTGGCGTCTAAAAAGGTCGACGAACGTCTCAATTTGTTCTTTGGCCCATGTGACAAAACCTGAAGATACGAGTAAGACCATGTCATCTTGGCATCCTTAAACTCACCGGACGCCATGCGCGACTCTTTGAACGCGTTCATATACCAATCGCTCGTATGTCTCACAATGGTGAAACATACCACTGCCAGCTCATTGATATAGCTGCTGATATCACCCTCGCATTTGATGCTCCTCACACGCCTCATCATGATTTCGCGTCTAGCTTTCAAGAACGTGTCTCGGGCGAGTTCTGAGCGGTCGAGTTGAATCAAGAGCGAGATTAAGCGGGCGGAAGCAGTTTTGCGGAGGCTCGGCGACGAAAGGTCGTGGCACAGGGACGAGACGAAAGTGGGCAAGAGCTGGTCGAGTCGGGTGGTGATCAGAGCGTGGGCCGAAGGATCAGATTCGATCGTCTTTGCCAGCGCTTGTCCCTTTTCGACGAGTGCCAAAGCCTTCTCCCAGTCTCTGGTGGCGACAGCCATTGTCAGGTCATCTCCAAACTCATCAATCCAGCGAAGGTCCTTTGAATCTGTCATGGATAGACCGATCGTCGACAAGGCTCGTCCTGGGGTTCCCATGACAGACAAACTATCCCCACCCTTCTAATGGAGATGGTCAGCCATGCAGTAGACAACTGGTCGCTACGCACGTCATTTCCACCCAGCCACATTGTCTTTCTTCTTTCTTGCTCCTTTTCATTATCCTTTCGCTTCTTCTCATTGAGTTCTCGCGAAATCTGCTTGAAAGCGCTCAAGATGGCTCTCTTTTCGTCGGACTTGTTGGTCTTGTAGACGCAGTATTCCTTGCCTCTCTGCACCTTGATGACATTGACCAAATCTGCACTTGATCAGTACTTGTCAATTTGTCAATTTCCAGAAGGAGCTAACTCACCACCACCATCCTTAACATCCACGATTACCAGTTCCGACAGGTTCCAACACCTCTCCGCGACCAACCTGCCCCTCTCCTTCTCTTTATCCTGCGTGCCCACCTCCGCGCCCCCGCCGCCCTTCATCCGTCTCTTGCCAGCTATCAGTAGCACATCACTCAGCAGGAACATGCTACAGCTTTGCTTTGGCTTGTAAGTCGCAGCGTTGAGTTCAATGACGTTGTGTGATTCAAACACCAAATGTCTGCCAGGGACGACAGGAAGATATTTCTGGGAGCCTTCGACGATGGACCAGAGTTGGGTGAGCTGTGTGCGATAGAGGTTTTGGAGGTCGAGAACAGAGTTTCGTTGGGTGCGTTTGCGCTCGACTATGTCACATATCAGCTGAGCGATCAAGAGAAGGCAATGTACGCACGGTTACCGTTCTTGTCAAGGGTGGGGGCAAGGGTGTCTTCCATACCCATCAGTTGAGGCAGATCTTTCCACTGTCCTAGCAGCTCCCTGAGTTCCAGCATGTCGTTCTCTAGTGTCGATATTTCCTTGGAGATTGTCACAAACTCGGCATAGCTGTACCGTTGTCAGCAAGCCCCACTGAATGATTCCACGCAAAACTTACTGCTTGAAAACTAATCGCTGTAACTCCTTTTTATTCGACTGCCTCTCCCTCAGCAACGCCGCCTTCAGCCTCTTCTTCTCTTCTTCGTCTGCCCCCGTCAACACCTTCTTCACATAAGCCTGCAAGTCCAGCTTTTCGTCCCCCAACTGCGTCAAGTCCCACTCTTCATTCGCCGTCGCATCTGTCGCTCCCCTCCTCCTGATGCCTTCATCGGCGAAGTGTTCCTGCCTATCGCTGGAACGGTCGGTAACGCGTAGAGGCTCGGTGAAAGCAGATTCGTTGAACTCCGGTGATCCGTATTCGTTAAACATGGTCCCGCCGGCACCACCGTCGGGGGGAAGCTCTTCCATGCCGCCATAGGGATCGTTGTCGAGGTAATCTGGCTGGCTGGGCATAGGCGGGGCGATGGAGAATGACTGGTTATCGGTATAGCTGCGCGACCGCCGATCAGCATGTGCCATGAAACGATCATCGGACAAGACGTACCGCATACTCAGACGCTTCTTGATCTTGTCCCCGACTTTGGACTTGCGCTTCTGTTTCTGGTTGCCATTTGGCAGAGGTGGGCGGGGGCCACTCTGGATGGGGCCGGTGTTGGACCCACGGGGCGGCGCGGCGGAGGGGCGACGTAGGGAAGCCATGGTGGTTGAACGGGCGGGCTTCTTGTGGCGATAGGGGCTGGAGATGGCCTCTCAGCGGGCAGATGGATATAGCTGAGAATATGACTGGAAAGCACAAACCAGCGTTGAGCCCCAGCAACAGCCGGCCACAGCTCACCGCGACGACGTGCCTTACAACGTCACCACTAAGTTGTTTTGACGCAAACCAGGTAGTACCCAGTAGGAGCTTGCAAATCGGCTGCAGACACGTGTAGCGTATGCATGGGTAAATTCATATATGACATTATACAGTATGATTACAAGATACAGGAGCTTCTGTGATGACGCAGCTAGACCAGGGGTTTCTTGGGCAACGATGCGAGACCTCTCCGAACTGGGTCCTTCGTGTCCTTCTTGGCTTCTGCATGTTCAACCGGATGATTCGCTGTAGACGATCCAGAACCGCCTTTAGCGCCATCAACACTCTCTTTCCTCTGACCCAGCTCTCCTTGGATTTCTCTCTCCAGCTCCAACGCTGCCCTCTTTCCTTCTTCTTCTCCCATAGGCACGTCTAACGGCGCTGGCGACCCGCTCGCAGACGATCCCAACGCTGGAGAGTTTAAATCTGATCCAGGTGTCCAGTCCCCGGCAGGTCTTTGTTGGGCCATGGTGGCCAGCTTGGCTTCCATTGCAGCTATCTGAGCTTCGGCACTGAGAAACAATGTGAGCCGACTATCGCAGACTTTGAGCACCACTCACCTTTGTGGCTTGCGGCGGCTTTTCAAGAGAGACAATGTCGTAGTCTTTGGAGGTTCAGCGCGGCGACCTTTAGTTTGTAACATGGTATTGTCAGGGGGTGCCTAACAGCCGTCAGCAATGTTCTTTGGAAATCATATGTCTGTGGTCACTAACCGAGCTGGCAAAGGTCACTACAAGCTTCCTCCCTCTCAGCAGCCTATCATGAAGCTTGACCATCGCCTTCAAAGCATCCTGTATTCCCATAAGCAAGTTCCCACGCTGCACTTGCACCACTTACTCCTTTATCTGAGAATTGTATGAACGCGAAGCCCCTGGGTTTTCCCTTCAACGGACCAGTCTTGTGAAACATAAAGTCCATCTTGGTTATCTTTCCGTATTTGGTAAAAACTTGGATGAGGGTGTATTCGTCGACGGTGGGGGCGAGGTTGCCGACATAGAGGCGATCGGCATGGGAAGGGACGGTGCTGGATGACGACGAGGCTGCTGGCTGAGACTGCATGGCAGGAGAGGGATATGCCGTGGGATTCAAAATAGGATAGTTGGATTGGTTGCTGAAATGTGATTGTGGATTGAAAAACGGTCAAAACAACACGCAGATGGGCGGCGAACAGCGTGTAATTTGATTCCGCTGATTATAGGCGCCCTCATCGGCGGCCGCCACCGCGTCTATGCTTTGCTCCTTGTCATCATTTTCGGAGTCCGCTCGAGGAGAACAACAGCGATCGAATTTGCCTCCCAAGCACATTCACATTCTACTATGAGTGCCACAGATACAGTCACCTACAACGGCGAGCAGGAAGACCTCGAGCTCGCCACCATCCCCACTGTCGTTGCACGCGAAGCCGGCGAGAGGGATCCTTACTCCCTTCGCAATAAAATCGTGGAGGACGATGTCATTGACAATCTCCGGAAGTGAGTCTTCTGTGGATGTCCAACGGTTCCTCTTCTGACCTTTCCAAAGACGGAAAGCTGGTGGCAAAAAGGTTGCCAAATTCTACGAAGGCCAGAACGAGCGTATCAACGGCATGCTCAAGCCCCTCTCTGCTCACACTGCCGATGCCGAGCAGAGTGCCGCCGATAACGCACTGAAAGTCAAGATCGCCATCAACGTGTCGTTTGCGATGAACATCTGTCTCGCCATCATCCAGCTGTATGCGGCTATCAGTAGTTTGAGTTTGGCCATGTTTGCCAGTTGTATCGATGCAGGTGAGTCGTCTCGTGCTCCAGGAGTCCAGGTTACTGATGGTTTCAGCCAGTGTGTCAGTCAACTCTTTTCCAGGTAATCGGCTGGCAATCTGACATTCTGTAGTTGACCCGTTCGCCAATTTGATTCTCTGGGTTGCTCATCGAAGAGCGGACAAGACGGACGAGAACAAATGGCCAGTGAGAGGATCACGATTTGAGACCAGTGAGTTCGCCTCTGTCTATCAAGTGAAAATGCTAATGCGACTTTGCAGTGTAAGCGATCATTCAAATATAGCACCTATGTCCGACTTGAGCTCACTTGATCCCAGCGGCAACATTGTCTACGGGTCCATTATGGGCGGTGTTAATGTCATCCTCATCGTTGAGGCTATCCAAGAATTCGTCACTCACAAAGGTTCCGACCTCAAGACCTTCCACCTTGCATCCATTATCGCTGTCGCCGTCGCCTTTGGTACGTTGCCTTCTTCCTCAGCTATGCACAAGGGCTGATGGGGTACGCTACTCGTAGGTGTCAAGTTTGCACTGTTCCTCTACTGCATGGCGATCAGGAAGAGCTCTTCTCAAGTGCAGGTTCTCTGGGAGGATCACCGTAATGATCTTTTGACGTGAGCGAACCAAGTCCCAATGCTTAAAACAATGGCCGATCTGTCTGGTAGGAATGGTTTCGGTATATTGACTGCGTCTGGAGGTGCCAAGCTGGCATGGTGGGTGCGTACAAGTATATTTGGCGAATGTGGTACACATGCTCATTAGTGAACAGATCGACCCCATGGGTGCTACTATCATCGCTATCTGCATCATCGCCGTCTGGACCCGCACAGTCTACGGTCAGCCCCTCCCTTCTCCCCTCCTAGATATTGAACTGACACCGCCGCAGAACAATTTACCTACCTCGCAGGCATCACCGCCCCCACGGACTTCATCAACCTCGTCACCTACAAATCCATGACCTTCTCCCCCTCCATCCTTTCTGTCGATACCGTCCGCGCCTACCACTCCGGTCCAAACTACTTTGTTGAAGTTGACATTGTGCTTGACCCGCATATGCCGCTCTGGCAGGCGCACGATATAGCGCAAGATTTGCAGGATCAGATTGAGAAGCTTGGTGATGTGGATAGGTGCTTTGTGCATGTTGATCATGAGATCTCGCACGCACCTGTGAGTACTCTGCCATAGAAGTCCAAGAGAGTGGCTGCTAATCTTCAATAGGAACATCGAAAGAGAGAGTAAAAGTCTTGAGGGTTGATTGTATATAGATTCGAAACCGCGTATGCTGTTTGACATGCTCTCACGTGTAAATAACCGCTTGTTTCTAGACACGAAATCTGCACTCAACAAACAACTTCTTCACACTATGCATTACATTTCTTCGTGTATATGCTCAAAATCAACTTCCTTCGCTTCTCCTATTCCACGACTTGTTTATACGCGTTTACTATAGAGCAAGGTATCAAGCCTCCTAAAGACTGAGGTAGTGGTTGCCCAAGTCATTGAAGCTCGAGTCGGCATTCTCAAGACCATTGGCATTGCCAGCACTAGCAAAGCGGGGCATAGCACCGAACCAGGCCCAGCGCTCGACAATGTCGGCGCCGTCGCCTCGGAACCATGCGATGGCGGTGTCCATGAAGGACTTGACTTCGTCGGCGTTACAGTAGTAGTTGGTTCCGTAGTCCTGCCATAGAGATTAGAGGATGATGGACCTTAGGGAGGTATACGTACGACGCAGGCGAATTCGGTGACCCAGATAGGCTTGCCCTGGCGGGGGAAGGACTGGAAAGTTCAAGTCAGTATCTGAAAGTACGAATGAATGTCGACTGCGCACCTGAATGTAAGAGATCAAGTCGGCGGCGTTGGTACCGTAGAAGTGAATGGGCACAAAGTCAAAGTCACACTTCCCGTTACAGGCAGAGAGCCAGTTCTAACCAAGTCATCAGTTTAGTTTCATAGCGACACGAGGGGGAGACTGACGTTGAACCAATCAGTACTGCCTCGGGCAACGGCAGGAGAACCAATCTTGAGGGACTGGGAGAGCGCGCCGGTCCACTGCTGATGGAGACTCGCGGCATCGCTAGCACTGATGGCGGAACCACCAACGGCGGAGGTCTGGTCGGCTGTTGACAAAAGTCAGTCAAGTACCTCGTTTACGACTAAGGACGGCAGCACTCACGCTCGTTGAAACCGAGAATGTAGGAAGATCCATCGAAAGTCCTTCCGCTGACTTGAGACTCCAAAGGCCATCAGCATCCTGTCTAGGTATGATATGGTTTACAAGCAGGTCACTTACAACAGAGTCTCTTCCCCAAACCATAGGAACAAACTCCTTGCCAGAGACAGCCCAAGGGTCCAAGGCCCAGCTGTAGTACCACTGAAGGTTGGCAGCGCCAGAGTAAGAGCTGTAGCCAGTGTCATCAGAGCCCAAGCCGATGGGGTTGATGTTGGCGCGCTTGGTAGCGGGAGAGAGGGCGGGGGCGGCAGAGACCAAAGCCAAAGCCTGGACGAGGGAGAGAAGGACAGTGGTGGTGAGCATTATGGAAGGATAGTAGATAGATTCAAGTGTGAGGTTTAGGCCAGGTGTGATGGCGAGAGAGTTCACTCACGAGTGGGGGCTATATATATGTCTCGAGAAGCTGTGAGGACAAGGAAGCGCGCCCCGGCCAAGGTCAGCAGGGCAGCGGAGTAGAACGGAGTGGGGCGCTGCTGGCTCGGTCGGAGATCGGTGTTGATCCTGATTGTGGACGAGTGGGTGAACGGGAATCACGAAGTACGAGAAGGCTGAACGTGCACTGATCAGAGATGCCGACAAAAAGAGAGTTACGTGGCCTGCTGGGGCAGGGGCTGGCAGTGGTGTCGTAAGAATTCCGAGATCTGGCCGGCGCGTACCTCGTGCAGCATCATATGGAATAGATGGCAAGCCGACTGCTGCTGGCATGTCGGTCGAAGCGCATTGGGTCGACGAAAACCAAACAGAGACTCGAGACATGGTTGTTGTACGAGTACAGTACGAGGCACGATTGTTTACCACTAAACAATTGACGCTGCCCCGAAAGCCGATTGAAGAAGCTAATGAGCGCCAGTTCAGAGCAAGCCAGAGCTCGTTTATGCAGTGCATCGCACGTTTGCCAATGTCGGCGTGGCTGCTCTCCGGCCACCCCGATCTTCTCGAAGCCTGGGGGCGCATATTTGTGGTTTGACGGAGGTGTGAGGCGATGCCGCAAGTCCGGATTAGTGTCGTAACTCAATACGGACGGCCAACAAGCATTTGGTTTGTGCATTAGATATCTGCGTAAAGTCGGGTACCCATTCGGGCAAGCAGAGACAGCCAGTCATGAGAGTCGTAGCCCAGCCACTGGTCTCAGTCTCCTAGTCTAAAACAACTTACTCCCTCACGTATCCCATACCCCGGAAGGCCGACCAGATCTGGTGCCTTCGGCAGGCCGGCGTGCTGTATCGAACATCGTGCTTCTACCCGACGGGGGATACCCCGCCAGCTTCTAGTGCAGTGAACACATCTCCTCAGTGAAAGAAGCTCCCGAATCCCGAGCTTATCAAGGCCAGTGGTCTTGGTGGTAACCACATGCCACCACACGATCAAACGATGCTTCTCTGATGCACCAGTAGCACCGGCGCCTATTTTTGTACGAAAGAGTGACGTGGATGAAGATCTCGTACATCGAAAAAGACAAAAAGATATGTAAGTGACTGCTAGAGCCGCCAGCCTAGCCGGCACAAAGAGTATAAAATTAAGATATAGTGAATTATTTGCAAGACAAAGGAGGATCGAGCGCGCGCAAGTCCTTAAGAGTGTCTCAAAGCTCATCAAAGCGCCAAGTACGTCGTACCCAACTCATTGATAGTCCCATCCGCATTCTCCATCCCATTGGGATCATCCGCATACTTGGGCATAGCCCCAAACCACGCCCACCTCTCCACATACTGTGCGCCCTCGCCCCGGAACCACGTGACGGCGGTGTTGATGAATGTGGACACCTCATCGGCGGTACAGATGTAGCCGGTGGAGAAGTCGCGGCAGGCTATCTCGGTGACCCAAATCGGTTTGCCATCAGCGGGGAAGGACTGTATCGTATTGTCAGATGAGGTGAAGTAAAAGTGTATTGATGTATACGTACGGTTACATAGTCGATCAACTCTTAGGGGTCGATGCCGTAAAAGTGAATCGGGACAAAGTCATACTCGCAATTACCACCACATGCAGTGAGCCAATTCTGAAAATCTCAGCATCAGTATCTGGTACTCTGTTTAGAGGCAAGACGTACGTTGAACCAAGTGGTACTACCACGAGCAACTGCAGGCGCTCCGACCTTGAGGGAAGACGTCCCAAGCTGAGCCGTCCAAGCTTGATGAAGCGTCGCAGCTTCAGCTTCGGTGATATCTGAACCTCCCACAGCAATTGTCTGATCCGCTACCCTACCACATGAGTCCTTGCCTCCAGTACAACATAGTGAAAACTCACGTTCGTTGAAACTCATGATATGACTGGTCCCACTGGGGTACGCGTCGATAGTAGCCTGATCAAACGCATTGGCCATCTCGCTGCCCCAAACGCAAGGTACGAACTGGCTATCAGGGAGGTCGAAGGATACCAAGCCCCAGTTCCAGTACCATTCCAAGCCCGCCACGCCGCTGAACCCTTGCCAGCCCGTAGAGTCGACACCGAAGCCGACGGCAATGCTCGAATCGTGGACGGTTGCGGCGGCGGATGTGGTGGCTGCGGCTTGGGTGGAGGAGATGGTAGCAGGTTCTAGGGATGTGGTGGTGATGGGAGTGGTAAAGGCGATAATCGTCTCGACCGTCTCAGAAGAGAGGATAGAAGACGAGGCGTCGAGAGCCGAAGAAATAGCAGTGTCGATAGGAAAAGCGATACTCGAGAAATCGATAGTCGGGCTGGTCTCCACAGCAGCCTCGGACGTAGTAGTGACCGCGACTTCAACAACAGGAGTCCCGATCAAAGTAGCGTTCGCAGCAGAAGTCTCCACCAGCGTAGCATTTGCAGACACTCCCCAGCTCGGTCGACCACCAGATCGACTCTGACCCCCACCGACTGTAGCCAGATTGGCGACATCATCGATCCCAGAGGCGCTGGCGGTAGCCGTAGCCTCAGAGGAGATGGACGACGTGGCAGAGCCGAGCGCGAGAGTGTCGATGGCAGCGATGGCAGATACCGAACCCTTGGCGGGGCAGTCTCGTTTCGCGATGGCCGGGGCTGGTGCGGCCGAGACGTATACGAGGTAAGGGAGGATAGCGAGGAGGGCGTGAAGCTGCATCTTGCGGCTATACCAATACACGTTGTTAAAGAGTGACTAGAAGGTGAGAAGAACGCTTGTTGGAGATGAGAGATGTTTGAAAGATGATAGTCAGTGCTGCCCATCTTATACTTCCCTCCATGACTCCTTTGACAGATGCTTAGAGACACAGATAGCAAGCCCCCACGCCTTGGCTGGTACTGAAACACGGGTCAATTGAACGCGATTGGGTGCCTTTAGATAGATATCAATGTGATAGAGTAGGCCGAGGAGGCCAAAGAGGACAGATGGGGACGATGTGATGTGGGAAGGAAAGGGAGTGTTTTTGTCCTTCGAAGGACATGTGTTGTAAGGGGAGAGATGAGTGGCAGGGACACGGGGGCAAAAGTGGAGATGTCTTTGTCTCTGGGGATTACTCTGAGGCATGGGTGGGACGGATTCAATACCCTTGATCGCCTCTGCCGCGGCAAGGTGCAGAATACACGAGCATCGCTAGCATCGTTATCGGTGTCGTGTGGGTGGCAGGACTGGAGTTTGTCTTGAAGCTTGAAGGGAGTGTAAAACGAATGACCGGGGCGGTTGACCGCAAACCGCAAACGGCCAAACGCAAATGGCTTGGAGACGGTACGTCGAAACCAATGGCACCCTTTGAGCGTCTCGATCGAGACCGTTATTCGATGTCTGTATGCGCATCCATGACCCGATATGGACACCCGCCATTCTCCAAGACTCCTAAACCTCATCGACATCGCCCACATGTCGTACCTCCCAGCCACCGCGTTTTCGACACCAAGTCTTGCACCTCATCAATCGACATCCATGCCTGAAGCCTTCCCCTTGGCCCGGTTGACCTTTGCAGCCCCGTTGTTCGCTGCCTTTCCATTTCCATTCTTGTTCTTTTTCGACTTTGGTGCTTGGCCGGGAGCAGAGCCCAGCCGAGCGAGGAGGTTGTCGCCGGAACTCTTGTTCTGAGCAGCCGCCTTGGCCTTCTTTCCAGCACTATCCGAGGTCAGCCCTGTTATTCAGTCCGGTGTTGTACGCCACTCACACTGGGGTCGGCGCAGGCTTGCCATTCTTCCCACTGATCCTGCTCAAGAGCGCCGCTCCTGGTGGTTGGTTCGATTGCCCGGCCTTTGCTTTTCCATTCTGCTGCTGCTGACCAGCCTTCCTCTTCGCGTTCTGTTGGACTGCAGGTCCGGCGGGAGGTTGGGGTCTAGCGGCGGGCGCTTGCATGGCCTTTGGCCCTGAGGGTATAGACACGTTTGAAGACAACGGGAGGCTGATATAGGATGGGAGGATATGGTGGACTTGAAGGATATACACTGTTTTTACTGTCAGTGACTTTCACCCCTGCCATCCTCGCAAAACAACATACCTCCATCGATATCACGTCCATTATATTCTTCCCTGATCTTCTCGGCTTCTTCCCATGAGTTGACATGCACGAGCGCAGCATTGAAGAATGCCCCGTCTTCGCCGTGCAAGAATGTCACAGTCGTCGTGAGAGCTGGGAGCGACAATGGTTTGGAGATTATGAGGTCCTGTAGCATCATAAGCGCCTGATGCTCTGTCTAGCTGCGGATGACCCACTCTCAGCTCGTTTGCTGTAATGTCATTTGGCAGGCCGGCAAAGAGGACGCGATGGGGCTCTTCGGCAGGGGCAGCTGGGGCGGCGCGGGGTCTCTGGGCTGGGGCGGCTGGGGCACTGTAGTAGCTGTTGGATGCGCCGTATGGGGTGTTGTAGCTGGCGTAGGACATGGCGAGGTATTGTTATACATGAAAGAAGAAGATGCAGGATGATAGAGGTGATGTTTTGGTCCCGCTGGTTGATCCCGTCCCGCCGGCTGTCATCGCTGTCCCATACATCCCATACATTTCAGCAACAAAAGCACAATGGGTGTCCACGCCGCCGTCGCCAGCACCCGCAACGAGCAGCAGCCCCTTCTCCAGTCATACACCCCCCCACACCCCTCCGCCACTGCATCAGACATCTATCAGTCCTATCCCTCCTATGCCCAGGCTGTCAAGGACGGCGACAAGCAGAATGGCAAGTCTAACGGGGCAGGACCGAGTAGAGTTACGCTCGATACAATAAGAAGGGAGAGTTATGGGACAGCGTCCGAGGGATCTACGACTGGAGGAAGCTGGAAAGGTCAGGAGCCGGAGGATGTAGAGAGAGGGCGGGAGGTGGACATGTATGACCCGGACGAGCCTTTCGAGCCTGTAGTCAATGGTGAGCATCTGTCCCTTCTATCCAGTGCGATCTTAATTGACAATGTCACAGTGACCTGGAAATACATGTCAAGATTGTATCTCCTCGTGCCCGTCGTTTCCTTGATATGGTTTGGACTTCTTGTCCTTCTCGTCACTTTTGCCTGGCAAGTCTTGAAACCTTACCAACAGCATATACTCATTCGCAGTAGGCCTCCGTCGGAAAAGGAAAGACGGGCAGGTCAGCATTACCCCCATCCCTTCCTCTTCAACCCCTTCCTAGTCGGCATCTTTGCCTCTTGCACCGTTCAAACCTTGCGAGTGCCAATCTATGTCATTGTCTCTTGGTTTGGCATGTCAATCACTTCCGTGGAGTATCTGCAAGTCTACCACTATTGCAAATGTTGCCGCTAATGAGACATAGGTCGCGAGTCGTCCACACAATCCTCCACGAACTCCTCCGCCTCTCCTCCCTCCCCCTCTCACCAGCCTCCCCAACCTCCGGCTTCCACTCGTCATACTACCTCGGCCTCGGCTGGGGTATCGCCGAAGTTGCTTGGGGAACCGTACAAGGTTGGGAACAGCTCGCTCTGTATCAAGAAGTCATGATGCCCTCTGCATCATCTGCCAAAGATGGTATCTGGCTCGAGTCTTCCGAAGAGGGAGAAGAAGAAGGTGTGAAGAGGGATGGAATGTTGAGTTCGGTAGAGGAGAGGGATGAAGATGAGAATTCGCTGAATGAGGATGAAGAGAGTGATACTAGCAGCGAAGATGATGTGCTGGACGAAACCGAGTTGGGCAAAAAGGTGGAGATTCTGGAAAGGATGAGGGAACGACGAGAATTGGAAGAGGTCATCGGTGTTGCCTTCCCTGTAAGCCGCCATACTGCTTCAGAGATCCATGCTAACCGACTCCAGGCCATTCCATTCGCCCTCCACCTCCTCTGGCGCCTAGACACCCTCCTCCTCAACCTCGGCCTCACCCTCATCCTCTCCTCCTTCTACTTCAACTCCACCCCCATCTACCACCACTCCCTCTCCCCTTCCCCAAACACACTGTCCGCCTTGGGCGACCATCCCATGGTCCCAGAGAGGGAACCCAGTCGATGGCTCTGGCTCGCCTGGGCAGCGGTGGTGCTAGTGCATGTGGTTGTCAACCTCGTTTGGAGGGGCGTGGCCAAGTTTGGGATTGGGGCGGTCACGTGGGGTGCGCTGATTGTTGCGCTTGGGAGTGTGTTTGCCGGTCTTGGGTTCTGGGGCGGTCTTGTATAACTGTGAAACACGGGCATCAATCTGCAGAATCGACAAGGAGGCATTGTTTGAATTGTATACGACCTTCTGGTCATCTATGGAATTGAGGTAGGGGTGTAAGATATGAATTGCATGAGTCGGTCTGAGTGTCGTCATCAACGCAGAATGCAATGTCTCTGGATACACCAGCCTTGAAGAGCCTATGGTTCGCTCTAATGATCTCCTAGAGGTCATCTTGTCTGATCTCTTAGCGACATATGGTACATAGTGACTGCAGAGTCTACTCTCCTGGACCAGGCCATTGCGATACCAAATCCAGTATCCCCGCATACCTTTCCCTCTCCTTCTCCACAAGCCCCTCCTCTTCCCCATCTTCATCCGCCCTCCCCTCCCCCTTCTCCCTCTTCAACGCCAAACCCACTACCACCCCCCTCCTCGCCTCCCCGCTCGTCTGCAAAGCCCACCATACGAGCGTCGCTATCTGCGACACATACAGCTCATGTAACGCTTGTTGTGGTGGGGAACCGAGTAACGGTGTGAGGGTCGTTTGGGGAGGAGGTGGGGGGAGGATGGACAAGATTTGGAGGTGGGGTGGGATTTGTTGAAGATCTTGGGATGGAGGTGGGGGCGTTGGGAGAGGGGTGAATTGGGGCAAGGTCGCTTGGGTCTGCGCTTCGTCAGCTTTCATCTACATAATATAGCGAAATTACATACCAAGCAGCCTACCTTACCACTCTGGGTGATGATGACAAGCACGCGATCGTCGAATGTCTGTATGAGCAGATCTGTAGGGACGGCGCAGATGTCTCGACGGAGAGTGTAGGTGCGGATCGGGCTCGGCGGGGGAGCTTGGGGCTTCGACGCCGCCGAGCTGTTGGATACGGGCTGGGCGGGGTGAGATTCTTCGAGGAGAGAGGACATGGCGAATGAAATACAAGTGAATGGACAAGTTCACGAAATGTTCATGGTCATAGTAGGAGCTTCGGCCTTCCATGACACTTACGTAATAATGCATCTGATCCCGACATTTTGAGGTTTCTTTGCTCTCTTTCAGCTCTCTTTTGACTTTCGAAGTATCCATAAACCCACTAATCACGATGTTCGGCGCCCTCAGACCCACCTCGCTCGTCTCAAGTGGTCTCCTCTGGTACGATCGTCTCTTTTTAGTGAATACGAGTCAGGTGACTAACGCGGAAATAGGAAAAACCCCTGGCGACTCTCTGCTACCCGAAAGGCCAACCAACGCAAGAGACTGAGGCGTGTCGATGATGTGATTTCGATGGTTTCGGAGAGTGGGGTGGTGACAAAGAGCTTGGTCAAGGCTTTGGAGTTGCCGACGGAGGCTGAGATGCCGCCCAAAGGTGAGTCTGTATCCGAGTCTCAGATTGGCAAGGGAGATTTGAGCCGAGGAGAGCATGAGACGGCAGTGGAATCAAATGGGAATGTCATTAGAGAGTGGTGCTAGACATCACCATTGTCTTGATGAAATCGACCCAGAACAACGCACTGACATTCGGTACAGACAAATACACCACCTTTTCAAAACACGACCCCAAGTTTAGAAAGTCTCAGCACAAGGTCCCCAAATGGACAAGAGTACGCCGCGTCCCCTTCAAACAATCTGCAGCGATATGGATACATGCTGACATCTGACAATAGTTGACATTACGCGAGAACCCCAAGGGTTTCTAGAAAGGGTGTATACAAGTGTCATTATTTCGTCTCCGTCATTACTCATCTCTACATGTACCACTATCCACAGAACTCTACCCCCGGCTAGCTGATGCTTAGCAAGCGCTGCCCAACACTATAAACCTGTAATTGGCAGAAGAAGCAAGAAGTAATGGAACGGCAACCCTCGGACAAGAAGCGGATCACCCCATGTGCGGCCAAGCGGGGAACATGCCTCCGCTATACCAGCTCACCCCGTTATTGTAGGGCATATTCCCTGCACCATTCGGCGGCGAGAAAGGCCTCTGCCCCCACCCATTCTGGACCCCAAACCCCATCCCATTCGGCTGGTTATACCCTCCCCCCGGCGTCATCCCATTCAACCCCGACCCCGGTCCCGGCGGTAGATCAAAGTACCCCGGACCCATCCCCATCGTGCCCATACTCGACTGCGGTGTCATATTATGCGGCGGCGGGACGTGGGGTTGGACGAAAGAGCGGTTGTATTCGTCGAACACGTTTTGGGCGGGGAGCGACATGTGTTGGCGGTGCCGCCGGGGTTGTTCTTCGGTATAGTGGGGTGGGGCTTGGTCAGGGGGTGGAGGTGCGGGACGAGAGTGAGGCTGCGAGTTGCGCCGAGAGAGTCGGGAGGCTGTACGGCGGACGGACCCTGGGCGCTGTTCGCGTGTCACTCGAGGACGCTATAATCTGTCAGTTTGTATCACGCGTCGACCTTATCAAAACCTCACCTCATCAACCGAACGGATCACCCAGGTCGTCAGACACTGCATCAAGGATGGTTCTCGTGCTTTACGGTCTATGACCGGGCTGACCGTGCAGGAAGTGTAATCGGGACTCTTCAACCCAAGTTTAGCATGGCCCGTCATCGCAAATGGACTGACTTACGAATTGTCCGAATACCCAGAGCTTCAGGTTGGTCACTGCAAAAAAGTAAACTCGATTCTGCACACAAGCATCATACACCTTCCCGCCAATCCATCAGCCCCTTCGTCTCAGACGGATGATCAATTGAACTCACCTGCGCCTGCAACAAGTTCGCCTGCCCCACTTCCCCAAGCACCCCCTCCCTATCCATGGCCCACCACTCCCCCCCTCCTCTGTCCTTTGCAAACTCCTTGATCACTCCCGCATCCGCCACACTCGGCGGCCTGATCTCGATTACCATACTCCGGTCCGTCTCGTCGGCCTTGTTGACGAGTACCATGGAGCCGAAACCGTCCCAGAGAAAGTGCTTGCCGTTGTGGGGTGGGTGGTGGGATGGAGGTGGGATGGAGGGGATGAGGTGGAAGGTAAAGTTTTGGGAAGAGTAACGGAGCATGTGGAGGGTGGAGACGGCTGTCTGAAGGATCTGTCGCGGTGTTGGAGCTGGGTACGTTTTTTCTCTCGGCAGGACTTACACTTCCACTCAACCAACTCAGCAGACCTTTATCCTCGGCGCCGTCCAAAGAGTCGTCGTAAAACTCGAGCGTGTCGTACCCCTTGGCTTGAAGGGCGAAAATCCTATCCAACAAGTCAGCAGGCGATGTCAAGATGGCAATCCTTACTCACTGGATACCCCATCGGTTGTTCAGGTCAATAGGGTACGCCGGCACATTCTCCTTCTGGACTACCCACCCATCAGCTCAAAGTACACCGATCGGACGACCACACCTACACTCAATAATATCCCTCTCCCATCCCCGACTACTCCCCTCCCACCCCCTCAAAATCCTATAAGGCTTCGCCTTCTCCGCCTCCTCCAACCTCCTCCCCCACTCCCACCCCATATCCTCCCACTTTCCCCTCCTCCCCCTACCCCCTCCACCAGGCCACATCCCCATCCCCAGTCCCATCCCCGACCCTGCTATCGGCCTTGCCCCCGTCGGGTGGGGCCAGTCGTCCCATAGCGGTACGCGCACGGAGCGGAGGTATTCAAAGAGGTTGTCGGCTGGCTTGATCAGGGCTCTGTTGGACCCAAAGGACATTGGCGGGGCGGACGATGGCGGCTGGCCATCAGCGAGCGAGAGGCCGGAAAAGATATTCCTCAAGCCCAACCCTTGGTCATCACCCGCAGGCAAATGCGTGGTGCCCCTATCGTGCCGATCGATACTCCCTCTCGGCGCACCTTCCGCCCTGCTAGGCGCACGCTCAACCTGTTCATACCCCTCCCTCTCCCCCGACCCGGGCCTCGACCGCGACCTCGTCCTCATCAAAGTCTTTGGCCCTTTGAAACTGCCCATGACGGAGCCTACCACGCTCAGAGGCCTTGACGGAAGCGGCTTCTCCGCCTGCACCTGCTGCCCCAGAGCCTCCTGACCCTGAGGTCTCATCGAAGCAGCCGTATTCGTCCGGCTAATCGTCATCCTCGAACTACTCCTCAAAATCGGTTTGAGCATATCCGACGCATACGTCCTATGCTTTGGCCTCTTCGTCCCCAGCCCTATCACCTCCACCGGCTCTCCCCCGGGCCCCTTCATAAACGTCCCCGCAAGCCCGCCGTTGCCGTTCTTGGAATGGTCGAAAAAGATGGTAGGGCCCGGAGGCTGGGAGTCGCCGTCGGACTCGTAGCCCAGGTCGGAGCGGAGGGTGCGTTGACTACCCCTCGAACGAGTCGAGTCGAAGGAGACCCGGGAGCGTATGGACCTATCCGAGTCTACCCTCGATAGTGTCGTCATACCCGGTACCGCCGCCCCCGAGCTGCCTGACGACGCTCGCCGACGACGACGGGAGGCAGAAGAAGTATGGGGCTCGGGGACTTTACGATGCGAGGGCGTGGCGAGCCGTTCAGCTAGGAAGGCTTGTTGCGCGGCGGTAGGCGTGGGGTAGATGGTTTCGCTCTGGGATAGGTGGCGGCTTGGTTGAGGCGGGGGTTGGGGGTAAGGGTTTGCTTGGACTTGCACTGAAGCAGGGGCGGGGGGTACGTTGGGCAGAGCACGCACTTGCGCAGGAGGACGCGCTTGCTGGGCGTAGATTTGGGCTTGCGATGGAGAACTTTTCACTCCTTTCCCCGCCGGCTGGGCTTGCGCCTGCCCCTGGTGGTGATGCTGCCCCTGGTGCGCCACCTCGGCCGCCCTTCTCTCTCTGCCAATCGTATCCAAACTCTCCCTTCTCCTTCTTTCTGTCGCCGTGTCTGCCCGCTCTGGAACCATCAGATGGTCCGCCGAGGGTGTTTTTGCGTGGTTTGCCTGAGTAGCAGTGGTAGTGGTGGTGCGGTGGTGGGGTAGAGAATGCGAGGTCTGGTGATGGGAAGGTGAGTGGTTTGGGGTATGGTTTGTATTGGGCGGCTGGTGCATGGTGCTCATCGCTGCTTGTCAAGCGACAATGTCGGATGTGCGTTCTATTGGAAGGAAAATCGACGTTCACCAGGAGGATAACCGTCTTGCGACTGTTGATACACTCTCGTAAGTCTGGGATCACTGAACGAGCGTCCCCTGCCAGGAGTAGGTCTTTCTTCGTCTCTCAGTTCTTTCGTTGGATAAAATTTGTTGTATGGAGAACCCTCTGGTCTGGGGACTGGGCTCTGGCGATACTCTTCTTGATAAAGAAGATGTCTATTGTTGTCGGGGGTTGCGGTTTGATGAGAGTGTGGAGACTGTCGGTGAACGTCTCTAGGCCGTTCGTCAAGGGAATACCTCCTCCCTTGCGCTCGATACTCGTCCTCGGCGTACCGGCTTCTGGAAGAATGACTCCGCTGGAGCTGAGGCTGGTACTGATGCTGAAAGTAGTCGTCTGCGTACCCGCTTCTGGACGAGTGATTCCTCTCTATCTGCGGCTGAGGGCTGTATCTCGCTTGCGAGAATGACGGCTGTTGAAGGTGTACCGGCACGGATACAGGGACAGGGAACAAGCCCGGCGATGGAGCGTACGAGATTGGATAGTGTACGAGTGGTGGCGGGATGGGAGCTGGCTGGATGATGATGGGGCGTTGAGGGATGGGATAGAGAGGGACGGCAGGTGGCGGGATGACTATGAGTAAGAGCAGTCAGCAGGGTTCTTGCATGATTTCATCATTGTCCTCTTTCTTCGCCACACTCATCTCACGGCATGACTTTGTGGCCCGGGGACGAGATGGCCGGCGGCAAGACAATGGGGGTGCTTCTGCAGACACTCACCGCAGCACCCTTTTCCGACAAAGATGGACCTGCCCAGGTGATGCCCAGGGGGGTAGGATGTTCGATGCGATAGAGGACAATAAGGAATGATTCGCTCCCCCAGCTTCAGCACCTGTCCCCCCTCGCGAGCGCCACACCCCGGCACACATAGCCACGTTCACCGGCAAGCTCCGTCCGGCTGGCGACTTACCACGCGGCGGCCCCCAGTACTGCCAGTAAGTTGTCCTGTCACAGCAAAAGTCACAACAGGGCCCGCAACAGGCGTTGTCGCAACAGCAGTCGCAGCAGCAGTGCTATAGGGTGAGCAGGGAACGGGATTATGTAAGCTTACAGTGGAGTAGCAGACGCCCATGAGATGTAGAGAAGAAAGAGTTTGTTTCGGGTAATGCCCACCTTCGATAGGGACGTGCGTGTGTGTGTGCATCGTGGCAGTAGGCCACGTGGCGGGCATGCGATCCAGCCATGCAGCACAGCTTGTCTGCCGAGTATGCAATATGCATCGCGTAACGCAAAAAAGTAAAGCAAAGATGGCAGATCCATGGTATTTATCATTCCACTCTATAAGCATCCTACCGGCGGCCGAAGAGTCCGCAGATGGAGTCGGCATGCTAGAACCGCAGTCTGGGTTGGGTGTGAAGCCACTGTCGGCAAAGAGATATTCGCCATCAGAAAAGTAGTGCTCGGGTTCCTGGAACATCTGGCGGGGTTGTATGAGCACTGCCACATATCAGCTTACAAAGATTTGAACTCACTCGAGTGTTGGATAAACTCGCTGATCATGGCTTGACGCCAGGAAACCCGATTGTATAAGACGGATACGACACTCGGACACATAGAGTTGGCTACAGAGCATCTCGTATATGTCATTTCTGCCATTGGCGGAGAATAGCGGCGAAAGATAAGACAGTTCGCTCCTGCTAGCACGTTCGGCATCGTTCAGGCGCACTCCCAGGCTATCCAATCCAGCTCTGAGGTCTTGACCATGCTGCTGCATGGCTTCTGGTCCAGAAAGCTTGCTCGCTCGGATCGGGGACCCCTTTTTGGGTGCGGCGACAGAACCTGGTTGCATTGTCATGTCAGATTTGATAGCAAAAGACGAAACTCTCAGTCAGAGATAAACTCACCCTTCGCCTTCTTGACTGGCGTTTTGCCGAGCAAAACGTCGGAAGAAAGGGCCGCCTGGCGAGGCCTCTTCGCAGGCGAGGAGCTGGGCCGTTTGGCTGGGGAGGAGTCGGTTGACGACTGAGATCGCATCGGGACAGAGTCACCGTCGGAAACCTGGTACAGCATCGTCAGGACCGGATTGGGACGAGATGCATGAAAGATAGAGAAACATACCCTGCCGTGGACGATTATGGTGGACGGCGTCCACTCCAGCCCCGCACGCTTGCCGCCTCTGTCCATGAGATAGCCCTGCCGGAGAAGGCAGAATGGTCAGCGGGACAAGTCATGCAGGACGAGATATGGTTCAACTCACTTCAATGTTGAAGGCTACCGAGAGGACTACATCGTCGGGAAGATATTGCAGAGAGTGGAAGCCCGCCTCGTAGTGGGCTTCCTGGTCTGCTGACAGCGGGTCCACGCTGGGGCCACGGACGACAGCCCTAGGCCAAGGGCGACGACGGTGCCCCGTGCCGTGCTTGCTGACATAATTGAGACTCACTTTGATCTCTTTGGTAAGCGGAATGGCGACATGCTTTCATGATTGCTGAGGTTTGTTGAGGTAACAAGAGTTGAAAGGCTCGCCCCCCAAACTGTATCCTCGCTTCTCTGGCCAAAGTCTTCAGCGACAGAAGCCTGTGACGCTCCTTTGCGCAACATGTATAGCGCCATTGACAGCCTTGCTTCTGCCGAAACTCCTTCTGACTCCAATTCAATCCTATTCGCCTCTAGAAAGTTTTTGATATCGAGGAACTCGTCGACGTGGAGGCCGAGGGACGTCCGAATGCCATGTTGTCTGTCGTGGAGCCATTCTTCCATCTGCCGCTCCACGGTCCAGTAAATTCGGCGAGTGTTTCCCGAGGTGAAGCATCCAACTTCAACCTCTTGCCGCTTTCGATCCATCGCTCCGCAAAACCGTCATCCTCGTCATTATCTCAGTCCCTGCGAAGATGGAGACGCGATCTTTCAGTCAAGTAACAGTCCAGGTCGGCATCTCTGAGAGGGGAGCCATTGATGATATCGTCCTGAACATCAGGGGCATAGTTGGAGATGGGGTGGGAGGAACGGATCTCATGTCTGATTGAGGTATGCTGAGCCTCAAGTGGAGGGGGGAGAGAAGAGGGCATAGACGGACCAGCTTCATTGGAAGCATCGGCGGCCCGCCAAGAGGTTATCCCCGTCGTTGGGATCAAACGAAGAAGCCGAGGCACCTTGGGGCGCGACCAACTTCTGTCGCTTCGCCGCCCTCTTGTCTGCTGACGATGGGGGAGTCCTGTTGGGAGCCGAGCGCGTGGTGAATACCACATTGAACGGCTCAAGGACGAACACCCCGTCTTCACGCCTGTCGACAACCTTGCCGACCAGGTCCAGCTCCTGGCCCTTCCTAGGGAGTGGGGTCTTCTCCCATCGAGCATGGGTCGGGAACCGGAACGCCCATCGGAAGGGGAGTTGAGGTCGCGCTTCTATGATACGGTCAGACTAATGGCCAGTGTTCGAGGCGGCAGACGAAGCACTTACGATGATCAAGCGGGGTACACACGAATGGCAGAGTTGGGTTTGCCGTCATGGACGACGAGGGCCCAAGTGACGCCGATGGCCTCGGCGACCGAATACGGGGAGTTGGTTATGATAGGACCAACGTAGAGAGAAATGACGACGGACGGGAAAAAGGTTGGCCGCAGTCTGGAGATCGGTGGCGCCGCCCGAATGCATTTAGTGTGGGACAGATTCCAGGCGGGTTACCGGCGAGTCTGCCCCGCCATTACATACCCGGGCTCATCACCCATTCACCTTGCACTCCCAGTATAACGATAATGTCCAATACATATGCGTACGTGTGCGTGCCGACACTCTACACCAGTCGGGACCCCCCTCAGCTCTAAAGAAAACAACGGAGACACTAGATAATCCAAAACCCCCTCAACCTCAACACCTATCCGCGAAAAGGAATGTAATTTTATAGACACACGCAAATAATAAGGGAGGTGATAATAGGGGTTGGGAGTGTCAATACCCGTACGTAGTTGAGAAGCAGAGGGTCACAAAGCCGAGTATAATGAATGCTTGTAATAAATAGAGAGTCGTCTCTTTCCCTTTCAAAAAATAGAAAGGGGGAGGAGTCATGAGTCATGATGCAAAAGAGAAAAGAAAGGAAAGAAAAGAATCGTTCAAAGAACTGTTACAAACCCATCTACGCCTTTGGTTCGCGCTGTCCCTCTTGGGGGTACTGCGCATACCCTTGCCCTTGGTCAGAGTACCCTTGGTGGCCGCCATACACTTGCGCAGCACCGTGCTGGTGCTGCTGGTACTGCTGTTGAGCCTCTTGTTGCCGTTGGCGGGCTTCGAGCTGTTCCTTCTCGGCAGCCTCGGTGGCTTCGGTGACTGACCAGAGTGTTAGCGTGACGGAGGATGATACTGCGGAGGGTGACATACCATTTCCGATACCAGTACGGGTACCCCATCCGGTCTGATGCAGCGTGAAAGCGGCATAGAGCTTCATGATGGCGCTGCAGTCATGTCAGTACGAGTTTATAGCCTGAAGCGCATGACTTGCAAGTAATAACCAAATAGAATGAAAGCGGGTACGTAAATGATGTGGGTAGGGTTGTACCACAAATGGGGTAAAAGCTTGAGCGTTCTCGTGATCATGAGCCAGACAAGATACTACTCCGCGTCAGCCTTGTCCCACCAAACAATACGACGACTCACAGAAACGACGATATCCCAAGCAGGCAGATGGTAACCACCATCACCAACACTCCTCGTACTCTTGACAATCAGATAGAGGACCAAACACGGTCCAACCAGCAACGTGAACGGATTGATAAACTTGTCAATCATCGTGTACGCCACATACGGGTGCTTGGTCCAGACATGCCTCTCGGTAAAGATCGATCTAAAGTCGGATCGCCAAGTGTTACGAGTCCACCTCAAAACCTGAAGCAAGAACCGCCAGTTGGGCTTCATAGTCGACAAAAGCTCGGCCTCCTTGCAGACCTGCACATACGTGTTCCAGCCGTGAGACACCATCCATCGGGTGAGGAACTTGTCGTCACCAGAGTTGAGGTGGTACTTGCCGAGCCAAAAGTCGTTGGTAAAGCCGTGGAGGAATTCGGGGTCTTTGAGAATGATGGTACGGTAGGCAGCGGTACGGCCAGACAGGCAGGGGATACCACCATCAATGTGAGTAGAAGAGGCGATTTCAATGTTTCGGATGGTCAATCGGAAAGCGGCGAGCACTTCCCAGATCGTCATGCGCTCGTTACAAGGCTGGACCCTCTGACTGGTACCGACACCACCAACCTGCTGGTCCTCAAAGCAAGCAAGGACATACGGCAGGAGCTGGGGAGGCCAGATAGCGTCATCGTCGGCAAAAACAATGATATCGGTAGAGGTGTTTCGGATACCGTGGGCCATTTGAAGACGCTTGTTGGCAGCAGGGACGGTGAGGACGCGGATCTTTTCAGGGTCGACGGCGTTGGCGAGCTCTTGCAGGGGCGGGGCCATCTTGTTTTCCGTGACAATGATGATTTCTTTCGGGTTGCCGACTAGCCATGAACGAGCGGCCTCTGTGAAGCAAGGTCAGTCTGGTGCTCGCGCGCGCGCGCGGGAAGGCGTAGGGGGGGGGGGGAGGGCGCGCGTACCTTTAAACTCTTCACCGGCATCGATAGTAGGCACGATGATGGTCACATCTTCGCTGGCAATGTATGTGGGGGTGTCTGGTAAGGGGATAGGGCGGTAGGTGAAGCGAGCCAAAAGTCGAATGCAATACCAGAGGTACCGGTAAAAACTATAAACTCAGTAAGCTCCCGCTAGCCACTGCACATTCAAGAAATGCGTACCCAATGACACCGAATGGGACGACTGCATTGTGGTCAGTATACAGCGATGCTACGGGAGGGGATGCCACGTACAGACAGGAAACTTGTCTGCGGTGAGATACAACATGTTGACGTTGTTCTCGTAACGGCGTCAAACAAAGTTTGCGAGGGGAAAAAAACGGGATTCGACGCGCGGTGAAGGTTTAGACAGTCGATTGGGGTGGAGTTGTACTGTTGGTAGGTGGTGTGGGCGTGGCGGGGTGGCCGTGGCGGGTGCTGGGTGGTGCAGCAGGCGGATGGGAAGGGTCGGCGAGGGTGGGTGGGAAGAGGAGGGGGAGGGATGGCGGGGTGGGTGGCGGGGTGGGTGGCGGGGTGGAGGGGCGGCGATGGAGGGGAGAATAGATGTTGAAGGAGCGGAAAGGAACAGAACAAGAAGAAGACGACGACAAACAGTCAGAGCCGTCCGCAGCACCGCAACGGGACCAATTCCCTAGCACAAAAACCAAAACCCCCAGAACGCCAACTCAGTACGAGTACTGACGTAACGTCTTAATTACAGTCCCTTACTACCCGCCCTGGCCATTGTTTGGTTCTCAGCTGCACGGAGCACGCAGATGGCTGCTCGACATGGCGAGACGAGGGGTAGAAGCGTAGTAGGCAGGATTGTAGTAGCGATGGCCGACAGTGCCTTTGGGAAGCCACCTGGAGATGGCCGTCCGCCGCCACCAGCTCGTAACCTGTCTAACAACCTGCCAAACCGTTGTCACAGAGCCGAGGGATATGCATGGGCTCGAGAGAGACTGAGAGAGGTGGAGACGGCCTCAGTGGCACTCATCCTCCAGCTGACATGAGAAGCAGTCCGAATCGGCCCATGGCGAAAGCTCATGCCACTGCTCAGCTGCTCCTCGGTAGTCCATCGGTCCGGCCCGGCCTTCCCGAGGAGCTATGGCGCCCCATCGCATATATTGTTCTTCTTCTTTTCCTCTTGTTTGGACCGACACAAGCCCCCGCCTGCAACATGACAACATTGTCAACATCCCTCCCAACACCAGACCGCTCCATCTCACATCCCCGCTCCAGGCTGTCCCCCGGCCGCGAACTCAACGGATATCCCTCCGCTGCCGAAGCCAGCCTCCCACCCGCCTCTACCTCCAATACAGCAGGCCCCTCGACTTCACAAGATACTTTGTCCTCGCGAGATGACAAGGCTCCCAAACGAGGATACAGAGCATGTGCAAGTCCCTTCCTATCTGCCTTTCAACATGTCAGCTGACCCCGGGTAGATCAATTGCAGACTGCGTAAAGCGAAATGCGACCGTACGTGGCCTAATGGCTTATTTCTCTGTGAAAAAGAAGAACAGTCACAGAAACCAGGGTAGTAGGGCCCCCCAACAACCCGCGCGAACCGCCCTGCACAAGATGTCGTCGAGAGCAGCGCGATTGCGTCTTTCTTCCCAGCGTCAGTATGCGCATTGATGATGTCAGGCCAGGCTGATGAGCTGTTGTAGAAGCGGCGGAGGAGAAAGTCTGATGCTCTCGAAGACTCGATGTTGAGGGAAGAATCGGAAGATCCGGTTCACGAATTGGACCCCAACCTCCAATCGGGTACTCTACAATCGCAACCGGGTCAATATCAGCCTCAAGCCGCATACCAGCAGTATGCCCCGGCGAACGCATCAAACAACACTTTCAACGGTAACCAACACCCGAATGAACTCTACCCACCTGCCCCCTTCTCCTACCCCGGCCTACATCCCACCCCACAAAGTAACACAGATGCGACCCCCGGATCCATCATCTCCAACGCCACCTCCGCATCCTCCGCCATCTCGCCCAACGGCACACGCACCAAAAGACGCCGTATCGAACCAGAGAACCGCGCGATCGTCAATGCGAGCCTGAGCAACGAGATGGACGCGCTCGAGATCCTTGCGAGCGCTGCGACGGATGGGAATGAGAATCGGGCGCAGGGGAGCAATGGGGTCAAGAAAGTGTCGTGGGGTGTGGAGGAGAAGGAGAAGACGCCGGTGAGAGAGTTGAGTGCGTTTCCGTTGATCAAAGCTGGTATCATCGACGAAGCCGGGTTGCACGAGATGGTTCAGCTATTCTTTCAACACTACCACCCCACCCTCGTAAGGTCCTCTTTCCCTCCACCTAAAACACTGGAGTCTGACGAGACTATCAGCCGATATTCCAAACCGCCCGTATACCCCGTACCCGCGCCCAGCTAGCCGCCCTAGCAGCAAACGAAACCTTCCTCCTCACATGCATCATCGCCGTCGCCTCCCGCCACCCCCCATCCCCCACCTACGCCCACGTCCACAACCAAACATGGTCCATCCTCCGGGACGCCCTCTCCGACTATTCCTTTGCCGGTCTACAAGCGTCGGTGGGGTTTGTGGAAGGGGTATTGCTTTTGGCAGAGTATCTCCCGAAAGAAGGGGGCAGGCCGGCGGGGGAGGTTAGTATGGAGATGTTTGGTGGCGGTGGGAGGGGGCAGGAGGCTGGGGGGATACATGGGTCGGATAATAGGAGGAGTTGGGCGTTGATTGGGGTTGCGATACGTGCTGCGTATCTTCTTGGGTGTACGTCTTCTTTTGGTCACAAGGTCATTCAACTGATGACGATATAGTGGATCAGATAGCCCTGGAAATTGACGAATCGCGGCGTACCCCCGACGTCGAAAGAGCTCGAAGTGTCTGGACTTGGTGCTACCTATACGACCGCACAATAGATGAGTTCCATTTCAATCCTCCAACACCAAAGCTGACTTGGAAGCACGTCTCCGAACAGGTCTCGCATTCTGGTCCCGCGGCCCCTCCCTCTGCTTTGTCGGCTACTCGCACGTCTCCCAAACCGGCCAAGCCGCCGCCCGACTCAACTTTCCATACCAACTCTCCCAGTCTCCCGGTTCCAGCACAGACGACCAGCAGCACGATGACTCGGCGTCTTTGATGCAGAGTATGGTGGAGTTGACGCAGGTGATGACGAATGCGCATGATATCTTGTATCCGAGTAGATTGAGGACGGAAACGCTCGTGAGGCAGGGAGAGTACTTTTTGTTCTTGGATAGTTTCAAGAGAGGTTTGTTGGATTACGTTGGAAGGGAAATCGGGACTGATCAGATGATAGCGCTGGATAGCTACAAGGTTGTATGGCAGCCGAAGAAATGGTCCAACCCTGTACTCGAAGAGCTCAGTTGGATGACCTTCCACTTTGTCAGGCAAGTATTGTCTTTTTGCGCTATCGGATCACCGAGCTGACAGCTGCCACAGACTATACATATCCTCCTTCGGCTACTCGGCGCACATCAAAAGAGCCCAGTGGCGCGCCGAAGAAGATGCAGCCGCCGGTCGCGAACGTCAGCCCGTCCAGCTGTTTCCCCGCGGTACGTTCCTCCCCCTCCTGCATCTACTCGAACTCAACGTAAGTGTAGGGACGGCAGCGTCGCCAGATGCGCTATACATCTATGATTCGATCAGCGCGGCCAACGAGGTGTTGCATATTGCCTTGCGCTTGGGGCAGATGGATGCTCTGCGGTATCTCCCGTCGAGATACTTGATTAATATCTCGTATGCTGCTGTGTTCGCTTTGAAGAGTAACTACACCGAGATGGGCGAAGGAAAAGAAAATACTCTCAAGTAGGTCAACTGTTCATTTCAAGGTTTGAGGGCTGATCAGCACCAGGACCGGAGAGCTAGTTGACGAAGTGTGTCATGAGCTGGGGGTGTCTTGCTCAGACAAGGACCATTTGGCAGTGAGGTATGGGCACATGCTTCGCATGTTGTCGAAAAAGCTTGAGCAGGTACACGAAGCGGTTAGCGTGAGTGTCTGCCACAACAACCTTTTGCATCTTGCTGATCAGGTACCAGACTGCTCCTTCTCGCATGCCTTCGCCAGAACCACCAGCAATAGCAAGACATGCTCAAATCAACGTCAATGCTATGCCCCAAGAGCAGGGCGGGCCCTGGCCTGAACCTCAACCCCAAGCGAGCACATCGGACATCCCGGCCGCCCTCACCCCCGCCTCATTCCAGCTTCCTCCATTCCCCGACATGTCTTTCATCCACCCGGGCGCGAATGTGTACAATCCAGAAAACCCACAGCAACAGGGGTCGATGTTTGATTATGGGGATATGGGGCAGTTTGATATAGATTTGAAGGGGTTTTGGGACGAGTTCGGCTTGGGAGAAGGGGGTGGTTTTCCGTTCAACAAACAGTAATTGGTAGAGTGTGAGACCATGCACCACGTCAATCCTGGAAGAAAGCGAGTGGTATTCAAAACCTGTGATCTTGGCCATTCTTTTTGGAAAATCGGAACGTACTCGTATGTACGAGAAAGCGTCGATGAAGCACGAAGCAAGCGCGTGAGGGTCGTGAGTGTATATGCGGCACTACGTCCTCATATGCCTTGACGCGGTGAGCACATTGCCTACCCTGCCCCATGTTTCGAATGGCACCAGATGTGATACTAGCATAAGGCCTGGTGTACAAAGGATCCCTTGTACGTCTTTGGAAGAACAGAGTAGCGTCCTTTGAGGTCGAGGCATGAGGCCCGTCGTGAAAGGATAGTTGTTCCATCTGCGATAGCTGCTCAGTGCCCAGTGGAGGTCTATGAGTATATACTGACTACGGGATGGGCACCTTGTTTTCAAAGTCTATCTTTAAAAGGTTGCACTGCGATGTTGCCAGCTGCTGGGAGTCCTGGAATGGCGCCGAAGAGTTGCGCTCCAATCGCAGGCGCCGCTATAGAGTTCGTCGTTAGCAGTCACACATTCGGCAACGCTGCTCGCCCCGTGACGATTGCCGGCCCTCAAACTTTTCCCAATACCGCAGCCGCAAGCAGACACATCCGAGTTGGAAGCTTGCCCCCACCTCGAAGACCGTCCTTGTCCTTATCCAGATCTGCGCCAACGGCACCGAACTCGTCAAACGCTGGGTCACATACTGGGAGTACCAGCGCACTGTCACTCCTTCCTTCTCCTGCAGGATTGTCGTCATATGGCTCATCCACGTCCACGTTACCGGGCCTAATCAAGGACAATGGGAGTAACAGCAGACTAGTACTGGGGGACTCGAGCTCGGCATTCACTTCCCAAGCTTCGCTTTTCGCCAACCTGCCATACCCCCACGTTCAATTTCCCCACATACATTTCCCTTCACACGTGCACTTGCCAACCCCTGTTATGCCAGTCATACATTTGATGTCGATCATCTGTCATCTCGTGCTGTCCGTGTTGATACCGTACTTCCTGTTCAGTAATTTCATTCAACCGTTGGTCTTGTGAGTATGATCGCGCCTGAAAAGATGCCACGCTAAACAAGACACCTTCAGATGGGTGTTGGCAACTGTGACAGTGGTCATGGAGAGTCTGTATCTTGTTCCGGGCATTGTGCTAGAAACCATAGGTCTTTGTCGGCGGAGGCCAGTGTAAGCTAGCAGTGTCCCTGCTCAGATATGTGGCTAACTAGCATCAGGGATTCGGCTTGGCTGCAATCCGGGCTGCACTTGACAATCATGACGCTAGCCATACTGCCTCACACTCGTAAGAGAGGTCCATTTGAGAGGTGCCAAGCTGAGCAGCGCCGCAGTCACGGTAGCCTTGTTGATCACGGCCAACCAGATTCCTACATGCCCTTCGGCCTTGGTATACCAAGAGACTAGTCTTCCCAACTTTGAATCGCACCTCCGTTGGTCCGCGTGTGCCGCTTTGCCGAAAGTGACGATACTGGCGATAATGAATGTGGTCGTTCTCATCCTGGAGGTTGTCGTCACTGGAGGGATCGTCGGTATCGATTACTGGATGCAGGGTCGAGAGCTTGAGGAACAGGTGAAGAAAGGAGAGATCTCGATGACCGAGGATGGCGAAAAGATCGAGACAAAAACGTTAAAAAAGCAACGGCGGAAGCGACGATGGATGACTGGAGTTGGTAGATTGCTGTGGGACATTGAGGGCATAGTCTTGCATCGTCGGGCAAGGAATCGTGGTGTAAGCTGAGGCGATGTCGAACGTATAATCATTGTCACATATATTAAAGAGATTGCTGAGGCATTTCGGGGCCCGGGCGAGGGATCGTCATATCGTTACATGTCATCCTACATGATTACACAGTCCTCTCGGACTGACAGAGCGTACATGGCCTGATAAAAATTAGCCGAAGATCTTGAGTGATACACTATGACTTACCTTGTCGACCGTCTTTTCAATCTTCTTCCAGTCTGCTCTTCTCTGAATGAATTCGTAAATGCTGGATGATGGATCAGCCTCGGGAACTATCTTGGCAGCTGCGGTGCTTACTCTTCGGGCGTGAAAGTGCCTCCGTATCTGGTCACATCTCTCACGATCTGCGCGAGATCTTTCGCATCAGACACGATGAAGACGTTGCCCAGCATCTTCAAGTTTGAAAAGTCCTCTGTGATGCGTTGTTGTTTGAGAGACGCCACAAAGGCATAGTAGGCATTCAAATCAGCGATGATCTGGAAGCCCCCTTCCAATGAGATAATCTGGCGTTTCAGGTGCCGTTGGATGATGCTAATCTCGCGTCAACTATGTGGCCGACGGAGTAGTGATATGACTTACGTTTCCAGACGGATACCGACCTCCTGATAGAATACTTCCAGAACATCCTTCGAAGTACTTCCTCTCAAGAGATTGCAGTGCATCTCCAGACATCGAACAGCTTCCTTACATCCTTCAGTCGGCCCAAGGTCAAGAGGTTTGTCTGCTTCTGGATAGTATTCTCTTGGGGCAGTCTTGACTTGAATGATGTGCTCGACCTGGATTTTGATCAGCGAGAGTCCAAGATCCTCATATGTTGACCCTTACCTGATTCATCAGAACCTCAATACCAGCATTCAAACCGGCCGCCACAGCATCGTCCAGTACACCCTCAAACCTCTTCTTTTCTCGCATGACTGCGTTCAAAAAGTCTGTTTTGTCGACATACGGAGACAGCTCCTGATCGAAATAGACTTGAACCATTGACTGAATAGTATCGCCGATGTGGACGAGTTCGAAGAATTGTAGTAAGGGTGCGACACTGGTGGTTTCTTCATGCTCGGCTGGCTTGTAGGTACTCATTTGGTCGGTAGCGCTAAGAAGTGTTAGGATCAACGCAACACTGAAGATATCAACTCACATTCGGAATCCAGGGGCGATATGCCTGTCGCCTGCAGCCTTGAGCAACAGGATGAACACCTCCTCGATCGCATCTCGCACTTTATACCCGGCCTTGCCAGGGTATCTGGCAAATGTCTCTACTCTTTTCAGTGAGTCTCGGTCCACTTGAATAAGCTCGAGGGCCGTGTCTAGGGATACCAAGAGCTGAAGTCTGTCAAAGGACTTGTCATCCGACGGATTTGGAGTGACCGAACGCGAGTTCAGCTGTGAGGGGCTGGGAGAATGGCCATTCGTTTCCGGGACTGCCAAGCTAGTATCGAGTGCTTCTTTGACCTCCTCGGCGTCTTCCGTTTCCTCGACCCCAGCACCGACGTCCACAGCCCCCATATTTCCAGCCGCCTTCTCATCAACTTCGCTGACTTCAAAGACAACCCCACCCTCCTCTCCTTCCTTCACCGCACCATTCTTGCCAGTCCACTTTTGTGGGTTCAACATCGCCAGACCGTTCACAGCCTGGGTACCTCCAGTGACGATGGCGTTGACACCAAAAGTGACTGTGCGGGGGACGATGGTTACCGGGAGTAAGAGGGCGTCTTTGAATGAGGCAAGGACGTTGCGTTTGACTTGATCCGGATTAGATGATGTGAGGAATGTAGGTGTGGATTTGGTTTGGGTGGGAGAATCCGAGGTGCCAAGCTAGGGGTCGTCAGAACTTGTAGACACGGTTCAGATAAATCGCACTCACCTGAGTTTCCCATGCCCGGCAGATGTCTTTGAGATGTTGCTGGACCCACTCCGTCTCGTCGTCCAGATACTCATCCAGATGCTCTTCGAACATCCTGAAACTATACGTGTATTAGATCTGTCCCTCTCGCAAATAACGTTTACCTACACAGAATCTTCGACTTGCTCCCTTGTAATGACCTTCTGCTCTGACCCAAGCACCTCCATGACGACATCGACAAGCTTCCAAGATTGCACGAACGTGGCAGCAGTTGCTCTCAGAAAGAGCGCTTGAGAAACAGCACGAGCCTGCGATAGAAGTGGGTGGATGTAATCACCAATCACTTCGTTGGCAAGCCTGTCACAGAATGATAGGATGACTCGAGCGTTGACAGGAAATACGCGATGAGCGGTCTCGGCGTCTATTCTGAAAGCTTCCAGGACGTGACTGATAAAAGCGTCCATCGGGGTGAAATCGAGTTGACGAGTGGTACCTCCTGTTGACGTTTGTGCTTTTCTGCAAGGTCATCAGATATGGAGACGACTGATCTAGATGCCCACCTACATTATGTTCTCTGCAGAATCCCATTTGGCAGAGTCATAGAAGACTTCCCTCTTCTCCACCCAAACCCTCCCGCACTCCCACTGCTCTCTCTTTCCCCCTCCAGCCTCCCACACAGCCCAGCTACTCTCTGCTGCGACCTTCATTCCCTCCTCATCCTTCCTACCATCGGCGACTTCAAACGCTACAAGACAAGTTGAGTCGAAGCGATCCGCGGCAGTCAAGAGAGCTTGCCGCAGGAAACCCCAGTCATGCAGTGGCTGTAGTTGCGGTGTAAGGAAGAGAAGAAGGGATAAGAGGACCTCAGATTGTTTGGGTAATGAGGGTGGTAATGATGTGGTGGGCGATGGCGGGAAGAGCAGTGAAAGGGTCGAACTTGGTGAAGGCGACGAGCGAAGGTGGTGGCAGAGGGGCACAAGTGATAGATGGTGTTGTTTATAGGCATTGTAGAATGCCCCCGGGGCACTGGATGGGAAAGCTACCTCATGCCGAGGAGCCGAAGGAGTGAGAGCAAAGAACCCTGTTGTTCTCGCCTGGCCACCTTGCTTGCCCGTTGGCCGGGAAGGCAGTGGTAGATCGTCAAAGTCGAGAAGATTGGCTTCTTTTGGGCCCCCCGAAGACACGCCCGGATTGGGGGAGCCTGCAGGTTTGCCCACTTCGAAGTCTCCAAAATCGACATCCTCAAAAGTGTCATTGTTCTGCCCCGAAAAGTCTCCAAAGTCGTCGTCTATAAGCGGCGACGAATGTTGAGCGGAGAACGATGTTTTATTTGGCCGTAGTGGTGAAGTTTTCAGAGTTTGATCTCTCCTAGGAGAAGGGGCTGGGGCTGCCTCAGTGTCAGCTGAATCCTGATTCCAAGCAGTAGTATGACCCACGTTTACTTTCCGGCTTGAGCCCCAAGAGCTTGCACCTCCACTCCCACCCCCGCTCATCCTTCACTATCTTTGCAAATGCCCTATTCGCTCTCGCCATATTCGGGAGATCACACACCGGTGCCAGCTCGACTATCCTGAGGACGACATCTTCGGGCCATCTCCCAATCAGAGACCCGCTGGACTTGGCATTATGTGCGCCGGGTTTTGTCGGTTTGAGGACGGAGGCGAAGCGGGAGGACAGATGGGCGGTCGAGGTCGAGGGATTTGAGGGTGCGATGGGGGCCCACTTGTCCATGATTGGGGGCTTTTGGAGAGGCAATGTAGAAATGCAAGGTGACTACAATTCATCGCACACCCTCCACGCATAACGCGCAGCGAGGCCGAAGGCCCAAATCTCATTACGTAATGAAATCATCTGTCGTTGATGGTCTTCTGCTGTGAAGTGTGGCTGAAGCAGCAGTGAAGAGGCAGTACATGGCCCATGCCTGGTGAACAACGAATCGTATATGTCACATGTTATACATCAGAAACAGTCGACAATTGCGACAGAAGGATCGGTCCATGACTACAACGACTGCTCGAACTCCCAAGCACTCTTAAGGTCGACTTCGATAAGCTTCTTAGTCTCGGGAGAGATTGTACCCAAAGGAAGACGGGCAGGGCCACCAAGGCCCTTCTCAACATAGTGGTCAAGGAAGTATTTCTAATTGAATATATGAGCATGACTCATCGCAAGAATCATTCAACTTACAGTCCCCTGAATACCAGCCTTGACAATGGTCCAGTCCGCCTCAGCCACCCTATCTTGCAGTTCCAGCGCCTCGGCGAGAGCCTTCGCGTCACCCTTGACACCCTTTACAGACGACTCCCACAGTTTCCTGATGGTTTTGGGGATGGCATTACCAGTACCAGTGATGCAGCCAGTGTGGCGGGAGATGAGTGCGGGGAGGGTGGATTCGGAGAAACCTGGGAGGACCTGAAATTGTCCGGTGACGGTAGACGCTTTGAGAGATGCAGACTGCTTGGCGAGATAGGCTTCGGACTGGGTGTAGGCGGCGATTCGGTGACCCTTGCCGATCATGGCGCAAGTGAGCTGTTGGATAGTCAGCTTGGGGAGCTGATCAGTGATGCAAGAGTATAGCTCACCTTGACACCGAAGCAATTGGGGTGATTGGAGAGCTCGATGATCTCGTCAGAGGTAAGATCAATACCGGCAGCGGCACCACTATCTTCGGCGTGAGCTTTGTCCAAAACACTCGCGAGTTTACTCACGGGAAGTTGTAGATCATGACAGGGATAGGCGACTCATCAAAGACCTTGATGAAAAAGTCCTTGATAGCTTGACGATCCCGACCCATGGCAAAGGAAAAGTACCCAGGGGTAATGACGATAGAGTGACTCGCACCGGCCTCCGCCGCCTCCTTGGTGACCTGGATAGTGGTTTGAGCTGAACCAGCACCGGTACCGACCAAAAGCGGCGCGTCAGCGAACCCAGCATCGTCGAGCGCCTTTCGGACAACAACAGTGCACTTCTTGCGCTCCTCAGGAGAGAGATGAGAAGCTGTGCCATCATTAGCGATCACGCAGCCCACGTTGTCACACGAGGCTTACCTTCACCGTTGGTGCCCAGGAGAACGATACCCATACCGGCCTTGGCAAGTCGAACGGTCTGCTTAGCAAGAGCTTCATAGTTGATGCTCTCGTCGTCGTTCATGGCAGTGATGAGAGGGACGGAAGGACCGTCGGCCCAAAGTCGAGTGGGGGAGTTGCCGTTGGTAGCAGTCATGGTGGATCTCGTGTGAAACTGTGAGAAGAGGAGAGAAGCTATATATATATATGAGCGAGAAGTTTGGACGGGCAGGAAGCTGACCAACCTTGAGAAAACGGTGTGCTTGAGAAGACAAGATGAGAAGAGAAAAGAAAAGACCTGCATCTGACTTTTGTACTGGCGGGGACGGTAGCACTCATCAACCGACCGGGCCGTTCCCTCCGAACCCGCCATTTGCCGGCTTTTATTTGGTCCGCTGATTCATCTTCGATTTCAAGTCTGTGGGATGGATGTACAATGATAATGCGATACATACTTTACCTGTACATGTCTTCTGGGTCGTTCTTTGTTCATGCGCGACACAACGTACTCGGGTCGGTCCAAGATAGATCCAAGTGCCCTTGACCCCTCAATATTTCCCGAAAATCACTCCTCAAATACACACACGTGTCCTTGGTACCCATCGAGGATCTATCTATTTGGGACGTCGTGCTATCGCCTGGGCCTTGACTTTCTTGTCATAAGTCGGGCGATCGTGCCTGCCATCAATCAGCCTGACAACGCCTCCTACAATCACGTGGAAGGGCTCACTTGAAAGCTTGATAGGCAGCATCTTGAGCTGGATCATTCACATTGGCATTATCCAAAAGGTCTTGGACACCCAGGACAATCTGCTTGACGGTAATGGACGGCTTCCAAGATTTCTCTTCGTCGAGGATGGACAGACAGATGGTGCCGGACGGGTAGACGTTGGGGTGATAGAGTGGAGGGTCGAATTGGCCTGGCAGATATCAGACAAGAAACCTCTCATTGGGTGACAGTACGATACACTTTGGGGGTTTTGTAGGGAAGTCTGGCAAAGTCTCATTAGCTTACGCTCGAGGCTCAGGCTACAGCACAAAAACTCACCATCAGGGAAAGCCATCTTCACGACATAAATTCCACCTTCCCAGTCGGTCTAGACCAGTGGCGCTCTCAGCTCTCATATCGCCAAGCATGAAAGTCAAGTACTCACACCGACCTTCCCCGGTATTCCGACCTCCCATTTCATGATGTTGAGCGTGCCATCGGGGTTCTTGATTGGCTTGGCGTAGAATCCCTATGTATTGTGTCAACCAGTTCCAATGGATTAGAGTCACAGTATGGCGAAGCTGTTAACGCCCCTAGACTCCGCAACACTTTATAGAGATGCGTCGAGAGGCAGAAAACCAACGTACGAATGGATGGTCTTTCCTCCACTGCTTTCTTTCCTCGTTCAAACGAGCTTGAGCCAAATTGGACTGTGGACTTATGTCAGATCCAGGGCGGTTGTCAGAGTCCAACCCACCATCGCCGGATTACACAAGCTTCTGGGCGAACTATGTAGACATGACTTCTTTGTACGCGCTCCCAACATGACAACAATAGCGGAGGACTCGACAATTACGTAACCATATCGTTTTGCCGAATTATTGGAAGCAGCTGAATGAGACCGACGGACAACAATTATGGAGGAGTAGCGAAAATGATGCTGTCTATACATCTCACAGCAATCATTTTCACGGCCATGGCTTGAAACGAGGGTCTATCCGCATCCCCAGTCTTGCGAAACTGTTGCCTTGCCTGGAGGACGAACAGCATGCCGCCCATCAACGCGCCTCGACAACTACTTTCAGCGGCCACTCGACCTGCTTTCCGGCGATATGCTTCACCTCCCCTATTACTGTCAAACCACCGGGTATCCAGAGCATACGCCTCTCACAATAGTACAAGAATAACTCTTGTGGCGTTTGCCAGCTCCGGCTCTGACGCCTTTCTTGAATCTCTTCGCCGTCAAAAGGGACCTCGGCATGCTAAGGTCGCCGAACTTGATAAGATACCCCATCCTCCGTTAGCGTCTCAATTACCACCGCTGCCGCCTATACGGGATGAAAACATTATGGAAATCTTGAGAAGCGCCGGAGAGGGTTCTCGAACCAGCGATCATGAGCTGTATAGGTTGGCATTCCTGGGCGATAGCGTACTCGACATGTGCGCAACTTTGGCTTGCTGGAATACTTGCAACACTACCAAGACAATGACAGTAGGTTTCCCGGCCATACCTCATCAGGCGTCAAGCTGATCACTATCTGACGCTAGATCGCTCGATCATCCCTTGTACCCAATGCCGTTCTTGCACACGTAGCCGTTCATTACGACCTCGACCGCCTGATTACGCCACCGAAATCAATCGCCAACGACAGCTACACCCATCGTCTGGGAACGGTCTTTGAAGCGTGGATAGGAGCTGCGTGGATTGACGCCTATCACAGAGGCGAAGAAGCCGAAATATGGGCGTGGGGCGCGCAGTTCTATGATCTTTCGATCTGGCAGGGGCTCATCGACAAGATAGAGCTTGCCAATCGTGAGACTGTCGACCCATCTGCGCTGGAACTGGGCGTCAGGTCTCAGCTTGCTGGGTCGGGAGGCTGGCTTGGTAGGCTTTTGGGACCTCGAACGTCGTCGTTTTTCACCAGATCGAAGATTGCGTCTGATGCTGCAGCCTCTAAGCCAACATGGTCTAGATGGGTAAAAGGAATATTGGACGGCTCCCAAGCAGTCGACCCCTCCTCTCCCAACATCGAGTCTCCCTCCATTGAAACATTACCGCTTCCAACAGCCGACACTCCCCTGACAGGCTCCACGACCCACTCCACCGCAAGCCCGAATGCGAAGGGATCACCAAAGAAACAGATCAAAGTTGTTCTGCGGGAGAAAACAGGATGGTCCTCTCTGAAAAGACCACCGGAGTGGCCACACCCAGAGTCTTATGTCAATTTGTCGGTGTTTCCTGCTCTCTTGCCTTTCATGCTGGGCCCGGATACCGAGTTATTACGCGGAGAAAAGATGGCTCAACAAGGGGTAGCGGTCTGGATGGAGCAGTCGAAGAGACGTCTGGGAACGCACTTCAAAAGTTCGAGAACGCTATCGGTAAGTTGCTGAGACCCATCGCGTTCAGTCTAACACCTCGTAGTATATCGTCAGTTTCATGAGGCGGCCCGCTCAGATGGCACATGTCTCGCTTTACTACAACCTCGACCCCGCGATTTGGCTCCCTCATCGGAACAAAGAACGTGATTTTCGAGCCTACAGTGACGCGTTCTATGCTTTCCTTGGCTGGGCGAAATCACAAGCGAAAACTGGCGGTCACGAAAAGGATTTCGAAATATGGCTTGATAAGCTTGCATCGCCAGAGGCATGGCCTCGAATGGTAGACACTGCGCGAAAGTACGAGGAAACAATGTCCCGGAGGGAAGCCAGAATAGTGCATAGAGCCGCGAAGTAGGTCAAAACTGCACATAAACAATACCTGCTTGGCTCATAGAAGCATTTCATTAGGTCGGTGGCAGCCAAACCCTCAAAAGTTTCCATCGTCAAGAGGTCTGCTTCCGGTCCCCTCCCGCCATCGACAGCGAAGCCAGCGAAAGCCCCGGTCGTTTCCAGTGTGTCTTCAGACGGCATACAACCCGAGACCTCGCTGGTTTCTGATAATCCACCCAATGATCTTCGGGCGCCCCCGCCGTATTGGCATCCTCCTTGGCTACCTCTGCAAACCCGGAAATTGCCAGCAATCCCCTCTCTCCCCATGTTCGACCAACAACCATCTTTGGACGCTCTATGGCAGCGAGAAAGTGACGTTTACAAGGAACAAAAGATGAAAGGCCACAATGCCATCAACAGTCTTTTGACTACTGGCGGGCATCTGATGGAAGTACGAGGGGGCTCGTCAAAGCAGAACATCACTGTGAGTGACAAGTCAATGATCGCCTTAGACCAGTAGCTGACTTGTCATCATAAAGTATGTGACCGGTTTCATGTCATCCAGACAAAGCCTGTCTCACATCGCCTGGCACTACGGTATTTACTCCAATCACAACTTGGAAAACACGTCGCCGAACAAGACCCAGCACGCCGCAGGTGGCATGCTCAAGACGTATATTGGCTGCGTCGTACAGGAGGCTGAAGCTGCCGGCAAAAGGCAGATAGTCGACCAGTGGCTGAAGGAAGTGTTCTCTCCCGAAGTTTGGACAAGCCTCAAATCAGTCCTAGGCCTGAGAAGCAGAGACCTGATGGGCTTGTCCAGAAATCCGCCTCGTACAAAGGTGAAGCGGACCATTTGTCAAGTCAAAGCTGCGCCGTGTACTTCGCCTACCACGGACGCGGCTGATTCCTCGTCGCTCGGGGTCACTCTTCCCGGTGAGACTTTAGATGATGGGCCCGCTATACCACCAACATCTAGCTCCAGCACCACCATATCACCCGACACTCTGCCTGGCGCGAAGGGCAGTCCCACTCTCGCAGCCAAAGCTGTCACTACTACCAGCGAAAATCTACCCGAAGTGTCCTGTAAGTCGCCAACAGCAGTTTCGGGAGCCACCATGTCTCCTGCCTCCCAGCCCGCCGCCACAAATACCAAGAGTATCGGTGAAATCGCTGACGCCAGTGCTGCCTCTTTGTCCCCCAACACCCCGCCTGCTATAGCTTCCGAGGAAGATCATATGACTGCGACACCGCTCAAGACTTCCCGAGTTCCTCCGTCTCACTGGCAAGCTCCCCAGCTACCCTTTGATTATGCTAAACTCCCGTCTACGCTGCCGCTGTACAAATCCAGCCAATCAGTGGATTTATATCCTTTTGCCGAATCCAAGGGCGAACTTGCGGCTAGAATGATTGCCGGTAAACGGGTTGTACAGCTGCTGCTTATGAGAGACAAGTATATACGGAAGGCATACGGGAAGGATGACGTTCATCCAGTTGTAATTGTCCGTCACGAAGTCAATCTTGTGAATCTTGCTGATTCTTGTATAGGAGGCCGCCGCTCGGGACCTTATGTCTCTACAGACTATGTCTTATTTGGCCTTGCATTACGGCTTCTGTGAACCAAAAGAACAGTCAGGGGTGACCTCATTCTCTCAGCAAGCCACAAGTGGCAAGTTCCTGGCGTACATTGGCTTCATCTCGGAGGAGGCCGAGGCTATTGGAGCCAGAGAGGAGGTGCAGACTTGGTTGAAAGGTGTTTTCTCGCCAGATGTCTGGCCGACCATGGCCGTGTCGCTGGATGAAGCTTCATCATCGAGTGCAATGAACAATCACAATACACCTTCTGGCGACGTCGACTCCAAGAGCGATCACAAGTCCAAATGGCTTGACCCAACACTCGTCCTGAACACTTCAGCCTTGCCGCCTCTGCTCCCTCCTTCGCCACCCAGTCTCGGTGCAGCGAAGGATGATCAGACTTCTCTTGTTCTCCAAGAGCTTGCCACGAATGTCAATGGTCTGAGGAGTCTTCTTCTCAGACGTTTCAAAGCAAGTCGATCGATGAACGGCATTTCAGGGGTGAGTGTTTGCTGAATGCACGAATAGTCTTGCTCATAGGATGATGATAGCGTTGCGCCCTAGAACTCACCATGTCCCGGCACCTTTCCCGTCTCGCTCGCTTCTACAAGTTGTACGATCTATCGGCAAACGTTTCGCAAACGGATGCTGCCAGGAGCTTTATTACATACTTGAGAGCCTTTGAGCCTACCCAGTCTTCGGCAAAGCGTATTTTGCCTTGGCTGGATGTGGTGTTCAGCAAGAATGTCTGGCCGGATTTGACGACGGTGGTCGAGAAAAAGCGTCACCCTCCGCGGGAAGAGCAGAAGGCGAGCCGGAAACCTTTACAGGAGGAAGGCGCGCTGCAACATGAGCAGAGCACCATCAAACTGGCCCCTACCGACGTAGTTAAGCAAAACCGTTAGTCGCCCTCTCCAATCAGTTCATGTGAGCTGACTTTTGCGCCAGCTATGCCGGAGGCCGATGTCGCAACCAGCCCATCCGCCGCTGATTCCAACCCGGAAAAGCCCAAAGAACATGTCGAACCCTCCCAGAAGCCTAGCCTGAACCTCAAAGATGCGGCGAACTTGCTCTCGCCTTCAACCTTTGACGGCGTTGCCCTGTCCATCCCGAGCCCTGTATCAACGTCGGCAGCTCCTCGCCTGCATATTCCAGAGCACCCACTTGTTCGGAAATCGATCCCTAAGGTTGCTCCCCTCGCTGCGAGCTGTTCCCCCGAGGAGGACAAGATACTCGCTTCAGAAATTGCGAAACAGCCGATGAAGAGAAGCACGGGCAAGAGGATGAAGAAGGAGGGAAGGGAGACGGCGGCGATGACGCCCAAGGACAAGGACAAGGACAAGGACAAGGACAAGGGGGAGAAGCAGGAACCCAAGAAGGAGATCAAGGAACCATCAAGAAGGAGGTGAAGAAAGAGGTGAAGCAGGGGAGGGAGCAGACGAACGAGCAGGAAGAGAAGAAAGCAACGGGGAAAAAGGGGCAATTCGGGCTGAAGGCCGTTTAGGACATCTGGAATCTGAATCTGGTGCACTTACCGCTCCATATCATTGACCCCAGCATATGACCTAGTTCTAAATGATAGAAGGCGCGTCCTAAGAATCTCACTATTGAGCCAATACTGCATGTTGTATCTGTAGACAGTCATATCACATCTCATGACCAATCTACTGTACATGGTATGCAACACAATCACTCTACCATTTCACTACCACTCCCGAATAGCCCCGTCCGGACCTCGGAACAACGGGTTGATCCACGGTTCCAGCCTCTCCGCCTCCTTCGCCTCCTTCCTGATCAACTCCTCATCCAGCTCAATACCCAGCCCTGGCGCAGTCAACAACCCCACGCTCCCGTTCTCTACTTTGAACACCTCGGGATTCTTCATATACGTGAATAGATCGGCACCGACGTTGTAGTGCATCTTCCAGGACATCTCGCAGACGACGAAATTGGGGGTGGAGAAGCCAACGTGGAGGGATGCAGCGAAGGCGAGTGGGCCGAGGGGGCAGTGAGGAGCGACGCCGACGTCATATGCTCTGGTTTGCGTCAATGGGTATAGATGATAGGGGAAGAAGAACCTACTCGGCCATGATGGAGATCTTTTTGGTCTCGGAGATACCACCAGCGTGAGCAATGTCGGGTTGGATGATATCGATACAGCCCGCTTCCAGGTACGGCCTCACGTCGAGTCGAGTGAAGAGACGTTCGCCGAGCTATATCATTGTCAGTCTTGTCCAAGAGAAAAGGTGTAGCTATACTGACAGCTATGGGGATGTTGATCTTGTTGTACAAGTCCTTGAGCTCGTTGACAAGTCCAGGAAGAAGAGGTTCTTCGATAAAGAGCGGACGATGGGGTTCGAGACCGGCAGCGAGCTGCTTGGCCATGCCCTTGTGTACTCGGCCGTGGAAATCGCTATACATATGGTCAGCTCCTACCACACTTTCGCGACATGCTACTCACAGACCAGCATCAATCCCGATAGCTTTCACCTCCGCAAGCCTCTGGATAGTCTCATCCAAGGCGTGAGGCGAGTCGAGCCAGTTGACAGACTCGGTCGCATTCATCTTGACACGCGTGAAACCTTGCTCCTTTCGTACTTTGGCTTGGGCAACCACATCTGAGGGTCTGTCACCTCCACTATGCAAGAGGTCAGCTCATCGTACAACAATGCACAAGAGTAAGACTCACACCCAGCCATAGACATCGCACCTCTCCCTGACCTTGCCGCCGAGCAGCTCGAAGACGGGCACACCGAGGACCTTGCCTTTGATATCCCAGAGCGCGATATCCACACCACTAATGGCCGACATGAGTACCTGCTGGTCGTCAGTCTTATCCTGAGAAGCATCTCTAGAGACTTACCTCGCCACCTCGGTAGAAACGGTGTCGATAGAGATAGGTGTAGATCTCTTCAATGTTCATCGCATCCCACCCGACAAGCCTGTAGTCGCGGTCAGTACAAGACACTATCCCTGCAGGGACCAGACTTACCTTCTGGAGATGTCCCTCAAGCTCCCCTGGACTGCCTCGGTATGACCTTCAAGCGTGCCCTCTCCCCAGCCGACGACCCCTCCCTCGGTTTCGACCCTCACAAACAGCCATCTCGGCCTGACATAAAAGTTTTCAATCTTCTTGATCTTTGTGGACCCAGGCTGGGAAGCACTAGGATGTTGCTGGATCGCATAAGGCCGCTGGATACCTTTATTGTACTTGACGGCAAGGTCGGAAGGCGGGAGGTAGACGGCTTCGCGGCCAGAGTCCTGTGCGGCTTGGGTGGTGGTCCCGATGGGCTGGGGGCTGTTGGCAGACATCTTGGAAGTTGTATAAGATGGAGAGGGAGATCATGGTGGGTCCAGATATGGATTATATATTCGCAGAACTACTTTCGGGAGCCAAAACAGACTTCGGACCGGCAACGACCGGACGGCATCTGCAGGACTTTGCCAGTCGGCCATGGCCGCAATCAGTACTGGATGGAATGGCAGAGCATACATATGTAGGATTGCATAGCTAGATGCTTGGAGTCGCCTGCATGTATCGGTGTCTATACTCGAAGCAAGTGTAGACAGAATTGACGATGACCCCTCAGCTGAATCGTGCGGCAGCCGCTACTACTTGACATCTAGAGGCTTCCCTCTGGTCTCATTCTGGCGCCGGACAGTGTAGCTCTAGGTGACCTAAGCAGCCATCACACACTCTCTGTGTACCCTTGCCTCGCTGGACAGCTGCTATGACAGCACCCAACGAACCCTACAATGGCCATCCATTCTCCTGATGATCCCGTGACGCGTTATCTTCCCGCCGAATGCCGCGAGTTGCCGCGCTCTTCTATCCGAACCGGAGCCAAATATAAAGCCGAGATTGGTGTTGATATATCCCTCGTGACTGTCGCTCAAGCGGAGCCCAGTGCGTACATAAGACCACCATGAAGTCTTCTTAGTTGACTGCCTTCTCCTTTGCGACCGCCGCCATGTCCATCCACGAGAAGACGAGCCAAGAACACCTCGAGCACATCAAGTCTGCAGATGACATTGACCGTCATCTCGCAGTCCAAGTTCCCGCTTCATTACAGGGCTTGAGCGTAGAAGAAGTCGAGGCGATTGACAAACGTGCTACGCGAAAGCTGGATTTGTTGCTGATGCCCGTCCTATTGGTGCTCTATGTTCTGTGAGTTTGGCTCGATGGATGTCAAACGGATGGTGGGGCCTGATGGCGTATAGAAATTATCTGGATAGACAGAACATTTCTTCCGCAAAGATCGCTGGAATCATGGACAGTCTCAGTCTGACTACTACGCAGTACAATACCTGCGTAGCTGTCCTCTTTGCAGGGTATGTCAGTCTTCAGATCTTTAGCAACATCCTCGCTTCCAAGATCAAGTACCCCGGCATCTGTAAGCCCCCCCTCTTTCAGACAATCCTAGAGCTGATTAGAGTTCAGATATCTGCTTGATGTGCGCTTTGTGGGGCGTCATCTCTGGATGTACGGGTGCTGTGCAGTCATACGCCGGTCTTGCCGTGTGCAGAGTCATCTTGGGTTTTGCCGAGAGCGCTTTTTTCCCCGGTGCTGTCTATCTCAACTCTGTGTTTTACACCAAAAAGCAGATGGCTTTGCGCACTGCCATCTTGTACTCCGGAAGTCAGATCGGAAATGCATTCGGTGGATTATTTGGTGAGCACGCCGACTACTCGAGGGACTCTTTGCTGATGGCTCTATAGCCCTCGCTATCCTCCAGCTTGACGGTGCTCACGGTCTTGAAGGCTGGCGCTGGCTATTCATTGTCGAAGGCATCATCACTGTCGGTCTCGCCCTCACATTCGCCACCTTCATCCCCAACACCCCCCTCACCCTCCGCTGGCTCACAGCGCAAGAAAAAGACCAGCTCCAATACCGACTTGAAGTCGACCGCGCGTCTAAGGATGCGACGGACGAGGTGACGACATGGAGTGCGTTCAAGATGGCGGCGGCGGATCCCAAGACGTGGTTGCTTTGTGCTGTGCTGTATTTCAACTATGTCGCGGCTTCAGTGACAAACTTCTTCCCTGTCGTCGGTGAGTTCATCCTCTCGAGCTTCTGGGAAACATTCTGACTTTTCACAGTCCAAGGTCTAGGTTTCGGCCGCACAACTACCCTCGCCATCACCTGTCCCCCCTACGTGCTCTGCTGCTTTGCCATCCTGATCATTGGCTGGCACTCTGACAAGAAGAACGAACGTACTCTCCACATCATCTGCCCGTTCATCATCACCATCATCGCCAACATCATTGCCATTTCGACAACCAAGACGGCACCGCGATATGTGGCGATGTGTTTGTTGCCCGCCTCATTCTATGGAGCGACATGTTGTGTGCTTTCGTGGATTAGTGCGAGTATTACGGGACCGGCGGTGAAGAGGGCTATCGCTATTGCTATGTGAGTCTTCTGCATTCTTCCCCTGGATGCACAATTGCTAATCTTCATCATAGTATCAATTCTATATGTACGTCTCACCCCATGCTCCCAGATCTCGTCAACTAATTCCGCCACAGGCAACACCCCAAACATCTGGACATCCTACCTCTACTTCAACTCCCCACAATACGTCGCCGCCTTCGGCGTGGACCTCGCTGCCAGTGTCCTCACTATCTTTTTTGCCGCTTGGACGTACATGTATCTCAAAAGACAGAACAGAAAGATGGAAGAAGGGGCGGCGTTGCCAAAGTCGGGGCCGACGGCGTTGCAGGTGGAGAGTGGGTTCAGGTATCAGCTCTGAGGGGACTCTGCTTTTGCTTTTGATTTTTGGGATACTGCTGTTGTAGTAGTAGAATTGTGCTTGTCATCATGGATTTTACTGGATTTATGTGTGTAAGACAATTAAGATTGTCTTTCAAGAAGAGCACGGTCTACATACTGCATCGTATCTCTGACGACGACCCATATGCTTGTTCCTGGTGCGGTTGGATATTGCACACGAGATGTGCAAGGCTTTCGACAAAAGAGGGAAGGGCCCGTGCATACCAAGCAGTCCGTTATAGCCAGTGCGTGCAGTGCGTACGGTATATGTACATGTCGGCTCGGTGCCACTGCCAGGCGTTTCCATGACAAACCTCACAAACCTCTAGAACAGAACCTAGTGCACAAACAAGCCACTAATTGTCCCGGAAGGCCGAAGCGCCCTGAAGAGCCGAACCTTCCATCTTTGTTTTGGTGCATATTGACTTGTCGCGTGCACTAGTGGCTCGTCATCGTGGCTGTTTTCAGGCGTATGTACAAGTAAGCTGCACTTGGCGCATCCAGTCTTTACTCTTCAACTTCGTCGTCTTCAATCATTCTCACATCACCCTCTTTTGCTCGACGCACTCTCCGACATCCTCTTCGCCTCTGTTCCTTTCCGCCGGCTCACTCTCTTCGGTCCTTCCAGCGGGTACAACCACATCACTCCGCCAAGCGCGTGTATATCTGGACTCTGGGCTTTCTGCACGTTCTGGCAACTTCACATTCGTGAGTCGATATTGGAAGCGACCAGATACCCTGCATGGCCGGACACCTTCTGGATTGAGAGGGGGAAATCAAGTGTATGCGACACGTGAGGTCACCCATCCTTTGACGCGGACATGTGGATGAGTGTGGGTGGATGTCGGTGCTGCAATGTGATGAAACAGCACCCAAGCTCCCCCCGTGGCCCCACCTGAATCGCCGGGGCGGGGGGGGAAGGTGTTCGAATATTCGCGCCTGGTGAGAGAGCTCTTGCTGCTTACTGCCTCGGCACCGGGCTCAAGGAGGCAGACAGTATCACTCAACACTTTCTGGCATAGCGCTCACCTAAGCACAGCTTATATTGTGCCTTCTCAGCAAGTCATCCCTCTTGCATCCTGCATCCGGCGCATCTAGACCACTGTCTACCTAGTGTCCATCACAACATTGTCTTCGGGCGATCGATTCGTTCGACTTTTCGGCTGAACCATACCAATATTTGAGCTCGTACCTGGCCTACCTGTCGACCTCTTCAAGGTCATAAATAAAAGACAAGGCAGAGCCCTCTTCGGACCCCTCTTTCTCTCATCATAACGCTCCTTATAACACGACAGCGCCAGCAGCATGCGCACCTTCCTTGTCTCAGCACTCCTACCTGCGCTGTTTCTTTCGGCTGCCACTGCCCACCCCCATGGTCTTCCCCAAGCCGCCCAGCACGAGAAGCGACAGGATGACGCCAGCCCAAGCAGCGCGACTTCTGGATCTGTGCCCACTGGCGTCGCTCTTGGGGTGAGTCTTGGCCTGGATGACAGCTCTTCCACTGTCACCACCTCCGCCACTTCTACCACATCTTCCTCCGACGCCGTCACTACCTCCTACACTCCGGTCTCGAGCTTATCCTTTGCCTCTGTCACCGCCGCCCCTGCCATCACTGCCTCTTCCTACACCACCCTGACCAACAAAATTTCCGACGTGCTCTCGAGGAGTAATGAAATCGCCGTCCATTCTTGGGAGCTGGGCACCCTCATCAATACTCTTCTTGAAGTGTACAACCCCGGTCTTATGCCATTCGGTTGGGACAGTGGTGCTGTCAATGATGAGGAGGTACCTTGGAATGCCCTCGAGATTGCTCGTGATACCATCTCCCACTACGACTGGACTGGCGCGCCCAATGCCACAACGGGCCAAGATATCAGCCTTTACCTCGACAACAGTACCACCCCTCAGTCTCATCATTCCCAGGCTTTGATCGGTGGCGATGGTGCTCTGGGAGACCCCGTGTCGTTGGTGCCAGCTGTCTGGCTGTTGGCCGAGTACGCCCAAAAGGACGAGGTGAAGAGCAAGCTCCAGCTGAGGGATGCGGACGACTATGCTTGGGCAGTTGGGAACCAGCTCGACTATCTGTTCAATGGTCCCACCAGTTCTAACGGCAGGTCCTTCCATTTCTCCTACGAATATACGCTGACGTTGTATAGGCACCATCTCTCAGCGGGAAGCCAGCTTTGAGCTTTGGGCGGATATGGGCTACATGGTTTCTCCCTCTCTCGCTTACCTTGGCCTCACCACCAACAGCTCTAACTTCCTCACCAAGTCCCTCGAGCAATTTACCCTCGAAAGCTCGGCATTGCTCGAGACGATTCATGGTGTCTACTTGCATATCTTGAACGGGGATGCCAGTCTATGGGCTACTGGTAATGGATGGATGGCGTATGGCTTGATGCGAGACGTGAGTATACTACTCAAAGGATGAAGTAACTAGACTGACTGGGACTTTAGCTTGCATCCGTCTCTTCTGCGGGGCTCGACAGTGCTGTTGGGGATTATGCGACCAACACCAAAAACACCATCTCTGGTGTCTTCCAAGGTCTCTTCTCTCAGCTCGATGTGAGCCTCTCCGCATCCCTCCTTAGCGTACTATCTGACACTCTGTCCAGGATGACAGCCTTATCCCTAACTATATGCACCAGTCCAACGCCACACTCGCCGTAGGCGACACCTCCGGCACAGCCCTCACCGTCGCCGCTTACTACCGCTTCCTCAAGCTCGCGCCCGAGCTCACCAACGACAACTTGACCACTCTGGCGGAGCAGGCGTTTGATGGAGTTGTAGCCAAAATTGATGATGACGGCTGGGTGACTCACGTGAGTTTCTCTTATACTTCGGGAAGAAGACGAGACTGACGTTAAATGAAGGCCGTGGACCCGGAGGGCACTTATGGTTGGGTTGTGTATCCCGATGACCTTACTTTGCACTCTCCAGAGGCTCAGGCGTTTGCGGCGCTCATGTGGAAGGCGCGTACCGATTATGGGCAGTAAGCTGCTTGCTAGGTAACGCTGCGGACTTGCCTTTATCTTGTTTCTCTTACATCTCTTTTCGATTTGATTGTGTATCATTCAGCTGGACTGGCCAGACGGACTAATATCTCTATCTATTACCCACTTCGCTTGCTACCCCCTTGAGCCGAGCATCTTTTGTAGCCCTTCTTCGACTTTTCTTATCCTACTATCTACACTCCTATTACTAGCATGCATTCTGCAATTATCGTATCTGCTGCTGTCATAATAGCAAGGGATCGTTACATGACAGGGGAGGGTGATTTCCGTATCCTGAGAAGATAGTGCTGTATAGAGATCTTGGGATTGGGCGAAGCAGGTTGTCTGAGAAAGACAATGGCAGGGAAACGCTCCTTTATGGATGATAACCCTCGTTTGTGACATAGCTGAAGGTGCATTGGTATAGTCATAGGAAGTTCACATGCCGAGCTTATCATGTGGGAAAACATCCAGCATGTCAAAGGATGATGGCCCCCAAAGAAGCATCTTGTTGTGACTGTTGCTTCGCTTCTGTCGGGAGCCGGAATGAGCATCAAACCATTGTGAGCGCCGGGGCATACTGACAGGAACTCATTACCTAGCAGCCACGCTGCTGCTGCCCGTCGAGGAGGAGATAAAGTTGAGCGACTCTTATTTGCCAAGATGCCAACCCACTTCATATTTTTCACCTCTCAATCCGCTCAACAAGTCATCACTGACGCAATCATACTACCATGTCGGATCGTAGCAAATTCACGCAAGAGGAGAAACAACATGGCCTCAACGTCATGGTAGACTACACCTCTACGGCAATTCAGAACAGAGCTCGAGCCCTTATCGACATCCAGAGACGCAAGCGACATATTGACGAAACCACCGCTGCTCTCAGTCAGCTGGCAAGCATCAAATCGGCTGATGGGACGCCTTTGGCTGATCCCGAGACGGACTACAAAGTCTTGACGCTCGATGATGCCGAGTCACTCTTGCTCATGGCCGGGATAAGGAAGCCTGTCGAGGGACGCGGTGGCGAGAGGATCCCGCATTACCACAACTGGGACGCCAACACCGCCGGTCAATGGTCCAAACGTATCCATCAAGTTTCGGACTATATGGAAGCTCGAAGAAGCTGGTATGGCATGGGAAATGACCAGTCTGGGAACACCATCGAAGACGCAATCAGCGGGATTACACAGATTCTCAACAAAGACTCTGTCGTCAACAATCATGAACATGACTTTACATTCAACGAAGCTTTGATCTTTGGGAAATCGCGACATCTGGCAGACGGATTGAGAAGCCAGCTCGTAATGGAGACAACACTCCCGAAGGTTGCCAACCAGATACATTCATACTTGAGTCAAGCCCACAGTGCTAATCCCGAGGCGCTTCCGTCTGCCAGGAAACAAAAGCAGAAACTCTGGGATCAGTCTCTTTCCGAAGCTGAGTCATCAATCGCTTACATGGGATCGACAGGCTGGCAAGTGAGCCCAGATGACAAGGCGCAGTTCGAACAAGCAGTAGAACGATCCCATACAATCTTGTCCAAAAATCGGAGAAAGCGGTTCAAAAGATCCAAGCGACCTTCCTTCTCGACAATCAATCGGGATACTACGACAACACCACTTTCAACGAGACGAGAATCGGCGACTTGGAAGAACATCTCGAACACAAGCTCGCGGAGGTTGCCGAGCAGAAGTTTGTGTTGGATGACGGATGGAAAAAGTTGACTGGTCTTCCGGTAGACTATGTGCAAATCGAGCAGGAGATGGATGCAGAGGCGGAGGGGGTACAGGGGAGCCAGCAGTCAGTGGGTAAGTGGCCACTTCACGGTAATTGAACGAATGTCGACTGACACAGTGCATAAGCAACACTATCAGGCTACGGGGTTCCCCAGGATATGCTCTTCCAGCCTAGCGCCCTCGAATTCACAGAGAGAAAGTTGCAAAGGCTACAGGACACTTTCGAGTACTCCCCAGACATCAGCGCATATCGTCCTTCGGCCGCGCTATCCCATGTCAAGAACATACTTGCACTCAAGAGCGACGCCGTGTGGCAGCTAGATGCGTTCCTGAAAGCAAAGGTCGACCAAGTCGACAGCAAAGACGTTCCAAGGTCGCAATTGTTGGACCTTTACGAGAGCAAAAAGAGAAGCCTGACAGGCGATCGAGAGAGTAGACTGAAGAGTGCTCGAATGACGGGTGCACTATCTCGCTATACCGCTATAGAGAAGAAATGGGAGAAACTCACTAAAAGTGCAGCTAATGGTATTCTGCAGAAAGTGGCAGATGCCAGAGACGGCCTCGAACAGATCAGCCAGGAGACTCAAGACATACAAGATCAATCAAGATATTGCAGAGCACAGTCCGATTTCGCAGCTATCAATGCTTTGATCAATGAGTCCTTCCAGCCAGAGTTCGACAGTAAAGCCTCCAAAAAGGCTTGGCTGAATGAGATCCAGAATGACAGGATACATGCGAAGAGCTCTCTCGAGAAGTCTTGGAGGCTCCCTAGAGCTGCTAGTGAACCATCCCTAGCCACGGTCGAGGAGGGCGTTCAGACCATGATGATTGATGAGTCGCAAGAGAGTATCGAGCCCTCTCTGAGTTTGGGCAAAGAAGCGGAGCAAGAAACAGCTACAGCACGCCCGTGGAAGACCAGTAAGTTGATGCACTTTTTCAAATGATCATATTGACTGTTCCGTTCACCAACAGGGTTCAACTGGGCAGATGAAGATGAGGACGACGATGATATCGCTTTTGACAAAGATTTCAAGGAATGGCTCGCAGCGGAAGCACAGAGAATGGCCGAGAAACTGGTGCTGTCGCTTCTACCCCTGCGTCAGAGTTGCATGATGCGGAGCCAGCCACCAGCACTGCTTCGGCGCCAGTGGTCACCACCAACCGATGGATGAGGTCGGATGGTAAGTGTCATGTCATGAAACAGCTAAGAGCTGACCATTTACTAGGCAAAAGCGCTGCTCAGTATCTATACGAGATGTCCCAAGCAAGCAAACGCTGAGACCAAGAGGTTGGGACGTCGTTGCATCTCACCGCAAGTTTATACAGTTCTTTTTTTCCATCCGTACTGCATGCATTGTGACCATGATTGGGTAACCCACACAGGGGCACAATACTCGTCAGTCCAAGAAGTTGTCGAGAACGAAGAGACGACCTGACGGATACCACCAGCAGCAGCAGCGGAGATTTCCACGTGGCCAGGAACGGAAACTGGACGTGACAGCGAGCACGTCTTGGGCGTTCTCTATCTTTCTCTTTCTCTTTCTCTTTCTCCTCTCATCTCCCAACTACACCTCCCGCCGTCCCCCACCCCCCTCCGGTTCTGTCTCTCGGTTAACGGTCAACGGCTACAACGCTACCACACACATAACACAACATGGCTTTCTCCGCAGCTGACCTCCAGAAGGTACGTCGTCCGTTCTCGCAAGCAAGTAGGGTCACGGAGAGGGCAGGAAAGTGCGAGGGCTTGGAAATCGGACTGAGGGATGATGAGGCGCATGCTGTATGATTTTTGGCTCTAGCTCGATCTCCCTGCACCTTGGAGCGAGTCGGGGTTACCCTGGAGAAGTCGTTGCTGGACCCTATTTCCGTCATCATATCCTGACCATACGCTAACAAACACTCAGCGACACCTTGAGCTCGAAGGCGCTCCTGACCCCTTCCCTACTCTCGGCGCTGCTCCCACTCCGGTCGCTAAGAAGGTCAAGCCTGCTACTACTGCTGCTGTCGACACCAACTCCGAGGATGCTTTCCCTTCCCTCGGCGCGTCTTCTGCCCCCAAGGCTACTTCCAAACCCGCTACCTCTCTCTGGGCTTCCAAGTCTTCCGCTGTAAAGACTGCCGCCAAGCCTATGGCTCCCGGTGGTCTCGGCAGGACTGGTGTTCCTTCTGCTGGCTCTCACCCCTTCGCCGAGACCTTTTCCATCCCCTCTGCTGAGCTTGTCCAGGGCAAGACTGCCCAGGAGACTTTCAAGAAGGTCCAGGAGCAGACTGGCGCCATTGTAGAGTCTTCTACCCAGATGCGCACTGGCCTCAAGACTTTCCACGTCAGGGCGGCCGACCAGAAGAAGCTTAACCAGGCTCGAAAAATGATTGAAGGTGGCTTGAGGAAACCGGTCAACATCTCTGTCGAGGTGCCTATCACTGTGCTTGGTACTATCATCGGCCCCAAGGGTGCCACTCTCAAGAGCATTATTGACGCTACGGGCGTCAAGATTGATGTCCCTCGTCGTGACACTTTGCCTGCTTACTCTCCCAAGGACAATGGTTCTGACGATGATGATGAGGAGAACGAGGAGCCTCAGGTCCCTATCGCTGTTTCTGGATCTTCCATTGGCTGTAACGACGCCAAGGAACGTATCCTTGCCCTGTTTGCCCACAAGGTGTCTCAGACCTCCACCTCTATCAAGACTATCCCCTCGGCTTTCTACATCCTCTTCTCTTCCAAGGTGTCCGAGCTTGAGCAAGGCCCCGGCGAGAGCAAGGTGTCTATCAAGGTCCCTGAGCCTGCCGTGTGGAAAGCGCTCGAGCAGCAAGGTCAGGCCGACATTGAAGGCCGAAAGGTTTCCGTCGATAGCGAGGCTTCTATCAAGGTCAAGGGTGACCGAGAGGCTCTGAAGGCGGTTGTTGATGCTATCACCAAGGAATTTGAGACTGTTTCCAAGGGTTTTTCCCTCAAGCGAGTCTCTATTCCCAAGCGTCAGCACCGATTCCTCATTGGTTCCGCGGCTTCCGACATTCTTGCGCAGACCGAGTCGATTGTCGAGCTTCCTGCTGTTGACGACTCTTCTGACCGAGTCGTCATCCGAGGTCCCCAGTCCAAGCTCGGTGCCGCTCAGTCCTTGGTCTTTGAAAAGGCCAACGCTGTGACTGTTGAGCCCGTCGACCTTGTTGCTCTCTTCCGACGATCTACCTCTGAGCCGGTCAGCCACGCCACCAACGTCCTCCGATACTTGCGATCTGCCAAGATCAAGACTATCGCTGCTGCTCATCCTAAAGTCCAGATCTTCCCTGCTTTCCCCTCCGCCATCGAGAACACTGGTGATGTGATCATCGACGTTGTTGGTGAAGACGGTGAAGAGGTTGCCAATGTCGTTGACGAGATTGAGGCATTGGCTAAGACCATCGTTCCTTCCAGTGTGACTACCGTCCAGGTCGACCACCTTGCCCACAGTTTGTTGACCGGCAAGAGGTCTTCCAAGATCTCCAACTTTGAAAAGGCCCACAACGTCACCGTCGTCTTCCCTTCTGCTTCCGAGGAGTCTTCAAATGTCTTGCTCGTGTACAACGGTCCCAAGAACGCCAACCCTACTAGTGTCTTTGAGGCGGCGTCCAATGAGCTCTCCGCGATTGCCAAGGAGGTCGCCGACATCAAGACCGAGGTGCTCGAGGTCGACAAGAAGTTCCACAAGTACATCATTGGCCAGGGTGGATCCGTCCTCAACGCCATCATTGGTGAGGACGCCCTCGTCTCTGTCAAGGTCGGTGTCTCTGGCACCAAGTTCCCTTCCACCACCCACGAAGACTCTGTCACCATCCGAGGTCCTCGAAACGAGGTCGACCGTATCTCCAAGCAGATCGCTCAGGTCGTTGAGGATGGCAAGAACGACGCGATCGTCAACGGTTATACTGCTCAGTTCGATATCGACAAGAAGCATGTTCCTCACCTCGTTGGTCAGGCTGGTGCTTCCATCAACAAGCTGAGGGAGACTCTCGATGTCAAGGTCAACTTTGACGATGCCGCTGAGAAGGAGGTCAAGAAGGGTTCCAAGAAGACCACTGTGCACTGCACTGTGAGTACATACACTCTTGAATTCGTCATGGGTGCTAACAATGTATAGATTGTGGGTCGTAAGGAACCCGTTGAGGAGGCCAAGAAGCGACTCCTTGCCCAGATTGAGAAGCTCGAGGACGAAATCACCGAGTCTGTCACTATCAAGCGAGCCATCCAGCCCGCCCTCATTGGTGCCGGTGGCAAGTACGCCATCCGTCTCGAGGAGAAGTACGGCGTCAAGCTCTCCTTCCCCCGAGATGCCAAGGACACTGGTGCCAACCCCGACCAAGTCACCCTCCGAGGTGGCAAGAAGGGCGTGGCTGCTGTCAAGGCCGAGTTGTTGGAGGCTGCTGCGTTCGAGACCGAGTCCAGGCAGGAGGCCTCTTTCAAGGTTCCCGGCAAGGCTGTTGCTCAAATTGTCGGCAAGGGTGGTGCTACCATCAACGGTATCAAGAACGAGACTGGTGCGCAGATCGACATTGAGCGAGAAGCTGGTGAAGATGGAAAGACCACCATCACTGTGCGAGGTGACAAGGCGGCTATCGCTGCTGCCAAGGAAGCCGTCCTCAACGTTGTCAAGGAGCTCGGCGATGAGATCACCGTGGAATTGACCATCGATTCTAAATACGTGAGTACATACCGAGGCACTCGAGTATCAAAAATATACTGATGATCCGATAGCACCGATCTCTTATCGGTCAAGGAGGTTCCAACCTTCGAGAGCTCATCTCTACTGCCGGTGGTCCCTCCGAGGGCTACAAGCAGGCTGGCCTTGTCAACTTCCCTCGATCTGGTGATGAAGCCACGGACAAGGTCCGTCTTCGTGGTGACAGCAAGCTTGTCAAGAAGATCCAAGAGGAGCTTGAGAAGCAAGTTGCTACTTTGAAGGAGACTGTGGTCTACGGTGTCGTCGTTCCCCAGGCTCAGCACGCTACCAAGATTGGTAGGGGCGGTTCCGCTTTGCAAGACTTGCAGAGGAAGACCGGTGCTGTGATCCACTTCCCTGGCTCTAGGCAGTACAGCTCCATCGGCGAGATCGAGAACAAGGAGGAGCTTGGTGATGCGGCTGAGACCGACATCGTCAAAGTCATCGGCTCCAAGTCTGCCATTGCCAAGGCTACTGAAGTTCTCCAGATCACAAGCGAGCGACCTCAGAGGTCAGACTCTCGCCAGGGTCAGGGCCGAGGCACTCCCGACTTGGCCTCTCAGAACGTCTCCATCCCCGCCAAGTTCTACCACGCCATTGCTGAGCAAGGCAACCTCATCCGTCAGATCCGCTCTGTCGGTGCCTTCCTCAACATCCCCACCCCCGCTCCCGCCAAGCCTTCCCCTAAGCGTCCTTCTGGCGATGCTAACGGAGAGGCCCTTGCCGCCAAGACCGCCAGGATCGATTTGGACGGCGAGGAGGATGTGCCCGATGTGCAGGGCGAGTGGGCTTTGGAGGAGAACTACCAAGATGGTGGAGATGAGGAGCTCGAGTGGGCCGTGAGGGCCAGGGAAGAGGATTTGGAGAGGGCTGTCAAGATCCTTGAGGGCGCGCTCGAGAAGGCCAAGCAAGCTACCCATAGTGAGTCGTTTCTCCAGACGTGGTGACAAAAGCTGACATACGTTCCAGTTGGTTATCTGACTGGTCTTCCCAGGTCCGCCTTCCCCAGGATTATCGGTTCCAAGGGTGCTACCATCTCTAGGATTAGGCTCGAGACCGGTGCCGACGTCCAAGTCGGCAAGGAGGACGACTTGATTACCATCACTGGTGACAAGGAGTCCGTTCTCCAAGCCAAGGACGCGATCGTGAGCATTGTCTCTAGGCCCAGCCGAGAGTCCCGAGAGAGGTATTAGGCGGAGTAGGCGTTGTCCGAGTTTGCTTCAGGAGTGGGTGGTAGAAAAAGACAAAATTCCCATGTTCATCTGGGGAAACGTACGTTGTAGGAGGGAATCATCAGAAACACATTGTGCATTATGCAATCTTATCATTGTTCGCTACTTGTCCGAAGGGGACCTTGGGCAGCATCGGACACATCAATATATGCATCATGCTAGAAGGAGGAGATGACCCATCCTTGTTACTACAAATCCCTGGTAAAGAAAGCAAAGAAGACTAATCTACAATCAAGCAACATAACGGCCAAAGAGAAGACGACGTGTCTATTTCGGACGACGCTCAATGGCTTGCGCCCTGATTCGCTTGTCATACGTCGGGCGATCATTTCTATGGGCAATCAGCTTTCGGTCTAGATCACAGACTTATAGCGATACTCACTTGAACATTTGATAAGCCTCCACCTGCGCCGGGTCGTTGACATTTGCGTTGTTCAAGAGGTCCTGCACACCCAAGACAATCTGTTTGATGGTGATAGATGGTTTCCATGACTTTTCCTCGTCGAGGATTGAAAGACAGATGGTGCCGGATGGGTAGACGTTGGGATGGTAGAGGGGAGGGTCAAATTTGCCTATAGCCACCGAGTGAGCCTGGAGATCCTCAATCATAACGACACTTGCGTACACTTGGGGGGTTTTGTAGGGAAGTCTACGTAGGAAGGCAAGTCCAGTCAGCTACCCGCGGCTTTATCGAAGAGGCTCATGCAGACTCACCATCGGGGAAGACCATCTTCACCACATATACGCCCCCTTCCCAGTCAGTCTGGTTTCCAAATGCCAGTCAGCCTCAGCCCATATACGATCCACAAAGATACACACCCCTGCCTTTCCTGGTATTCCAACTTCCCAGCTCATGATGTTGAGTGTCCCATCGGCATTCTTGAGCGGCTTAGCGTAAAATCCCTGGAGGACTGTTAGCCCTTCCCTCCGATTATCTTTCAAGTATGGACGGCTGCCTCCATGCAGCACCTTGTCATCGCATTGGGCCGCTCTCCGTTATACGTACAAACGGGTGGTCCTTCCTCCACTGCTTTCTCTCCTCGTGAAGACGGGCCTGTGCTAGATTAGACTACTCCCAGTCAGCGAATATGCCCTTTCATTCGCGGCTGACGTGCTTACCATTTTGTGTTGCTGAAAACGATACAGAACAGAAATTCACGCCGTTCCATCTATTTGTTTCTGATTTGTTTTGGATTGTTGTGAGCGTGGATACAATTACGTAAACATCATTAACTGCAGAGCGGGACGAGCGACGACGACGATGTCGGTAAGTATTCGTGTGCCTTTGCCCTTTGATATAACCCAGTGGAGCGCTGTACATACGCGTGAGATACATGTGTAACATAATGCATTGTATACAGACTGACGGTAAGATTCGTTTTGAGTTGAAGGTCTTTGTCGTGCTGACGAGGATCACATACTGTGGCCCATCCTTCAAGCTCGGCAGGAAGCCGTGGGACGCAAGACCACAGTCCAGGGGAATTGCTTTATACATTTTGTTACGGTTGCAACCCTCTATGAACATCATCAATTCAAATCAATCTCATCCATCCCCTCTCCTTTCGATTCCGCCTCCACCTCAGCATCGACCTCAGCCCCGTTCACCGCACCCGTCCCCGACCCGATAGGAGTAGAAACAGCAGCCGCCGCCTTGGCCTTCTTCTTCTGCTTCTTCTTTTGAGACTTTGTCAACGGAGCAGTAGACTCGGTGGGGGTTGATGTCCCACTGGCAGCAGTCGTTTCAAGAACGTTATCTGGCGCATCTGTGGCGGTTGTCGTATCGGCGACGGGCTCTGATGCACGTTCGGCTGGAGTGGGGATGTTTTCGTTCTCGGGGTTGGAGAGCTCGTCCTCGACGGAGGCAGGTGTCTCTTCGACTAGGCCAGGCGTCTCTCCGACAAGCTCTGGGGTCTCTGGGAGAGCAGGAGTCTCGATGGGAGTGGGGATTTTCTCGTTCTCGGCGTTGTCAAGAGTCTCTTTGACGGGCGCGGGGGTCTCTTCAACAAGCGCAGGGGTATCCCCGGCGAGCTCTGGAGTCTCTGGAAGAGGAGGCGTTTCAACGGGAGTCGGCGCGTCCTCGACGGGTGCCAGAGTCAACAACTCGGGCACTCCAGGAGTCTCCTCCGTCACCTGTTCTTCTTTGGCGGTAATGAGATCATCCTTCTTCACTTCCGGTACCGACGCAGCGGAAGGCTCGGAATTGACGGCATCTGCCTTGGCGTCATGCTCAGGTTCTACTGCCGGTGAAGCCTTCGGCCCTTCAACCACTTGCTGGAACTCCTTTACAGCCTCATCAATCGTCGAAGCCTTCTCCGCCCTGTCTTGAGGCTCAGGCTCAGTGAGGGTTGCTGCGCTGGCCGAGTCTTCGTACGCTTCAGGCATAGCGTGATCAACGACGATAGGTGGGGTGCTGGTTCGCTTCACCTCCTCGACATTGGCCTCAGCTGGAGAGATTGCCGAAGAAGCCTCCGCCTGTCTTTCCGTCTCGTGTACCGAGGATGAAGGCGGGGCGGTCGACGTGTCAATTTGCTGATCGACTGAGAATGCAGTTTGGGATTGGGAGAGGGGCGAAGTTCTGGTAGGTGACTGAACAGGAGATCCTGTGGCGAGCGGGAATTTGAAGCTCCTATTACGGCATTAGCGCGCTCACATACAAGATTATACAATACTCGCCTGTCAAGCTTTCCAATGGCCTCGGGTTTTGGACTCCTCGTTCTTCTAGGGTTGCTATCCAAGCTGCTGTGTCTCTCCTTCTTGCTGTCCAAGCTATCGTGCCTACCCTTGCCTCCGGCTATCCCAGGACTAAACTCGCCCTGAGTAGGCGATGGCGAAGCGTGCATGCTCATCCTCGCTACTGTCTCGGGGCTTGGAGCCCTATTGACATCCTCGGCGTCGGTCGTGGGTGATGATTGGGGAGATTGAAGGGACAGTGAACTTCGTTTCAGGTCGAGAGGAGATGGACGGCGGAAGACGGGAGCGTTAGATTCTTGGAAGGCCGCAGATGGAAGAGTGGGTAGGTGGTATTGCGAGATTGGTACCAGCCTTCACAACGTCAACGCAATTTCCTAAACAGATGCAGTCACTCACTTGCGCTGCTCAGCAACAGCTAACAACCACCCTGGGCTGACTATAGGCAGATTACTTCTCGTCGCCTCTTGGTACTCCACATCCGGGCCACCCCCTCTTCCATGCTCATCCCCGCCCACAATAGGCGACGTGCAGACGAAATGCGTCGTATCCAGAGCTACTCTCGGTGATTCGCGAGCGTTAATTTGACGCAAAGCGTAGCGCAGCTGCTCAAGTAGGTGAGGAGGTTGTACGGGGCCGAAGCAGACCAGAAGACCAGTGAGATTGCTATTTCGCACAATCAGCCAAATCCCGAGACCTATATTAGACACTTACTCCATTGTATGCGTTCTGGTTCGAATCAAGTTGGAGGAGTAGGTCCCGGCGGTAGTCTTGAGTACCAATTGGAACGTATACTCCTCACCGCTCTGCAAGCCTCCCGTCTTCCACTCGGTCTTCTCTTTCTTTCCTCCCAGGCCAGAATCACCACCGACTCGTCCCCATCGCTGTCCATTACGCAACATCTCCAAGCCTCTGAACTCTGCACTCCCCACATTGATCTTGTCCCACTCCACGCACACATTTGTTTGTGTCACGTTTCTCAGTCTGAGAGTGGGAGCGGTGGGAGGAACAGTGAATGAGGAGAGGATAGAGGATTGGAGGTCGGCGAATGCTTGTTGGGCCGAGAGCTCAGCTTGGAGATCTCGAGCGACGGTGATTGTCAAAATGGATCCTGGGCCGAGTGGAGGCATTCCGAGGGATGGTGTGGGTAGAAGAAGGGATGGAAACTCTAGCAAGTGGGCGTTGGGGCCGAGCAAGATGGCCATACCAGCGTCCAGCTTGCCGAGGGTGAAGGTGACTGTAGACGTGTCAGGGGATACTCTAGGGACTCGGCGTGATTAAGGCTCACATTGCTCCATCTTGGGCTGCTGATGGGTGAGGGCCGCCATTGGTGGATATCGGCTGAGGGGGTATACAGTAAATATACGAGAAAGCGAGAAAATGAGAAATGAAAGAGAACAACAGCGCGGCCGCGTCACTGAAGCAGGACGTGACAGAAATGTCCGTCCGGACGTCGGCTGTGGCCGGACACAAGCCCAACGTCGTCGTAGTTGTGGGTTCTATGCATAGATCATGTATCTACAGAGCACGTATCTGGGGAAATGGATACTTATTCATGGATGGCTTGCATTTTCAGCACTTCTTGAGCTGTAGATCATTTTCTGCTGGACATTCCCGCTTCTCTCCTCTCACAGTAGTTCACAATAAGCTTGGTAGCCACCGCCCGCCCTCGCGACCAGGCGGACACCTTTTGTGACCTGGACCATATTCGAATACTGGCAGCTGTCCACACGGCGCAAGTCTCTGATCTTTCCCTACACATACTCTGTTGCCGGTATCATGTGACATGTTGTATCTGCAAAGTTGACGTTGGTTAGTCATGAGCAGCATGTTCAGCAGGGAAGCGTGTTGCTCCCATATCGGATCAAAAAACCGCAATTTGACGATGACAGGTATACATGGTATGAAATGTGTGCCCTGGGTCTATGCTGATTCCTGCGCTGTCTGAAGTCAGTAATGATTTGTTTGAGGTGACAGGAATGACTTACTCCTTACAGCCTTCTAGGCTTCCTGGCCCTCACACCACCAATCTTGATCTTCGTCCTGTCTTCCACCCGCACCAACAACTTTCGCAGCTCAGCTCCCTGGGGACCTGACAAAGTGGTGGTCACGGCCTCCTTTGCCGATCCGAAGAGCCCATTGTAAGAGAGCCTGATCTTTGGTTCCTTCGATCTCGAACCTCCGCTAGCCTCCCTCGACCACTCTACAACCCTGTCAAACATCTTGATCGACGCCTGGGCAGCAGCCTCATAAGTCGATCTCTGAGCATTCTTGAACGTCTTGTCCGAGCCCGCCGAGATAGTCCCGAAGAGGGGACCAAGACCATCGGTCAGGGTCATGAGGACATTGTTACGAGTAGATCTGATGTGAAGGGTGTGGGTGGGGACGGCATGCTCGGCGTTGTTCGAGAAAGATGGGTAGGAAAATGTGACAGGCTCAGGAGTCCAGCGCAAGCCCGCGTAGGGAGATTTCTGACTACCTGGCCTGTGAGTGGCAGCACTGTTGATTTGGGGGATGTGGGAGGGTTTGCGGGCAGCAGCAGAAGCAGCGGGGGCGGAGGAGGACGCGGTAGCGGAGGGTAAGGGAGTTGTCTTGGGGAGAACTTGGTGATTGGGGACGGCGTCGGGTTTGGGGGTGGAGGAGGAAGGCGTTTGGTGAGAGGCCATGGAGCGGTCGGCAGGGGATTCGGCCTCTGAAGAAGGGAAAGGCTCCAATACAGCCTCCTCAGCCAGGGTAGTTTTGGGGGTGTTGAGTCGAGCACGGGAGGTGGAAAAGCTGGCGGCGGGCACGGCTAATCTAACCCTAGCGAAGGGAAGAGACGCACGAGGTGCGCTGAATGTTGACCTGATGATGGAGGCCATTTTGGGGTTTGAGCAGTGGAACAGGTGAAAAAGAAAGAACGCCTCAAAAGAAAGAGGAGAATGGCGCAGACGAAATTCTAAGTTGCCAAGGAACGGCCATTACAAAGATGCGAAGCATTACAAATCAAGCCATTAGCCATTGCGAGCAGGCATTCCCGCTCTGCAAATACACCCTGTTCGTATAGTGCAAGCAACAAAGACATTCGCATCTGCTCATCAAGAGAGCATACAAGGAGACTATGCATATGCCGGCAGAGCTAACATAGCAGGTGACGTCGAAAAGACCCGTTTGCAAAGTATATATTTGTACGCCCTTTGCAGAGCTCCAGAAGTCAAGTGCCCCCATCAGGCTTGCCCCCATCAGGTTTGTATTTCAAGGTAAAGCATGCATGAAAGGTGTCTCCTCTAAGCATAACTCTATGCCCGTGGCGGTATAGCAGACATAGAGGATAAAACGAGGCTAGAATATCTAATGTATTACGTTTTCTGTTGGCTTACTTTTTGACCCCTCAGACCGTATGAAGCGATACAGAGGGGCTTCGAAAGAGCCTAGCGGGAGAGGAAGAAGGGGAGGGGAGGGAAGATGTTGTTCTGTCAGTAAGAAG